CTCAGGCCCCGCAACCTACACCCCATCATGCAAGCACCTTTCCCTGCCCTCCGTTACCATCCTACCCTACTCAACCCCCTCGCCTCTCTTTCCCCATGCCTTCCCCTGCCCTCACCGGCGCCCCCACCCCTCCACCCCTCCCTACCGCGTCCGTGAGCACCACGATGCGGGTGGCTGCTGCCAGCGCCCCCGGCAGCCCCGCAGCCGCCAGCGGGTTGATGCCCACACTGACCCCCAGCCCCGCCAGCCCCCCCGCACCCGGGGGACCCATGGCGGGGGCGGCAGCGCCGCCGCCAGTGGCGCCCTGCAGGTGGGGAGGAGGGGGGAAGGGAGAGGACAGGTGGGAGGTGGGTGGGGGTGCAGGTGGGTAGGGGCAGGTGAGAGCAGGGATGCACGTCAGGAGGAAGGCGGAGGCGTGTGTCTCGGCATCTATCGCTCAACACGCACGTCGGTTAACTATACAGCGAGCAACAACCGCCAACCAACGCACGTCGCCCCGCTGTCCTTCCTATCCTTCCGCTCCCTTTCCAAGCCCTGATCCCACAACTCCACCAGCCATACCGCGCTGCTTCGGCATGCTTGTACCGTCAAAGCTCAAACTGTACAGGTTTGTTCGCTACCTCTCCCTCCCCTCTTCCCTCCCCTCTTCCCTCCCTCCCTCCTTCCCTCCCTGCCTCCTCAGCCCACCTCCGTGGCTCTGCGCACGGTGAGCGTGCGGTCCCCCATGCGCAGCCCGTTGAGCCCCGCACACGCGATGTCGGTGACGGAGGTGTCCTGGTACACCACGAAACCGTAGCTGCAGTGGGGGAGGGGTGGGGGTGGAGGGGGTGAATATTATACCGGTAGACGCGAAGCGATGGAACCGATGGGGGGTGGGGCAGGGGGGAGTTGCAGGGGCGGGGAGGCTTGGGACGCTGCACGCATGATGCTTTTCCATGAGTCAGGTAGGCTGGGACTTCTCACACCCCGTAACCCTTACCTCCTTCCTACTCCTAGCTGGTTTTCTCTACCCCCTCCTCCCCCCTCCTGCCCCCCCTCCTGCTCACCCCTTGCTGTTCCCAGTCTCGCGGTCCTTCACCAGGTCGAAGCTCTTGATGACGCCGAACGAGCCCAGCAGCTCGCGGCACTGCTCCTCGGTCAGGTAGTACGGCAGGCCGCCCACGAAGATGCGGTCAGCCTGGTCCTGGGCGGAGGACTGGCAGGCGGGAGGCGGGGGGGGGGAGGAGGGAAGATATAAACATAAGTGCAAGGATGGCAAGGGTGTGGCATGACGAGGCATAACAGCAGCAAAGGTGACGTTATCAGAAAAAAGCCAGGCCTAACAAGAGGCATGCAGCCCAAAGCAAAACAAACCCTCTTCTCCGCAGCTGCCCCCAGCGGCCGCCGCTAGCCATCCACACACCCCAAGCCCCTCCCCGCACCCCACCCTCCCACCTTGCCGCCTCCCCCTCCTCCCCCGGTGTTGGTGTTGGACAGGCCTATGGCCGCCAGGTTGAGGTTGGGGTTGGGCGTGGAGGGGCCCAGCGAGGCGGCGGCGGCGGGGTTGTAGTCGTTGGGGCGGCGCACGCGCACCGACACGCCCTCGAACATGATGCCGTCCAGGGCCATGGCGTTGGAGGTCTCCTCCACTGAGGGGGAGGAGGGGGGGCAAGGAGGGGGGCAAGGAGGGGGACAGAGCAGGAGGGAAGGCGGGCGAGGTTGGAATGATTGATAGGCGCAACTGGGTGCCTAGCATGGGCGTTTAGCCAGCCAGCGGGCTGGCAGGATGGGACCGAAGCAGCAGCAGCAGCACTGGGAGCAGCCTGGAAACACCCTGCCCTCACTCCCTGCTGCATGAGTCGGGAGTTGGGATTGGGACTCCGTTGCTGCACTTATTAGTATTTTGCACCACCCCCACCCCCACTGCACCTGTCCGGAGCTCCACGAATGCAAAATTCTTTTCGCGGTTGATGTACACGTTGACCACCGCGTTGCCTGCAGGCGGCAGGGGGGTTAGGAAGCAGCAGGGATGGGAGGGTGTGAGTGACAGGGAAGGAGCGGCCGCACAAGGCGAAGGCCGCGGGCGCAAGAAGGTAAAAGAGGAGAGATGCATGTGGCCCATGGCGTCATCGCCACCGGTAGTACGCTCGTCAGCCCTTTCCTCCTGCCTCCACCAGGCATGCTAACGCTGTGCTCTGCCAAGCCAGGGAGAGCCGCAACCTGGCTGCTGCTGCTGCGGCTTCGCCGGTGTGCCGCACTTCACACACTGCCACATCGCGCTCTCCGCCGCCGCACTGCTGCGTTGTTCCAAGGCTTCTTCCGCCAACACCCAGCCAGCCGGCTGCTGCGGGTTGGGAGTGCCGAGACTAGCAGGGTGACTGGCATCCCGCAGCAGCTGTACGGCTTCGACCGCTGCTGCACCCCCGCCAGGCAGGCCACCCCTTGCGTGCACAGCCACCTGGCCCCCCGGGCTGTGCTGCAATGCCCCGCTCCTCAATCTGTCGCACGGCCGCACATTCCCCGCACCCCCCAGCTACCCCAGACGCAACCCTTTCCACGCCGACACCTGGCAACCTCGACTGGGCTGTCCAACCGTACCCCAGCCCTCCCCTCTCCCTCCTCCCCATGTTCCCCCGCTCCCACCTGGTCCCGCCGTGTTTCCCCCGATGGCCGCCAGCGCGTGGCTGAAGAAGGAGCTGATGGAGGTCTCCGTGGCGGTGGGGGGCAGACCGCCCACGTAGATGCGCCGCGCGTGCCGGGTGGCCTGCTGGCTCACAGCGGGGCCGGCGCCGGCAGCAGCGGCGGCGCCGAAACCACCCGGCGCGTTGGTCACGCTAGCCAGCCCTGCTGGTGGTGCAGGGCGTGAGGAGGGTGTGACGTATGAGAGGAGGGTTGAGGAGGGGAGGTAAGCGAGGAGGGGCCGAGGGAAGGAAGGGGCAGTGTGTCTCCCGCTCCCACTGTACATGCCGTTGAGAGGTGCAGCTGCTTCACTTGCTCCTTCCTAGTGCTCAGCCTCTCCCAATGTGCATACGCTTGACCTGCTTTCCGTAACCCTCCTTCACGGGCCATTGGAGTGCTAAGGGGCCTTACGAGGCCACGGCGTGCTGGGTGCCATGTCCCATGTGGCTCGTCAAGCCCTCGATGCCCAAGCATTAACCCTCTGCTGGCCTCTGCGCTTGTCCCCTCCCAGCCTAAGCCGCACCCGGCACCGCTCACCTGGCGCACCCCCCATCATGGCAACCAGGGAGGGTGGGGGGGCTGCGAAGGCCGCCGCGGCCGCTAGGTTGGGCTGTGCTCCCGGCAGCACCGCGGGAGGCGGGGGAGCGCCGGGCGCCATGCCCGGAGGAAGGATATCAAAGAAGGTGGGTCGCCGGCGCCCGCTTTTTACCGGGGGAGAGCCGGAGCGGCTGCGGGACCGGCGCCGGTCGCGGCTGCGGTCGCGCCTTCTGTCCCGATCACGCTCCCTTTCCCGATCACGCTCCCGATCTCGTTCATAGTCCCTCTCCCTGTAAGCGGGGGGGTGTAGAGGTGGGGCCATGGAGCGACGGATCGCCCGGCCATTGAAGTTGCTACTCTGAGCGGGCAAACTTACCTGTCCCTGCGGTCCCTTCCACCGCCACCATAGTCGTCCTGTTGGTAATTTTGTTTATAATGTAAGCGCGTGGGAAGCTGGGGAACCGGTGGTGGCGGCAATTTAGACCTGCCCAAGCGCTGCTCACCCGTAACGGTGGATAGCCGTAGCCCTGCTCAGGCTCAGGCCTGTAGTTGTTCCGGTTATCCCGGTGATGGCTCATGGCTGGCGCGCGTAGTCAAGTTCTAGCGCAGTCCTCAGCGGCGCATTTCTGTCCTTCGTCACTTATGGTTTCTATAGCTATGCAGCTGACAGTTCTGTGTTACACGAGCTGTGAAGGAGCTTGGGCTGTGCCGTCAAAGTACTATTGCTTCGTACGACCGGCTTGGGTGTTTAACCAAGACCAAGTCAATGCTGAAGGCCAGCGAAAGGTTACAAAGGTGTTTTCCTGTTGTATAAAGAGCTGTGTGGTCGCTTCTTAGCGCTATCTTTCGCTGCTTCCATCCCATCTCGCGCACCTCATCGCTCTAAGAGTGTAGGAAAACGTCCTGTTGTCAGCAACTCCCTGCATGAAAACAACGTTCAGCATGAGCCAGCTTTCCTATCTACGTGAGCGGCCATGCTGTCTCATGAACCGGGCTCCGAGCCAGTCATCGACGGGTGGTCGCAGGCAAGCCTCGTAACAGATACGCGCCGAGAGACCAAAAACGCTAGCCTACTGAAAAACCTGCGGTAGCCGGTACTAATAATACTACGTATTCTACACACACGAGCGCACATTAGTCGCTCGCGCGTCGTCCACTCGCCGGTTAGCCATGCCGCACCTATCCGACCTTCAGCTCGCAAACTGCGCACGGCCTTACACGGTATTACTTCGGTAAACCTTGCCATGATGACGCCCTTGCATGGCTCCTGCCTGCTTCTCTCACAAAGCAACCATCGCCAGCCAAAGCAGTAGCGCAACACCCACTCCCAGCCACATTTTGCGCCCACCGCCTCCCCACGCAGGCCCCTTCTTGCCACAGCCACCGACGCCCATGGCACCCTCCTCAAGTCATTCAGCCTGCATGCAAGGCCAGCAGCACCAGAACCAGTGCTATCCATACATGCAGCGCAGTCCGTACGACACGTCTCCCGCCCATCTGGTAGCCCGGCGGGTGTCAGGAGGGCACCAGCACGTGTCGTACACGCCGCCGCCGCCGCCTCCTCCAGCAATGACGACTCGGAAGGCGCTGTTGTTCCCCCCTCCTCCTCTTTCTCCTCTTCCTCCTCTGCAGCGCCAGCAGCAGCGGCAAGGGAGGCGGAGCACGCAGCGCCCGGCGACCAGGTTTCTGACCAGCCGCCCTCGGCCGCCGGCTTCAGCTTCGCCTGCCCCATCTGCCTGCAGACGCAGTTCAGACTGGCCGGCATGCCCACGCAGTGAGTGTGGGAGGGAGAGGAGGACGGAGAGCAGGCTGCATCGACCCCCTCATACTTCCCAGCATACCGGCACCGTGCCCCATGTACAGCCCCTCCCCCCTGTGCAGCCCCCTCACGTGGAGCGCCCCTCAGCACAACCCGACCTGCTGCCCACCTTGGGGTGTCCTGCTTGCCCCCTGCCTCCGGACGGACCCGCTCCTTCCCTTCCTCTCCCTCACCCTCCTCCCCTCCCCTCTCCTCCCCTCCCCCCTTCACCCCGCCCGCCCTCCAGCTCCGGCGAGCTCTGCTGCCCCCGCTGCCGGCGCTCCTTCCCCGCCTCGCCCGCCTTCCTGGATCTCACCCCCACCAGCGGCGCGCAGCAGCGGCTGTACCGGCAGCGGGGCTGGGGGGGCACCGAGCTGTTCAGGTGGGGGCTGGGGGGGGGGGTACGACAGTAACCATGTGGGGGTGAGGGAAAGCCATGCATGCGTCATACAGGCACCACCACGGGTTGCATGCTGGTGGGGGGCTGGGCCCGAGGGGAACGAGCAGCTGGTTTGCGTCAACCCAACAACCTGTGCGCCAACACGTATGCGGCTACTGTACCGACTACCCACCCTCGCTCGCGCCTGCTGCCTGACCCCCTCACACACCCCCTTCCCGCCGCTCTTCCCCTCCTCCCCTCCGCCCCCCCGCCCCCTTTCAGGAGTCCGCTGGTTAGCTTCGCGTACGAGCGGGGCTGGCGGCAGTCCTTCGCCTGGGCTGGCTTCCCCGGGGTGGAGGCGGAGTACGAGCAGGCGCTGTCGTACCTGCTGCCTGCGGGGGCGGGCCGGGTGCTGGTGGACATGTCGTGCGGCAGCGGACTGTTCGCCAGAAGGTGGGTAAAGAGGGAACAACCAACTGATGACCGTGTGATAAGGCGTCAACATGGTTCGCCAGGAGGTGGGGGCGGGGGGGGTGCGGGGGGATGGTAGGGAGGGCAAACTAGCCATGTGACCATGTGAGGTGTGTATGTGTGTTAAAAGAACTGGCCGCGAGGCGAAACGTACTGTGATTGCCGAAAGATGAAGATGTGTGTGTTAAAAGAACTGGCCGCGAGGCGATGATGATGTGTGTGTTAAAATAACTGTGATGTGTGTGTATGTGTATGTGTGTGGGGGGGTATGAGTGTATATCAGGGTTACCTGAAAAGAGTCTTGCACGGTGTGTGGCAACCCCGCTTCCCCACGCCTCCCCGCCATCAGGTTTGCCCGCAGCGGGCGCTTCTCCGGTGTGATCGCGGCGGACTTCAGCGAGGCCATGTTGCAGCAGACACGGGCCTACTGCCAGCAGGAGGAGGCGGGAGGCGGGGGCGGCAGGAGGTGGGGGGGTGGGGGGGGGCATGGGGAACCGTGTGTGCGGTGGGGTGTGTATGCGGGGCTTTTGCTGGGAGGTTTGCCTCACTACTACTCCCCATCCTGTCCTCCTCCTTCCCCTGCGCCAACCATTCTCCTTCCCCGCCCTCTCCTTCCGTCCTTCCCCCCTCCCCGCCCCCCGGCGCAGCTCCACCCCCCTGATGCTGCTGCGTGCTGACGTGGGCCGCCTGCCGTTCCCCACCGGCAGCGTGGCGGCACTGCACGCGGGGGCAGCCATCCACTGCTGGCCAGACCCGCAGGTGGGGAGGGGCCGCGCAACAAGCATGGGCGTTTGGGGCGTTAGGGTTTAGGGTTTAACCTTTTAGGGCGTTTAGGGTTTAACCTAAACCCTAAGGTTTCGCTCACCTGCTGTCTCATCTGTCCCCACCTGCCGCCACTCCTCCCCTGTACGCTCACTGCATGAGTCAGGATATGGGTTTGGGACTAGGGTGGCTTCACTTTTCATTGAATTTCCCCACCTGCCGCCCCCCTCCCCTCCTGCCCGCCCCCAACCCGCCGCAGGGCGCGCTCGCTGAGATCAGCCGTGTGCTGGCGCCCGGGGGTGTGTTTGTGGCCTCCACCTTCCTCAACGCAGCGGCGCCACTGGGGGCGGTACTGGGGGACGAGGCGGTGCGCCCGCTCAGCCAGGTGGGGCGGGCGGAGGGGGAGGGGCAAGAGGAAAAGAAAAAGAAACCCGGTGTAGTTCCAAGCCCCGACATTCAACCCAGACACCCACCGGGCTGTCACGCGACGACCAATCTAGGCGCGCGCGAGTCCATTCTGCCGGGCTGTCATCGTAGCTGGTTTTCCCTTAACCCCCCCCCCTCCCTCAAGTCCTTCCTCCTCCCGCTCTCCCCCCTCTGTCCGCAGCTGGACCTCACCACCGGCTTCGGCTCCCTGCGCGCCCCCTACCGCTGGTGGGAGGAGGGCGAGCTGCGGGAGCTGTGCGAGGCGGTGGGGCTGGGCGGGTGGCGGCGGGAGCGGCGCTGGCGCTTCATCATGTTCGCGGCCAGCAAGCCGGAGTGAGGGAGGGGGGGTCGGAAAAGGGGGTTTCCACAAGCCGCCGCGTGTGGTATATAACTGTAATGAGCGCAGCTGTTACGATGAGGAGAGGTGCACTGGAGTGATCGGCTTGGGAAACCACGGATTGGGGCAAAACAATGGAGTGGGGACAAGGGCGGGCTGGGGGACACAGGAGCGGCTGCAGCGGGGTGGGAGGGACAGCGTTGAGGGAGGGGGAGTAGGGTAGTGAGGAGCTATGTGCAGGGAGAAGGGACCGGGGGGAGTGGGCATTGTGGGGTTGGTGTTGAGTGGAGGGGTTGGTGTTGAGTGGCAGGGTTGGTGTGGTGTAGGAGCGGGTTGAGGATGTGGGGGTGCTGCTTTGTGTGTTGGAGGACGGGTGGAGGGTGCTGTACAGCGCGGGGCTGCTGCGTGCTGCTGGGGAGCGTGAGTGGGCTTGGAGATAGGGGCAGCAGCAGCGCGAGAGGAGGGGGAGGAAAAGAAGGATACCCAATGAGGGGTATGGAGAGGAGAGTACATGTATATAGGGGCTCAGGTGGGATACTGCCGCTCACAGCCCTGGTAAGTGAGGAGGGATGGTACGTTCACGTAGTGGGGTTGACCTGAGCGACTTTAATGACAACGTGTTTTATCAATTTGTCACTGGTTTTTAGTGTTTACAGTGTTTGGATGTTGCAGCTATCCCTGTGGGATTTATATAACAGGTGTTTTAAGCCTCGCTGCCAGCTATCCACACCGAATTTTGATTTGCCGTACAGGTCATTCGCCGTACTCCGTAGAATAATACCCCAACAGCCAACCGCGGGATAGTACAAGTGTCAATCTGGCGTCCCATGCACCCGCATCCCGCGCATGTCACGCGGGGATAGCCCTGCGGACAAACGAGCCCTTAAATACCCCGCTGTTGTGTCCTCCCTGGCACATCGGGCACATCAAACACCGCTCCTCCCTGCCCTGCCCCGGTGCCCCCTGCCGGGAGCTGTACCGGTATGTGCGCCCCCGTGTTCCCTCCTGTTAGGGAGCCATTGTAGCATTCATTCAATCTTATCCCGGGGCTGACATCAGCACGTGCCGCAGCACACACGGGGCAAACTAGCATCATCGCACACACACACACGCGGCCAGTTATTTTAACACACACACCGCCCAGTCTTGCATGCACATGCACATGCCCGCACCACCTCCGGAGCCCCCGCCGTTGCAGGCACACTTGCAGGAGGAGCGCTTTCTGACGTCAAGCGGGGTTATACGGTCCATACCACAGCAGCATTCAGTGCAATGGCACCTGCAAGTGAACCATGGCAACCATGGACTCAGCTGTCCCTGCACATGCCGGCCAGTGTCGTAACCCTACATGATCCCCCATAACCAGTGACAGGAGCCTCCAGTCGGCAGGGAAGTCGTTGAGGTACGGTAATTGCCGTACGACAATCAGTGCATGGAAGCAACGCATGCTGGACGGTGCCACGTGGCATCATGTGATGAGTTGAGGAGGCTCAGTTGCTACATTAGGCACCTGGCGCACGGCAGCTCTCTCCGGCGCCAGGCGGGCAGCCGGTGAGGCGGCTGAGCACCCGGATGTTGCGATATCGCAACATCCTTATCCGTTGCCCCCATCCGCTGCGATACCTACACCCATGCTCCCTTTCAGGGAAGCACTGTAACAGTCACTCATTCATTCACATACACCGACACGGCCAAACGTGTCAACACATCACATTCTCGGCCACGCACCGTGATTTGTCACCGCTAATGGAATGAACACCCGTATGAATAGAATGCCCGTTGTTGCCTTGGCTTCAACAGCAAACAGGTCCAAGGATTGATACCGGTAGCAACAAGGGGGTCGTACCACGGGTGTCAGAACCACCCTCACCCCTTTTACACAGCTCCCGCTTCCCTTGTATCTTTGCAACCGCTGTCAGCCTTCAGGCCAATACATACCAACGCAACCGGGAACTAAAGCACAACTACAACACCGCAACAACTTCCCCACACAGCAAGCAAGCAACCAAGGGTGCTCAGCAAGAGGCACAAGAATGTTCGTAGTCTGCAACCGCCACTCTCCCGTGTCAGGTCTCTGCCCCATGCACTTCTCTCTCCGTGACTTCCTGCTGCGTCCAGAACGGTCAAGTCCTCAACGGTTCCAAAGTAAACGGCAATTATGCGCTTAGTACACTTAGGGCATTGCGCTGGGCAGAGCAACCTGCCCGCTGCAGCCCAGCCATCAAGCATGCAAACAAAAAGACGCGGTCACTTCCAAAGATACATGGCATGACATCCGGCGGAGATGAGCAAAGGCAACGTTGCGCTGAACCTCCCTCCCAACACCGCCTCTGTAGCAGCACCTCGCCACCCGCCCACCCACAGCATCCAGCTAGGCACGCAAAGAAACCACCATACGTTAACACACCTATTCCTTTCCATTGTTTACTCTTGCACAACATTGGTAGTTAAAACCCTCCAAACAAACGCAATAACGCCTGCACAAAGGCTCAGGAAATGGGTCTGCACGGGCAGCGACGTGACACGGCGCTGCCATGTGACAAGGCATCAACCCATGTTCGTGGCATTCGTGGGTAACCACGTACGACATAGGAGGCTATCTTTCAGCACACGACTGATAGAAGACACATGACGGTGATTCCCGTTTCCGTAACCACAAAAAACAAGGACACACACACAGGCCAGCTTTTTTAACACACACATAGTGATTGCACGTTCCTGACGGCCCCAGCGCGCAGACTAAGGTAGGGCCGTAGCGTTCGCAAGGACATAAGACGTCAACTGAAACATTACTCCCTGGGAACTACCGGTATATGAACATACAATGCAGGTAGGTAGGTAGGTGGGCAAAGGTCTCGTTGACCCTCTGAGGTTCAAAGTGTCGCCGGCCAGGACCCTTCCGCGATGGGATTACTTCATCCCATGAAATAGCATCCCCGTAGTGCAACCTCTCGTCTTGAACAGAGGTGTATCCCAATCGCACAACAGGGGCATATCGCGCTAGCCCTGTGCTGGTAAAGCACGCTACAACTTAGGCGCTTAGCCCTTTTGTCAGTTAGACAAACAAAGCTAATAGCCCCTAATCACACACCGCAACACCTCCTAGATAAGCAAGATTAGTTAAGGGAAGGCGTGACGCCTGGCAGCCCGTATAGCTTGGCAGTTGCCGCTGAGAGACCGTGCACACTCGCACCCTGCTGCAACCGCCCCAGCTTCGCTGCTGCTGCCGAATTCACGCAAGCGAGGGGAAAACAACACAAAGTAACCCGGAACTGCTACATAGCTGCTCCTCTCAGCTGTCTTGCGTAACGCGTCCTCAGATGCTAAACACATGTAAAAGTCAGTGCGCCGACGGTACGACCCAACTAGTAGTACGGCACGCGGCACATGACATGCGCGCGGCTCCGAAACCAAGCTCGTGTACTCGACATTGTGGCATATCCAATGCACCCCAAACACCACCACCACCATGCACCAGCACTGCCAACCCTCTCCTCGCCTCATCCCATTCCTTAGCATGCCCCCCCCCCACACCACCTCTCAACACCCCTGCCCCTACCTCCCACTCCCCGGCTGCAGCGGCAAGAACGTCAACGTCCCCCTCAGCCCGCCCTCATGCAGGTAATCCCCCCAGGACGCCAGGCTCTCCTCCCCGCCGCCGCCCCCCGCCGGGCTGCCGGGACGCTTCCGCAGGGGCAGCGCCGCGGGGCAACCCATGGCTGCCTCGGGTGTGAAGTACGTCTCATCGCCAAACGTCCACACAAACACCTCCTCCAACCGCCCGCAACGCCAGCCGTACACACTCAGACGAATGCCGCCGCCAGGAACGACGCCAATGATGCCGTCATTGCCGTCAGCACCCCCGCCGCCGCCGGCGCCGCCACGAGGTTTCAGGGCGCTAGGCACCCGGCAGTAGAGGAACACACCGGCTGCGGAGCCGCCACTGGCGCCGCTGCTGCCGGCGGTGCCATTGCGGTGCTGACAGTCAACGAACAAGTGCCACTCCAGGCCGCGACACATGATGTACGGCAACGCAAGGCAGCCGTCCGGGCCGGAGCCGTCTGCGTCCGCCAGGGCGCTGGCGGCTTCGTTGTTGAGAGCGAAAGCGGCGTGGGTCTGCACCCCGCCGCCTAGCGCGTCCCTGAGCCCCTGCTGCGGAATGTGCCACTTGAAGGAGAAGCCCTCCGACGGCACGGCAAGACAACGCGGCGAGGTGTTGTACCAGGGAGACGTACAGTCGTACACCTTTCGTGCGGCATCCACCAGGTGTGCCCGCTCCACGGAACCCGCCCGGACAAAGTTGGTGAGGAAGGCAAACTCCTCCACTCGCATGTCAAACCACCTGTCGCCGTTTTTACCGTTGTTGATGGTGCTCTTGGCCCCGACGACCCGTGGGTCAGTCAGCAGCTGTGGCAGCACCGCGGACAGGTGGAATCCGCCCAGCGCCGCCACGCGTACGGCACCGCACACTGCCCGCACGGTTTCCGACGTGACGCTCTCCGCATTGTACTGCACCCACAGCGCCACCAGCAGCAACACGCTTGCCTCGCAGTCCACCCCAAACGCGGGGGAGCTGAGCAACGCCAGCAGCGCCTGGGGCGGCAGCTCCACCACCTGCCGCCGAAGTCCCGGCAGATTCAGCACCGAAACCACATCCAAGGAAGGCCCCGCTGGCGGAGCGGTAGGCAGCGCTGCCGGGGGCGGTGGCGGCCCCAGCGCTCCCACGCCCCCTCTTGACATGAGCTGCTGCGGCGGCGGCTGCGTGGGGGGCTGTTGCGGCATGGACCCCAGCCGTTGCAGGTTGGGCAGCAGCGACCCCGGCCGGGACCCCGGCGGGAGCGGCAGCGAGGGCTGCGGCTGCAGCAGCGACGGCGGGTCTCCATGCAGGGGCTGCAGGAGCAGCCTTTCCCGCCCTGTGGGCTGCAGCGCCCGCTGGGAGGAGGAGGAGGTGCGATGGAGCAGGTCAAGAGCTGCGGCGGCGCCTGCGGACCCGCCATTGGCGGGGCTCGGACCTGCAAGTGCCGCAGACGCTCCCGCTGCCGCCCCTGCCCCGGATCCAAACCCCGCCCCTGCCCCTCCACGCATGCCGGCAAGACCGCCGCTACCGGCGCTTCCCCCACCCAGGTTAGACACACTAGACCTGCCGCTACCCACGCTGCCGAATGCAGACCCAGCGCCGTGCCCGGACAGCCGGCCCCCCCCGCCCCCGCCCGCCCGGCTCGACTGGCTACTCATCCGCGCGGCTAGAGCAAGCGCCTCCACCGCTCCCAGCTCATCCGCATCAGCGTCCTGCAGATTGTACGACATGGGAAGACCCCTGGGTCGCGGCGCGGGTGGCGGCAGCCCCGCCAGACTGCCTACGCTGCCGCCCCCGGCGCCGCGTGTAAGGGTCGTGCGCGTGGGCGAGTCCTTGAGCTTCAGAAGGCCGCTGCCCGCCGCCTCGCCAGCCGAACTGTCCTCCTCCTTCGCGCTGACGACCTCGGGCTTCGTTGCTAGGGGTCGCAGTGCCAGTGGCCGGAGAGCCAGTCCCTGTGTTTGCGTGCTGCTGCCACCTCCACCACCTCCAGCCGCTGATGCCACAGACGAAATCACCTTGCTTACCCGCTCTGCCGCCTCGCTCACGTCAGCTGCCGCCGGCGCCGCCGCTGCTTCACTCGCAGCATTGGCAGCAGCACCCGTAGCGACAGGAGCTGTAGCAGCCTTCACATCGGCAGCAGCAGGCATGGGCGGGAGAAGTACGACAGGTTGGCAGCTGCGTGCCTCGGGGCCGCCCCCTCCGGCGCCTGACGCCTGGGACAGCTCGATGTTGTACTTGTACAGCAAGGCTAGCAGGTTACCAATGGCGGGAAGGGAGCCTGAAGGGCGTTCCGGCGCCGGCTGCGGCAAGTCCCCGCCGGAGGGGTTGAGTGCGAGGGGCGGCGGCAGCTGCACGTCAGTGGCGCTGCCGGCCGCGTTGGCAGCAGCGGCAGCCGCCACCGCTGCCGCCGCATGAGATAGCGCTAAGGGCAGTATGGGATCAGCCTGTACGGCGCCGGGACAGCCGGCGGCGGCGCCCTCCTCGCCGTTAGCGGCCACATTCGCACCTGCCCTGCTGCTGGTGCCGCTGTTGGTCCGGGTGTTGTCGTTGTTGCCGCTGCTGCTGCTGGTCTTGCCGGCGTTCCCGCCGCAGTTGCCATTACCACAGCCCATGCCGATTGCAAGACCGTTCGCAGCAGGTCCCCGAAGCGCCGCTGCACCAGCCAGCCCTCCGGAGTCCGCCCGCTGCAGCCGCGGGTGAGACAAAAGCTCCCCCAGCGAGGGTTGCGGTAGCTGGGGCGGTTGCTGCTGGTGCGGGTGCTCCGGAGCCGGGACCTCACCCCCGGCCGCCGCAGGGCCCTTGTGGCCTCCTCCTCCTCCGCCCAGCTGGAACTGGTTTCGAAGCGCGGCGGCCGCCTGCGCCTGCTCCTGCAGCAGCGCCGCCAGCTGCTTCTGCTGCTGCTGCAGCTGGATTTGCTGGTTCAACTCCTGGAGCTTCTCAAGACTGCACGAACCCCCACCCCCGCCATTGGGGTCTAGGCCACCGTCTCCGCGGCTCCCAGCCCGGCCAGCACCGTAGGAGTCGCTGAGTTGCCGGTGTAGGGGTTCACCGAAGGGGTTCTCCATGACAGCCCGCGACCGGCGCACCCCTGCTGCGTCCTTGTCCGAAAGCCTACGGCCGATGCCGCCGCTGATTCTTGCTTGCGCCTCATCCTCGAATTGCGTATGCTGCTGCTGTTGCGGTTGGCGATGGGGGTCGTAGAGACGCGTGTGCTGCTGCTCGTCCCCACCGACCTCCATGTCGTCCCCGTCTTGCAGCCGGTGAAGGCCCTGCTGGTGCTGCTGTAGCAGCAAGAGGTGCTGCTGTTGCAGCTGGGCGAGATGCGGCTGGGAGAGCTCCTCCCTCTTCTGGAACAGCGGGGGCTGCTGGCCTAGCTGCGGGAAGGGAGGCTGCTCCGCCTGCTCGTGCTGCAGCTGCAGGGACGCCTGCAGCTCAGGGTGGTCCAGCATCAGCTGCACACGGGCTATCATCTCAGCCGCCTGGGGCGGCGGGGGGCCGCATTGCCGTACGGCAATATCGAACATGGCCTTTCGAGTGGCGTAGTCGTACGCGTGGTCGTGCACAGCCAAGGCGTATGTGCGCAGAAACGACCTCTTCTGCGTGTCCTTGCATCGCAACGTTGAGTGCCAAATATTCTGCAGGCGTAACAGGCAAGGTGTATGGTAAGTGGCAACGTGAACATAGCAATACCTAAAACAGCATAGACGTTCCTTATTATAGGTCATAATTGCTGTTCGTCCAACTAGGCAGAAGCCCGGTTTCCAAGGGTATCTGCTAGATAGGACCAACGCGAGCTGAGGGAGAGTCTAGACTCAACCCGGAATTAATCTTATGAAAGCATCCTTCATAAGAAAAACGTACAGTCTGGCTGGCAGCATGCTTCAGCCGAAAGAGCCAACGCGGCAACCTTGCCCCGTTTCAACTCTTCTTACGAACTTTGAGCCCCGAACACTTTAAGAGTAAAAACGTGTATATTAAGGCAGGTACTAACATTTTGCTATGTACCCACTGCAATTTATATCAAATAGGGCCGAAAACTGCTCAAGGTCACGGAGCGTAGGCTTATTTTCTATATATTCCTAGCCAGGGTTTGTTCCTTGCACAAATAAAGTAACTAGCAGTAAGTCACCGCATGTAACCGGTTCCTTGTGGCGGAACGGGGGCATCGGCAACGCCTAACACAATTACCAGCTTGACCACAGTCCTCACCTTGACATCGTTTTCCGACCTCAGTGGAAGATAAGCAGCAATTTGAGTCCACCTACGGTACCAAAGTTGTATGCAGGGTGAGAGGGGAAGGGGACATCATCCCTCAGTACATTTTTGCAGCCCTTACCTGTTCCCAAGCTCGCAATGCTTTATAGCAACAATGGCCTGTTCTGCTGGTGTCCATGGTGGCTTCTTACGGCCCCCACGCAATGCAGCTTCGGCGCTGTCCACCGGCGGTTCGCTTTGTAACTTTTGCCTTTTGGTGGCGGGCTCGCCCAGGACGTCCGCGGATGCCGTGGTAGAGGTGGCAGCTGATGCCCTGTGCAGGGTTTCTAGCAGCTCGCGCCTGTCCTGGTCCATGTCTCGGCCCATGAGCATATCCAGCGAGACGTTGTAAAGCCCCGGGCCCATTGGGGCAGTCATTGCACTCATGCGATGTAGCGTTATGCTAATGAATATTGGCGGTGCTAAATATTCAGGTAATCATCCTTTACGCGGAGGAACCCCCTTACTGTTAGCGTTAAATGAGGCCTAATTAACAACGAAATGAAGAAGGACAGTTAGTCGTCAACGATGAAGCAACACCACACCATGATGCGAAGCGACGGCTGGACGGCTGGGGAGGATAGGTTTACGGGGATGGGTACGGCTACACGTGGGGATGGCACCGACCTACACTGTTTGGTGAGTTTCCGAGGATATCTTTGCATATTCTAGGCGCTGTGTGCTTGTGATAACCATTAGGGTTAATATTGAAGCAGGCGAGCTTATGAACTCAGCGTTATACCAACTTTCCCGGACAGTAAAGTTTCGCGAACCCTACATGTTGGGGCGAAGGGTTAGCCTCATGTCTAGATGTCCTATTCTATAAGCTCCAAGGAAACCTCGCGTCCCGCACGATAGGCAAGGCGCCATAAGCTTAGTATTCAAGGTGCCCAGCCGAGCCGGGTGATATGTTGTCACTAGCAAATACTAGCTGTAAGCTCATTTGGGTAGCATACTTTTGTCCATTCGTCATCCTACGGCGTTATCACGGTGCATGTCGGTCGGTCGGAGGTTAACCACGAATTATGCTTATACAATTGGTGAGGAGGGTTGGTAAGGAATTGAGCAAAAGGACTACGTGATATCAATGCCTTTCTTTGTGTACGGAGATGCCCTTGTGGAAACCCTTGGTTAGTAACCGCCGCCACTCGCAAAAACGTCGCACGAAGCGTTTACCGCTAACCTCCATACGTTTGCCACGTATTGGTTGACTGGCAAGCCTCAATGGTCCTCGTGCTATCTATCGGAAGCATTTTCGGTCGTTTGCCCAGGGTCTGCCCAACAACTATTCAGCAGACGTCTTTCACGTTGCGATAAGCCGACGCGTTACTTTCTTTCTTCTCTTGCTTGTATAGATCAAAATATCTGGGCAGACTGTGTCCTTGCTGATTCGCATGCAGCTGCACGCATGTACTTCACGCCTGCACCCTATGATGCAGGACGTAGGCCGGCTGCACGGTACCGTTGTGCCCCCGCGTTGCAGTTCCCCGCTGGGGGCATCCCTCGAGATCGTACTTCCATGACTCTCCTCCTCCTCACCACCAGCAGCAGCAGCAGCAGCAGCATTCCAACCGTGCCATGAGCCACTGCACCGGATTCCCCGAGGTCACATCGGGGGCACTGGGAACCCCGAAGCCTGGTACACAGTGGCCTGTTTACTCCACACTTCAGCCATGCATTGAATGGTTGCCAACGGCGGTTAAAGAGTTGGTTTATGCGCGTTACCCATAGAGTGTGTATAGCCGTGACCACCGAGGATGCTGCTGCAATCCATTGCTGCTGACTGTCAGTTGAGTGATTCGTACCGGTAATGCAAGGATGAGAGAAGCGCATGAGCCTTTTCGGCAGCTCGCAGTTGCTTTCCAGGTCCTCAGCTACGTACACGCCCGATCGTGCAAGCAGGCCCAGCCCCCGGAGCGCAGGCCCCCAGCAACAGAAGTTCCCAGCAGTGACTTACGGCTGACGCAGGTCAGAATGGACCCAGTGTTTTCATCTGGACTGACAGCACTCGAATGAGAAGTCGCAGCTTGCCTGCTCAGCCTAGCGCTAATCCAGCTTTCCTAAACATCAAAGCCGTGCGAACCCCATACGTGCAGGTCTACCATACATACATGCAAATGCATGCGACGCACCAAGCACCACAGCTGCCACCCTGCGTGCCAAAACCAAGCAACACCCTACCTTTCACACCCAGCACATCCTTGATTCCCTCCCGCCGCCCACCACACCACCTGCTGCCAGTCTTACCAGCAGGGCCCTATCTTGCGCCTTGTACGACATGCATGCATGGGATTTCCCGCAGCCCCGCGCCTGGGGGCAGCAGCCGCCGGGTCCAGCCCTCGCTAGCAGTCCTAGGGGCTCCTAGATATCGTACACAAGTACTGTTACAACAGGTACAGGCACAGGTACAAGAGCAGAAAGTACTGAAAAGGTACTGGCACAAACGGTAGTGGTACAGGAAATACAAGAAGGGACTAAGAACGTTGGCAAATGGCAGAAGGTCTGGTGCATGGACCTCTATCTTCACAAATTTGAGTCAATTGCGACCCGACGTATTATGTACAAAAGCCAAGCATAAGCCGTCCTCCGCCGTCGCATGGATGAATGCCAGACGGAAAGCCTAAAGCTCTATTGCACTTGGGCTGCGCTAACCGGATTGCCGACTGACACGCTTGGGCTACCGTAGGGATACAGAAAACATCCAGGGCGCCGCATGAGCGCATGGTACATGGGTACGATACTGGTTTCGGAACGAACATACAGTTATTTGTGAACAACAAACCTTCAAAACGGATGCAGCAACAACGACACCAGGTGACAGAGCCGCTGCAAAAGACCGGTAGTTTAAGCATTCCGTCGTGCCTTCTTCCGCCTGCCAGCAATACCTACCGTCAATACCTGACCCACGGGTCGCAGGGTCAGACGAGGTGCGCCGCAGCAACAGTTACAGCGCCCGGAACGCCGACCCTCTCCCAAAGCCACTATATATAACCTGCTACCTGCTGAAACCGTCCAGCACAACGGCATCAACCACTATATGGAACTTATAGTTGCATATCGGAGGACCAGTTAGGAACCTCCTCATTGCAATCCTTCGCACCTATCCGACCAGCCATGGCCCCCAAACCTAGCGGGAAGCCCCTCCATCAACGCTGCCACCGCCAAGCACCTCTCCCCAACCGTCACCGTCACCGTCCGCATCATCGTAGTACGAATCGCCGTACACCGTGGTCTCATTGTACGGCAGTGTCTTGCCGTACACCAGTCCGTACACGTCATCCGGCCCCGGCACTAGCTTCCGCTCGCTGTTGGGCAGGCAGTTCCACATGACGTGCACGTAGGTCTGGATCATGTGGTCTCGGAGCCAGCCGGGCACGGGAAACGACACGGCCTGGCTTACCCCCTGCTCGGGTTGCTTCTCCTGTTGCTGGAGGTCTTGAAGCTGCTTCTGCAGCTGTTGCAGCTGTTGGAGGAGCAGCAGTTGCTGCTCATACCGCTCTTGCTGCTGCTGCTGCTGCGCTGGGAGCATATGTCCCTCCTCTTGCTGCTGCTGCTCCCGGTCCTGCTGCTGCTGCAGCCTCAGCAGCTGCCCCCTCCTCCACAGCAGCAGCTGCTGCAGCTCCTGCGCCTCCTGCTGCGGACCCCCCGCGGACGCAGACGATGCCGGTGCTGCCTGCTGCTGCAGGGGCTGCTGCAGCACCTCGCCTGCTGCCTGCTGCTGCAGCTGTGACGGTTGCTGCTGCTGCGGCGGCGGCGGTGCGGCATGGCAGTTCTGTAAGACCGCCTGCGCGCCCACGTGGCGCCACGTCGCCCCCAGCGGCAACCCCGGGATGATGTCGCCCGTGTTGTCCAGCCGCAGCGTCACGTCGGCCCTGGGGCAGGGCGGGGTGGGCGGCGGGGCATCAGGCAAACTGAGCCGCGGAAACACTGCCCCTGGCCGTAGCATACCGGTACCGGATGATGATGGCGTCCGTAGGATGATGGGGAGGGGGAAGGGATGAACACGTGCGGTGCGGGGGCAACACGTCGAGGTATGCCCGGGTTGCTGGCAACATGGTGTCCACATGTGAGGGTGGCAGCAGTTTTAAGGATGCTAGTTGACATGTAATCGTCCTCCGGTACACTCCAGAGCGAGGACTTGCACGCAGAAGCAGGACGCGGTGTGTGGGTGTGGCAGTCTCGCTCATGGGAGTGCTGGTGGCGACATGCTGCTGTAATGTTGTACCCGCATGAAAGCGGGCCCCTAGCGCCCCGCCCCCCATGTGCCCGCCCGCCCGCTCATCTGTTATCTCACAGGCGGTATGCTGCCGCCCAGCTGCTGTCGCCAGTGCGCGGGCAACCGAACGTGAACACACCCGCAGCGCGGAGGCCTGACAGCGGGGAGGGAGAGGGAGGTGGTGTGGATAAACCCGGGAGAGGGCGGGAGGGAGGCAGGGCGGTACGGCAGGGTAGGGCAGGAGCAGGTCACGCAGCGCGAGGTGGGAGAGACCAAGCTGACTGGGGCTCGCAGGGCCCACGCAGGTCTCCCCTGGCTGGCGTTCATGAGGGCACGAGAGAGCGGGCTCTCATGCGGGGTACCTCGGGGGCAACATGGTGGCAGTGCAGGGGGGCGGGCACCACAGCTGGGCGGGCGGGTTGCAGGTGCGGCTGCAGTCCCCGCCACCCACCACCCACCACCCACCACCCGCACCCGCACACCACTCAACGCCGCCCCCATTCCCAGGGTACCCAGCCCCACCCACCATGCGCCGCCTCCAGGTGTGCCGCTGCCATCAGCGCCACCGCCCCACCCAGGCTGTGACCCAGAACCCACAGCCGCGCACCCCCCTTGTCAACCGCCGCCGATCCGCCACTGCCGCTGCTGCTGTTACTGCTGCTGCCGCCACCACCTCCACCGCCCCCGTCGCCGCCAGCTCCCTCCTTTGGGCTGCTGCTGCCACTACTGTATAGCCGTGTCGCCGGCCCTGCTGCCTTAGTGGCGAGGGATGCGGCTCCTGTGGTCCCTGCAGCAGCCTCCGCAGCAGCCTCCGCAGCAGCAGCAGCGGCCGCTGCGGCGCCCCTCATGGCCTTGCGCACCCGCGCCACCAGCGGCCGCCGGTTGGCCTCGAACACCTGGAGGGTGGGGAGTGGCGGGTGGGGTGGCGGGGGGTTGGGAAGTTCCCCACCCATAGCCGCCTGCCTACCTACCCTACCTGCGGGCGTGACCCCCTCCCCCATCCTGCCTAGCCCCCCCTCCCCTACCCTGTAGAAGCCCGCCGCCACGTTCACCCCCGCCGGCCCGCCTCCCAGGTCCGCTACGTTGAGGGTGCGGATGGAGGCCACGTCTGGGAGGGGTGTGGTGGTGGCGGGGGGACGGGGAGGGAGGAGCAGGTAACACACGGGAATTACCGGTACTACAGTGGGGGAGAGTCAAGTGCAGGTGAGTGAAACGACGCAACAAGTGCAACATGAGGAGGCAGTCAGTCGAAAGGCCCGGGCAACGCGAACCCGGCGCTGCCCCCAGTGGGGCCCCACCCCACCATTGCTTTGTGCCGCCCTGCCGCCGCCTCCTATCCCCATTGCTCAGCCCTAACCTGTAGTCCTCTGTGGCTTGGTATGCATGGTCTTCTACCCCCCCACCCCACCCCACCCCCCGCCCCCCACCCGTACCCGCCAGCCAGTTCTGCGGCGTGTTGGAGCCGCGCACCACCAGCAGCACGGAGCGACCCGCGCGCAGCACCGCCCACACCAGCGAGCGGGGGCCGGACACCGCCCTGGGGAGAGGGCAGGGGGAGAGGGAGGGGAGGGAGGCATTGGAGCAGGGGTGCGGAGGGGTAGGTAGGGGGCCGGGGTGGGAAGGAAAGGGTGAAACCGAGGCAGGGGTGCCTTGGGGGTGGTGGTGGCGGTGGGGGCATACCGGTAGAAGACGCAGCAAGCCCCGCATGAGCCCGTGGGGCTTATCGCCTTTCCTTCCCATGTACCGCCTGTACACCGCAGGAACGAACCACCGCGCCCTACCCCCCACCCGGCCCCCTCCTCTCCTCTCCTCACTCGCACTCGTCGGCTCCCAGGTTGTACATGGAACGACAGAACTGTGTCGCGAAGCGACTGAAGTTCCGACGCGCGGCCGAACCGTCCCGTGGGTCAATCACGTGTTTGACGTACACATCCTTACTAAGCACCGCCGCGATGTAGGCGTTACGGCCGCCGCCACCGCCCACACGCGAGGGGTCCCAGGCTCCGTTGAGAAACACGGGGGGAACTGGGTGAGGGAGGTGGAGCCGAGGGGGGTAAGGGTAGCGGTTAGGGGGGTTTGACGGGACTCTTACGTAGGCAGGAGAGACACCCTATTTGCATGAAACCCCAAGGCGCACCGTCTGCATCGGGGGTTAGGACTGGCAGTGCTTGTAGAGGTAGGATGTCGTGTGGACTTGAGGAACCTTCGGGATGTCTAGAGCCGACGCAGAAGGCAGAGGGCACCAGCAGCAGCAGCAATAGCCAAAGCACTGGACGCTGCAGCTGCCCTTTGGAATGCGCCGTGCTGAAAGCTACGAATCCTAACATAGTAAACGCAGCTGTCCTGAAGGAAGGCTCGAATCTGGGTCCAAAATGCGGGAATACCTACTGCCCCCTTTCCAACCGTCGCTCTCCCGCGGAGTTGCCTGGACGCAGGAAATGGCTGCGGCTAGATGCCTTTGCAAATAAAGTTTTAGGAGTGAAGCTGTGCGCTGCTAGTTGGGCTGTTGCTAAATAAAGGCAGTTGGTCACTGGGGTCGCCACGCCAGCTGGTAGGTGTTCAGTGAAGCCCAAAGACAAAGGACGGTCTTCAAGGGGTTACTGGTATCTGATTGCATATCTCAGTGCCATGGCGTAGCTGGCATTGCTACGTAAGTCTTTTCACACCGTGCAACGCGACTAGACCAGGGTTTGGCAAAGCACTTGGGTTCGCGGTAGTGCGACGCATTTAACCATGCAGAAATACCTAGAGCTGCTCAGACACCTTAGCTTTATGCAAAGGTGTGGCGCGTTCCTATTAGAATCCCCATGTGTTTCCCCGTCGTGCACGCATTGGCATCGGTTGGAAGACCCTTTTCCGAATCGTCGCAAACTCCACCTCAAGGAATATGCTTTACAGGTTGCGACCTATGCAAGCCCAATAACGTCCTGTTTTGCGTCAAATACCAAGCCCAAAACCAAGCACATCTACGTTTCTGCCTTTGCTGGCAACATCCAATACTCCTCATACCTTCCGATACCGTAACCTGTTTTTGGGGTTATTACAGAGTAGGACGAGGCACCTAGACAGCTTTGCAGTTTGCCTTCACCAGCTCCTTTGCTCAAGGCATATTCAGCGCGGGGCCAAGCCCTTCCCACTTTCTAAACTTAGATTGTTTACACCGGCGGCATAGATAGTTCGCTGGCAGTAATTGTTCGACCTTTGCGGGCTAAGGAGCACGCTCTCGACGCAGCCCAGTTATCACTTAGGAGCGGCTGAAGCGCACGCCCTGTAAGCTTAAAAGCCTGCTGCACCGCTTCTTCTGATCAGGCTATCTCAGGTTGGACCATACGCCGGTCCTGCCGGTTATGGCCAGCAGGAGGGATGCCGCATCTGAGGTTCCAGAGGGCTCCGATCGCTCCGCGCTCTTGCAGCAATACCAACAACGATTACGCGACAACGATCTAATGGATGTCGATCTACAACATTTTGACACGCTCCCTTTACCTCAACACGAAGCGAACCATTGGGTGGGCCCTCCACCCGCCTCACTTCGTAGCTTCCACCAGCAACAGCAAACAGTACCCTTAAAGCCACAAAAGCAGATTTCCGGTTCTGCGGCTGGCCCGTCGCACTCGAGTCCTGCTATGACAGGGCCGGACCCCAGCTCAGTAGACTACTGCGCCCACAGGAGCACACCTTTTGGCAACGGCTTCCCTAGCCCTCCCGGCCACAGCTCACCAACCCTAGCTGACCCAGCACACGCCCAGCAAGGCGCTCAGGACGAGGCAGCAGCGCCACTCCTCACAGCAGCGGGCCCCGCCAGCACCATGTCGTATGCCACCGAGGGTGTGTACGGCAGCGAGGATAGCAGGGCCGCCACAGCCGCTCCTTCTGGGCCCCTCTCTGACCTTAACGACGGTGCTGACACGTCATCCCACGAAGAGGAGCTGGGGCCGTTTGCCTCTTCCACTGCTGCCGACGTCATAACAGGATCGGGCACCGACCGAGCATCTCACGGTGAGGAGCAGCAGCAGGGACGGGAGGGGCCCATGGGGTTAGGGCAGGCCGCTGCTGGGGAGGACGCCAGCGCGCTGCTAGGGCGCGAGGCGGCTTCGAAGCGGATGCAGGCGCCAGCCCTGGCAGCTGCCCCACAGCAGCAGCAGCAGCAGCAGGAGGAGGAGGACGTATTGGAAGCCCTGGCGCCCCTGGACGAACCCTCTCTGGAGCCTTGGCAGCAACAGCAGCAGCATCACCACCACCCCCAGCAGCAGCAGCAACAGCAACAGGAGCAGGATCACACAGAGCGGGAGCGGCAGGAGCAGCAGCAACCGCTGCACGGGGCGATGATCGCAGCAGCACCACCAGCATCGGCAGCAGCAACAACGGACTCGGTGCCGCCGGCGTCATCGTCACAGCAGCAGCAGCAGCGGCGCCACATGCGGCACCACGGCGCAGCAGCCGGCACGGGGAATACGGCTTCAGTACGGCATGCGGGTTCCACGACTTCGCTGCAGGGTGAGGAGCCCTGGTCCAGGTCGACAGCAGCAGCAGCAGCAGCAGGCGCCTGCTCGGAAGACAGCGACGTAGAGGAGGACAGTGAGGGGTACGACGGAGGAGCCGGGGGCGGGGGCGGGTGGCTGTGGATTAACAGCGATGACGAGGCACTGTCATGGGAGGGCGTCGCCCCCGCCTCCGCCGCCGCCGCAGACGGCGCCATGTACGACAACGGTAGTGAGCGAGTACGGCAACGGATGCAGCAATCGGACGGGTACGGGGCTGGTCCCTCGGCGGGCCCCTCCACCCGCCCCGCGCATCCCCACACCGGTAGCTTCGAGGGCCTCCCACACGTCCCCTTTGGATGCCAGCGCTTGTACGGCGAGCAGCCCCCGGGCTTCACACGGCGAGCTGCTGCTGCTGCTGCTGCTGCTGCTGCCGGCCCCAGCACCAGCACCGGCGGCTACCCGAGCCCTCCCCCGCTGCTGCCGCCCTCTCCCGGCAGCGCCTCGGGTGCAGGTCCCAGTGCCGCGGGGGCCGGGGGGGCGCGCGACCCGTGGGGCGGCCCCGAGCTGGTGGCTGAGGACCTCTGGAGCGATGACGAAGAGGAGCGGGAGGACACGACGGCCGAGCAGTTCTACGACCCGGGGCAACCCAAGGTGGGTTGGGGGAGGTGAGGGGAGCTGCGCGCGCGTAGGGGGAGATGGAGTAAGCCCGGTGTGTTTCTCATTTGTTTCTCATAATCGACTAGGGCTGCTCTCTGAGAGGACCTCAGCCATATGCTACCACTGAGCTTCCAAGCCTACTAACCCCCCTCCCCCCCCTCCCCCCCCCCCCCACACAGGACATCCAGGGCATCCCCTGGGATCGCCTGCAGTTCAACCGCGCCACCTACCGCGAAACCCGGCTGCGCCAGTACCGCAACTACACCAACGTGCTGCCGGACGACGACGGAGGCAACTACCGGAAGGAGCTGGCGCCCCTGTGTACGGCACCCAGGCGCTGCGGTACGGCAGGGGTGCGCTGCGGAGGAGGAGGAGGGGCAGGCGCTGGTGCCGGCAGCGGCGCAGCAGCAGCACCCGCAGCACCCCCAGCCAGCATGGCCCGCGGCCCGCCGTTCTTCACGTTTGTGCGCAACAGCCGTGCCGTACAGTCCAACATCGTGCACTTCCAGCTGCGCAACCTGGTGTGGGCGGCCAGCAGGAGCGATGTGTATGTCGTACATGACAACTGCGTGAACCACTGGGACCCGGTGGCGCGGGAGGTGACGGAGGTGCTGAACCTGGCCGGCGGCTGGGGCCGAGGGGGCGCGGAGGGAGGGGCAGGCGGAGGCGGAGGGAGGCTGCAGGCGCTGGGGCGTGTGCAGGTGCGCGGGTGGGAGTGTGTGGTGGGTGTGTGATGGTGGTTGTGGAGGGGTGCTGCACGGGGAGCGGGGAAATGAGGAAAAGTAAGGGACGTGGCGTGTGGAAGTTGCCGTGGTTAGCCGGGGCCGGTCTGCCGTCCCTTTCCTTCACTTGCATGGAGGTAACACCTGCATGCCTCGGGCATTGCATCACCATTTTGTCTCAAGCCTTGCTAATACCGTGAAAGCTCCCGCTTTACCTGCCTCCCAACGATGTCTCCTCCGTGTTCCGCTCCCCCTGCCCCTCACATCACCCCCTCCCCCCTGCTCCCCCTCCCTCTCCCCCCAGGTGAGCACCATGTGTGTCTCCGGCGACCTGCTGGCGGCGGGCGGCTTCATGGGGGAGATGGTGGTGCGCAGGCTGGCGCCGGCAGCAGGGGGAGGAGGAGGAGGGGGCCAGGGGCGAGGACGCCAGCGTGGTGCTGCCGCCGCTGTGCCGCATGGGGCCGGGCAAGGAGGAGGAGGCGGTCGGGCTGGCGGTGGCGGGGGGGCGGGAGCGGGGGCGGCGGCGGGGTCGCTGCTGTACTGCGGGAGGATCACTGCCAGGTGGGTGCCGGGGAGCAGGAGAGCAGGGGGCGGCAGTGGATTGGAGGGCGACATTTGTGAAGCTTGGCTGTAAGCCTACTTGACTTGTTGGAGGGCTGGCTGTTGCTCCGCTTACCGGCGCCCTTCCAATGTAACCCTCCCTATTCCCCTACACGGTACACACCTGTTTCACACACACACACCCTTTGCGCACAGCGACAACGGCATTACCAACGGTCTGGAGATTTACTCGGACGCGACCCACGGGACGGTCATCATGGCCGCCAACAACGACGCGCAGCTGCGACTGTTCGCGGCGGCTGCGGGCGAGGGCGCGCTGCGGCAGCTGGCTCACTGGCCCTTCGAGTGGGCGGTCAACTACGCCTCGGTGCGGCCCCATGGGCTGGGTGCGCCCGGGGGCGGGTCGGGGGGCAGCTCGGTGGCTGCGGTGGTGGGCGACGACCCGGCAACCCTTCTGGTTGACCTGCATAACGGTGAGGGGGCGGGGGAAGAGGAGGGTGGGGGGGGGGTGAGGAGGGGGAAGGAGGGGGGAAGGGCGGGGCGAGCGGGCGTGTTCGGCTGGGTAGCGGCGGCTGATAGTGCACCGACACCGACTCTTGCCATTCCATCGTTCCTCCTGCAGGGCGCGTTTTACCGCCGGTACCCCACCCTTCTCACCCATTCTGGTGTCGCCCCGCCCTTGCATGCCCTCCCCGTCGATGTTTCCCTGATATCCCATGCTAACTCCTTCCTCGCTACCCCCAAACCCGCCCTCCCCCCGCCCCCCCGCCCTGCAGGCGCCACCATCGCCCGGCTGCAGGGCCACCGCGACTTCTCCTTCGCCGCCGCCTGGCACCCGGGCGGCACCCTGCTGGCCACCGGCAACCAGGACACCACGGCGCTGGTGTGGGACGTGCGGCGGACCGATGTGCCGCTCACCAGGCTGGCGGGCAGGTGGGAGGAGGGGGGGTAGGTGGGGTGGGGTTGTTGATGCGGCGTGAGGAGCGGGAGGATGGAGGCAGGAGGATGCTGACGGCAAGGTGTTGGGGCCCTGCGGGAATTGTGCGGCACACGCGCGCCACACGATAGTTTAGGTTTCGGGTTTGCTGTTGCTGCTTTTGCACAGCCGCATCCGCTAAGGCTGGGCTTGGGGTCGTCCCTTGGGGCACGTAGTGTCCTGCCGCAGGCGTCACATGCCGTAACACTGTCCTCCTCCGTCTCCTCCGTCTTCTCCATCCTCCTTACCACCCCGCCCGCCCCGGTTTGCCCCACGCAGGATGGGCGCCATCCGCTCGCTGCGCTTCTCGCCGGACGGCCGCTTCCTGGCCATGAGTGAGCCCGCGGACTTCGTACACTTGTACGACGTGGCAGCCGGCTTCCAGCACTGCCAGGTGAGGGGGCGTGTTAGGGGGCGTGTTGGGGGCCAGAGGGGGGCCCGCCTACGCTGCTCAGTAGCGACGTTAAAAGGTACAAGTAGGGAGGTAGCGCAGGGGGAGCCGTCACGGACTGCTGCTGACCCAGCGGGAGACCCAGCGTAAGTATGCAGCTTTACACCCCCCGCAACGCCTAACTGCGCATTTTGACGGGGGGGTTCAATTGCTGCTGCCGTTGCCGCCGTTGCTGCCTGCTGACTGCGCGCTTTCCGCAACGTTGCTGTCCCTGCTGCTGCTGGTCGCATGCTTCAGGAGCACGACTTCTTCGGGGAGATCGCGGGCGTCTCCTTCACACCCGACTCCTCATCGCTCTTTGTGGGCGTGTCCGACCTGACCTACGCCTCGCTCATGCAGCTGGACCGGCAGCGCTGCGACTGGGGCTAACGGGGGGGGGCGTTGGGGGCAGGCGCAGGCGGGAGGGGGTAAAAATAGACCAAACCATAGGGTCGGGAGCAGACAGGCGAAGGTAGGCAGGCATTCTGCGGGGGGCACAAGAAAGCAGGCCGCGGACAGCATGCATGCAGTTGTCAACAATCGTTTGGTGTTCACTACCACATAAGGAAATCGTTTTGCGGAAGAGCAGTAGGAATGACAGGCACTGGTGTTGGTGCTATCTAGGGAAGGAGAAGACATGAGCAAAAGCAAGCAAGCGCGGTTGGGAGTGCTGTGAAAGGCGCTGCACCGGCGGCAATCAGCAGTAGTAAAGTCGTAGCGGTGATAAGCATGTTGGCAGCAGCAGCAGTTGCGGCATGGGGGCATGATACATGAGGCGATGAGAGCGAGTGCGTGCGTGGGCGAGATGACGCGGTTACAACGTTGCTGGGAAGCCTAGGAGCACCCTTAAAGAAGTTTTATGTTGTACGGGGTTGCACCGCAGGTGTGTTGCGGGCTCCGTTGGGTTAGGTGCTTTGCCACCAAGGGTCCTGGTAGATGTTTGCAGGGGAGTTATGGTCGCAGGCGGTGCAGGAGGCCAAGCAGGCGGTGGGGCCGGGGAGGCAAAGTCCGATGTGATGCCACAAACAGTGCTGTTGGCAGCAATCGAATGCTGCTGGGTTGGCGTTTCTGCCGCGCCCTTGTACTTTTCACACGACGTCTGTTAGCATACACAATGCGACATTGCATGTTATTGCTTTGTGGAAGAGGTGTGGGGAGGTGCGGATTGCTTCCCCGCGAGGTTAGGACACCAAGTGTGTAAAGAAAACCGGCTGCGAGTCGGTGTGTTAAGAAAACTGGCCGCGAGTAGGAACGTACGAGTCGGTGTGTGTGCGCCTAAGAAAACTGGCCGCGAGTAGGAACGTACGAGTCGGTGTGTGTGCGCCTAAGAAAACTGGCCGCGAGTAGGAACGTACGAGTCGGTGTGTGTGCGCCATGGGGCATGTGTGCGTGACGTGATGCTCTGTCTGATGTGGACGAGCGTACGCAGTGTAGAACGCGCACGTGAGCCATGGCGCCAACTGCATGTAGACCAACATAGGGCATGGTACCAGCATCTGCCGGGAGTTGTTCGTTTCTAGTGGCGGTAGTACGGGCAACGTTGAAACAAAGACGTGGTCCAACGGGACCAACCGTTCCGCGTAGTAGTGGCCCCAGAACGTTGCGTCGCAATTTTTTGTGATGTTGGGTGTATCCGTGTTGTAATTAGAGCCGGAAGCTGTGGTCGCGTGTTCCAACTGTGAAGCATTACAGTCGCCAGCCTGCATACATGTCTCCTGGCTATACATGAGTGCAACCTCCCTTTTGTCGACGCACGTTTGTTGACAGGAGCCTATGTGATTGAGTATATGGTATGCAACTTTGCAAAGCGCTGAAATAGCGTACAACGTCGAATAGGTTGGCTGCGTGCAAACCTACCTTCACCTGCAGTGCCACTCACCAAATCTCCATGTGCTAAGACCGGCGCCAAGCACTCCATGGGCCAAAGCTTCAAAAATACCCCGGCACAATTGTCTGGATAGCCCATGGCCAACGCGACACGGGCAGTACAGATACCCAGCTAACAACTAGAACCTCCAGCAAACCCAGATCGGCTACAGTCCCACCACACGCACTACATATGTATACGGCACACAATACTAAGGGTGAAGGAAGCGGTACAGACGGCATACAACACTGGCATCGCGGTCCTGGTTATAACACCAGGTAGCTACTCCCACTCCATCCCATCCCTCATTAGGTCCCTAATCATTACGGCTGCATTGGAGCACTACAGAATACCACAGCTTTGCTAGTCAGGGACGTCCCGTCCTGCTGCGTCCCGACAGCAGCTCCTCAGTGCTCCATGCCAACGCTGCCCTGCTGCAAGAAACCCATGCAAAGAGAGCTACGCCCCACTGGGCCACCACCACTGAAACGAGGGAGGGGCGGCGTCCGGATGTCCGCGGGCCGCACGTGTGGACGCCAGCAAATGGGGCCGCACGTGGCCACAGCCCAGCCGACTCCACCACGCTAGCAGCAGCTGCTGGACTTGCGTGCGTCGCCCTCGCCGGGCTTCACCGTCTGCGGACCTGCGTTCCCTGCCCCGTAGCCAACCTTGATGCCGTAAGACTGCAAACAGCAGGAAAGGAATGCAAAGGAGGGGAGGGACAGGATGCTTAAAGCATAAGTACCAAACTGGAGGCAGTTTTTATTTTTTCGGCATCCTGGACAGGCTTCCGTCACCCTAAACCATCAGCGCCCTTCAGAGCCCCAAACAACAGCTCACACATGTTGGCTTCGGTTGCGGAGCCCATTCAGGCCTACCTCGTGCCGGACAAGCATCCAAACTGGCAGCCATACTCCACGACACGCCCAACCAAAATACCACTACTAGTAAGGCTGTATCTAAATGCGGTGACCTATTTGGACCCTAGGACCCTGCGGGACAAATTCCGCCACCAAATGCCCTCTGCTCATGCAGCAGCGCCTGCCCTGCCCCACCCGACACCTAGCCCTACCTCGTTGGAAACGTCGAACACGCCGTCCTGGATCTTCTTGTAGATCTCCTTCGCAGTGTTGATGAAGGCCTGCGCCGCAATTCCGTACCACGCGTTAGGGATGGGGTAGGTGTTAGGCGAAGAATCGGCAAGCTGTACCCGATATGCACGACAGACAGACAGGTTCTCTCCCAGTTGTCAAGGCTAGGACATAATGGGACTGCTTTGCAGCATTGCGGCCTGGTACCACTCGTATGCTTGCTACACTACTGCCAGCCCCCGCAGCTGGCTATCAAGGGCTCCTATACATATCCTCGGTTGCCGTCATGGCCCCGGTGGTACCCGGCCCGACCCCTCGCGCCGGCCTCCCCTCCCCTAGTGCTCCATGCCAACTCCTTCGTGCGACCCGGCCAGACATCGCATGCAGGCCCGCCAGTTCCTGACATTCTTCTAGTACAGGCCCGTACCCGTAGACCCTGTCCCTTGACCCGTAGACCCTCCATGCTACATGCTACCCGCTTTCTACGTATCCAGCTAGCACCGCTTGCTTTCGGGCCCCAGGGCCACGTGCCCGGACCTCACCTCTTCGACGTTGTGCGCCGTCCGTGCGGACGTCTCCAAGAAGATTAGCCCGTGCTCCTTCGCAAACTGCTCGCCCTCCTCCGTAGTTACGGCACGCCGGTGCTGCATGTACGAAACAAGGTGTTTACCCTTATGCGTTCAGGGGAAACAACCTTGTCTTTGGCCCCCTGTGTTTGACCTCACCGTCAAGTCACACTTGTTGCCGATGAGCATGATCGTCATGTTGGGGTTCGCGTGTTGCCGCGCGTCTTCAAGCCAGCTTGCCAGGTGGTTAAATGTCTCGCGTCTGTCAAACAAGAGTACTGAATATGAGGGTGCTCAGCTGGAAGTGGAACAGACGAGAGAGTTGCCTACCGTGTAATGTCATAGACAAGGAGCGCGCCAGCTGCTCCTCGGTAGTACGAACGCGTGATCGACCGGAAGGACTCTTGCCCCGCCTGTGTACGCGCAACGAGCATGAGCGCTTGTCCGAGTGTTGCGCTGTGTAAATCGCTCTCACCGTGTCCCATATTTGCAGCTTAATCTGTTTCCCGTCAATGTTAATCATCCTAGCTCCAAACTCCACGCCAATAGTCAGATCGTGCACCGGCTGGAAGCGCTTGTCCGTGAACTGCAGTAGGAGGCATGACTTGCCGACGCCTGTGACAGCCAAGCCCGCGGAGTCAGCAAGTGACTCTGTAGCTCTACAGCAAGGACAGATCGTACCTGTATCCCCGATAATGATGTACTTAAACAGATACCTGTAGGAAGGGTCCCCAAGGGTGTCAGAAGTGGACACGCCTTGGAGGCCGAGAACCTCAGAGACTTACGCATAAGACATCCTGTCCCTCTATAGCCTAGCCTCAGATAGAACGAGCTGGTTGCAGGTAAGAGACCTATGGAGGTTGGGGCCAAAATGGAACTATGGACGGTGCGATCGACCAAAACGCTTGTAAGTTCAGCAACACGTATGTTACAATCTGTAAGTTTAGATACTCCTTTGTAACTTTGAGTAAACCCCTATGTGGACGCCCGCTGGAATTAATCGAATTTTGTGCCGTGCATTTGAGCGAAGGTGCACCCCCATCCGCCAGCGCAACCGTCTGTCTCGGCACCAGGCAAATGGCTACATAAGTTTGTAATATACCATGTACCATGCCTTGGAGCTAAACCTTCGTAGTGGGCTAGGCCAAGAGTGCTTGAGGGTTCCTCCGTGGGTCCTCGATAACGTTGGTGCCCATCGGACAGCAAGCCCTTTCAATCTAATACCTTAAATAATCAGTGAAGTAGGAGGGAAAACGCGTGTCAGGCCCTTTCGGCCGTGGGCCCGCTGGGTCAGTCGTGCCCACCAGCCCTCCTTGATACTGGTACTGACTGCAACGGAGGCCCTTCACCCTCAATAGACAAACGTTAATATAATCAAATGCCGGTTGGCCTGTGTGAGTCCTACTCACAACCTGAGGGCCTTCAACCGTACCCGGGGAAATGCCCTGCTGTCCCCATGGGCACGTATCAAAAAGGGTCCATGTACACCCAACAGCTATTTGCACAACCGTAAGCGCATGTGGCCTAACTAGGGACCAAGGGGCAACCCATCAACGACACTCAAGATACGCTGAAAGCGCCGTACTGCTGTCTCCATACGGCACCCTTGATAACTGCATCGCGCAACGTAATCAATCAGACCCCACCACTGCCACTCGCCCTTACAACTTCCAAAGCGCAAGTAACCGTAACTACATCCGCCAAGCCTTCCCTTACAGCCTCCCTAACCTTCCATGCCCCCCTGCGCACTGTTACCTCTGACGCTTGGTCCCCGCCCCCGTCCCCGCCGCCGTTGCTGCCGTCAGCTGCTGCTCCAGCAACGCCGCCCGCACCCTCTGCTCCGCCGCCGCCTCCACCGCGCGGTCCGCCCGCTCCCGCTCCCGGCTCAGCGCCTCCTCCAGCCGCCCGCGTTCCCGCTCCGCCACCTCCGCCCGCACCTCCGCCAGCATCCGCCCCCGCCGCTCAGCATCCAGCTCCGCAGCGTGCTGCCGCCGCAGCTCCAACTCCAACTGCGTAACCGTCGCCGAGCCCGTAGACGCCGTACGAGCCGCCTCGGCTTCCCTCCTGAGCTGCTCCCTGACGGCCCCCAGCAACTGAGCTGCCTCTGATGGGCCCACCCCCTCCAGCGGTGTTCGCGGGGCAGCTGCAGCCTCGCCCCGCGCATCCCCATTGCCGTCGCCGCCATCCGATGTGTGCTCCTGCTCGCGGCGACGCTTCTCGGTCCTCGCCGCTGGAGACTCATCGCCGGTATCATCGGCGCTATCGCCGGCTGCAGCAGCTCCAGGCTTCGTAGCAGCCGGCTCCGCCGCCGCAGCTGATGTCAGGGGACTGACGGCCCCGGCGGCTCCGCCTTGCTGGTTGCTGCGTCCGCCGCTGGCGGCGAGCTCGGGTACGGGAATGGTGTGCATTCCGGCGGCACCGAGGCCTTGCTGTCGGGTTATCACCGCCGCCGTCACTGCCGACATGGGCGGAGCGTCAGCCGGGTGCAGTCTCCGCGGGTGCTTCCGTACTCGGGGGCCCTTGGCAGCTGCTGGTGGTGAGCTGCCGCCGCCGCCCAATCCGCCGCTGCTGCCAGCCGCCCCCGCTGGGACAGCTGTCGTCGAAGGCCCAGCTCTGCCCCCGCCGGCAGTCCCCGCCGGCGCCGCAACCTGCTCGGACTTCACCGCCGCACCGTCATCCTCACTCGGAGGTTGTGCCGGCGCCGCCGCTTCAGCTCCCGGCTGCGACCTGTTTCTCGCCACGCCAGCAAGCCGAGGCCACTTCGCAATAGGCATCTGCTCCGGCTCCGGCTCCGGTTCCTGTGTAACATTTGGGAGCACCTGTGCCGGCGAGCGCGACGGCGTGGGTGGCGTCATCGTCCACCTCGCCACCGCCCGCTGCCGTCGCTGCTGCTGCTGCTGCCCCCCAGAGGCACCCGCAGCGGTTCGCCGCCCCTTAACAGTCCGCTCCGCTGGCTCAGGAGGACTCGGCTGGGCCGCCGCCGCTGCGGCGCCGGCGGCTGGCATTGCTGACGGCTGCCGGCTCCGCCGTTCCTGTGCCTGCGGTGGCGGGGGATCCGCGAGTGGGGACGCCTGCGCCTCCGCATCACCTGACGCCGTCGCCGTCAGCGACGGCAGCTCTAACCGCAGCGGCGGCACCGCTGCCTCGGTCCCATGCAGCGACGGGAACGTCACGCGCCCCGGTTGCCGCGGGTCCGGCTCCAGCCCCCTTGCGCGCTTCTCAACACGTTCGGTGGCCGGGTGGTACCTGCCGCCGGCGCGCGCCTGCACGTACGACACCACCTCACGTGCAACGGCCAAGTTGCTGTTCGCGACGTCCAGGTACGACACAGCGGTGTGCTTGGGGTGGCCCTTCCGGCCGCGGCCGCAAAACCAAACGCCTGTTTGAGTGACCAGCGTGCAGTGAAGCGCGGCGCATGCGGCGTGGCAGCGCTGGCTGCAGTTGTATTCGAAGGAGACTGGGGAGGCGGAGCAGCAGCGCAGCAGGGAGGCATGGCTGCCCGGCGCCTCGCAGTAATAGCACAGGTGTGTGGCGAGCGGCCGGGTGGTCGCAGCAGGGGCCTTGGGTGTGCTGGGCCGCCTTGCACGGAGGTTCCGCAGCTCTGGCTGCTGCTCCTCTTCGGGGTTGACGCTGTCGCCGTCGGCGGCTCGATCCTGATCGCTGCTGAGGTGCTCCTGGCTGCCGCCGTTCGCGTTGGCAAGGTTACCGTGGCCCTCGTCATCGTCCCCAGGTCCCTCCTCCTCCCCTTCGCCAGTGGCTTCACGGTCGCTTCCGTAACCTTGATCACGGTCACTTCCGGCATCTACCTCGCTGCCATCCTCAGCATCTGGGTCGCGATCATCGCTTGACGCGCCCGCGTTATCTACGGCTTCCTCACGCACAGCGGCCCCGGCCAGCTCCTGCCGCTGGCATGGCGGCGACGCGGGTGCTCCCAGGATACCTGGCTGGCCCTCTACCGGCTCAGACTTAGGCATCACACGCCTCCCCACCATCTTCGCTCTTATTGAGGCGAAGTTTCTGCAGAGCGAGTGGAGGCGGCTAGGGGCGGTTGCCGCTTGGGGTTCTGGCTGTAGCGGAGGCTTGGCCTACCTGTGCATGCATGCGGCGTTTCGGAAGCAAGGGCGACCACGCATATGACGCAACCAGGCCCGCATCTAGGTATGAAGCCAGAGAAACGCTGAGAGGAATTGGTTGGCTACGAGCATGGCAAGTTGGTTTCCAACGTCTGCTACAATGAACATGTTATCTTTCGGTTGCAGGGCCGCGTGGTGTGTATTTATGTCGGTAACACTAATGTGTGCATGCGGCGTCCCAAAGCCGCAGAACAACTGCTGACGGATGTTGGCCCTTCGGATGTCTACCGTCTCATCAGCCTTAACGCCCAGCACAGTATAAAACTTAGACAGAGACAAAAGGATGATAGTGGTAAATACCCCACCTTGATCCCGAATGCCCAGTAGCTCCGCTCAGGACAGTTTGCTCGCCACAATCATCGTCTTGCAGGAGTAAAGGTTAAATTTGTGGGCGAGGGCTGCATACAGAACAGTTATGCAAGGAAGATGGGGATTAGCACATCGCGCTTGCTCGAGGCAAGGTTCGCAGCGATCCCGGGCAGGCTCCGTCCGTACTGACGCGCATACTCGTGCGTAACGGACGAGGCAACAGCTGCCTAGCCGCCCAAAAGCCCAGTTATAACAACACACTCGGGCATTTATGTACGGCTTGCCCTAATAGCTTATCCTGCTCCGTATGGCATAGCATTTAACCCACACGGCTAGTTCCACGACCGGTCGCGTGTGCGCGGCATGACGAATCGGGTTCTTGACATTACAACATAATTTGCATTGGCCGGGTAGATCAGTTTCCGAAGCAAGAGGTCATCGGGGTTGGCTTTTGCATGGACAAAAATTGTATGCACCTTGTATTTCGCACTGCACGCAAACGCCTGTGCCACATCGGCTATACGGATAGCGATGAGGATCAGCACGGGTTCTGCGTGACCAATGCCGTTGCTGGCTTTACGGGCAGCAGCGCTTCAAGAGAAACCTTACTGACCACAATAGTAGCGCCACGTGCATACCAGAGGCATGCTTCTTGTATGATGTAGCAAGGGAGCAGACAATGGGTGTGCCGGCATTGTGAAAACCCCTCGATGATCGGGCGCGCGAGGTTAGCTATGGATGGCCGGGGTGGTTGGCTGGTGCCGAACGAGACAGTCAGCCACGACCTGCCCCGCTTTTGTTTATCACCGTCCGCAAGACGCTGCGATGCAATCGCAGGGGTAATTACAAGAGTGCGCTGATGTCGTGATGTGTAATGCGCTATTCGTGTAACAGGCTTCAATACGCTACTGTGCAACATGCTTTTAAAGCAGAAGGATACTGGTTGGTGCAGGATCTGAACATCTCTTCACGCAGTTATGGAACTGGTTTAAACCGCGCTGGCTCCGGAGCCGTGCCGTGCGCTACCTGATGTGCCTTACCTTCTTGTCTCGGACTCCCGTCAACTTCAACCTACTAGCTCTGTGCTTCTGTATACTTGCAGACCATAAACATGTGGTACTACTTGTTCCTCGCCCTGTTTGTACCGGGCTTCGTGACATACTTCGTGCAGCACATCATCTGCTCTGTGTTCTATAAGACCCAAAACCTCAAGAAGCGCTACAATGCAGACTGGGCGCTGGTGACAGGCGCCAGCTCGGGTAAGCGCGGCACACGAAATGTTGGCGTTACTTTCCTGGTCCACTGGGGCTTGGATCTCCATAGTTCGGCTTGTGTTGGTTCCGGAAGTTGTTGATGCGCAGTGTAGCCCTCCAATTGTTGATGGCGCCGTCGAATAAGGGCCCGCGCATTCGGAAACTCGTCGTTCAGTATGAGCAACAATTATTAAACGTTGGTATATGTTCAAATTTATGTTACGTCTTCCCTTTCGGGGCTTCCTGTGTTGCGGACAGGCATCGGCAAGTCGATCGCTACTCGGTTGGCGCGACAAGGCCTGAACATCGTGCTTGTGGCCCTTGGGGACGACCTTCTCGACAATACCTTTGAGGAGCTTAAGGCTGCTTATCCTAAAAACCAGTTCCGCAAGGTGAATTGCAGGTTCAGCATGGGGTTTAGGTCGTCCCGACCATTACCTTCGGGTTCCACGCATGCATGTGCCCCTTCGGGCTACAACTTTCATTTCGCCAGAGTCACGGTGGAGTTGCCTGCTTCACTTCGTTGAGGTCAGCTTCCTTGGGGTCAGCTTCCTTAACGCGCCCACGTGTCTTACCCTACAGGTCGCTGCCGACTTGGGCGGCTCGGACTACCTTGCTCCCATTGTGGACGCAACTCGCGACATTAAGGTCCAGATTGTGTTCAACAATGCGGGTTACATGCTGACTGGCTTCTTCCACACGCGGTGGGTTGGAGGAGGGGTCCCCGGGATACTTGCTAGTCCCACCGTATTGGGTGTGTCTGCCTAGAAGCGGAGTGCAGTGATGATGCAACCCAGATCATGCCAGTTCTGCTACTGAGATATGTATTGATGTGAACACTGGACGCACTACCTGAGCACTATCTGGCGCCAGCACGGGGCACGGTGCGTGAGGGGGGGTTTGAAGCTGTACGCAAGCATGCCTGCATTCGCCCACGCTGCATGACGAAAGCCCTGTGATGTTTACAACATATACGCTATTCCTAGCGGCCTCCCTCTAGAAGGGTGGACCGGAGCGGACAGCTACTTGCACTGAGGGCTTGCACTGTCGGCCGTATCCTCTCATAGGCATGGCGCCTCCAGCTGTGGCAATTCGCAGCTTGTCACGCGTGTGACATGTTTCTGGTGACAGGTGTTACACGCCTGTGAGGCCCTAACCCTCTTTTAGAACGGGTTTCCTAAATGCCGCGAACCTTGCCTTCCGCTGCCTTTTGCTGCCCTCAGGCCTCTTGACGCGCTGATGAAGAACATCAACTGCAATGCGGTCAGCGCCGTACAGATCACACACCACTTTGTGCGGGAAATGGTAAGCCGGTTGGGCTGGTGTCTGGGACTTGGGGATTCCAACTGGCAGCAGCTTGATAAGGCGTTATCATTACCTCCCCTTTGATAGCCCTGCAGGAGGGGCTCACTTGCTAGCCCAACCACCGCCTCCAACCATGCACCCAAACGTACCCTCCACCCACTCTTACATGCAACCTCCGCCCCCGCCCCTGCCCCTCCGCAGATCTCCTCGGGTCTGCGCGGCTGCGTGGTGTTCACGAGCTCTGCGGCTGCCGCCATGCCCTCGCCCTTCTCGGTGCAGTACGCCGCCACGAAGAGCTTCCTCTCGGTGTTCGGGGCGTCCCTGGCGCCCGAGGTGCGCCCGCACGGCATCGACGTCCTGGTCTTCCACCCCTCGCCGGTGGCCTCCAGGTGAGAGGAGGAGGGGCGGGTACGGGGCCTCGCGCGGCCGTAAGAGGGGTTGACTTGGGTTAGGAGCTATGGCTAGGAGCTATGGCGCAAGTGAGGGAGGTGCGCTACGGCGCCGGGAATTCGTGTGTTGTGCTGTTGCCGACTTCTCCCACCCCGGACGCTTGTGCCTTTCCCCTTTCCCCTGCCCTTCTGACTTCTTCTCCATATCTTTCCCCTGCCCTCCAACGCATGGTTGTCCTCCTTCCCGCCCCCCTCAGGTTCTACGACAAGGCGCACAAGCTGGACGCACTGGACTTCTTCAAGCGGTTCGCGGTGCACCCGGACGCGCTGCCCGACACGGTGTTTGCCTCAGTGGGGCGCACCGTGTGGCGCGACGTGGGGCCCACCGCGCTGGCGTTCAGGATGGTGACCAAGGTGAGTCGGGGGGGCGGGGGGAGCCTGGGAGGAGGGGGAAGAGGAAACGAATAGCTGACTAGGGAGGTCAAAGACCATACCGAACCACAGGAAACCACAGGTTGGGGCAAGACCATGGGGATAGGAGCGATAGGGTGCCACAAAACAAGTATTGATTAGCGTTCCCTACCGATACCGAGTCCGGGGTGGCCACGCAACGGGGAAGCCTGGGAGGAGGGTGTGTAGTTTAACAGAAACAAGAGCAAGCAGTTGGGATAGGTGTGTGGAGCCGTGTGACGGAAGGGCTGTACACCTGTTGGGAGTGTGTATGAGGTTGTAAGTAGGACTAGGCCACATGGGTAAGCGGCCCTAAGCGCAGACCGGACGCGTTGGCTCTGTGTGTGGGTGGCGCTACTGCTTTGCACACCGTGCCATGAAGTTCCTTGGACACAGCGGACGGCGTGTGTTCGCTCTGGTGTTCTATCCTGTCTGGGCGGTCGCCACCGTATGCATTCCGGTTGTCAAAGTTCAGAATAACTGTATTATGGTATGAGTGAATACCGTACCCAGACTTAACCGCTCCATTCCCCTGTTCTGCCCTGTTCCCCTTGCTCCCTCCCAGATTGCCGACTACAACTTCCTGGCCACCGTGATTGCCCTCTTCGGCCGCTACATGCCCGACTTCAAGCGTGCCCAGGCGGATGGGGCCGCGCCGTCCGCCGCCGCCGGTGCCAAGAAGGCGCACTAGCACGGCCAGCAGGCGTGAGGCACCACTATTGATGTTGAGTTGAGCTGCGTTGGGTTTGGGCCTTGTACAGGTCTCCTGACCTATTGCTCGCTGTTATGTTAATGATTGCTAAGGAATCTAGTGATGGCTCTTGGGCCACGATTACATGGCTGTGTAGTGCAGGTGAATGGTTGCAGGGCGTTTCCGCATTGCTGGATTGCCGTGGGGGTTGCTGTGGCTGCGTGGTCAAGGGCATCTAACCACGCAGCTGTTGATCTTTTGGCATGCAGGTCGGAAGCTGGGTAGGCGCGTTGTGTTGCCTTCCCTGAAAAGGTGGTGTTTCTGAGAAGTGAGAACTTTCTGTGACAATTGTATGCTTTATGAAGGGCATTTGCGGGGCCTGGGCGAGGGTCAGCAAAGTGAAACACATGTCTGCGGGTGTCTTACATGGCTAGGGATGAAGGGTGTCCACGATAAGCTGGGCATCCGAGGGGCAGACCCGCCAATGATCTATGCTATTGAAGCAACATTGTCATGGGCGGTAACCCAAAACACATCGTCGCGGCATGAACACTGCGACACCTGAAGACAGTTCCTAATATGTTGAAATGGCATAGCTAAGCATCATGAGTAGTAATGCACAGCTTTGAGAACCACATACCACACTACACATGCATCCTATCCACAAATAACGCGTCTCTAAGCTAGGGCAAGTGCGCCGTAGAAACCCAGAACATCAGGCAATGAGCTCCGTCTTCTTCCCCGTCTTCGAGATCTTTTCAAGCACGTCTTGTGGGCTGACGTCGCCCTTGACGACGACCTTCTGCTCCTCTAGACTAACATCAAAGCTCTGAACGCCCTCCATCTTCCCGAGTACTCTCTTGACAGCTGCCACGCATCCCTGGCACATCATCTCGACCTTTAGCACTACCTCAGTCATATTGGCAATGCTTGCTGGAGAAACGAAGCTATTGATTCGGCGTAAGAAAGCGCGTGTCCCGGTTATACACCTGCAGAATATTTACAAGCCTAGATATATATTATAAGTGTATACTGCGTTATGGATTAACAAAGCTTGCAAGCAGCCTCTTTTATTGAAAAAAGAAACAGACTTATGTCATATCATCTGGTCGCTGAAACGATTCGTCGGCGATCATCTCTTAAGAATTCCTTCTATACTGGTGTAATATTAAGCATCACTTCCTAAAAAGAATATGGCCTTCTTCCTGGCCTTTAAGCTAGCCAGTAACTATGGACGACGACATGAGGATTAGCCGTTAACCTCCACAGACTTCTTTGCTTTTTTTGCCGCTATCCTTATCATAACACAATGCCGCTTCTTCGGCGCCGCAACTGGCGTTGGACGTGTCTGGCCTTTATCGCAACGTGTTTCGCTTATGCTGGAATCATACTCTGGGCCCGGTCGGACTTCTTGGAACAACATTACTACGCTAAACAGCGTCTTTGGGCACAGTTCTTGGCAACATGTGACTGCGACGGCCAGGCCTGTAAGTGCAAATGACAGATCAAACCCATTTGCCAAAAGTTGGGTACTGTGTGTTTTCAATTACACTACGTCTATCTCTTTGATTAGGCTGCGCGTACCCGATATTTATGGTCCGATGTATATGGGGCGCCAGATGACTACGTTTCACAGCAAAGGTGGCTACGCAGGCACGACTCAGAATCAATAGGGACAACAACCCTTTCCCTTCTCTTCCCCCTCGTCTACACAACGTTTCACCCACGTCACGTCACAGGCCCCGAGTCCTTCGACCTCACCATGATGCATCCGCGCCTCTACTCCCGACTGCTGGCAGCCGCGGAAAAGACTGCTGCCACCGCTGCTGATGCGAGCCGTTCCGGAACGCCTGCAGTACGGCAGCAGTCCGGTTTTGAGCCCGTACAGCAGTACCTGATCTGGCAGCCGTACAAGGTGACGGCGGTGTACCGGGCGAGGCTGCGGATGTACGTGCATATGGGTCTGGTACTGCCCAGAAGGTAAGAACTAAGGCGGGTTTCGTGTTATGTGGTGAGGAAGAATGCGGGAGGGGGTGGGGTGGGGCGCATGGGCGCAAGTGGATGGGCACCTCAGGGAGCTAGGCGGGGTCAGCGCGGCCGAACATGGAATACGGGCGGTCGGGAGGGCGAGGAAACGGCAGGGTTGTCCTTGAAGGCATCCTCCTCCACCGTTTGTGGCCCTTTTGTTTGCCAGTACCGGTACTCCCGGCATGTCCCCTCCTGTCGGCCCACACCTCCCCACCCCCGTCCCCTGTTCCGAGTAACCCCATACACATTACCCACGCCCCCACCCCCACCTCCTACCGCCAGTTTCTTCCTTCCCACCCACCTCCCCGCCCTCCCCTCCCCGCCCCTCCCCCAGCCTGGCGCTGCTGCACTCCTGGTGGTTCTCCAGCAGCGAGGACCTGGCGCTGGCACTGCAGCACCTGGCGCAGGGTGGGGGCGGGGGGTGGGGTGGGGGTAGGGGGGAGGAACATGAGGGTGGGGGACGGACATGAGGAGGGACGTGAGGGTGAGGGCCTAGCACGAGTGGATTGGAGGGTGGGCGCCTGAGCAGCACGGGTGCGGTTAACGTGCCGGTGAATGGTGCTCTCCTGGCCGTGACGTCTTAAGCCTGAAATTCCTGAAATCACTGAAATTCCCACCCACCCCGCCCCCGCCCCCTCCCCCTCTCCTGCAGGCGTGCCGCTGGCGCTGGACCCCAGCAGCCGGGAGGCGCTGCGTGTGGAGGTGCGGGGGGGGGGCTGGAGGGACTGGGGAGGGCGCCTGGGAGTTCAAGACAGGGGGAAAGGGGGGAGTGAAACAGAGTGGAGGGAGAAGGAGCACCTGGCGTGCAACATGACGGCATGTCTGTTGTTGGCGGCTTTACATCGTGCTTCGTCACATCGAACAAGCAACTCATGTCTTACACTGCTACGATGCACCCTTCCTCCTACAACAACCTTCTAAGGCCGGCTCCCTCCCCTCCCGCCCCTGCTATCCTCGCTGCCTCCAGCCGGATGCCGTCATCGAGTGCACGCTGGAGGCCGAGGAGGATGAGGGGAAGGGCGAGAAGGAGCTAGCACGCAGCGGTGGCACTACCGGTAAAAGCGGCGATGACAGCAGCGGTACCGCCGGGGTGGGAGAACGGGAGGAGCCGCAGGAGACGGGGGAGCAGGGGGCGCCCACCGCAGGGAAGAACAACAGCAGCACCAGTAGCAGCAGCAGCAGCGGCGGTGAGGGTGGCGGTGGCGGTGGCAAGCGGCAACGGCGGCGCCGCGGGTCAGATGAGGCGCGGCCCTTCCGCTGCGTGCTGCTGGAAGCTGCGGGCAGGGAGCCGCTGCTGCGCATACCGCCGCCGCCGGGGCAGCCGCAACCCGCACTGCCGCCGCCGCAGCAGAAGCCGCAAGGCAGGCCCGACGGCTCGGGACACAGTGCGTCGCCTCCGCAGCAGCAGCAGGAGGAGGAGGGTCGTACGGCAGGAGGAAAGGGTGCGGCGGCGGCTCGTGGAGACGAGAGCGGCGGCGGCGCTGTTGGTGGCGTCGCAGCGGCGGAGGCTGACGCTGGAACCGCTGCGGGCACGTGTGGCATGGGTCCGGGGTCGGATTTGGGCAGCTGTCCCGCGGGGATGGATGGCGCCGGAAGGGCAGCAGCTGGGTCTGAGGAGGAGGGAGGCATGAGGGAGGGCGACGTGGGGGATGGTGGGGGAGGTTCCACAGCTGGAGCTGCTGCTGCTGCTGCTCAGGATACCTCAGATGCCGGCAGCGGCAATGGCGGTGCCGGAAGTAATGGCAGCGGCAGTGGAGGTAGCGGCGGGCGAGCTGGTGGTGGTGGTGGTGGTGGTGGCGGTGGCGGGTTCGTATGCCACAACGTCATCATGATCCGGCCGCCCAGGAGGTCCGAGGTGGGACCTGGGGCCCGTGGTTGGGGGGGGGGGAGTGGGGCAGGTGGTGCGGGTTCACCCAGGGTTGGCCTCCTCCTCGGGGTGCAGCGGTGGAGCTCTCTGGGCTACAGCTAGGCCACAGATCCTTGGACAGCTCCCTTGTATGCGGCGTCTGGCTGCACCGGGGTCGCCCCCGCTCCCCCACGACCCATCCTGTTCCATGCCCAGGTTTCGGAGCACATTCGCGAGCAGGAGGCCAGTCCGCTGGCGCTGCCGCCGCTGGAGCTGCTGCGGCGGCTGCTGCCGCGCGCTGCCGAGGTGGCTGGCTGGCTGCTGATGCCGCACGCCATGTTCAGCCGCTACGTGCTGCTGGTGGCGCCCGCGTACGGCGTGGGGGGCGAGGGAGGCGGCGGCGGCGGTGAGGGCATGGGCAGCAGCAGCGGAGGCGGAGTAGGAGAAGGCAGCGGGACCGCACCTTGGCAGCACGTGGGGACGCAGCTGATGCTGCTTGCAGGTGGGGAGGGAGGGCGGATTGGTGAGGGTGTGGGGGGGTACGGAGACGTGGCCTGGGTTGCTCCGCCTCTTTCAGGGCCTTAGCGCTCATGGAAAGCAGAGGGGAGGGGGAGGCTCCGCGTCTCCAGTGGCTTTCGTGGCTACGGCTACCCCCCCCCCTTGTACCCCGTCTCTCTTCATGCGCCCCTCCCAACCCCTCCCCTCTCCTCCCTCCCACGCCCCCTGCCCAGGTGCGCTGCTGACGTGTTTCGAGGTGCAGCTGTTCGGCCGGGCGGTGGCGGAGCTGCTGTCGCTGCGGCGGCCGCGCAGGCCCTTGGCGCGGCGGCGGGCGCTGGCGTGGCGGGTGTGCTGCGAGGGACTGCTGCTGGTGAGCAGCGGCGGGGCGGAGGGAGGGAGGGAAGGGGGGGGGAAGAGTAGTAGAGAAAGGAGGGCAGGTGCATACGTGGTCTCCGCTTGTGCCCGCTTTGTCCTGCCGTATTCCGTACTCACTCCCTTGACCTCAGCCCCTGGTTCGTCCTTGCCATACCGGTATTCCTCGCTCACTCCTTTGACCTCCGCCCCTCTCGCCCCTCTCCTTCGCCTCTCCCTCCGCCCCTCCCCCCCTTGTATCATTATCACACCACACTTTGGAATTTCTCCTCCCCCTCCCCCCCCCCTCAGCCCCTGCGTGAGGCGATTCCCGTGTGGAACATGACCCACTTCATCGCGCTGCCGCTGCTGCAGCTGCTGCTGCCGCCGCCCGCCATGGACCTGGTGCTGCTGGTGCCGCTGACGTACTGTACGGCGATGCTGGGGGCGGCCGCATGCGATGTGGCGGCCAGGGCGACCGCGGCGCTTCTGAGGGTGAGGGTGTGAGGGCGGGGAGGGAGCGGAATAGGGCGGGGTGCGGGTGGGTACGGTAATGAGGGGGATTAAGGGGCAGACGTAGCCAAATTATGCAGTTGACATTCCACTGACAAGGCTTGAGGAGGGTGCTTACAGGACATGCCATGTGCCATGTCCCAGGTCGCCCGACGAGTACGACAACACGACGGCGGAACAACTCTGCTGCTCCCCAGTATCGTACACGCGGCGGATCCGGATGCCGTACCGCTGCTGGGCCGTACATACACCCTGATGCTGTACGACATGGTGGGTCAGTCGGGCCGCGCGGCGGTGGCGGCGGCCCTGGCGGAGGAGGCGCCGGCGCTGGCGGCTGAGCTCGCGGAGCGGCGGCAGCGGCGGCAGCAGCAGCAGCGGCTGGATGGCGACGGCGGCGGCGACGGAGGCACGTGGGGTGAGCTGGCGGCGGCGATGAGGGCGAGAGTGGCGCCGCCGGGAGCCGGGGATGGCGGCCGTAGGGGCGCGCGCCGTCGGCGTGCGGAGGCGGATGCTGCTGCCGCCGCCGCAGTCCCTGGCGGCGATGCGGCTGGAGTGGCGGGTGGGGAGGCAGTTGAGAGGCGCGAGGGGGAGCATGGAGAGCAGGCGGAGGAGGAGCACCCTCCGCAGGAGGCCGCGGCGGCAGATCTTGAGGATGGTCACGAGGATGATGAGGATGACGACGATGATGACGAGGACGAGGAGATGGAGCGGCGGCGGGCGGGGCTGGCGGTTCAGCTCCGCTGGCCGGCTCCTCTACAGGTGGGTAGTGGCGGTGGTGGTAGGGAGGTTGTCTAGGGGCGTTAAACTGGTGTCAGTGTCAGTGTTGAGGTGGAGGAGTGCAGGAAGCCACTTACCTCTTGCTCGTCCTACCCACCCAACTTGCACTTCTTGCCCTCCGTGCCTCCACGAGCCACAACCCGCCGCCCAACCCGTCCTCCATCACTTTCGCCCACTTCCCGCGCACATCCCTGCTGACCTGTGCCCTCCTCCGCACCCCGCCTCCTCCCCTCCGCAGCTGCCCCCCGAGGTTCACGACTGGGAGGACGTCCCGCGCGGCTTCACGTGCGCCATCACGCAGCACGTGATGGGCCAGCCCGCCATGCTGGTGTCCCCGGAGCTGCCCGCGGCGCCCACGTACGAGCGGGCGGCCATACAGCAGTGGCTGGCGACACACATGTGAGGGCGGGGGGGGGGGCGGAGCGGGGCGGGGGGGGGGCGGCGGGGAGGGGATGGGAAGAAAGGGTGAGGGTGCAGGACCGGAGAGAGAAACTGCTGCGGTTGCACATGCCCGGAGTAGGTCACTGCGTCTTAACCAGCACACTCCAACCCCCCTCCCCTCTTTGACCGCCCGCCCGTCCCTCCCCTCCCTCCCTCCCTTCCCTCCTCCCCCCCCCCTCCCGTCCCTCCCGCCCCTCCCTCCTCCAGGCGCGACCCCAAGTCCAACACGCCGCTCACCAGCTACACGCTGCTGCCCAACGAGGACCTGCACCGGGCCATTGACGACTGGGTACGTGGGCCTTTACGGGGGGCAGGGGGGGCGGGTTAAGGTAGAGATAGAGAGAAGACCCAGCATGGCGACATGTAGGCAAGCCAACTCAATGTCGTCCTGGCCCTAGAAGAGGAACGCCGCCCCCACCACATGCAGGTACCCGGGCTCACATGTGCGTTGCTAATCGCCCCGCCTCAGGTACACTTCAAGCTTAAGGCCGCACGCGCCGCCGCCACGAAAAGAGCAGCAACAGGCGTTGTGCAGGAGCGGCAGAGGGCCGGCGCCGAAGCTATTGCTGCTGCTGCCGGCGCCAGAGCGCCCTCCGGTACGGCTGCTGGCTTGTACGGCGAAGCAGGCGAGGTGGAGGGCGGCGGCAGCGCCTTGGCCTCGCAGTCAGGCAGCGGAAGTGGAAGTGACGAGGGTGATGGCATTGGCGCTGGTGGATCCAGATCTGCTGGTGGCGCCGTACGGCAGCACACCGCGTCCGTGATGGCGTCGCTGGCGCAGGGCGCGTCTAGCCTGCTGGATACGGGGGTGGAGGTGGTGAGTCGGGGCGCGGCGGTGGCGGTGGCTGCTGCCGCTGCAGCGGCGGCTGGCGTGTGCAGCGGAGCAGCGGCGGGGGTTGGGGGGGAGGCGACGGATGGAAGCGAAGGAACTCAGGAGGGGGGCTAGGCAGTGGCGGAAAGGGCAAGGAGATTAAACTGCATGAGGTAACGAGTCCGGGGGTTTTCCTGGGTTTTTGGCTCTGCTAGGAGGTTAAAGGGCAGACGCCTCTTTTGTTGCGTGCAGTTTAGCGGCAGTTGGTGTGCATTGGGGCCACCGTTGGTGACTGCTGCATGTTATCTATGACGCAGCGCGGTTGTAGCAGTGAGCGCAGCGGGCTGGGCACACAGTAATGGCCCTGAAGGCCAGGGCAATAAAAGGGAATTGCGTTGGCGCGGGCTGAGGGCAGCGGAAGCATTCATGGGAACAGCAACAAGGGAATTTGCGTGGTCCTCCCATGTGCCTTTAGTGCAGCAATGCTTACTTTGCTAACATGCGAAGGCATTTCACGCAGAATCCGTACGTTGTTTACGTTGCCGGCAAAGTGTAATGTGCTTGTATGGTTCACCGGTATTGGACATTGTGTCGTACAGAGGCCACGATTTCGTGCTTCCTAGACAACATGTTATTGGCACTGACGAACAGAGCGGCTGTTTTCATCCTTCAGCAAGCAATTTTACGAACATTGCCGCAGTTTAGGTCTTAACCGTTGGTTGTTGCTTATCCTGTTGAGAGTTGTGACGCCGATTTTGTGTTTCCTTAGATGGGCATCTTAAGGGGGCAATCTTGCAAAGTGTTTACCTTAAACAGCCGTGTCTGGTCCTCCGTTTCTATCTCTTGGCAGAACGTCTTGACGTGCTTTGGTAATCTTGCCGTTGCTGTGACCGAGAACCCATGCCTGCATGGACAGCATGCGTTTTTGGTCAGAGCAACAGACACGCATGGACAGCGTGCAGCATGGCGGGGAGATACTGAGGTGCAGCGGCAGCGCTGACATGTTATCGACCACCGTCTCCGAGTACTAAGTGGGCGTCCAAAAGTGCGAGGCTTCCCGAAGCCATATTCCATCTCTTTAACCAAAGGTCAGTCCGTAGTGAATTCGGAGCTTCGTAGTGGGGCAGAAAGCTCTACTCCTCGATGCCGCTTTAAGCGATGGCTATGATGCCCACATAGGGTTGAGATTTAGACGCTTCGCTACGTTGTCGTAAGGGCGCTGAGCAGTACCATTGACATGGCGTTTTTGTTTCGCCTGCCCTCCCTGGATGCACGGCGCGAAGTAACCCACTTATAGCAACTTACACGCACGTGTGCCGGATGAACCGCGGCCCTAAACCAAACCCGCTTCCAACCATAACTCGCATCCAATCATGTGTTAAGACCCAACATCCTACATGCTTCAGCTCGCCTGCAAGCCTGCCCTCTACAGTCTCAGCTATCCTATGCTTTCCCACGCGCCCATCCCCGTGCCCCAAAGGGGGTGTTAACTGGAAATGGGGGAGAACAGTGCACTGCGCCGGCCAGGGCCGCCCGCAGGTGTGCCTGCCATGCCGCCGCCTACCATTCCGGAGAGGCAACCGCATGCAGGTGCACGAACAACCCCCCAATCCAGTCCGACGCAGTCGCTTCCTGCATGCGGATTCCTAATGGCGAACTGACGCACACTCACGCGGCCTCCAACTCCCAACGCCCGTGGGCCTAGAAACACGCATTCGCGTCACGACCCGGCCACGACGTCACCGCGGCCCCGCCTCTATGCTCGCATCCATCCGAAACTGCGGATGCACCGATAACCAACCGTTCAGTAACGCCCGCAGCTGCGGAGGGCCCCTCGGCCGGAGATGCGCGATGAGCTCCTCAGCGCTAGTCTGGCATGGGCAGGGGGTTGTGCGGCGACGCCCCCCCTCGGCTAGGGTACGCGGCAAGCCTCGCTTCCACCCCTCCACCAGGACATCGCCGCGTCCACATTTGCAGGGACGACGGGGGGCCCCTTACTTCAACCCTGCTCCGTGCTGCCATCGCGCTGATGCCGCCGACTGGTAGACACCCCAAACCCGGGAGGCCACCGATCTCGCAGAAGCGCCAATCGCCAAAAGGCGATCTGCCGCTGCAGGGTCGTTGTCAGCCCCAGCATGGCCATCTGCACCCCCCTCGTCCTGCGCCTCCGCCTGCACCCCGCGCCGCCATCAACGCCGCTGCGTCGGTGAAGGTTACCACCCCGGCGGGGCTCTGAAACCCCCCATCACCAAGTCGGGATCCGAGACGACGCAGCACTTGGTACCGTCCCTTATGGACACATGAGGGCCGTACTGCTTCTCGAGCCCGGCTGCCAAGGGGGCCGCCATGGCGGTTGCGAGAGTGTTTTTTTTTCGCATCGTCGTGAGAGGCAGGGGGAATCAACGCTGCGCTGGAGCCATGCTGTCTTGTGATGCTGAATGTCGTCAGGCCTGGGCCCGCTAGATATTGCTTCTTTCCGTTGGGTCCCACAGCCCGCTTCCGCCGGCACGTTGGCCTGTACTCCGTCTGCGGGGGGATCTCGGGAAGGGGGGCAGCGTATAGCGGAGGGGCCGTGCCGCGCACGGCCCGCCATGGCTGCCGATATGGTCGGCAGCCCCTGCAGCAGAACGGAGTGCCCCGCGCGCCGGGGTGGTCCACAACAGGTGACAACAAGACCTAAGTACAGGCCTGCAGACAGGCGACAAAACATGCCACGGCAAGCGCGCAACACAACCTTGTCCCGCGGACAAGGGGCCCTTCTCGCGGTACCTACGCCACGGCAAGCGCGCAACACAACCTTGTCCCGCGGACAAGGGGCCCTTCTCGCGGTACCTACGCCACGGCAAGCGCGCAACACAACCTTGTCCCGCGGACAAGGGGCCCTTCTCGCGGTACCTACGCCACGGCAAGCGCGCAACACAACCTTGTCCCGCGGACAAGGGGCCCTTCTCGCGGTACCTACGCCTCATTCCCCCGACGGAAGGGTTATCAACGTCGCGCGGCACAGTGCCCTTACGGGTACTTAACACCCCTTACGCCGCGCGCAGTTGGGTGGGCCCTTCTCGCGGTGCCTACAGCCTCTGTCGACCGGAGGACGGGACTCACCTTTGCTTTCGCTCTCCACAAGCGCCGAGGGGCAAAGGTCGTGAAGCGTTCCGTTAATCACAGTTGCGAGCCCGCCACAAAATTCTCACGAAGGCACCTACAGGTCAAGGAGGGTATCAAGAACCACTTCGACTTTGCATGCGTCGCATTCATCGCATACTTCACGGATTAACGTTCTAAATGGAGCAGCAGATAGCCTTATGACCCTTCTGTACGGGGCCAAGAGCCCTGCTTACGACTCTCATTGTAAGTCGCGACACTGGCCGTTATTCAACACCTACGCAAAATTCCCAACTTTCAGAAAAGGAGGGGTATTAAGAACCACCCCAAAAGTTGCGGAAAAACCCGCTTAGACGCCTTCCCACACCACGAAAACTTCAGCGAGCAACTAATATAGCTAGGAGAGGCTGTTGGACATGCTATCTGGCGTCCGGAGGTCACCAGGTATGGTTGCCGTGGCGAATTGCCATCATGGGGAAGAATCTGAACCCGACCCGTCATCACTCGCACTCTGCACACGCTTCGAAGCCATGAATATACACGCAATAAATGTATAGTAAGCCCACCCTGCAAGTGCGTAGCACTGCGTCCTGTTGCGACGCTCACTCGTCATCGGTGACGCTCATATTGCTGGGCTCGCTGTGCTCGCTCTCGTAAACAGCGCTGTCGGCGTACTTTGCAGGCTTTCGCCTGGGGCGTGGCCCGAGCGGCGCGGCGCCTTGCACGCTCGGCTCGTTGGCTGTGCCTCTGCGTCTTCTGCTCTGGCCCCCAGTTGCCGCACCGTTGCGGCCTGAACCACCTGGCTGAGCGCCTTGCGGCTGGTGGTCAACAGGTGCGAGTGCGCGGCGTGGTGGTTGGTCTGTCGCCGCAGCTGTTGTGGCAGCTGCTGCTGCTCCTGCCCCGGGTAGGATCACCCCCATGCGATACTTGTATTTGGGCCCACAACGCCTTTCGGCCACCTCCCAAGCCGCATCACAGGGCTTTCGTCCATGTTAAAAATGCGGGCCCTCCCGTTGACGTTGTAGAAGCGCTCGTACACCTGCTTGTACGTGTCAAAGAAGCCCTGCACAACTTCTGGCGTGCAGGCCGCGATACGATCCGCCTCATCCACCTGGCAGCTGCGAAGGCGTAGATCATGGCGAAGCTTGTACCCAGTCCACCAGTCCTTGCCGGCCTTGCCGCCAGGCCATCTGGGTTCACGCCCAGCCGCCTTGGCTTCCATAGCCTCTAGCTCTGCAGCCGCCCGCTTGATGTCAGCGATTGTCAAGGTAAGGCGCCGTGCGGTCATGTTGTATATGTGGTCCAGCAGCACCTGCATGCAATGTCAGTTCATGTGAGACTTGATCTGGGTCGACCCACATGCTGTCCGTGGTAACTACCTTCTCCGCTTCGTCTGACAGGGCTCTTGGCTGGCCAGGCCGGGCGCCGGGCTGCAATTCGCCGTTGGCGTAACGCCGGAAGGTGTTGTAAGGGATGTTGCAATGGCGCGACGCTTCCCGGACCGAGCAACCAGTTTCCTTTAGGAAATCCAGGCCCTCGATGATAACTTCTGGGGGCCATATTGTACGCTGCGTTCCCTCCGGCTGATCTGCTGCGGCGGCCTTGCGCTTGCCCATGCTGACATTCGATGGCTGGCAATTGCAAGTCCTACATCACGACTATGCTACTAAACATCGTCAAAGTCATACATATTTGATATATATTGCGTCTATGCACCGCGTTTATGGCTGGAAGGACGTTTAGGGCGTATTTGGTGTTTCGTCGCAAGGATGGTAAATGTCGATGTTGGGGCGAGAGAACGGCTGCTGGGAAGCTATTCCGCAGTCAAATCCATAAAATATAAATAGAGTATGCATGCCAGATGGTCGCGAAGGTGCTCAGATGCCTCAGGCGCTCTAGCCACTTCAAATCGCGGTTCATGCAAAGCCGGTTGGCTCCGATGCCCAAGTTGTAACCGCCGTCCCAGCCACGATTATGGACTTCATATATATGCTATGACCTTTAAGTACTAGAAACCGTTTGTCGAAAAGCTCCTTCTGGGCGGAGAAAAGTGGAGTGGTTCTTAATACCTGGTGGTTCTTAATACCCTCCTCCACCTGTAAGGTCAATTAGCTGCGGCCCCAAATACCAAGCAAGTAGACGGTAACAACCACATAAAAGTTAAGAAGCAAGTAAACAAGTCAACCCCAGCAGCAAACAGTCAACCAGGAACGCCGTACATCGACCTGATGAGGGCTTAAGGCGCTCCAAAACCACATTTTTGCTGAACGCCAAAATATAATGTACGGCGTAGAGACAAAACGGGAACGTCCCTCCTCTAACTATACACAACACACCTACTCTCTATACGGTTATGTATATGCACAGCTTTCTTTGATAACACTAATAATGAGCTTCACTGACAGCAGCATCAGTTCTCGCTTTAGTAATCATATTAACTATACGGTTGATTTGGGTTTATAGCATTGCATTGCTGGAATCCAGCTTCAATGGTCTTCCTAGGTAACAGCCGTGGAGAAAGCTTGGCGATGGCTTGCGACTAAAACCTACCTTCGCGTCGCCATTCCAGCTCTACGGCTTCCCTTCCTATTCCTCAGAAGTCACCTTGCTGTTTATTAATTAATGAACGGTGAGTTTTAGCCCTATTTATGGCAGACTTCAGTCAGCATGCATCTTCTACCTTGCTGGAGGGACAAATTAGCGAGCCTTCCCTTCGCACTGCTTATAATTAATAGCAAGTCAGCGCGGACCCCGTAGATATGTATGAACTACCGAACCTACCTGAGACATATCTTACTATCATTGTGTGCAGGTAGCATTCGCAGTAACGACTGTTGATGGAGCCCACCCAAGGACGCCCACGAGAGCATCCTGCATGCTCGGAGCATGTTATTACGGTACCGTTGCCTGCCGACGTTGCCCAGCGGTAAGCATATGGCTCGGGCCACCGGAGGTCATCTTACATGGCCGAGCAATTAAAGGGGTGTGGGCTTCATTGCGGCTTGCTGTTGCCTAGGTGGGAGCGCACTTGTTTAGCTGGCAGGCTTCCATGCTAGAGGAAACACGTGCTCGGTATGCCAATATTGCTTGCTAGGGTTGGGGCGATACTTAACACCCCTGTGTTCTGCTCCCAATCCCAACTAGGTATTCCAACGCACCCATGACAAGGTCCAAGTTCATGCCATCATGCGACGATGCGAGGTGTCCTTCTCAGCTGCCTTGGCAACAGTTTGCTGCCTCGGGCCGTAACGTGTTTCCTGCTCCATCACCGTCGCCAGCTTTCGGTCTATCGTCACGTCAAGCGACAAATGTACGACGACCCCCAGCGCTGTCCCCATCCAAGCTGGTGGGCTTAATGAGGTACGTTGCGGCGCGTTATGTGGGTGTACGTGGTGGTGTGAAGGGTGGTCGTGTACGTCAGTGTCCGGGCGTCAGAGGACTATAGCGTTGAGTCAACCGCTGTGAGGGTATACGCGATTGGTGTAAAGTTTGCGGGTCTTTTCATTGGTTGATTGCGTTTTAAGTGGGTTGTTTCTGGGTTACTACTATCATATATTGAACTGAAGCGTACGCGTATAAACCCGTGAACCATACTGCTTACGAGGCCGACACATGGTGTACTGGTGCCTGACTGCATCCCTTGTAATAGACGTGTTGGGGGCGGACAGGGAGGTGCTTGCAGCCTACCCTCGTCACGCAAAGGATTGCTCCCGTCTCTGTTGCTTTTCTCACCCGCTCTTACATGTACGGCACTGACTCTCAGACGACAGCTGGTGCGTGTCTAGGGCTACGATTTTGCAGCAGGGCGCTCCTATGCCACAGGACAGTTGGCAAAGCATGAGAGCAGTCCGGCCAACAAGTGTACGACAGCCTATCAGCTTGTACGATATCCAACAGCTACCTAGCTTGAACATTTGGGCCCAATAATAACAAGCGCATTAAAACCCGGCCACATGTGTTATACGGTATCCTAATAGTTTGACCAAAATCCTCCTAGTGTAGCATTAGGGTGCTTCCAAGCTAAGGGCAGGTAGGTTGTAGCAAGGAAGGAAAGGGGTGCTGATGGTCATTGGGCTTGTAAAGGTAAGTGGACAGAGAGGGACAGTAGGAAAGGTAGGTGGGGAATGGAGGGGTGGGCGGGACGGAGAGGTAGGTGGGAGAGAAGGGTAGGGGGGAGCGGAGGGTGGGAGAGAAGGGTAGGGGGGAGCGGGGAGGGGTATGGGGAGCGGGGGGGGTATGGGTAGCGGGAGGGGTATGGGGAGCGGGAGCGGGAGGGGTATGGGGAGCGGGTGGGGTAGGGGGGAAAGGGTGAGGAGGGGGGGCGGAAGGAGTAGGGGGGAAAGAGGGGGGAAGCGGGAGGGGTATGGGGAGCGGGTGGGGTAGGGGGGAAAGGGTGAGGAGGGGGGGCGGAAGGAGTAGGGGGGAAAGAGGGGGGAAGCGGGAGGGGTAGGGGGGAGCGGGAGGGATAGGGTGGGAGCGGGAGGGGTAGGGGGGAGCGGGAGGGGTATGGGGAGCGGGGGGGGGGGAGGGTGGGAGCGGGAGGGGTATGGGGAGCGGGAGGGGTATGGGGAGCGGGGGGGGGGTAGGGGGAGCGGGGGGGGGGGTAGGGGGGAGCGGGAGGGGAAGGGGGACGGGAGGGGTATGGGGTAGGGTGGGAGCGGGAGGGGTATGGGGGGAGCGGGGGGGGGGGTATGGGGAGCGGGGGGGTAGGGGGGAGCGGGAGGGGAAGTGGGGAGCGGGAGCGGGAGGGGTATGGGGAGCGGGTGGGGTAGGGGGGAGCGGGAGGGGAAGGGGGGAGCGGGTGAGGAGGGGGAGCGGAGGTGGTCGAGCAGGCGCTGAGCTGTGGCTGCAGCGGTCAGCTGAACCGCACTGAGAAGTAGCGTAGTCTAAGAGCAAGACGACTGTGCAATGGGGTGCGTGCAACGAATAGCCAAGGCCAGCAGCGGGGCACGGCCGTGTGTGATGTGGTGCAGTGCAGTGGTGAGTGGGGAGGGTGTGTGTCTTAAGAAAACTGGCTACGAGTCGGAATGTACTGTGATTGTCGGAAAGTCCCCACAAAACCGCCGCAGGTGAGCGGGAGGGAGGGAGGAAAAACAAATGAAAAGTGAAGAAGGATTCGCAATCCCAGGGATGGAGGGAAAAAATTATATAAGTGAAACAACGAATCCCAATCCCATATCCCGACTCATGCAGTGAGCGCATGGAGGGAGGGCAGAGGGCGGGCGGGGTAGGTGGGGGCAGGAGGAGGTGAGAGTAAGTGGGCCGGGAGGATGGAAAGGGCGGGGTCCCTAAACTTGAGGGGTGCGCGGCATCTCGACCATCTTCATATTGTGCAGGAGCTAATACGGGTGGTGGCCCGAGCTTGTTATGTGTGCTGCCTTGTCGCAAGTCGGCAATTGGGTAAACTGAATTGAACATGCTGATCCGCACAGCATTACACGTGGATATGCTTGCGCACAGCGCCAATCCCGGGCAGGACGGGCCCTCCAACACCACTAACTGCCGAAACGAAAGATGCAAAAGCGGTTCAATGCAGTAGCGTGCACAGCAACGGCATTTCCGTTAGCATGGTCCACAACTTCACCATCACCAAACGGTGTCAAGAGAGTCTGGCAATGCCGTCGTCGAACGGTGTATGTGTAAAGTGCTTCCCGTCATGTCAGTGGTAGTAAGCAAAAGCGAATGCGCGACAGTTCCGCTTGGCCCCCAATCAGACGAGAAGCTATGGCTTACCCCAGTATTCCCCCACCTACGATGTACGGACTCCACGGTTCAGTTCCATCTGTGTCACTTTGTCGATATGTACACCTTCTGTAAGACATCCGCCAAACCCCGTATACGACTTGCTCCCGTACAATGTACAACAAAAGTCGGTCTCAACCCTCACTCGGGAAACCTTGCCGAGCCTACGTGCCCAATAGACCGCCAAGCCTGCCCTTTCTAGATCACACCGCGAGCTTTCGGCCCCAATCGGGCTACCCCCTCTCCTCTTCCGGACATGGGCCTGTCTGAAAACAGGCGTCAAGACAGCAGAAACGAAACACCACAGCGCCACTAATGCACGCCACGCACAGGCATCAAAACAAAGTCTTCCACCCGTACATTGCCGTATCGGTAACAAAAAACAGCTTGACGGCAGCACACAAGCTTAGTGTGTTTGGTTCGCATGCCCAGCCAAAGACCCCGCGCATCAGAGCACGTTGGTTCCTCTTTTAGCGCGCCGCCCCACATCCGCCGCGGGTGTGCTGCTGCAAGCCGCAACCCGTTATGCCTAGCATGTAAGCATCCACACCCATGCTACTAGGCTCCTCTCACAATCTCAACATCCAGCTCGTGTGTTAGGTCCTGCTATCAGAGCCACGCTGCATGAAGGGACGCCCGGACACAGCCCAGCCACACTTTGCCCCATAACACTTTGCACCACCATTGCAGTAATCAAGCGGCCGTGGGCTCGGCCATGGCAACGTCGTCAGCCCCAGAGTCCCCAGGAGCGCACTCGCCGCTTGCGGCTGCGGAGCCGACAGCTGCCCCTCCTTGACCCCCTCCCGTCCCTCCTCCCGCGTGAACCTCCCCACCCTGCGGAGCTGCTGCTGCTGAGGAACCAGCAGCGCTGGCGTCAGCTGCAGGCGAGGCTATGAGCCTGTCACGTGGCGTGACGCCACGTGACAGGTCGCCTGTACTTGCCGTGCGGGGGAAGGTGCCGTCCAAGGGTGTGGTCGGCGTGCGGCCCAACGCTGTATTCGGGTGGTATTGCGACAACGCCGAGACATGCATGACCGGCGGAGGCGTCAGGCTGTACGACAGGGACTGCCGGTGCTGCAGTTGGTGCTGCTGCTGCTGCGGATGGCCTCCTGCTGCAGGGGTAGCGCCGCCCTGACCGGGATGGGGACCGCCACGCACCGTGCTGCCTGCATGGTGCCCTGCAGCCGCCTTTTCCTTCTCGCGGTCGCGCATGCGCTTAATGGTGGAGCGCACAAACTCCTTCAGGTTGGCCTCCAGCTTGTGTCGCTCAATGGGCTTGTAGACGCCCGCGCTGCGGCGCTCGTCCCAGGCCCGCCGCTCCTTGGCGACCACCTCCCGGTATACCTGTGTAGGTAGGCGACAGGGCGCAGACCGCCGTTAGATCCTCACTTAGGCACATCGCCTGGATACCGGTATTCGCGAGGCGCCCGAGGCTGCTGTTGGCAGGCACGCCTTGCGCCCTGCAACACCGCCCTGTCCGTAGCGGCATGGAACTCAAGTCCCTATCCGCGTAGAAGCAAACCGCTCCCCAGCCCAGCTCACCTTTGCTCGCAGCACGGTTGCCTCCTGCACCGACACGCGGCTGGGGTGCTCCGGCTGCATGTACTTGCCCAGCCGGTGTCGTACCATGTCCGCCACGTAGGCCTCGAAGTAGGCGTCCGGCTCCTCCCACACCTCGGAGTGGTGGCTGGACACAGGCCGCAGCCACTCTGCGGACAGACGGGAGGGGAAAGCGAGGAACGTAAATATTGTGTGAATAAAGAGGAAGCCTTTTACTGGACTTAAGAGCTTGCATGCCAGGAGGCATGAGGTCACCGCGAAAGAGGTATTAAAGCCGAGCTCATGTTCTTGGTGGTCCTTCGTGGTACCCCCGCGATTCCCTGTTGTTGCCAAGGTCTCTAGATGCCTTAACGCCTACCGTCAATGTTTTCCTCCTCCGGCTGGCCCGCAGCCCCACCGCGTCCGCCCGCCCCCGCCGCATGGTGCTCCGGGGTGGCATGCGGCGACATGCGCGCCAGGGCGGGCGCATGCAGCCCCTCCGACAGCGGCACCACAGGGACCACCGGGGGTGCCGCTGCCGCTGCTCCTGCGGCATCCAACCCCGCCCCTGCTCCTGCACCCGACGCTGCAGGCGGCATGCGCCAATCGCTCAGAGAGCTGACGGGCACAACCGGCGGCAGCGCAGCCGCGGCTGAGGCCGAGGGGGCTGTGGCTAAGGACGCGAAGCCGGCGTGCTGCTGCTGCTGCGCTGCGGCGAGGCCCGAGGCGGTCGGGATGGACGATGCCGAGCCCACAGGCATGGGTGCAGCAGGTGTGTCCCACCCGGCGTGCGGCGCAGGGGAGCCTTGCTGGTGATGGTAGGGACTGGGCCCCGCGGTGGGGCCCCCGGCGGCCGCCAGCGGCGCTGAGGAGTGTGTGCGCACAGGCCGCAGCTGCATGCCGTCCACGTGTGCACTGCTGCCACCCCCCGGCGGCGGCGGGGGTAGCGGCAGGTCTACCCCTGCCGTGCCCCCAGCTGTAGCTGCCACCGCTGTTGAAGAGGGCGCCTGTGGCGGCTCGAGGAGAGGCGACATGGGCGGCAGCTCTATCAACGGCGACATCGGCACGGATGTACGGCTTTCCCGTGGCGACTTTGGCCCAGAGCCGTCGAGCCCTGACGCGCTGGGCCGCGGGGGTTCGTCCGGCTCCATCGTCGCCGCTGACAACGCCGTGGCGGAACTCGACCGGCGGAAACTGCCGTACAGCCCTAACGCGAACAGCGTGCTGACGTCGGTGAGCTCCCCATGCAGATGCCGCTCCGGCTGCAGTTGGCCCTGCAGCTGAGGCAGCGGCGGCGGCCGCGTCAGCGGTCGCTGCATGGCAAACAGCTGCTCCCCACTGAGCCGCTCTGGCAGGTCCGCCAGCAGGTCCCGGTCCATGGAGCCCCGACTAGCCCCGCGGGGGTGGGCTGCACGCAGAGGGTGCGGCGGAGGCGGCGGAAGCGGGAGGTCAGAAGGTAGCGGAGGCGGTCCAGGTGGCTCTCGCTCTCCGCCGTCGCCGCCGCTGTGGCTGGATGGCCGGCGGTTGTGGAGTGCGTTGGCTAGCGAGTACGGCGGTCGGGGCGGCGGACCCGGAAGCGTCTCCCCTCCATGCGCCGGGCTGTCCAGACCGTGTGGGTGGCTGTGCTTCCGGCGTTTGCTGGGATGGTCGTCTGCGGGGCCGCTGCCGCTGAACGCAGCGTAGGCATCAGCATTGGCAGGCGAAGGTGGCCGAGGCGGCAGGCCCAACGGTGATGGCGCCATGCCCATGTTCATAACGCCGCCGCGACCTGTCCCCGCACCACCCATGGGGCCCAAGCCGTTCGCTAGCGGCCCTCCCAAGCCACCAGGCCGCGCGGCCAAGGGCCGTAAGAGACCCGGCCGGGACGCGAGCGCTGCAGCCGCCGCCGCAGCTACCATAGCCCGCTGGCGGCTGGGACCCAGGGGCGGCAGGTTGGCGGGCCCGTTGGAGCCAGCAAGGTCCCCGTCCGCAGCCTCCTCTTCAAGCGAGGTGGCACTGGAGGAGCGCGGAAGTCCCGGCCCTACTGCCGCCGCCGCCGCTGCCTGGCCGTCGGAGGCGTTGCCGTCGCCGGATGCGGTGCTAGCGGCGGAGGTAAGCGGCGGCGGTGGCGGCAGGGCTCCGCCCGCTGCACCCGCTTCCTTGAGCCGCATCATCTGCTGCTTGAAGAGCTGCTGCTGCAGCATCTGTTGCTGCTGGATGTATTGCTGCTGCATGGCCAAGGGAATTCCGCTGCCGCCGTGGAAGGGCCCCATTCGCATGCCAGGCCCGCCCATGCCGCTGCCGCCACCGCCGCCGCCGCGCCCGTGCCCGAAGCGGACTGGCGGCGCAGACATGAGCTGCAGTATCCGCTGGTCCGTCACGGCGGAGGGCGGGAACTTCTTCAGGAGCGCTGTTGCTTTGGTGCGCACGTCGTAGTCGGGGTTGGTGGAGAGCTGCCGCAGCATGTCGGCAAAGTTGCCGTGCGCTGAGCGCACTGCGTACACATCGTTTGCCTCTAGTGGCAGCCCCTCCACCACACGCAGGACCTGCGAACGAGCGGAGCGGGGAGGGACTGTAACCTGAGGGGCAAGCACCAGTCCAACACATCCTGGGAAAGCCAGCCAAGCAATCACGTTACTGGCAGCCGGCGCGGGCCATCTGTGGGAGTTTACAGTCCCCTGCAACTCCCCTTGGTACGCATGCATACACAAAGCGGCGGCTCCCGGGCTTTACCATCACCACCACGCGCAACAACTGCACCGCCGCACCTTGCGCAGAATGACGCAGTACTCCTTGCCCGTGTTGCGCCCCATGGCCTGGTGCAGCTGCGTCAGCAGCCCGCACGCAACAAACTCCCTCTTCGCGGCTGAGCTGCTGGTTTTCAACACCACGTCCAACAGCAGCGACAGGTCCGCCATGCGAGCCCGCTGCCGAGCCGTCACCCCGCCAGATGCGGATGCGGACCCCGGCCCAGGACCCGCCATGCCCCCACCCATGCCGTCGTCGCCATTCCGCGTCAAGTAACGCCCGCCGGCTGCCGAACCGAAGCCATTGTTTCGGCCCGAGTGGCCGCCAATGTCGCACAGATTGAACAGGCGCAGCACCTTGATGACATTCTGGCGACTGGGGTCCTTCAGCCGGCCGTTGCTGCCGACCACATCATCCAACCGACGGTCAATTTCACTGCGTAGTTTGCGATTAGAACGCCCGGTTGGCGGCGGCGACGGCGAGCGAGGCGCCGAGTAAACTGACGGCCCTGCTGCGGCCCCAGCAACAGCCGGTGTCGTGCCGGCGGAGCCCTGGGAGTTCCTCCGTACAATGGCGCCAGCGGAGGAAGAGGCGACTGCGGCTGGGGGCGCGGACGGGGCTGGCGCTGCCTCTGCTTTCCGTGTCGGCGCGGTGGTGGCGCCGGCGGATGCAGATGCTGTGCTGCCGCCGTTTTGCGTCGGTGTAGGGGCTGGTGCCGTCGCTGGTTGTGCTGACGCAGGCTCCGGCGCGGCCGCCTTTGGTACGAGCCTGCGGAGTCGTTTGCGCAAGGGCACGTGCTGAGCTGCTGCCGTGGCCGCTGTCCGGATTTCGTCCAGGGCTGCATCGTCGTTGTCAAGTGACCGGGCTGAACGAGGCGACGGCGGGGAGTGCGGCGATGGCGGGGAGTGCGGTGAGCGCGGCGATGGCGGCGAAGACGGCGTGGCCACCGGCTTCTCCTCAGCTGCAGCCGGGGGCGTCGCATCTGCACATGACATGCGGCGGCCAGCTCAAGGTTAGGCACGGTACGGTTTTGACACTATAAGGCCCAACAGGTCTTCCTATACACGACTGCATTGGACCCGTAGACTTTGGTCATGACTGCCCGCACATCCCTCTCGACATTTGGCTCACATGGCCCACACAACACGCAACCATACTCCAACGCTAGAAGTGAACGCGCGCCCCTCCCAACCTTGTTGCTGCATGATCTTCCATTGCTTGAACAGCGCCTTCGGCCCGCGCACTTGCGTCATCTCCGGAGTCACGGACGGCGTCGTTGCGGACGCTTGCCGGTTCGCCTGCGCCGCTGCCGTGCTGCCGGGAGTCGACCCCGCTGCTCCAGGCGTCCCACTGCCCGGGCCATCCCCTATCCGCAGCTTAGCAAGGCCCGCGGCATGCGTGGCGCTTTCCGACTTGGTCTTTACTGCGCTCTCCCCTGCGGCCTTGCCCTTGCCCGCCGACCCCGCTGCCGCCGCGGCTCCTGCTGCAACCTTTTCGGCCTTGCACTGCTGCTTCGCACGAGCAGGCGCCGGGGTGGTGCCCGCATCGCCTGCTGCTGCTGCATTAGCTTTGTCCGTACTGCGGTTGCTGCTCGCCGGGGCAGGCGCGACCTCCCGCTGCTGCTGCTGCTCCCGATGCCGCACCGGCTCCTGGTGCACTGGCAGGGGTGTGGGCTCCTCACCGTAGAACTGCTTCACATTCCAGTTCACGTTGCGCGCCTTGCAGACGCGCTCCAGCCTGCAGTTGTCAGGCAACCAGCTTGGACAGGGGAGCGAGCAGATGAGCACCAGATCCCACCGCCCCGAAACCGCCCTGAAAGCCTTTAAACCCAGTACGGCATCCTCCAGCCTGCGCATCCACCGCCCTGCCACATGCTCCCCACGTACCGAGTGACCATGCCCATCTCCTTCGCCTTGTCCACCTTGGCGCCCACGCGCCAATCCAGCAGCATGCGCATGTTGGGGTCCATGTCCGAGTCCGTGAGCATGATGGGCGGCAGGTCGGTGGAGGCGTTGTCCGGCTCCACGGCGGGCAGCAGAGACACGTCAATGTTGTCCTGCGGGGCGGGGTAAGGTAGGGTAGGGCGGAGACGGCTCGTCCGTAGCGGCAACCAGCGACGAAGCCAAGGAAGGCTCCGCCAGGGAATACCCCAAGGCTCTTCAACCCTCCCAAGCTCAGCCCCTCGCCACACCTGCATGCCACCAATGAACTTGCGGCAGTTGGTGGAGCCGCAGTAGCAGCGCATGGGCTTGTCGCCGTAGCGCTCAAAGTTGTAGTCGAACGTGAGCTCCGTTTCCTTGGGGATGTCGCGCACGGCAAACAACCCAATGGCGAGCTCGCCCCTGACCAGCCACTTTTGTGTCTCACAGTTGGGCTCACATGAGTGGTTGATGAACCGGGAGATGTTGCCCTGCATAGTCAAAAGACAGGCGGGGAGCAGCGGTCTGACTCCAAGACACCTGCCATTGACCCCTATGATCCAACTCCCATCATTTCAGAGCTCTCCAGGCACGGTCACGCCACCCCATGCCTAGCCATGGGAGGCATCCGCCCACATGCCCCTCTCCACGCCCTCCCTGGCTCCGCACCTTGCGGCAGGCGTCGATGACCTCCCCGTTCCCGATGTTCATGAAGTAGTAGTGCCGCTGCCCCACCGACATGTAGTACTCCTTGCGCCGCTGGTACTCGTCCTCCTCCAACACCTCGCCTGCAGGGCAGCCAGGGACGGCACGCTCAAGCAGCCTGCAGACATGCGCGCACCCTCCCTTGCGCACCCGCACCAATAAGCGCCACCCTTTCCCTGGCCAACTCTACACCAGCCTAACCCGCTCCCACCCCGATGGCACCCTCAGCCGGCGCCACCGTGCCCCCCGCCATGCGCTGCGTCCCTGACGCAGCTGGGCCAGTTTTGCCGCTGCCCCAGTTTCCATGGGCCATCCCAGCGCCGCTCACCGATGTACTCGATGATGAACTGCCCCGCCTTAATGTCCTCCAGCGCAAACAGCCCAAAGCCCTTAGCACCGGCTCGCCGCTGCAGTGGCACGCGTGAGTGGACCGTCAGAAAGGGGGGGTGCACTTAGTTGAGCTCCATGCATGTCGCCAGCAAGGCCTCAACGCCCAACCGTGAGACACATCGGAGCGTCGGGCTGTGTCGCTGGTATCCTAGTGCCTGCTCCGATAGCGGCAAGTGGTCACCGCGGCTGGCGGGACAGCCCCCGCCTCCCGCCAACCCACCACCATCCCACCCAAGGCCGCCCCGTCCCAGGACTCACGATTTCCAGGTTGGCGTACATCCGCTTGGAGAACATCTGGTTTGTGCACTTTTCCTCCGACGGACAGAAGCCCTGAGGGGAGCATTTAAGGGCCACGTTTTCCAGGGACTGTATACCTAGCAAGACGACGCAGCATCAGGTCTGTTACGGCGGCTGGCGATGGTTGCCAATACTCAGCCCAGCATGTAACCAAACGCTAGATTGGGGCCTTGTTAAGCTTTGAAGCGGCCCAGCCCATGGGCGGGTGCAACCCAATGGCTAGGCAGGAAACACACAAGCCCATGAGGCCATGACCCATACCCATACCCCCGCACGGCACTCCACCCAGCCCAACCGCAGCCCCAGTCCACAGCGAGGCTCGGCGCTCACCGGCACACACTCGATGCACAGCATCCTGTTGATGCAGTCAGGGCCGCAGCCATCGCCACCCCGGTACACGGGTTTGCAGTGGCATATCATGATGTCGTCCTCATCCTGCACCTTCCGCTTCCTGTGCGCCAGGATATTGTCTTTCAGCAGCTGCCATACCGCCGGAATCCTCCGCCGCTTCAGGCTCTCCTCCTCGTCAAGGTCGCTCTGCAGGGAGGGGATAGCACAGCAACCCCGGCTTTGGCAGGTCCCGCTGAGAAGCACTCCCAGCAAAAGCCCCGCTATCTTGGTGCCGGAAGGGCGCATAACGCTATCATATTGTGTATTAGGGACAAGACTGCAACCCAACTGACCCCTTCAGAGTCTTCGCCAGCGTCAATTTCCTCGTTAGTTAGCTCTTGCGGAACGCTGCAGCTCGCGAACGCCTTGTTTGGATTGTATTCGCAATACCTGCAGTATGGGGATTGTGCTTTGCCTCTCTTTCAATTGTACAGAGAAGGCGCGCAATAACGTCGGCGCATCGGTACTCACCAAGGCGCGTCCTCCTTAATCTGGTCTGCGAAACCAGCAGGTATACGCCGCCACTTCGTGCAGCGGTCGCAGAGTACCCAGTTCTCAGCGTCCTGGTCACTGCCCGAATCGCTATGCCGACCCGCCTCATCTCTATCAGAGCCAGAGGAATTAGCATCCGAACCAGACTCACTAGAGTCTGAGTAAGAGCGTCTTCGTCTCCCTTTTCCCATCCTGGGTGCTCATAGCATTTTTATCCAAACACGTCAAACACAAGCAAACGAGTCCCACCGTGAGTTAGAATAATAGTTTGTATCTAGTCTATCTAAAAGCAAATTGGTGTTATGGAAGAGGACAGAGCAGGTGAAAACGTCAATGTTGACTTGGTGCATGCCGGACAATGCCGCACCAAAGTGAATCAACCCACTAACAACCACAACTTCCTTTGCAGCTATAAAGTAACACTATTTTACTAGATATTGCGCTTTAATATTGCTCAGCCGCCATAGGACGCTAGTTGGTGCATCGATCACAGTCGCAGCGTTGCCCCTGTACTCCGCTTGTGTCTTGAACCAAAACCGTTGCCAAAATGGCCCTGGCGCTTCTAAGCCGACGCCAGGGTAGGTCGATCACCTATGAAAGCTCCCGGACATGGGGCCATCACGCTCAAACGGCGCATACTCTTTTTTGCTTCAGGCCGCCTTCTTTCGCGTGCATTAAGTATGGCTGAAACGTGCATCGGGGGCCATCAGCCTGCCAGGTACTGGGCCTGCTGCAAGAAAGGCTCTGTGATGCGGCGGTGGGGCCGAGAACTTAGGTGTAACTCATTCCGCGCAGGACGGGAGCTGTTGAGGATGCCGAAATTGGCCCTGATATGTGCTCCACTTCGCAGCAGGTAACAAACACTGACATTGCCCCGACCTATGCGTGTATCAGGCACCCAAACGGTAGCGAACTCGCAACCCCAATCCCTTCCTCCTCGCAGCAACCCTCACAAGTAGGAGGCAGCTGGCCGCGGGGGTTGCAAGCGCGTTTTTTTGCCGTCAACAATGAGCCAACCATACGGTACGTGCCCGTGCCGGAGCCCGAGCACGACGACTTCAGCACAGAGCCGACAGCCTACACGCAGCTGCTTTCAGCCATCCGGGCCGCCAAAACACTCAAGCGCCTGCAGCACCTAGTTTCGACGTACTCGGACCGCTTCGATGCAGTGCACATTGCCGCGGCGGTGGCTCGCCTGCCCCGCCTCATCAAGTACCGCCCAGACGACCTGGTCGACCGCAGCGACGTGGTTGTCACGCCAGTAGGCGGCCTGCCCCGTGTCCGCCGGAAGCACGGCGCGCAGCCTAAGGCGAGCCACCTCGAGGACGGTGCCCGGCTCGCAGCGCAGCTGGACAACATGCTGCCAGCGCACGTGAAGCACTTCTTCCCGCGCCAGGCTGCATGCACCATCTGGAGCTTTGGCGAGCTGCGGCGCCGCGGCATCGTGGACGCCATGTCCTCGCTGCCGGACGTGATGCTGGCGGTCAGCAAAGGCGACATGGAGCCTCTGCGCGTGCACGGCCACGGCGTGGACTTTGCGCAGCTGCTGCAGGGGCTGGCCAAGCTGGGGCACAACGACCCGGACTTCATGGCCCGGCTGCTGCCGCTGCTCAAGGAGCGGCTGGGCTCGCTGCAGCAGCGAGAGCTGCAGATGGCGGCGTGGGCGCTGGCCAGCCTGGGGTACGGCAGCCAGAAGATCATGCTAAGCATCGCGGAGCAGCTGCTGCAGACCAGCACGGCGTTCCTGCTGCCCTCGGGCTGCTCGTCGGTGTTCTGGGCGTACGCCAAGGCGGATGTGGAGGCGCCCCAGCTGTTTGACAGCCTAGCAGCCAGCATCATTGGCCAGGCGCTGCTGATCGCGCCGCAGGATGTGGCGACGACGCTGTGGGCGTGCGGCCGCCTGGGCTACCGCAACCATGAGCTGGTGGCGGTGCTGGGCGATGCAATGCTGCGCTCCCTAGCGAGCGCGAGCGACTTGGAGGTGTCGTCAGCGGTTGAGGCGCTGGCCGTGTTGGGGTATGAGCACAAGCCGCTGCTGGACGCGGTTACGGAGGGCATCTTGGCGGAGCCGCTGATTGGCGCCGAGCCGGTCTGCATTGCGCGCGTGTTGTTTGCGTACGGCAAGCTGGGGCGGCGTGGAGAGCGTGATGTGGAGCTGGCGTCTGCACTGGCGGCGGCGCTGGTGCGGCGGCTGCCGATTGTGCGCGAGGACACGTTGTCGCTGGCGTGCCGAGGGCTAATCATGTTTGGGTACAAGGACCAGGTGAGACCGGTTAGACGGGCAAGAGGGGCGGAAGAGCACTCTGGGCAAGTGCGGGATGTAGCTATACCTGTGTTGGGCAGCGCTTGAAAGCACGTCAGTCATGCGCTAGGTGCCCAAGGCCCAATTGCCGGTACTGTTAACAACAGCTCGCAACGTTTGCTCGCCCAGAACATTGACATGTGCATTACGGTACACGCCCAAATTACGCTCAACCTTCTTTCCCCCCGGTATTGTCTTTGAACCCTCCCCCCGCAGGAGGTTCTTGCTGCCTACACCGCGCGCGCGGAGCAGCTGCTCCCCAGATGCAACGACCTGCAGCTGCTGGCGGTGCTGCGCCTGCTCGGCGGCGCCGGACACGCACACTACCAGCTCGCCGTGGCGTCAGCGCGGCACCTGCAAACCATCATCATCCCGGGCGGCAGGTTCCGCAGCGCGTCGACCGCGGTGGAGGTGCTGTACCACTGCGCGCGCCAGGGCGTGGAGGACCCCGCGGCAGCCGAGGAGCTGCTCAAGTTCGCTGGGTCGCACGTCGAGGAGCTGCGGCCTGTGGACGCCGCGAGGCTGCTGGTCATTGGACAGGTGCGGCGGCCGTGGCGGTTTGGGAAGCTATGGCTGGGCTAGGGGCGTTTTGTATGGGTTAGTACCTTGGCTGCTACTGCTGAGGCTGACGCTTGCTGATGGTTGCCCGTTCAGGTGATGAACAAGCAGGATGCGCTGCTGACGAGCATGGAGGAGGTGGTGCTGCGCAACACGGAGGAGCTAAACAAGAGCTCGGCGGAGGCTGCCCTGCGCAGCGCACAAGCGCTGGGACGAAGCGAGCTCGTCGCAGCGCTGTCCTCACGCTTGGCCGCGATTGAGACCGAGGCTGGCGCGGCCTGATGTTGACGTGCCTCGGGGTTGGGGGCACTCGTGAAAATGATGTGGTACTGTAATGCTTTAATGGCGCGCAAGTCGTGCACGTGGAAATGGCGTCGGTGGTATTTTACACGCACGTGTTTGCAACGGGCTGGTTGCCCAGCAGCGAGTCATTCCCTCAAGACCCCCATGACTATCTCGACACCCAAGACAGTCGCCTTATTTTGTAATAGATGTGAAATTGTCCCGAGATTTCAGGTAGTTAAGCATGCACAACGAAGCCTGCAGCGAAGATTACTGAGGTCCACCCTCCTTTGGCGCCTCGAACCGCGTGGGCGTGTCCAGCACATACAGGCAGACGAGGCCTGGTACATTATTGGGGACAGGAAGGGGCAAGTATTCACTCCCACCGCAATGGCAAGAACGTATAAGAGCGTGCGAGCCCATCCGCAGGACAACCAGGAGCCAAAGCTACCATGCGCGCACCCATGTCATGCATGCTACGCAGCCTAGATACACCAAGACAAAACGGGACAAGTGGGTTGAGTTCCAACACCGCACCTGCGCATGAAGCCAGCGCCAGGAACAACGCAGCCAGCATTCCCTCCAGCCACCGGACTTGGGTCTGTTGCCGTATGAGAGGAACACGGGCGTGGCGTGAGATGCGACTATGTGAAGAGTAAGCAACGCCCAGACATAAGGAGTAACAGTGAAGCCGGGCATGACAAATCTATACCCACACGCTCAGTTAACAATGCGTACCTTGCATAGGGGTCCGCACTCCTGGTATGGGCCGAAGCCAGTGTAGGTTACCGCCTGTTGGAGGGAGCGACGCTTAGCGCCAGCGGACGCCAGGGTAACGGGCTCCGGTGTCGCCTGAGACGCGTAGACAAAGACGTGGTTTGCGCCAGCAGCCTCCACTGCAGTCTGCACGGCCTTCAGCTGCTCAACCTCCGCAGCCAGGCCCGCGTTGGTGTTGCCCTGCGCCGACTCCACACCCGAGCACACGACAACCACGCGAGAGCGGGTGTTGTCGCCCTTAGCCAGAGCAGCTGCGACATCTGCCGCGAGGTCGGTGGAGGGGGCAGCGCAGCCCACCACCTGGGGAAGGAGTGAGGGGCACGTGGAGGCATGCGGGTGAGATGTCAGCTGCCAATATTCCCGGGCGGGGCAGGCGGGCTGCCGGGCTGCTGGAGGTGTTCTTACCTCGTGCGAGATGCCCGCCTCGTCCAGCTTGCTGCACACATTCTCACGGATGGAAGCACCCTGCACGTTGCACGTTGAAGAGTTTCCAGCATGCTCGAAGCGGGTTACGGTGTACCTCTGTGCCAGTTCCAAGCGCAGTGGCCCAACGATGGGCTAGGCAGTTACAGGGAACGTGCGCCTCTTGCTCGTACACACCTCCGTCCGTGCCGTGCATGCAACCTAACCCGGCTTTCCAACCTATTGCATGCACGCCCCCGGCCTCAACCTCATCTTGGTTGTGGTTGCTTGGCGTGTACACACCCAAAGCTTACCTTGCTGGTGGCATAGGGCACAGCCAGTGATGACACTGCACCCTCAAGCAGGGAGTTCAGGCCATGAACCGCCTCGCTGCGCCCCCGCATGTCCGCAACATCCAGCTGCAAAACCATGCCACAGAAGGCTGGTAAGAGTGCGCTTTGTGGATGCGTGCACTAATACCACGCAGCAACCATACACACAGCTCACACCTGACGCCCAATGAACATGACAATTGTACGGGGCTCCTCTGCATTAAGTGCTTGTCCCGATAGGCTCGACAATGCCTCGCTGCCGGCTGACTTTCCCAGTGCGCCGAGTACTAGCTCAGATGCCATCTTCTCGACCTCCGGGAAGACCTGAAGTATGACAATTTCTCTCGTGATCATTGGCATGCAGATATGTACCTACACGCTGTATGATTAGCAGAAGTTGTACCTGGTAAGTAACGTGCTTGCCCTGACCTAGCACACCCCGGTTGCTCCATAGCAGCAAAGGTGATGAGATCGAAAGAGAACCAGCATTTCCAGCTAACGCCGCTGGCAGCAGGAGCAGCGCCAAAGCGCAGCACAGCCTCATTGTGCCCAATCAGCGGCCAGGACTAAAGCCAACCTATGTCCGCCGCCAAAATTACACTACCTTATACTGTTAAGGTTTACAAAACTGCCAAAAGGCAGGATTGCAGAGATGTCCATCGCGGGACCGCATGGCGCGCCCATGTCGTGGCTGCACGGCAATGCCCTCATGCAGTCTCTTGCCCAGGAGGCAGTAGTGCATAATTTTTACTGAGCCTTTCATTTGTGATCTACGCGCAACCAGTCATCTAAAAATTTACAAACATATGTGACCTGGTCAACAACTTCCACGTTCAGCTTAACAGTTTACGCCCTTCGGAAAATATACAGATCTAACTGTCACTTAAGAGTGCATAATTTAGCCCTAAGCCCTTAGACTAATTTCCTTCTTGCCTGTTTGAAGCCGCGTTGTGTTACCCAGCCGAAGGGGGCCCGCCGGGGTCCCTGCGCTAGCGGCGCAGCACAATGTTTGGCAAAATACTGAGGGCAGGAAAAGGGAGTCATGGGCTGAAGTATAGAATTGATGTGCAAGTAACTCAGCTGGAGAACTTGCCCACAACCATAAGGAAATGCCGGGTAGTATGGGCAAGGAGCGCCAAGATTCAAGTAACAGAAGCGAAGGATGTCCGAGGAAGTGGGTCATGCGTTAAAAGGCCATGTTCTCAGAATTCGGCACCAGCCGAATTGATCGAACCGACAACTTAACTCCCGTTGTGTTCACCCGCTTACGCTTCAGGCGTCGCATCCTTCAAGCAGACCCTTACCCAGGTGTCGACTATGTTCAAGGATAAGGCCGGAAAACTCGAACCCAAGGTATGTTGTTGACAAGCGGTTACAAGCAAGACACCTCGCAGCCACGCACGTCTTGGTTCTTGCCGGGTCATGGATATGCCTGTAGAAGTGCTGCTTGGCAAACATGGTTTGCTATTCAACACGTTGCGCTGCCATGTCCTGATTTCTGCAGGAGTACGAGTTCAAGATCCAGGTGCCCGGGAAGAGCAGCAGCGATGCTCCCGTCACTATTGGCAAGGCGACCCTGGACATGGCCAAATACTGCAGCGACGAGACGACGACGCAGAATGCCATGTTGCCCATCACTTTTAAGGTTGGCGGCACCACCACGGGGTACTTGAAGATGGTCATTACCACGGTCTTTCTTGGGGACGCCAACGAGGACGGACTGACGGAGGTGTCCGGCATGACCGGCCTCACCTCCGACCATGGGTCTATGCGCGAGCAGGACTTAGACGGTGAGTCAGCGTGGGTCAGAGGCATGCACATGCATGTCACGGTAGGCCTTACCCTGCTTTACACGGGAATTATGTCCTTGTAACCGCCGAGGGGCGGTTAACGTGAAAAACGGCATTGCCACGAATGCTGGTACAACCGTTGCACGCACTTGTATCCCCCGGAACCTGCCAGGTTTTGGCGATGATGAGCATGCGCGGTTCAACAAGAAGGCCCGGAGCAGGCGTGACGACGGAGCTTCGTCCTCGACTGGGACATCTGGCCGCAGCAGCAAAGCCGACGCGCGCAGCAGCCAGCGCAAGCCGCTGCCACCCATGGCGGAGGAGGACGACTCGGACCTGGAGGACGAGCCCGAGGCGTCTCCGCAGCCGCCTAAGGCCAGCCGCAAGAAGCCCGCCGCACAGCCTGCAGAGGATGCTGCCGGCGACGGTGATGACAACCCTTTCGCCAAGAAGGTCTCCAAGCCGCCCGCCGCCAGGAAGCCCCCGCCGCCCAAGAAGTGGGCCGATGTCGATGACGTGTCGCCTCTTAGCTCCGACATTTCGGTAAGGGAACTGCTGTCAAGCGCTTACAATTAGTATAAGGAGAACGCGGCTTAGACCAGGCATCCTAATTATTACCGTACCCCAATGCAAGGGCGGTTGCCGGTGTAACCGCCTTAGCATGTGTTGTCGGAGGACAGCTGAACCGGCACAACCGATACCGGTACTCGACATGCTAACGAGCCTTGGTCCTAATGCAGGATTCGGAGGCACCTAGGCCGACCGTCAGGGCAAAACCAAAGGAGCCTGAGGTTCCCCTCGACGACATGAAGGCGTCACTTTTCGCCACCAAGAAGACAAACTCCGCCGGACGAGCGGCGGCAGCAGCTGCAGCAACCGCAGCGACAGCAGCAGCTGGTCCTTCCTCCAGCAAGGCAGCGGGTGCTGGCAGCAAGTCGGCGGCAGCTGGCGGCAAGGCTGGCAAGGCAGCAGCGCCGCCACCGGCCATGGCCGATGAGGACGAGGACCAGCTCCGCAACGACCTCTTCTCCGCCAAGCCGAAGGGTGGCGCGGCAGCAGCTGCCAGCAGCAAACCCAGTAGGGCTCCTACGCCGCCAGCGGTGGAGGACGAGGATGAGGACCAGCTTCGAAACGACCTCTTCTCAGCCAAGCCACGAGGTGGCGCAGCAGCGGCAGCAACCAAGTCTGCGGCTTCTAGGAGCGGTACGGCTTCAGCAGGCGGCTCGGCGGGCACGTCTTCGGGAGGAGGTGCGAGGAGTGGTTCCAGAGCACCGCCGCCACCGCAATCGGATGAGGAGGATGACAGCGACTCGGGTCCCTCGACGAGCGCTGCGGCGCCGCCCGCCAGGTCGAAGTCTCGCGGCAGGGCGGCGGAAGCGGCGGAGGCAGCGGCGGCCACCACGGGCGCATCTGCGCTTGCAAGGGCTGGGTCGGCGAAGCCACCAGCATCTAGGGTAGGTTTCGATGAGGGTCGGGGGTATGGCTGGGCGATGGTTACTTGGGTTCCTTGCGCACGCGCTGAAAGATGAGCAATGTTCATGGAGATATGAAGGTGGACCGCTAGCCAAAGATGCCGAGAAATTCGTGTAATTGTCATGAATGGCCCCATGTAACCCCGCACCTGCGCCCAGGCTGGATCCTCTGGGGAGGTGGAGCAGCTGCGGCAGCGGGTCTCGCAGCTGGAGGAGCAGCTTGAGGAGGAGAAGGCGGCCAAGGACGACCTGAACCAAAAGATGCAGAAGTACGTGGACAAGATTGCTGACCTGGAAGACCAGTTAGCAGAGGTAAAACTTGCCCGACCCATGGGTCACGGGAAACGGGGTGGGACGGGAAAGCCGGCCAAGGTCCCCCCAAGCTCTTGTACCTAGCCTTTGCACGCACGCCTGGCCTCGTTGCCACACCCCATGCATCCATCTCACACTGCACAACTAGCACCGCTGGGTGCTGTTGTACGAGCCCCATGCACCTCACATGCGGCGGGAGTTTCAATTGCATCATACAAAGGGGGCTCTGGTACAGGGCAACGAGCTGTACGCCCAGATGAAGGACATGGAGGCCAAGTACCAGGCTGAGATGAAGGACCTCATGGAGCGGCACCTCGCGGAGGTGGCTGACCTGGAGGAGCAGCACCGCGGCGAGCTGGCGGAGCTGCGCGCGGAGCTGCAGGAGGCCACCAGCAGCGGGCGAGTTGCTGATGTCAGCAGGTGGGAGAAGCGCTCGTAGCAAGCGCCAAGCCGCGCTTTTGTTAGCGGTTAGGTGTTGAGCATCCCGCAGTGTGTTTAGAATGCCTGCTGCTGCCTCGCTTTCACAGCAGCCTAACGGCCGTTATGGTTTGCTTTACGTTGCTGCCTCGCAGCGCTGAGGAGTTGAAGCGGTTGGAGGCTGAGCTGGCAGAGCAGCAGGCGCTGCTCAAGTCGCGTACCGCCAAGCTGGAAGCTGACTCTGCTGCTGCCATTGCGGCACGGCAGGTGGGATATGGGGCCGGCTTTTCTGTGCTCTGCGCAGAACTGATGTTTTGTGCAAGCCCAGTGCACTTTCCAACCTGAACCGGTGGTGTTATCTTGCTAATGTTGCCATGCACCGTCATCACCGCCGCAGGCGGCGGAGGCCAAGTTGGCCGATGCCAACAAGATGATTGACGACAGCTTGTTGGTGGCGACCAAGCACCAGCAGGAGAACACGGTCCTGCAGGAGGAGGTACGTGGTTTGCAGTTTGCGCTGCTTTTAAGGCGCTGAATTGTTGGGCTGGCTGCTTGTTGCCAAAGGACACTGTATCGGCCGCTAACATCGGCTTGCATGATGCTGATGTGTTGCAGGTTGCCCGCCTCAAGCGGCAGCTCGAGGACGCCTCCATGTGGGACACCAGCGCTGCTGCGGCGGCAGTGACGGCGACCTTAAACAACGGGCGGCGGTCCTCAGAAGACGAGGAGGAGTTGGAGGAGCTTCGGGAGAAGGTCGAGGAGCTGCAGGTTGGTTGACAGGCCATGTCATCCCGCACAGTTACCGAGGGGGTGAAAATGTGTGATGGCCCAAGTTGTGCTAGGCGTTTAACGGTTGCGCTGTCCCCGTGCAGGAGGAAAACGCACGGCTGCAAAAGCTGGTAAGTGCAGTTCAAGCATTTCCTTGTACCTTGCGCACTTGCGTGCGCCTTTCGTGCACTAGTATGGCTGCTAAGCTGCTTATAGCTAGATGACCTAATGGGAAGTATGGTTATAAAGAGAAGAAAAGCATGACGAGTCAGCCTATACCCCGGCAGCAGTCTGCAGTACGCATGTAAGATACAAAACCGGTTGTACCACCCAGTCAGCGAAAGGTTTCACAACATGCGCGCGGGGCTGTTACCCGTGCTTAAGTGGCAGTATAAAACGTACAGCATCCTTGGTGGTACGGCAGAACGAGGCCGCTGTACAAGCGGCGGCGGACTTGCTCCTCGACATCCGGGCGCTGACTCAAGAATTCCAAGGCGATGACAACTGCTGGAGCGACACGGTGAGTCCCTTAACGGTCTATCGTGTACGACACGTGCTCTTCGGTGGGTTGTTTGATTCGTACAGTACCGCATTTACAATTACCTTGCGGCAAACCTTGGTTCCTGACTAACGTATGAATGTAACCTGCGCAGGGACTCGCCGCGGTTGACGAGCTGGCACTTGGTGTTCGTTGCCTATGCAACGCCTACATCCTTAAGACCGGCCAATTGCAGGAGATGGAGGCAAGGTACGCACTTGCGCTTGCATCGATTGCATGCAATTAGGTCTTGGGGTGTAGGGCTGGAATGTGCCGAGCTTACCAAGATGACATCCGCTTTCCACGCAGGCTTAACGACATGTCACAACAACTGGCGGCGAGCAACGGCTCAGACCGTTCCTCGGACGGCGCTCGCAACAGCCGGAGCGTCAAGCCTCACGAGCTGCTCTCACGCGTGCAGCAACTGACGGCTGAGCGCGATGCCCTGACGGAGAAGCTGGAGAGCCAACGCCGGGCCGTCGCTGGTGCGGCTGCTGCTCAGCAGCTCATCAACGAGCTGCGGCAGCAGGTGGACGAGCTCACGGTTGAGAAGGAAGCTGTGGAGCGGTTCAAGATGTCCACGATAGCAGATCTGCGACGTCAAAATGATGAGTTGCGGAGCAGTCTGCGGTCCCTGTCCGTCACGGCGTCGCCGCGGCAGGGCATGGAAGACGCGTTGGTCGATGGCTTGCCAACAACGCCTGCGGGCGTGCGTGCCTCCTTTGCAGGCGCAGCCGCCGCGCATTTGGCGGCGGGCATTGCTGCCGACAGCAGCAGCGACGGCAACTGGCAGGAGTTGGAATCCCTGATGGCGCAGTTCACGGCGGACCGCACCGAGCTGCGGGGGCAGGTCGAGCAGCTAAAGGCTGACCGCTCGGACCTGCGGGGGCAACTGAAGCAGCTCAGGGCTGAGAAGGCCGCGCTGGAGCAGCAGCTTCAAGACCTCCAGGCGGAGCGCGCTGCCGAGCCGGTGGCAGCGACTAGCATGGGTGGTGGCCGTCGGCGGTCTGGGCAGCACTCGGGTGCTCATCACCAGCACCATCGAACAGAGGAGAACGAGTCCGACTCTGCTCACCTTCGTGCCGAGGTTGAGAGACTCCAAGCGCAGCTGGCGGAGCTGTCGGAAGCTGACGCGGTCATCAAGGAGTGGTCGGACTATGCGGACGGCCTGTTAGCTGACAAGACGCGGCTGGAGGAGCGGCTGCAGGAGCTGACACAGCAGCTGGAGGCGGAGGCTGCGGCTGCTGCAGCGGCCTCCGCCAGGATTGCTGCCGCCGAGCGGCGCACAGCGGAGCTGGAAGGCAAGGCTGCAGAGTTCGAGCGCCGAGCCGCCGACGCTGAGCGTGAAGTTGGCGACGCGCAACGCCGGGCAGAGGTGGCTGAGTCCAGAGTGAAGGCTGCAGAGTACAGGGCAGAGGAGGCTGCTGCGGCGGCGGAGCGGTTGCAAGAGCAGCTGGCGGCGTTGGAGTCCTCGTCTGGGGGCTTGACGGCCGCCGACGCGGGTGGAACAACGTGGGGTGACGAGCTGTACTACCAGCCTGCAGACAGCGCCGAGGTCTTGGCGTTGCGGCAGGAGATAGCGCGCTTGGAGGAGTCCTTATCAGGGCTGAGGACGCAGCTAAGGGTTTCAATCTCGAGGGAGGCCAGCGCTGGAGGCGCTGTGCCCTCTGTTTGTATGGCACTAGAACCGCGTGTACGTCACCTCCACGGTGATCACGAGGCAAGCCGGTCAGTCCGGTCGTCCCTCGAAGGGGAGTGGCGTGAAGGTGTTGCGCGGGGTTCTGGCAGTGGTTCGCCGGTTCGGGAATCCGGGAGCGGAGCGGAGGCAGGGCCTGATCCACCGGCCCGTGGTTGGGATGCGGAGATGGAGCAGCTGCGCGCTCGCAACGCCTCTCTGGAGGCTGCTGTGGCCGGGCTGCAGGCGAGCCTCGCGCTTGCATCGCAGCAGCCGGAACTCGGCAGCAGCGGCCGGCGGAACGGCCCCTCCTCCATGCAACGGCAGGTTGAGGACCTCAAGTCTCAATTAGCAGACGCCTTGCAGGTACTGATGCTGTTGGTTTGCGTTGGGGTGGGATTCGCAGCCCTATCCTGTTTGCACGCCTATCTGCGACGTGTACGCAGCCTTTGTTTCGGGCTCTGCACTTCCACTGTGTTACACTTACATCGATAATGTCCTTCCTTACAGGTGAAGGGCGAGCTGGAAAGCACGGTCGTGCTTCTTCGCTCCGAGCTAGAGCGCGTGCCTCTCGTACAACACGCTTCAAGTGGTGGCGACGCACATGACGATCCCAGGAGATCCTCGGGCAGCGGGGCAGACGCAATCGCAAAGGTTTCGTCAAGTGAAGCCCTGCAGCTCAGGCAGGAGGCGGAGGCCTTGGAGGCGGAGGTGGCTCGCCTGGAGGAGGAGTGCTCCTCGCTCAACGCAACCGTGGGGGGGCTGCGGTCTGACGTTGCACGACTGCAGGTGCGCAGCTGGGGTTGCGTAGTTCTTGCGGCTGGAGCAGCAATCCCCGAGTTACCCTGCTGTTTCCGCGTGTGCCTCCGTCGGGTGCTTTTCCCACCCTCCTGCTGGCGAAGATGTGTGTAAGTGCCGGTCATTAAACGCCAATCTCCCATGTTATTGTTCCAGGAGGAGAAGCTTGACGCGCAACATAACGTCCGCCGCCTGTCGGTTGAGATGGAGGAGCTCGCGGAGGCACTGGAGTCGTCCAACAGCGAGAACGAGCGCCTGTCTCTGGAGGTCCTCAACCTCCGAGCGCAACTGGAAAGCCTCGAGGAGCGGCAGACCGGAGACGGCACCGCCTCCCTCCGCACGCACTCGGTGCACTCGAGCGCTAGCGCGCCGGCAGCCAGCAGCCATTGCAGTGAAGCAGGTGGACCGGCGCCGACTCAGCAGGCGCGGTCGGACCTAGAAGCTGCGGAAAGTGAGCTGGCGGCTGCACGCGCAGCAGCCCGGGAGCTTGTATCGCAGCTCGAGGCCGACAGGGCTGGTGATGGTGGCTTTGGCGATGAGCCTGCGTTTGGAGGTGTTGACGAGGAACAAGATTTGGCGCTTGCACTCAAGGCATTGCGGGTAAGAGGTGCTGCCGGTCGCTGGCGAGATTGCAAGGGAGCATCTGGGCTGTGCGGGATGTGCCACTTTTTAGTGCTCCATGCCACAATGCACCCTTATGTCCCCTGTCCTCTTGTCCCCACGTCCCCATTGCGTAGGCCAAGGTACTGGAGCTGCAACAGCAGAGCCGCTTACAGCACCCCCAGCGCTCCTCTGACCCCGCGGGCGCCCCGGGTCCAGCTCATGCCGCCGCGGAGCAGCTCGCCAAGGCCACCGCCCGCATCGACGAGCTGGAGCAGCTGCTAGAGAACGCCGAGATCGAGAACCAGCACCTCACGGAGCAGCTGGAGGAGTGCCTGACGGACGGTCGCAAGGGCGCCGACAGCGCGGGCTCGGTGGCGGAGGAGTGCCAGTCGTCGTACGGCGGATCCGTCGCCGCCGGCGCCACGGGCGGTAACAACCCCTACAGCTACGGCCATGCGAATACCCTGGCGTTGTCCGCGTTTGAGCAGCGGTTAGCCATGGCTGAGGGTCGGCGTGACGAGCTGAGTGCGGCGTTGGATGAAGCGCTCGCTGCGAATCGGCGGCTGGAAGCGGATGTGGCGGAGTTGCAGCGGCAGCTTACGTCAGGCCGCCGCCGGCGCAATCCGCTCCCGCTTGACGATGACGACGACGAGTGGCCCTCTGGACAGGTGCGATGGCACTACCCAGCTTGCCACTGGCATGGTTGCATCTGCATTGAGGTAGCTTATATGTTTGGAACGTGCCATGTGTTTTGCCTATTTAGGCGCCATTTGTGACCTAAAGGTGTATGGAAAAGGTTAGCGTTACTATACCACAAGGCGGCGTTATGACAGCTTGCTTCCGCGAAGGTTCAGCCCTGTCTGGCAACACTCCTGACGGGATGGTCCGGGCTCATGGTGTGCCCGCCGCAGGTATGCACACTGCGAGGCGGCTGGCGGGCAGGGCAGCGCAGCTTACAACAGCAGCACACAACAGCTAGCAGCAGCTAGGCGTGCAGGCACCAAGTTCTATTGCCAGCTTTAAAAGCAGGGCAGCCTGCAGAACTACGAACATGCAGCTGTCTACAGGCCAGCAAACGAAAAGCTCCCCGTTGTAAAGAACACCACGTTTTCCGTAAAGCGCCAGCCAAATCCACAGCTAGCAAAACGGACCTCAAGAAGGAAACAAGAGCTTGAAGTTTTTCATTGCATCATCCACGTCTTTACCCGCTTTCGTCAGTGCCAATCTTGACTCCTTTGTCGCTGCTGCTGGTTTGCTTCCATTCAGGTCTCCACCAGGGGCCGCGCGGGGCGCGCAGCGTCGGAGCCGGATGAGAACCTCAAGGTATGGGCAATGGGTTATCCCCGGAGAAAGCACTGTGTGGGGGTATGTAGGCGTGGAGGTGCCTCTTGTACGCTGCATTTATATCTTGCCATTACCACCCTCCCTCGGCGTGGAAGGAGCCAAAGGATTAGAATGAACTGGATGCGGCATTCCATGTATGCCCAACTTGCGCGCTGTCCCTTGGCCTTGCAGAAGCGCGTTGAGGAGCTGCAGGCCGCCAACCGCAAGCTGGAGTCGGTGTGCGACGACTTGGAGGAGAAGGCGCAGGCTGCGCAGGAGCGCGCGGAAAAGCTGCAAACAGAGCTGCAGGTGTGTTAACGAATCTGGCCATGTGTGCGTGTCTACTAGGGGGTCTTGGAAAACCACTTTGCTGCAGATTGTTCGGTTTCTCGCTAAACCTGCGCAGCTTGGGCGCTATTGGGCACCTTTTGGTAGCTTCTTTTTCGATAGTCCCTTTTAGGCGGGCATGGTTTGCTCAAATGCGTCGCCTCCCGTACCGGTGTCTTGCCCCCTGCCAGGACGCCAAGGAGCGCATTCGCGGTCTCGAAGCGGCGCTAGCTTCAGCCACAGCTGCGTCAGCGGCACTGCAGAAGCGGGTGAGGAAGGCGATATGGCGGGGTGCAGGGGGGTGTAGAGAGGCTGTGGGCGCGCTTGACGGTAGGACGCGGCGGCAGCGGCAGGTGGCTGCGGGCTAGGCCAGCTCCTCGCTCTGGTCCTGCCCGCACCTGCCGCTGCTGCGTGAAACCCACCGTCTGCTACCGTCACACCCCGTGGCCCTGACCTAAGCCCACCCTGCACCCCAGCCACCGGGGCGCCTGCCTACCCCAGTCACCTACAGACCTGGGCAACGGCCGCTTGCCACCCGCCCGCCCGCCGCACTGCCTGTGTTGATGCTTTCCACGGCGGGCGGGTGCGGCTGTAGGCTGCTGCTCAGGGGGTGTCTGGGGTAGGCGGGTGCCTGGGATAGGTAGGACGGCACGCGGCGCGCCATGCACACGCCCAAACCGCACTGCATGGCACTGCACTGGTACAAGAGCTTGGGGGGACTAGGGCTAGGAAAGAACGTGTCATTACGTCAGCCAGTTTGCTGCATTTTGTGAGTAATATGTTGTCCCCCACCCATGCACCTTGCCTGCCAACAGATTGAGGAGGAGGCTGCGGAGGCAGGCAAGCGACAAGCCAAGGACAAGTCCGCGGAACTGGAGCTGCGGGTCGCTCGTCTGGCGCGCGAGAAGGCGGCGCTGGAGGAGCAGCTGGCGGAGGAGCGGGCCACACGGCAGGAGGTGCGTGGGCGCCTTGTATCGAGCAAGGGATTTGCGAAGGGAAGGGGTGTCTGTCTCGAGGATATCGGTGCATGGGCAGGTTATGTTAGGCATCTGGATGCTCCTAATCTTGTATGTTAGCTTAACGCTAATTTTCGTGTGCCCTTGGCTGCTGGCAACAGCTGGAGGAGACCCTGAAGGACAAGCTGGATCGCGCCGGTGACGACGAGGCCGCTGAGACGGTCGCTGCGTTCGAGGTCAAGTACAACCGCCTGAAGGAGCGGTACAAGGTGGGTTGGGGGTGGTGGCTTGCGGTTACTTTTTGCGGCGTAGCTACACGGCATTCGAGTCACCATGATCAGCGTCATTGTGTCGAAGGCCCTCGGCTGCTACACCCGATGTCTGCGACTAGCACTGTACAACGCTAGCAACGGTACCGGTGACGGTTCCCGGCGTCCTCAACGTACCGCAATCCTCGTGTACTTGCTTGTCGTACACAGATGCTTGAGGAAAGCAGCCAGGAGGAGATTGACGAGCTGACGGACCAGCAGACGGAGGCGCAGTCCAAGGCCGCCGACCTGCAGCGCCAAGTCAAGCAACTGCAAACGCAACTGTCCCAGTAAGTATCTTGTGGGTTGAATCATGACTCGTGGAGGTTTCCGGCATGCCTTTCCCTTTCCTAGTGCCAATTTGCCAACACTTACTTGCAACAAACGGAGCGTGGGTAGGGACAGAACGGCTACTGTATGCCAGCAGCATGCACATGAAACAAGCGCCCGAGCCTCCTCCGTCGTATAGCTCCATAATACGGCACAACCCACACGCCGCCCACCAACGTGACACTTGCGCAGGAACCGCAACGCCGGCAGCAACACTGCCGCAAACGCCGAGGAGTTGCGCAACCTGCGCAGCGAGAACGAGCGTCTGGTTCAGCAGCTGGTGTCCAAGACCATGGAGCTTGCGGAGCTCAGCGAGAGCGAGATCACCCTCAAACGCGAGCTGGCGCGGCTGCGTGAGGTAAACATGAAGCTGGCGCAGAAGGCCACCACGCTGGAGGCCCAGGCGGCGATGGCGCAGGCGGCGCTGAACAGCAACAGCAAGCCGGCAAAGGGAGCGAAGAAGTAGAGCAGGCGCAGATGAGGAATGTGGGGAGATGTGTGTTAAGAAAAGTGGCCGCGATGTGTGTGTGTGGGGGTCTTGAGCCGCGACGTGAGTAGCGGGTACTGGAGCGTGAATGCGAGGGCATTTCGTAGCAACGACACGTTACATATTAATGACCCGTGCATTTTGGCACATTGCCATCCCGTCGTCCGGACTGGTACCAACATTTACTGTCAACACTCGGCGTTTCGGTGGTCAAGGCACGCGCTTCTGACGCGAATTCTGTACAAAGTAATGTCTTAGCAGCTTTCCCGAGTCATGGCTACACAACTACATATCCAGCAGGCTGGAAAGCCATGCACGGTCACTTTTTGTAAGGTGTCGCCAGTCAAAAACCCAATACCTTATAATCCACCATATCTGTCAGCACTCTTTAACCGTACCATATGTCATCAACCCAATGTCGCCAACGCAGACTTCGTACGACAGCCCCAGTCCAGTAATGCCACCTCCCTCCTTCAACCAAACAACAGCCTGCAGCACCAGCCGCGCCCCTCTCCCATCTCCTTTTAAATCCGCTACTGGATCCACCTCCGCCTACTTCTGGATGGGCTGGATCTTGAAGTGCGCGGATATAAGCGAGAACACGTAGCACTTGAGGTCCTGCACCAGGTAGTAGAAGATGCGCAGGCCGTCCGGGTCCTTGCTGTTCTGCACCTGCAGCACGGAGCCCAGCTTGGTGCATGTGAAGGAGATGTGCTGGCCGCCCAACACCACCTCCAGCTCTTGTCGGCCCACGCGGTCGGGAGCAGGCCAGTTGTTGTCGTCCTCCTTCAGGATCTATTACGCGTGCAGGTGCAGCCGGAGGGCAAGGGGAGAGAACGGGTGTCGTGGCTTAAGATACGTGGAAGGCATGTTGAGCGCTAATAGCACCAGCGGCCAGGCTGCACAATGGCAAGAAGCGCCTCTTCAACCAGTGGGACGTATGGTCCTTTCCTGATCGCCCTGAGCCCTGACAATGACGCGGGAGCGAAAGCGGAGATGCCAACGTGCCATGCATAAGCAATGAGCTCAAGAGGGTAACATGCTGACATAGCCAAGCCAAGCCTTCCTCCCTTCCTTCCTGCCAACCACAAGCGACCACTGCGCTTCCTGTAGAAGCTTCGCTTAGCTCCGTGGCAGCCCGGGGTGCGGTAGCATGACAGCCTGCCCTCATACCAGCCCCCTCCCCACCTCGCTGTCCTCCACGATCCGCTTCAGCTCCGCAATGACCGACTGGCTGACATACACCTCTCTGCGTGGGAAGGAGGGAACGGCCACGGGGGTGTTGCCATGAGCAACACTATGCAATACAGAAGCCGCTGATAGATAAGCCGGATTGCAAGGGGAAACCCCATGTGGAAGGGTTGCCTGCACCACCATCAGGATGACGCCCAAACCCGGCTCTCTAATCCACTTGTGAATACGATTGTGCAGTTTCCTTAATTCCCCGAGCGGCGGGTAAAGTCAGCATTCCCCACCTCGTAATGATCTCGTCGTTCTTGTAGTTCGAGTTGTTGGCATACCGTAGCTGCAGGGATACAATGTAATACAGCGCAGTGAGCCTCCTCCACTACTAATAACGGAAGCCGTTCAGGCCGCACAAAGTGTTCTCACCCGGCCATCCTTGTTAAACTCAAACTCAAGGAACTCATGCCCGAACTTTCCTTTGTGTCCTACATAGTATCGCAGGTAAAAGTCGTCCGCCATGTTGGAACTATGCAAATAGTGTAGACAAGGTCAACTAGAGGCAGCGGCGGTCGAAGATATCTTTGCGGGGTTATATTCTATAAGATTTAGCTTGTAAGGCTAACTAATGGCTATGTTTGCAGCGCCGTGCTGTGCATATGCTCCGTGCATGCATGGGACGAGATAGTTTGCGGCACTTCATTCATGCGCAGTGAAGCTCCACTGATCACCATCATCCCCCGCGTAGTAATACAGATACGGGCTAGGGCTTGCTATATATCATTGTTGTTGCTGTTGCCCATCCACCGCAACATGCCGGAGTGAACCGGGGCTTTCCGCCATATTTAGTACACTAAATACCTAAAAGCATTAAGAAAGCACAACCGTGCTTCTTGGGGCGATGAGGTGGTACCCATGGGTCTGAGGAACAGTTTGTTGCCATAGCTGGACAGCACCACAGCCTCGTCATCGTTCCCCGCCGTGGCACGGTTTCAGCGCCTTAGTCAAACCCCCCTGCATCGCCTCTATCAAAACCCATACACTGCCCGTAAAATGGCCGCTTGCGGTCTCTACCGCACCAGAACTTCGTCGGCGTATGTGGGAAGGCTTTGGCAGCGGGCCTTTGCCTCGGCATCCGGCGCTGCAGGGGCGGGCCAACCCCAGGACGAAGATGGAGCGCGCAAGCGCATCATCTTCCTCGGCACTCCGCAGGCACGTCACGCCCTACGTGCCCCTACCTGGCTAGCCCCTTCCTGCGTTTGTGGGGAACCATGGTCGTGAAATCCGGGGGCTACCCCGCGGCTGCTTTGTAGGTGGCGGCCCTTGTTCTGGAGCAGCTGCTGAGTGCAGCCGCGGCTCCAGGCAGCAACTTCGAGGTACGCAGGAATGGGCGCGTGTCGGAAGTGCAGCTTCGGAAGGAGCATGTGTTCAAGCATCGCCGTGAACTGCATGAACTGATAAGACACCAGCAGCACTCAGCCGAATGTCCTGTCGCTAACACTGTATCTCCAATCCATCACTGCAACGCCACATGCAGGTCGCAGCGGTTGTCACACGACCCAGCGGCCGACCCGCGGGTCCCTCCAGCCCTAGCGCCCAAGCCGCGCTAGCACCAGGCGACACACCACATCACCAGCAGCTGCAGGGGGCCACCGCAGGGTTGCCGCCACCGCCATCGCCTTCATCCCCCAGCAGTTCCTCACGTCGGAAAGCTGTGGAGCCGTCAGCAGTGGAGCAGCTCGCCCGACAGTGCGGCCTGCCACCTGACCGCATCCTCTGCCCCGCTAGCGCACGAGAGGTACAGCGGCCAACCGAAGCATGGAACATGAACATGATCCGTTTTGCCGTACGGATGCGTCTTCGCTTGCGACCTGGGCCTCTGCCGTACCGTGCTGCAAATCTGAATGCTAGCGCAACAGCGTTGTGATACCTGGATACGGCAAGATTGCATCTGTGTCCCGTCAGTGTCGCATATCTTTCCTCACAATCGCTTTGTCGCTGCTTTTTATCCGGCTCCTTCCTTGCTTGCCGCCGCGCTCTTGCTGCTGCTGTTGCTGCAGCCTGCTTTCCTGGACGCCGTACGGCACCTGCGTCCCTCGCTCGCCATCACCGCCGCGTACGGCTGCATGCTGCCGCAGTCCTTCCTGGACATCCCGCGCTACGGCACCCTCAACATCCACCCCAGCCTGCTGCCCAGGTGCGATGCTACACTGGCCAGCCGAGGGGGGCAGCATGCTGTTATCGGTAAGGCCCTGACCGGGTTATCATAAAAATCTGGAAAGTCCACCCGTCCTTGGCTCGCCCTACCTGTTGCCCGCCCGCAGGTATCGCGGTCCCGCCCCCGTGCAGCGCGCGCTACAAGACGGCTGCAGCGCCACCGGCGTGAGCCTGGTGTTCTCTGTGCTGCGCTGCGACGCGGGCCCGCTGCTGGAGCAGCAGCAGGTGGCGGTGCCGCCCGACGTGCAGGCGCCGCAGCTCACGGAGCAGCTGTTCCGGCGGGGCGCGGAGATGCTGCTGCGGCAGCTGCCGCGGGTGCTGTCTGGGGAGGTGGGGGCGGCGCAGGCGGCCCCGCAGGATGAGGCGGCTGCGACGTACGCGCCCAAGGTGAGGGGGTGCGGGTGTCCGTGGAAGGGATACGGAGCGGACATGAGTGTTCGTACTTGCGTGCTTCCTGTATATGACCTGGTGCGCCTGGCGCGGTAACCTTGTTGAGGGCAAGTCGCTTGTCGGGCATTCATGATTTTCCAAAGCAAAAACGGGGATCACCGGTACGGTTGCTTGCCGTACGGCCGCAGGTTGTGAAGCAGGAGGCGCAGCTGGACCTCAGTTTGCCGGCGCTGGCGGTTCACAACCACGTACGGGCGCTGGCGGACTGGCCGGGCAGCCGCTGCACTCTGATGCTGGAGGCGAGGGAAACGGGTAGGGCTTCTAGGGTACCGGTACGGGGACTCCCGCACGCCAACCGGGCTGTGACTTACTAGGTGCCGGCAATGCAGAGGTGGCTGCAGATGGCTTTTGATGAATTTACGCGAATTTACGCGCAAACGGTTTGCTGTTTGCAATGTGTTTTGAACGTGTTTTGGTGTACTAGCCTCATGTTTGAAGGGTGGCACGCATGTCTGCCACACCCCCCGTGCCGCCCTCCTTTAGGTGCTCTCCAGCCCCTAGAGGTGCGGCTGCTGCGTACTCGTGTGGTGCCGCCGCCGCTGCAAGCCAGCTGGACCCCCCGCGGAGCCCTGCCGCCGGGCACCCGCGCGCAGGTACGGCAGGGTGGCGCACCTCCCTTCGGACTCGGCGGCCGTGAAGTGTGCCTCTTCTTACCAGTCCTGACTGTGCCTCTCATGCATGCCTCATGCGCTAGCTCCGTGTGACAGGAGCTGCTTGTGTGTTAAGAAAACTGGCCGCGAGTAGGAACGTACTGATGTTGTTGGAAGATGAAGTTCCCACAGAACCGTCGCAGGAGCCGAGGAATATTGTAGCGTATGTAGATATAGAAGTCCAGTACTGGTGCTGAGAGTATGTAAGACGTAAGAAGCACTCTCGTAAAACGACCGGGCCTAAGGCCCGTAGTAGTAAGTTGATATGTATGTAGTAGCTCTTGCCTTCTTAGTTATCACATAAGCGACGTCATGGGTCGCTTTGCATTGACACAGTAGTGGTGAAGAGGTAGAAGTTCTGCTGAGGTTGTGTTTTGTCCCGCGTGCGGTGCACAGGTGCTGGTTAGCCCGGCGGGCGAGCTGCTGGTCCCCTGTGGCGACGGCAACATGCTGCAGGTGCTGGAGGTGAGCGGGGGTGGGCGGTGGTGGGGCGGGAGGGGCGCTGGGGGGTTGCGAAGGACTGGCGGGTGCCTTGGTTGAGAGCATGTACGGACAGTGTTACGGAGCTGCCGGCATCACTGGTGGACGAACTGTGCCTGACTTCACGACTTGGGCCTTCCTCTTGTTCCACTCCATTCATGCTTCCAACTGGTCCCCGGCCCGAACTCAGCGTTACCCGTCGTGGCCCTGATGCCTTCAGGTGGGTCGCAAAGCTGGCGGCGTCGGCGCCCCGTCCTCCTCCTCTTCGTCCCCTCGCCCCTCCGCCAAATCCCTAACACCGAGGGAGTTCATCGCGGGCCTCAGCAAGCGCCGCGTCTTCGTGCCCCTTCAGCCGCCCGCCCAACCCTAGCCCCTCCCAAAATGCAGTGCGGTCTTCCCATGCCCTGCCTGGCCCCAAAAAGCATCCTATACCGGAAACATGGCTTGTTATCCGGCGTGCCATGCCCGCGTGCGCTCCCCCACGTTGTTCGAGCACAATGGACTCCTACTTTTATTGAGGAGTCACAAGGCTAACTAAGCAGCAAACAAGCTTTACATCGTACATTCACATGTGTGTACGGACAAGTGCAAAGAGGGGCAGTCCGTTGCGACTGGTGTGCAGTCTCTGTAAAGTCCGTCTGCCAACGGCCTTCGTAGGCCCCGCGAGTCCAACAAAATGCTCTTGAGGCTTTGCATAGGCCATGCTTGCGTCCAAAGTCATGCCGCCGTCAGCTGACTAGCCTGCTTTCAACAGCCCCGTTAGAACCCTATTTGTATCCCAGCCCCGCATGCCCACCTGGACGCCCCGCATGCCCACCTGGACAACCGCTCTACACCCCGGCACCCAAACACAGCGTTCGCCATACAGCCACAAACCGCCCCATTTGTCACCAAGGTACGGCAGCTTCACCCAGGCTGCTGCCTCCCTGGGCGCCACCCTGCACCAACGGGACACAACAGCGCCGTACAGTGCTACAAAAGCTGCCAGCTCCGAACCAAGTTGAACCAAGTCGTCCTTCTGCCAGACCGCTTAGGAACGACGGTGAGATGTGACCTAGTTGCTGATGCTATCAGCCACCGTCAAAGTATGCGTCCACAGCACGTGTAGCTGCCTCCACGTTTGGAAAAGGCCCTTTGTTAAGCTGCCGCTGTGTTCTAATGTTGTAGTAGTCATCTCACAAACCATCGTCGTCTGCGGGGAAGGGCACGGGCACGGAGCAGGAAGCTCGCACTTGTGCAGTTATAGCTAGAGCTGTCACGTGGATCAGCGTGTCTTCATTGCTAGCAGAGCAATGCCAAGTCGGGCTCAGGAAGGGGGGCTAAGCCACAAAGGGCGGGGTAACTAAATGGTGTCTCTAGGCGTGGACCGGGACGGTTAGTCCACAAGACGCACCTTCTAGCCCCAACAACGCGAAGCACCGCGCTTGTGAAAGGAGGTTATGCGCCAGACTGGCAGGCATGCTGCTTGGCAATGTCGCCAGTCCAGACGCGCCATTCGCTGGCCGCACCAAGCCGGCACTGCGTTATATGCACAAATCAGAAATGGGTCGGCTGCAAAGACTGAAGGGCGGCGACGCCAGGCTAGCGTCTTTAAACAGATGCTTATACCTAATAATGTTGAACCCACCTGACGGTTGCGGTGCTGCCTGTGCACGCTCTTCCGGCAGACATGCTAGTAGCCTCCGCAAGCATCTGAATCGCTGGGCGATGCAACAACAACGACGACCTCATAGCGCAACGCAACATTTTGTCCCTATTCCTGCCCTGGGAGCCAGAGTTGTTGGAGATGTAATGAGGAAGGGATTATGTCAAAAGAACGAAATCCACGTCGCTTTATTGTATCCCGTAACGAGTGCTAATCGTGAGTGCAGTATACGCCCTTGCCGAAGGGGTTCTGCTGGTTGCTTATGGCTTTTCCAGGAGTGGCTCCGAGACCGTTTAGGCATGCCTTGTTGATTCCTTCTTTTGTTGGCAATTGGGATATACAAAACACTGTTACAACACACACTTTGTATTAAGGACATAGAAATGACGGTATTTACTTGTAGCTTTCTAAAAACAACTTAACGGCCCTCAGGAGTGCAATGCATATCTATCGCCCGGGGGAGCATGCCTTCCTAGGAGTTTGCGTGCTGCTATTGCTGGTGTGTGGAGCGTTTACACAGTTCCCGGCCCAAGGTACGTTGGGCATTGGGGCTCAGAGTGTTACCAACTGCTCTGTGCTGCAGCTCCATGCGGCAGTAGAGGAAAGGGATGTATGGGTAGAGTATGCTGTGATTGCGCTGGTACCCTGATCTACGCGCTTACCAGCTCGCACGTCGTGGCACCGCTTCGACTTCACGAAGCCAGCTTAAGTCAGCGCACTGATGCATGAAGCCTACTAATTGGTGCGTTCACAAATGCAAATGTTCCAGTGGGGACTTTCCTGGCACGCAGCAGGCAACTGCTCGGTTTAACCGACCTTCGAGCCAACTGGCGGTTACCCTTAGGCAGCTGCTAAGGAATACAACGCTGCAGCTGCATGCATGCAGTAAATAACCTTGAGTTTTGACGGAATTTAGGGCTTCCCAGACGATATGTGTAATTTTCTCGCGTCCTTCGCATGGAGAGCATTTGCCATCCCCGTGGCGCCGTTTGGAGAAGATTACCATGGAAAGTCCGCTTCGACCATTTGCTTCCACTTCATCAGTCTTGATGCGGCAGTGGGTATCCTATAGCTTTACAGCTAAAACAGGCAGCTAGTCGTACAGAGACTATCGGCTAGGAAGCTGTCTTCTAGGCGTCTGCTCCAACTCCGTTGGCGCCCTCCGCTTTTCAAGCATGTGTTCCGTGTAGACGAAGGCCTCTCACCCTGACAGACTTGTGCCTACAGGTGTCGCGGCCTGCCCCCTTAGGTCATATGCCTTTAAGTAATGTCTTTCCATGATAACTCTCCCGTGTCTTACATCTTTATGCGTCCTCCTCTTCATCCACTCATCCCACAGGAACATGGCCACGACCTCCGCTCCAACCGCCTTCGGGCCCTCCGCCTTCACCCCTAGCTCCGTCACCCTCTCCTCCTCCACACCCGCACCCGGCGCCAACTCCCCCTCCCATCCTGCTGCCGTTGCCCACGACCCGTCCACTGCTGCCATCGCCGTTTCCGCCTCTACCAAAGCCGCCGTCCGCACTGCCCCCCTTAGCTCCGCCGGGGTTACCCCTCCAAACCCCTCCTCCTCCACAGCCCTCCCTCGAGCCACCTGGCGTCGCGGCTCCACCGCCACAACCGGCTTTACCGTCGCCACCTCCATCCCAGCTCAGCCAACCACCGCAATCGCCTTTTCTGGAGGACCAAACCTCGCTGACCTTCAAGCAGCCGCCATCTCCACCACCTGCCTCTGCCATGTACCAACCCACAAGCCCCACGCAGCCTGACACACCCCCATCTGCGCCACCACCACTATCTCCCGACCCTGCCAACCCCTTTCCCTGGTTGCTGCCCCCGTCACCGGTTGGGAACGGGCTAGACACCCTGGCAGCTGGGTTGAGCGATGGCAGCGGCAGCGCCTTGGCAGCTGAGGGAGGTGCCCAGGCGCCGCAGCCGTTCGCGTTACCACCGGCGCCGGCCGTCCAAACGGGTGAGCCGTGGGTGGGTGACTCTGACCCTGTTCCGGCTGAGTGGGATGAATGGGAGGTTCATGGGGGCTGCACGGGCGCCCAGGAGCTCTGGGGTCATACACCCTGCCCTTGTGCTGCGCTGGGCTAGGCAACCTGCGTTTGCGAATGTCTTCACGTTCTTCCCCTAAAGCGTGCAGGTCACCATTCATAGTGCCGTTTGCCATGCAGTCGCCGTTCCCACTTTGCCGCTTGCATTACTATCCCAAATGCAGAATTTCCATCTCCCTCGTCCTACTCCACCCCTCTTGCCTCAGCAGCAGCTGCCAGCACTGCCGCCACTCGGTTAGCCCTCGCAGCCGGCTTGCCCGCTGCTGTCGCCCTCATCACGTGCATCGTCGCCGTCGGCCTGATTGCTGCCCCGGCCCGGCGGCGGCGGATGTGGGGACGGAAATGCACCTCCGTCGCCCCATGCTGCCTCTGGTGCCGTACGAAACCCAGACAGTCCGACCCAGATCTCGAGGCCACATCGTACTCCGCATCAGGCCTCCGACAGGCGTCCCCTTCGACGAGTCCCCGTCTAGGCCAAACAGCTGCCGTCAGCTCTTCTGCAAGCGTAAGCGGAGGCGGTGGCGGTGGCAGTGGCGGCAACAGCCGTCGTAACAGCGGCGCCGCCGCAGGCAGTAACGGCGGTCACAGCCGCCGCAGCAGCGGTGCCAGCGGACTTGTCAGCCCCCGCAGTCAGCATCTGCTGGCGGCTCGAGCTAGGCTGCTTATTCGAACCGTGACGACCTTGAACCCCTTCGGTCGCGGCCTGATCTCAACCGCCGCAGTAACGGCCTCGTCTGCCTCTGCTTCCGGCAGCCGGCCCCAGAGCCCCCAGACATCAGGTCACGGACCCCGGGGCCCCCAAAGCAGCGAGACAGACCGCAGTGCGGTTGTGGTGGGAGGTGGTGGCGGCGGCGCATTCCTTGACTCACCCGCGCACGTGGCCGTCATCTTCTCTTCCGGTGTCCAGAAGGACACGTCTGGGGGCCGCGGTGATGCAGTCAACGGCCGTAACGCTAGTAACTCCAGCCCGCGGGAGGGGGCCAGCTTGCTGACCGGCACTCGCACTCCCTCCTCCCTAATCCGCCACATGCACTCGTCGCCCCGTGTGAACACAGCGCCGCAAGTCGTGCTGGCGACACCAGTCCCAACACCTGCAACACCAGCAACAGCAGCAGCAGCAGCGGCGGTGGGGGGGTCACGTGCACCGCCGCTCCCACCACTGCTGCCGCCCCGCCGCAGCCGCAGCCTGGAAGCAGCCTGGCGACGCAACAGGAACGCCGCCGCCGCCGCCGCCGCCGCCGTCAAACTCGCCCGCCGGCAGGGCAGCATCACGCACGCCGGCGACGGTGAGGGCTGTAGCAGCAGCTGCTGCGTGGAAGCGCCGGACCCCAGCTGGGCCTCGTACAATGATCAGATCAACCACCCTAAAGGCACCGTACAACGGTTTTACAGCTATGGCTGCTCGCAGCAGCAGCAGCAGCAGCAGCAGCAGCAGCAGTTGCAGCAGCCTTCTTCTGGTTCTCTCATCACCCATGCCCGCACGCAGGGGTACGGTCATTTGCATGCTGTGCCATACACACACGCACACCCACATGCACCGCGAAGGTCACCAACTGCGGGTGTAGCAGCGAAGCCAGCCCCGTTACTGTCCCCGGGAATGAAGACGTCCGCTGGATCGCGCTCATTCCCAGCTGCATCAGGACCCTCAGCCACGCCTGTTGCGTCCGCCGTCAAGTCGCCGTCGTACGCTTGCCGTAGCTGCGGCGGCATTGGGCCTTTTGGTTTCGGCGCCTTGTCCTCCTCACCGCTACGAGCCGCCACCCTTGCCACCAGCGGCGGCGGTGGCGGCGGCTGCAGCAGCGGCATCTTGCTGCTTGGCGATGCAGATCTAGATGCTTCTTCCGGTTGCATGCCGCCGCCGTACAGCCCGTACATTGGCAGCAGAAGCCGAGGCCACAGTCGTACACCTAGCGGTGGCCGCAGCTGTAGCCACAGCCGGAGTCGCAGTCACGGCCACCACCAGCACCACCACAGCCGCAACAGCCGCGGCAGTCGCAACCACAGCCGCAGCAGTCGCCCGCGCCAAGCAGGGACCGGGGCGGGGCCTTTCATGGATGATGCGGAGGTGCCTGAGCTGCTGCCGGCGCCCACGCTAGCGGCAGTGGCGGAGCCGCCGCCGCCCGTTGCTGCTCCTGCCGCCGCCGCAGTAGCCCCCATGAGCAACCAGCCGACCTTCCTGTTGGGCTCCTGGCTGGGGGACCTGCTGCCGCTGACAGCCTTCTTTCCCGCGACACCGCCCGTCCAGGTGAGGCTTGGCTTGGTTTGGTTCGCCACATGATGGTACCGTATATGCGCTTTCTTCCCACACGCGCTTCACCCAGCCACGTGTGCATGCACGTTTGTTTCCCCTTCCCTCCAGTACCGTATTAATCCGCTCATCCTTCCATGACATCCGTCACACCGCCCGGTGCTGCCCCACAGGAGGCCGCCCGCCCCGGTGGCTGCGGCGACTCGCTGCCCCCTAGCAGCCCCGCTGACGGCGACGCCAAATCCACTCGAGCCACCCGCGGAAGCTCCTCCCTTGAACTAGCTCCTTCGCTGCCGCCGCTGCCGCCGCTGCCGCCGCCAGCCGCCTGTTCGGCGCCTGCAGCAGCTGCGATGTACGGCGGCGGACCTGGCTTTGGGATGGCATCGGCATGGTTTGGAGCGTACGGCAACGCCGGGGAGCCGCCCCATGAGGAGGATGAAGTCGAGTACGGCATCAGGGGTGGTGCGGCTCATGGCGTGCTGAAGGAGGCGGCTTGCGGCGGTGTGTTGTTGACCGGAGGCACGGCGCGTTCTACGGCGCTGGGCACATCGCACGCGGCTGCTTTCGTGTTCGCGGATGCTGAGGAGGAATGCGACGGCGAGGGCGGTGGCGTTGAGGGGGCGGCAAGTGGTGGTCAAAATGCGATGCACCTTCGCTCGAAGAGCCTTGAGAGGCACACACTTGGCTGCCCACAGCGCTGCTCATCCGACGGCAAACGTGCTGTGAAGGCCCGAGGAAAGGTCCAGAGGGCACCCCAGAGGGTGCGGCAGGAGGAGTTGGTTGAGGAGCAGGGCGAGCGAGCGAGTGCGAGCGCGGGAGCACCACTGCTGCCTCGCATATCCGAGGTGGCACCGGTGGTGCTGGCGGCGGCTGCGGTGAAGGAGGAGGCGGCACCTGTGCATGCTGCCACCGCTCCTCTGGCTGTATCCCGCGTGATGGCAGCATGCTGTGCGGACACCAGCCCATGCTCTGGGGCGGCTGAGGTCGCCATTGCCATGGACGACGCCGGTAGCAGCCCGAGGAATGTATTGTTCACGGCAGTGTCTGGCGTTGAGTCCACCTCTGTGTGCCAACACCCTTCACTGCATCAATGCAGCAGCGCCGGCGGTGGTGTCGTTGTCGTGCATGGTAGCATCGAACGAGCCGTACGGAAGCACGGATGCAGCAGTACGGCAGCCAGGCTTCCGTACGGTGGATCTTCAACGGATGTTGTCAGCAGCCACAGCGGCGGCAATGAGAGCGGGCAGATCCCGGACGTGGAATCCAATGCGGACGGGTCCTCCGAAGCTAGCTTCTGGTGTCCATCCCCGGATACTGCAGGGTCTAGCAGAAGCGCTGACCACAACGACGCCGCGATTAACAGTCTGGAGCGGCCTTCCCCCCGGCTCCATCTGGCTTCAATTGAATCCGGATGCCGTACGCGTACCGGCAGAGCTGCCGTACGCCGGCTGTCCTGGGATGCGCGAGAGCTGCTGCCGCTGCCGCCGCCGCACATGCAGCAACACCAGCAACATGAGCGTCTGCATAAGCAGTATCATCAGCAGCAGCAGCATCAGGAGCAGCAGCAGCAGCAACATCACCACCAGCACTCGCATGTGTTGGGTCCTCCACCTCGGGACTTGGGGGCGGCGGTGGGAGGGACTTCCAGCGGTTCCAGGCGCCCGCCCAGGCGCTGCTCCACCGTCGCTGACGTCCACAGCGCTGCCTGCATGGTGAACAGCCCTGCCGCCGCAGTCGCCGCCGCTGCCGCCTTCTCGCTGCTCCCATCAGCCGCGCCCAACTCCCTGCCGCGACTGGTCCGCACCCTGTCAGATCCCTTTGAGTTCCTGCTGGCTAGTCGCGCGTCTGCGGCAGCAGCGGCTGCTGCGACGGCTGCTGCAGCGGCCGCCGCGGCGGCAGCAGCAGCGCACCATCACAGCCCTCGGGGCGCTACCGGCACTCCAGGCGTCGGCATCACCATCCCCCACCGCCCTGGCCTCCTAGCTAGCATCCAGGGCTCCACACCGCAACAGCCGCCTCAGCGGATCCGCTCGCTCCCTCGCCCGGTACCGCAGGCCCGCCCCGGCGGCGGCTACTGCAGCCACCATGTAACCGCAGCAAGTGATCCGCCCTGCGGTGTGGCTGCAATGGCACAGCAGGTAACGGCTGCAAAGGCTACCGGCGTACATACCCCAATTCGCTTCCCCACGCCATCCCCACCCGAGTGGCCCCCCTGCTTCCTGCGGTCTGCATCATCGCCCAGTCGCGCAACCCTGCCGCCGCCGCCCGCCTCGGCGGCGGGCGACGCGCCGCCGCCGCCGCCGCCGCCGTCGCAGTCGCATTCGGCTCAGCTCCCGAAGATGCTGGGATCGGGGCTGGCGTACCTGAAGGGCGCTCTGACTCAGACGCTGGCACTGTACCGCCGCCACCGACGGAGGCTGTCCGTGCCGTCGTCGACGTCACCCGCTGCTGCTGCATCGGGCTCGCAGCCTTTCACCGCCACCGCCGCCTCGGCGGGTGGCAGCAAGCGAGTGTGCACGTCACCTCAATGCGATTTACCGCTCGAGGCGCCGGGTGTCGCGCTCGGAGTCGAGCAAGCTAAGACGCCGCCGTTGCTTGCAGTCGCCGTACGGTCGCATTCGCTGCCACGATCACCGCCGCCGCCGTACCTGCTTCCCGTGCGGTCGCATTCGTTGCAGCGCCCGCCGCCTCCGCCGCCGCCACCTCCGCCACTGGGGTTCCGGTCGCACTCACTGCAGCGACCGCCGCCGCCGCCTCCGTTACTACCCGTGAGGTCGCATTCCCTGCCGCGGCCTCCGCCGCTGTCGTCGTCATCCCTGTACGGCAGCCCTTCACGCCGTACATCTAGCACCGAAGGAGGCAGCTCCTTACCGATGCTGGCACCCTCTGGCGGCCCCCCGGGTCCCTCGGCGGCCCATGCCGCTACCACTGCTGTGTTTCCAGCCACCGCCGCCGCCGCTGCATCCCTTGGCCCCTCCAGTTCCGGCACCGCATGCTCTCCCTCGGCGTTGATACCCCCGGGAGCAACCGCACAGGCAGCGACCGCACCAACGGACGGGGGCTCGCACCCTTTGCAGCAGCAGCAGCGGCGTGCTCGCTTTACCACAGACCTGCAGACCATCGTATCTGGGACGCACCCACACATCTACGACTCCGAAGTCGGTCCCCCGCTTGACCCACCGCCGCACCCCCTGCCTCCGCACCCTCCCTCACATGCTCACTGCCAGCAGCACCAGCAGCAGCACGCAGCACCGGAGCAACCGGTGCAATCTCATTCGCAGCGCGTGAAGCAGCACGAGGGCACACCGATACCCGCCGCCACGCCCAATCGTCACCACCCGCACGACTGCGCATCCGCACAGCACAGCCCCTCAGCAGGGAAGCTGCCGCTGCTGCTGCCCCCGCCGCCGCTGCTGTTTCTCGGAGGGAACCACCCTTCCTGGGTTGCACACGTGGAACATCGCGAGGACCGCTGGTGCCCCTCATCTCCCGCCGGCATCCCTCCCAGACACCCACTGCTACCCGCACACCCGGGCTACCAGGGCTACCACTACCATAACGCCCTGTACGAAGCAGAAGCTGACAGCAGACAGCCCACCACAGGACCCGCCTCTCAAGGCATTCGCAGCCCCGCCACTGGCGCCGCGTTCATCCCCACCACGGGTGTTGCATCCCCCATACCCTGCCCCATGCGCTCGGTAACCCATACCAACAGCGGCAGCGGGATCTGCATTGGCAGCCTGCCCAGCGGCGCCGGATGTGTACTCGCCGGCAGCAGCTACGGCAGCAGCGCAACAGCCCTCATCATGAAGCTAGCGGGGACAACCACTGCAGGGTCTCCAGTCGACTCGCCGTACGGCAGTACGGCATGCAGCCGTACGGCCTCCCCACGTGTGCTTGTATCCGGCGGCAGCGGCTGCTGCACCCCGGCGGGTCCGCCCAGGCGCAGCCTGCTGCGGAGCGTTTCTGCCGCTGCGGCTGTTGAGAGAGGCAGCGGCCGCCTGGTGTACGGCAGTACGGCAGTGGCGGCGGAAGGCGGGAGGTTGGCACAAGACGCGGCAGGCGTAGGCCCCGTGCTGCTATCGCGGCATTCCTCGGCTCGCGCGAGGTTGAATGCGGCGGGCGATGGGTGCGGGTCCCCAGTGTCGGCGCGCGGAGATGGGGAACGCGTCATGAAGGGTTTCGGTGTACGATCGACTGTTGCTCAGCTGCTGCTGTACGACAGAGCTGGCGGTGACGTTGTAGGTAGCGGCAGCAACGGCAGCTTTGGAGACATCCTGGCCGCTCCAGAGACGCGCATGCACTGCTCCCCAGTCAACTCCCCCAAGCACTCCCTGCCCGTACGGCAACATCCCAGTGCAACATCATCATCTGCAGTGGGCGCTGCAGGGCTGAGTGGGCTGTACGGCGGAGATCCAAACACCTCCTGGACCTACTCCTCTGCAACAGCCGCGACGCATGCGTTGACACAGTCCGGACAGCCTAGTCTGCTGCAGCACCCGGAGCAGTCGGGCGCGTTTGTGGGGTTGGCGGCGGTTAGGCCGTCAGACGCATTTTCGGGGTTGGAGGCGGTTAGGCCGTCGGACGACAAGGTATACGGACATTCGTCATTGCATGCGCATGCATGCACTGCTGTACTTCCGGCATCATCGCAAGCGGCGGAGAGTCCTAATGTGGCAACGCCGAGCACGGCAGCAGGGGTGCAGCGGACATCCGCCTCCGGGTGCCCGGGAGGCAGCGCGGGCTGCAGCCCGGGTGTCAAGGAAGGAGCGGCGGCAGCTGTCACTGCCGCCGCCGCTGCAGCGACAGCATTTGTTTGTACGGCAGCAGTTGCCGAGGCGGGAGACGCTGCCGCTGCTGCCGCCTGGGGAGCCGTCGCCGCCATTGCCTTGGGCTCCCAAGATAATGACCCCGGCGTCGCCTCCAGCGCAGTTTCCCGCCACTCGGCCTCCCCTTGCAACTCCAAACAACTCCTGCGCCTGCAGCAGCAGCAGCAGCAGCAGAAGGAGCCGCGTAAGGGACAGCAGCAGCAGCAGCGGTGCCAGCAGGACGCGAAAGAGGGGGCCGAGGATGAGGGGAGGCAGCAGTTGAGGTTGGAGCCAGCAGAGAGCGTGGATCTAGATCTCAATCCGAATGAGATCCAGGTCTTCCGAGACGGCTTGTTGGGCCAGGGCGCATTCGGAGCCGTGTACCGGGGAGTCTACCGGAGGGACACGGTGGCGGTGAAACTGCTCAACGGTACGGTGGTTGATGGCCGGGCGCTGCAACGGGACATGGCCTCATTCCATGCCGAGATGTCCATCCTCAGTCGTCTGCGGCACAGGTAGGCGCTTCCCGCAATATGACCCACGGGTCTTTGCTTCCCATCCCTTGCTTCCCTCTCCCTAAATCACTGACCTCAAATCACCCTTCCTTGACGACACCTCTAATCCTTTTGCGTGTGGCGTGTTCTCGTGTACGACACAGGAACATCGTACGGCTGTACGGCGGCTGCATGCGTCCGCCACACATCTTCCTTGTCATGCAGCTCATGCGTCAGAGCCTGGACTCCCTCATACACCACTCCCCGCGGCGCCTTACACTGCTGCGGGCTCTGGAGGTGGCGCGTGACGTGGCCGCCGGGCTGTCGTACCTTCACAACCTGCACCCCACTGTCGTACATCGGGATCTCAAACCGGCCAATATCCTCATTGACGATGCGGGTATTGCCAAGATTTCGGATTTTGGATTGGCGAGGTACAAGTTCCAGACGTATCTGTCCACACGTACACCCGACCAGGGAAGCGTTGCGTACATGGCACCAGGTAAGAGATTGAAACTTTCATGCAAGTTGCAAGAGTACCGGTACCGGTGACAACGGAGTATTGCCGTGTTGCAGTTACTGCTCGCATACCGCTGTTCATGCTAACCGTTTTTCCAACCTTGCGACGCAGAGTGCTTTAACACGGACATCGGAGGCCTGGGACCCAAGACAGGTGGGTTGCAGCTGGGTTGCAGCTGGGTTGCAGCTGGGTTGCAGCTGGGTTGCAGCGTGCGAGAAGTTGGTAGCCAAGCAAGTGAACACGTACTAACCCTGACCTCCGCGCTCCCACCTTACCAACCGTCCACCTGTGCACCCACCCGCAGACGTGTATAGCTTCGGTGTGCTACTGTGGGAGCTGTTGTCCGGAGAATACCCCTGGCGCGGCGAGAGCAACGTACGCATCATATACATGTGAGTGGCTCGCTATACCAGCAAGCTACAACATGAGCACCTCGAGTGACCCATGGGTCAGCACGGCCGCGCGACATAAGCTGTACCCTTTTAGTACGGCAAGCCATATCTTCCCAAGTCCAAGCACCTTTCCCTCCTCCCTGCCCAACACTCCACAGGGTCGCGATCGACAACCAGCACCTGCCCCTGCCGCCCGACGACGGCTCGCCCTTCGACGCCGCCGCTCTCGTGGCCGCAGCCACCGGTCGCGCCTCCTCATCTTCCGTTGATGCAAGTGGCGGCGGCGGCCGCTGCCCTTCCGAGCTGCTGGTGGTGCCGCCGCCGCTGCGAGAGCTGCTGCGGCGCTGCTTCAGTCGTCAGCCCGGGGAGCGGCCGGACATGCGGGAGGTGGTGCGAGTGATGGAGGGGGCGCTGGGGGAGGTGCGGAGAGGGGCGGCGGGGCAGGAAGGGGCTGGGCAGGTGCGGGCGGGGGCGGGGGGGCGGGACAAGGAGGATGGTGGCGCATGGGGGAACATGGAGAAAGTAAGGGGAAGGGAGAGGAAGGAGAAGAAGGAGGAGGAGGTCGATGAGGGAGGTGACCCAAGGATTGACGTCCAGCAGACGTCTAGAGACGCGTGTGGAAGGGAGGTGGAGGGGGAAGGAGGAGCTGTGTTGGCAGGAGGCGAGGATCCCAGCCAGGCAGCAGCGGGGCAGCAGCAGCAGCAGCTGGCGACGCCATTTAGCAACATGGCATTTCTGTTTGATTGTTGAATGCGAATGGGGTAGCGAGCGCTATGTAGGCAGTAGCTATTATGGTAGAAGAGTGCATTGAGTGTTTCTGCGTTTACTTGGAGAAGCCCTAGGAAAAAGACGATGTACATATTCACTGCTTTGGCAGCAGGCGAGAGGGGTTGTCGGACGCGACATGCAGTACTGGCTTTACTAGATGGCAGCAGCGCTAGGCAGCGGGATAGGCAGCAGCTGGTGAATGGTCCTGCATGCATGCATACGTTTTTGTGCGGGTACTGAATGCGTGGCATGAACCCCTCCTGGTACATACATACGTACGTTTCACCGGGATAGCTCTTCAGATGCTTCTTATCTCCGGCAGGCAGACATGCAGGTCATGGTTTTGAGGAGTGCGAGTGTAGGGCCCTAAGGGCTAATCAGCAATGTACCTCAGAGAGCACTGCTACGGCGCCTGCGAATGCCTTGAATAGTGCAATGTTGTACCTTACTCTGCATCGTTACACCCGGATGTTTGCTTTACCTGTTATGTGTCATCTTTTATCACTGCCGTGGCTTTGCATGCGGCTTATGCGGGTTGCGCCGGCTTAACACTCTTCGTTCCATTGGATGTCTTGTACTCTATTGGCTGTGATACTCTTCTTCCTTCAGTCGCATCAACGTTGCAACTGCGCGCTGTTCTGTGTTTCGGTCGTAACGGTGTTGACCGTGTGTCACGCTGAGGCCGTCTATTGAGCGCTTGTGAGTCGGTAGCGAGCTGCGATCGTTGATGCTCTTCCTTCTACCTCGCAGGATGTCTTATTAGGGGTTATTACGCGCTCATGTGGCCTGGTTAGGGCCTTCCTCATCTAGCGCCGCAAACCTCACGTAATTAGTACGCTCGGACTGGTGCTTCCGGCGACTTGCATGCATGCTGCAGCTGGCTTTTCCGCATGTCCACTGGCGCAATTCTTCCTATCTGTTTTTCCAATAGCGTCAGTAGGTACACTTGTCTATACCTTGCCATAAGGCGGACCATGACCATAATGAAGATATGTGAGATGCATGGAGATGACAAAGGGTCCGCTTGCATGCAGCTGGCATGACCCATAGCTTGACAGGGAGCGGTGGGGGGGTGTTACATGGACGAGGCGGGTACTTGGCGAGGCGGGTGGCTCATGGAATCTTGCTTTGCGTGTGAACTCCCGGAGGTTGCGGCCATAAAAGGGTTGGATGCATTGAAGCAGGTGCTGCGGTTTTCTGGAGCCATGACGACTGCCATGCATGTCTATGCGGTGTACTGCAATGACCTTTAGAATCTTTTGTATGACGTATTTATTTCCCAACGCTGTGTAAGGGGGTTGCGGATTGTGATTACGCTGCCACATACCGTGCTGTGCATGCGGCTTTAGGTAAGATGAAGGAGCGCCTCGTGTTTTGTCATATGGTGGATTTCATGGCAGCTGTCCTTCCCCAGATGCTAGCAAGGCCTTGCCATTCTCTTTCGAGCGCAAGTCTCAAGCCCCTTCTTGGCGGCATGGCACAGCAATGTGCAGGCGTGTTGAGGCTTGGCTGCTGTTGGGAAGGTTCTTGCTCCGAACCAGCATGTCGAGCCAGCGCTTTAAGGCGGTTTGATGTGAGTTTATGCCATTATGAGTGTCCATGAGACTGATTTACGCTCACATTCACCATACATTGCTCGTAGGCTTCCTTTCACGGACACCTGTAACGAAGCGGTAATACGGTAGGGGATTTTGAGATCAAGTTGCGGTCATTGATTTCGGCACAGGGTCCGTCGTGGGCTTGTCTGGCAGTTGCTTGGGTTTCCAACCATGGCTATTTTGCAACGGCGATGAGCGTCAACCGGAGCCCCTCCCTCACAAGCCCGCGGCAGGCAGTGGAAGGCTTTAGCACTTTGTGGCAACTACACATACACACAGGCCCTGGCAGCCTGACAGTCCTCATTGCATTTCGCTCTGCTTCACTCTCATGCAAGCCGCTTGACAACTCCTATTGATAACTCCTGCCGCCGTTGGGACATGTGCACATTGTGCAGCTTAGTTATATATGGTTTCGGAAGCTTCGGCCCCCGATGCCGTTTTTCGGCAAGACATACCGAAACAATGTTGAAATAGGTTCAAATTGAATAAATTTACTATGCTGCAGGGCATTGGGCAGTAGCGCTGACAAGCCGCGTACGGCGTAGTGATGAGACGGTAAGCCGGTAAACTTAAAGAAGCGTTTAACTTAAACAAGATGGCATAGGTTTGTTTACCGGTATACACAACAACAATTTACTACAGTGCATTCTTGAAGTTGGGCTTCATTGACAATAGCTGAGTTTTCGCTGTGATAACAGTAATACCGGTACCTACTCTGCTGCTTTGGCTACAATATTAGTGTATGGGTTAAGCCTCAGTCTGTGTCCTTGCTAACAGCAGTTTTTAGGGATTGGCTATGGGCAATTGGACCACATGCGACCAAAACCTAGCCATACCTTCCGTAGTCTCAATTCTGTGGTCTCCTTCTCTACTCGTCAGGAGCTATCTTGCCGGTTGCTGTTCGTCGGTAGTGAGTCTTAGCCTTCCTTCTATCAGGTTGCTTCTTCGAGTCACCTTGCTGGAGGGACGAAGCTGACACTCCGGCGAACAAATGTTGGCCAAACCAATAAACTCTGCAGGTTGCAGCTCCTGTGGTGAGGAACACAAGAGCATGCCTTCCGAGGTGTGCTTAACCAAATGCATGTGAGCACAGACCCCTTGCTTCCTTGCTTACCGTATGCATCTGGGCAAACCTAATTCGCTGTGTGCAGGTAGCAATGTTGGTGGCGGCTATCGTTGGAGCAACCATAGACGCGCCTGCGAGAATGTCCAGCATGCTCAGCGCCTGTTATCGCCGGCCGATATTTCCCAGCGGTAAGCTTATGGGCCGAGATCTTCTATGGCCATGCATCTACAGTGGATTTCAGTGCAGACCTTCTGTTGCTTAGTTGGGAGTGCACCGGTGCGCTGACTTACTCTCCCGCTGGCGTAAGTGCAACATGCTCGGTATCGTTGTTGCTTGTCCAAGTTTGTGCGGTCACGATACCCCCGTGTCCTCTGCTCTCTGCCCCATGTAGGTACCGGTATCCCACGCTCTCACGGTAATAAGCGAGGGTTTAAAATAGAGCTTGACAACAGCCAATGGGCAATGCTCTTCCCGGCATCGCGACCGCCTCGGCAGCATTTTCCAGGCCTCGGTCGTCACGTGTCTCCTCCTCCTTCACAGCCACCTCGATTGCCATAGGCTCAGGTCAGAGAACAACAAACGTTGGCATGTACGACGACCCCCAACGCTGTTCCCATCCAAGCTGGTGGGCTTAATGAGGTACGTTGCGGCGCGTTATGTGGGTGTACGTGGTGGTGTGAAGGGTGGTCGTACGTCAGTGTCCGGGCGTAAGAGGACTATAGCGTTGAGTCAACCGCTGTGATGGTTACGTGATTGATGGAAGATTACGGTAACACGTTGAACAAAAGCAGAAATGTATTTTAACGCGGACCAATGTGCTTGCCTGGCTGAAGATAGAATATTGATGCCTGACTGCAGCCCTTGTAATAGCATTGTTGGGGGCGGACAGGGGGGTGCTTGCGGCCTACCCTCGTCACGCCAAGGATTGCTCCCGTCTCTGTTGCTTTTCTCACCCGCTCTTACATGTACGGCACTGGCTCTCAGTCGACAGCTGGTGCGTGTCTAGGGCTACGATTTTGCAGCAGGGCGCTTCTCTGCCACAGGACAGTCGGCAAAGCGTGATAACATCTACACGACAGCTCGTACGACATCCTTCCAAATTGTACGACATCCATCAGCTACCTGGCTTGAACACTTGGGCCCAATACTCGTTTTACCCCAACCGCATGCCTGAGACCGTATGATTCTTGTATGTATCAAGTGGTTGGCATGTAGGGTAAGGCGCCCCAAAGAAAATGGCAGGTAAGTTAACGAGGAAGAAAGGGAGGAGGTAAATGTCAGTTCGCGTGGGAGGGAGGTGAAGGGGTAGGTGGGGCGGGAGGGGTAGGAGTAGGTGGGGCGGGAGGGGAAGGGGTAGCTGGGAGGGAGTGGAAGGGGTAGGTGGGGCGGGAGGGGTAGGGGTAGGTGGGGCGGGAGGGGAAGGGGTAGCTGGGAGGGGGGCAGGAGGGGAGGGGTAGGAGGGAGTGGGAAGGGAGGGGTAGGCTGGGGGGCCGAGGGCGGAGGGTCAGTTGGGGGCGGGAGGGAGGGTTAGGTAGGGGCGAAAGGGTGGGGGCAGGAGGGACAGAGGAACATGCGACGCGCGGAATTTTACTGCGACTTTCCGGGCGGGTAAGATACACGATTATCCCCCGTTGCGAGGGACGCCATGCCATGCTACCAAACGGCTAACCAGGCGTAAGAGGATGACGATGTTGGGGACAAGATTTGTGCTTTACGCACACAGCATGACTTAATACTTGCCTTGCGCGGTATTGCTTGAAGCGGTGAGGGATGACGACCGAGGCAAGAGGTGTAATTTAACATACCGGTATCCTTAGCCGAGCCCTATCTGCAGGAGAAGTGCTGATTGCTTTATTGTCAAGAAAGTTAAAGCGAGCTGATGGTCAGCGAAAGAATGCTTGCTGTCGTGCACTGCATCTGTCTTCTCAAACCAAAAAAGGCTCCGGAACCTGAGGGTTAACCTGTTTCCCAGCCTCGCACGCATAGCTTACATTTTCTACGTCATAATTGTATTGCTTGTTCGTAGCGTTAAAAAGATGGCAGCGATTACGTCAGCGACTAAGGTTAGTCCTATTCCTACCACAAGCGGCTGACTTGAGAGACGGTAAAAATAACAGTGCTTATTTGCGCTCCTTGTAGGGCTGCAATGGACTGCGTTCACGGTCCGGCCTTCGTCCGTTGCCTTTCGCTGGCTCGGCGCGGATGACTACAGTGCGCGTGCGGGCAGAGGGCTCAACTTCTGGAGTGCCCGTCCCTCAGTGGTCAAAGGATACTGAGTCAGCACGGGATGTGTTTGCGTTTGCTGGATCTGCGCCAGAGGTGGGTTCGACTCGTGTTTGTGTGTTCACGATTTGCTTATGCCGGTGTCACCAATCTGAAAGGGGGCTGCTGTTTACGCTTTCCTGGTGAAATATCATAGTACATGATGGCCAAGAAGGCTGCACCTAAGGCTGGCTGTGACTTTGCTTGCACGGTGTGTCCAACACGTTTACAATCGCTTTGCTTTATTATAAAGTGACTTGGAGCACGTTTGTTAGTATTACTCGTGGCAGCTGTGTATCATGCGTTGTGCGGACAGTATGCTTGCATAACGTAGTAAAAATGCGTGAAGTTTGTAGGAAAGGGTGCTGCTCTTGGCCAATGTGGAGCCTGTTGGTTGCCGGTAATGGGCTGCTATGAGCAGGGGAAAGTTGGCAGATTGCACCGGTGGTCGTTGTATGCAAGGGCTTTTACTTATGACGCGTATACACGATGGTACAGGGAGGAAGCTTTGGGGAAACCGGCCGTTTCCTACCTAATCCTGAAGCCAGCCCCCAGTCTCCAACCCTTGCGCCAGTTGCCAAGGGCATAAGCACCTCGCTGTGGCCGCAACTGCCTTTTGCACTGCCATTCGTACTAGCCAGGGCATTGTGTCGCTCTAATGCCTCCCTTACCGCCTTTCCCCGCCCCTCCTCCATCCAGCGCGTCAATGGCCGCATCGCCATGATCGGCTTCGTCTCCATCCTCGGCCCCGAGCTCAGCAAGAAGCAGCCGGTTCTGGAGCAAATGGGTGACGCCTGGTTCGGAGTGCTGCTCTTCAGCCTCACCATTGCCACCGCCTCCATACTGCCCAAGCTGGTCTCCGGTATTTCCCTCAAAGAACTGCACGCAGCCGCCACGACGGAGAACATGAAGGGCCCGGGAGCGCAGCAGGTGCTGGCGCTGTTTGACACCAACCTGGAGCTTTGGAGCGGGCGACTGGCCATGCTGGGTTTTGCGGGGCTGTTGGCAATCGAGGCGGTCAAGGGCGGCGAGTCGCTGTTTTGAATGCTGCTCTGAGGTTGGCAGCTTGACGTGTGTCGGAGGGTTACGGATGGCATGGGGGCGGAGCGTGGGAGGGGTTGTTTTGACTGAGAGGAGTTGGGAGTGTGCGTGTGATGGAAGGATGGCCCTCCGCAATTTTGTTCACGGCGGCCAAGCAAACCGCCCGGTTAAGAGAAGTAACCGTAATGCATTGAAAGCTGCATTCAAAGGACGGTCCGCAGTGTTGACATGGATTACGCATCAAGATGTGCGTACACCCAAGCTCTGCGCAGGTGGTACGTCCATAACTATTTACAGGCAGTTATAATCATGCCTAGCCGTGTGGGACTGAACTGTTGTGTCCCCGTCACAGTCAGGACGACGCATGGATGGTCAGCGATGTATTAACAGTAACGAAAATCAGGTTATATGCCCCGCGACTTGCCGTCAAGTACCCTCACCCGGCACTATACATGTGAACAGTTGTCGTACACGAGTGCTGCTGGCCATGTCAGCACCATCGCATGCATGAAGTCAAAAGGCTGGCTAGGTAATGTAGGTATCGTCAATGGGTCTAATAACCCAAGCTTAATCATGCGGTTCCCTCACCACTCAGAACCTGCTCGTTACCCTATCCAGGATGCCCTAACGCCGCCACATACCACACGCACGCCGGCCTGACAGCACGAAGCCTGCAACATGCGCGTAGTCCAAACAAAGTATTGGATCCCCACTTATGTAAGCTGTCGCTAAGTCCTAAGACCCGCCACAATATCCACGCCTCTAATCCTCAGCTCTAATCCAGGGCCCTGCAATGCAAGCCACGACTAACGGTGTTTCAGCGGCCTTAGCGGCCTCCCTTCAAAGCCCGTCGGCGCTTGCCACGGATCCTCAAAAGAAGTTGCCCGGCGAACCAGCTCCATTGGGCCCTGCTGTGGGACCCGCCTGAGCGCGCATGGGCTGCGGTGCGGCCGGCGCTTGCGGCTTTCCAAACAGGTCAAACGAGAGGTCGTGCAGCGGGTCGGCTGGCTTCTTGAGGTTGTAGCCCCCCACCTGCTGCGTTGTAACTGCTGGCGACACCGCAGCGCCAGGCCAGGCCCCCGCGCCGGGCGCGGCAGCGGCGAAGGGGTTGGTGCCCGCGGGCGGCGGTTGTGTCGTCGTCGCGGCAGCGCCCCCAAAGGGGTTGGCGCCCTGAGCAGGGCTGGCGTTGGCGCTGCCGGGCGAGCTGAAGGGGTTGGCGGGCGCAGCCGCAGGGGATGCAACACCAGGTGAGCTAAACGGGTTGGCAAATGCACCTACGCCCTGAAGCTGCGGTTGCGGTGAGGGTGCAAAACCCGCAGGCGGAGCTGCTTGCGGCTGAGGCACGGCAGGTGCCGGGACCTGCGCCGAAGCCGGTGGCGGTGGTGTGGCCGGAGTGGGTGGTGGCGGGAATGGGGTCGCCGCGGGCGCGGGCACCGGAGGGGTGGACCCCGTGGGCATGTGGGGGGCCACAGCAGCATGCATGCTGGGGTTGGCGAATGGGTTGAAGGGCGTCGGGCCGCTGGCCGCCGGTGCAGGCTGGGGCGGCGCTGCGGGGTAGGCTGGTGGTGGGGCCCCGAAGGCGTTTGAGCCGCCAAACATGGCGTCGTTGAAGGTGTTGGCGACAGGCGGGGGCGCCACGGGCTGTGGGGAGACAGGCGGAGGAACACCCTGGTAGCCGAAGGGTCCGCCTGCCGGCGCCGCTCCCGGGTGCGCAAAGGAGGAAGAGGGGCCGTACGGGTAGGCGGGAGGCACTGCGGCTGCTGGCGGCGGCACCGCAGGTACGGCGGGCGGAGCCGCTGCTGCAGCCGGTGCTGGAGCCGGCGCACCTCCGAAGCTGGCGAAGGGGTCGAACGACGCCGGCGGCGGGGCCGCGGCAGGAGGTGCAGGCGGCATGGCAGACGCAGGAGCAGCCGGCGGTGCGGCAGCAGCAGCTGCGGGGGGAAGGGTAGGGTTGACGGTGAGGGCCTCAAACCCGCCTAGCAGGTCCACCTCGGGCGCCGGGGCTGGGGCTACGGGGGCGGGCTGGGGCGAGGTGGGTCCGCTGGCCGCGTCCTTAATGGGTCCACCCACGATGAGCCGCGGCGTTGGTCCGCGCACAGCTGTGGGAGCGGCGCGTCCGGCGCCCGCCTTGTCCCCAACCGTCTGAAGGTAGGCCGTGAAGGAAGGAGGTCGTCAGCCACGGGCACAGTGTGCGGTGGTGAACGCACTGGGACACAGAGCCTGGAACAAGAAAGCGCGTACTCGCACAAGAGCATGACCCCTGCTGGACCTGAGCTTGCGCTGCTGCAAGGGCCAAACCACGTCCGCACCCACCTTCGGAGTGTCCTTGACGTACTCCTCCAACGTTGTCAGGAAGTCCGCCGGTAGCGGCTGAGGGGAGAAGCGGGTGCACAGCGAGGAGGAACACGATGTGGGTCGATGTTACCGGTATGAGCAACAAAGTGAGTCAGCGGCCGGGATGGCCGCAACCAGCAACCACGCACGACGCATGGCGGTGACCCAGATGGAGCCAGCGGCCTCGGCCAACAGGTAGAAACCATACCGCTCTTCTTTCTCGTAAACAACGCTGCTAGACTGTGTGTCGGTTCATCTGCCCCAGTCAACCGCACTGATATTTATTCGACCCGGGCCCCAACTCCAGCCCCACCTGCACAGCTGGGAACTGCACTGCGCCCCGCAGCGCCGGGATGCCGCCGATGGTGGCCACGAAGGCGTTCAGCCGCTCGTTGACCGCCAGGTTCTCCTTCACCAGCTCCACACCCTGCCAGGCGGGACATGAGGGCCAGGCCATCAGGGTCATGCAAATGCGGACCGCATCAAGACAAGAAGTGCGGCGAACCCTTGTGCACATGCACACACAGGCTTGCACGTTGGAATCCTCTCCCCCGGTACCTCGTCTGACTGCTCTTTTCGCCCAGGGTTCCCCCCGCCCACCTTGAGCATGTCGCCTCGGTCCATTTCGAAGAACTTGTCTACCAGGTTCAGCACGCCCTCGCACACCACCTTGTACACGGAGCGAACCTCCTGCAGGACCTGGATAGCAGGTGGGGACAGAGGCGGAGAGATAGGGCAGCGGAAACTGTAAGCACAGCGTCGTCAGGTGCACTGCTGTTGATGTGTCAACGAACCGGGGGGGTAGGGTTGCACAAGGCGAGTGTCAAAGCGTGGGACTTGTGCTGGGAGAGATGAAATGTCGAGGCCCACTGCTTCGCTCAAGTTTAATAAGACCTGGTGACGCTGTGTAAGACCAGTACGACAGCGAAGGTCACGTACCAGCGAGCATGCGAGCAAGGCAATCTCGTTGCTCTGGGATGCGCCCTCGGGCACGCAGCTCACAAGGCGCCCAAGCAGGCGCTGCACGGCCGGGAGCTGGTCCAGTAGCTCCGCGGCAGTGCAGTTCTTGAGCTTTGACTCCCGCGCCTCCAGGCCCTGGTCGTGCTGCGGGTCAAAGCGCATGGCGCGGAATACCGCCAGGCGCTCATCCAAGTACAGGCTGTACACGCGGATGAACGCAGACAAGTCCCACGTCTCCTTTGTCGTGTGATCAGCAAACGACTCCAGGCGCAGCATGCGGTGGTGGCCGGTGCGCTCGGCGTAGCGGAGGAGCTCCTCCTGGAAAGATGGGTCTGTCTCCCGCATCAGCCGGTGGAAGACAATGAGCGTCTTCAAGGTTACAAGCCAGGCCTTCGCATTGTCCTCCAGTCGCCTAGCCAGGCCGTGAATTACGTAGTTCACGGTCTGGCGTGGAGAGGAACCGTTGCATGCTGCCTTAAGGGTCCGGACGTGCTTTTCCTTCGGCACAACCTCATCTTGCAGCGTTGCCTTTATAATGGCAACATCCAAAGCGGCGCTGTCTTCACCGCGGATCTTTGCCATGCCGACCTCCACCTTGTCGTTTATGATTCCCAACAGCGACTGCGTCTTGTACTTCGCCGCCTGCTTGCTTGCGGGATCCATTTCTCTTACGTGCTGTCTTTATTAGGCTGCTGGAATAGAAAACAGCTGACCAGAGGAAGCTCGTCAAGCCTGCGCGCCACAGCCTTGCTGTTCGCTAACCGGTGCTACGCTGCTTCTATGTGAATATAGTATCTCCCTTAGCTGTAACCTATAGGAATAGTTGCATGAGCACAGGTAAATCCAAGGCCTCAGAAGCTGCACGCAGGCTACGAATACCCTTTTCCAACGACTGCTTGGGAGCAGCTGGAAGCACAGCGGCAGGTCCTACCTTTGCGGCTAGATCAAAGTCAGCTGCTTTGCCTTGAGTAACAAAGTAGTCAGGAAGGGGCAGAGTCATGCAGGGTTACTCACAAGGGTCCGCTTAGATACAACCACTATATATACATGGAAGTAAAGCCAGTTCATGTAAGTCAATGAATCTGGGCATTCGTAGTGTTTAGGCTTTGTACAGACCGCAGCGGTTTCAGCAGTTGGAGCCCGATCCACAACTGCCGTCTGCCCATCTGCGCCAAATTGCACACCCATTAAGAACCATTTTAAGATAGCAACTGTACATTGCACATGCTAGTATGCCTTGAAGCCGAAAACCTGGGGGCTTTAGTTGTAGCCGACTGCACCTGCGCCCGAAGTGATATAAAACTATGGAAAAGCTTTCATAGTTCTGTTTTCAATCCTGACGCCATGAAGAACGATAGGGAGAGACAGCTGTTACACGGTAACTGTGGCCCAAGGGTCGCTGTGCTGCGTCGGCACCATAGCGCATGGGTACAGAATACATACCTACGGCCAGGCAAGTGGCAGCGAAATGTGCATGCTATCAATCCTGCGACTGCACGTGCCGGAAGCGTGGCACTAAGCACCGCGTGCCTTACCAGCCCGCGTTCCTGCACATGGCAAGGTTGGGAGGTCCCTGACGCTGCCCGAAGTAATGTGGGAGAGCTGCGGGCGAGCAGGTACACGCACAAACAGAAGCTTACCCTGGCGTTCGCGGCGCAAGCAGCGCTGGTGGTGGGTGCGCTGTTGGGGTGCCGCTGTAGAAGGTATTGTGCGATTCTAAGAGGTTGGCCGATAATCCTGTTGAGGAGGGGGAGCTGGAGGTCACCTGCTGGAGTGTGATGCACTTGCTTCACATGGGAATCGCCGTGGAATCTGCCTGAGGTTGCAACCCGTCGCAGCCTTTACGTACGACTGAGCGCAACCCACAACTACACAGCAGCAAGCAGCGGCGGCGCTAGCGACCAGCGGAGAGGATTTTGGATGCCGCATGCAGCTAAAGCGCAACGAACCCACTAGCGTAAGGCATCTTCTGCTGAAGAGGCGATGTAGGGGGGTCGTATGAGCCTTGGCGGAAAATGGTGTGGCGTGGGGTGCCGGTAGGCTGGGTGCTACGGGCAGCCCCACGGGTGATGCGGCCCCGTTGTGCATGCTTGCGCCGGCTGCGGGTCACTCTTCTGCGTGGTTCAGGTCATGCGCGGGTGTACGGACATGGATGTGAGAAGTGTATGGATAAGCTGCCTAAGCTGGAAAAGTGACAATGCAGGCCTAGGTCAATCAATGCAGGCCTTATAATGCGAGGACGAGCAGCGGCAATATACAAGCAACCGCGTGTAACGTGCCATGGGCACATGCGGGTTACACAAGCATTGGGTGAGTTATAACTTATAGACACCGGAAACGTCACAGCGGCGAAGGCTCATACCGTAGGCACCTACGATGCAATGTACACACACAAGTACCTTCTATATCTACATACGCTACAATGTTCCTCGGCTCCTGCGGCGGTTCTGTGGGGACTTCATCTTCCGACAATCACAGTATGTTCCTACTCGCGGCCAGTTTTCTTAACACAAGTACCGTACACCGGCCCACCAAACAGCGTACAAGACAGACCGTCAACGCCCTGGGCTCAAGTGCCTTGCCCAATAGTCGTATCTACCACATATGTAACCTTATGTAATCATCCTATAGTTAAGTGGCACAGCTGTAATTCATAAAACCCCATGCGTCCAAGGACGCATGCTGTCCTGGTATACCTGGTGCGACAACATTAGTACCAGATGTCCACAGGGGTCTTGTCCTTTGGTACTCGCCGCCCCTAGCGGCTACTTGGGCTTCGGCTATCAGCCTTTTCTCGTCAAGAATCACCAAACCACCGCACGGCATCCGATAACCGTTACCGCGCACCCCCGTGGCCTCTGTCGCACACACCCCGTCCAAAACTAAATTGAGCTTATAGTCAAGACAAATTCTAGTCCAGGCTGCTTCCTCCGCCTGCCGTATCATTGGACGTTGTCGTACCCGTCATGAGCAGCCGTTCTTCATCGTACAGCCCCAGACCGGTGCTGCTGGGGGTGGCGGTGGCGGCCTCGGAGGGAGCCCAGTGGATGCCCATCTGCCGCAGCGCTGCGCTCAGGCTCTGGATGCCGGCCGGGGAGGCGGCGCTGTTGCGAGGGCGCAGGGCAAGGTGGGAAGAGCGGGGTTACTACCGGCAGCTCAACAGAAAAAGGGTCATGAAGACGAGGATCCGCACAGGCAGTAGTGCCAAACACATATAAGACCGGTAGTGTCCGAAGCAGCTATACGTACGCGCAAGGCCCCGGATTTCCTCCTACGTGCGGTTAACATCCGTGCGCAACCGCAAAACGAGGTCACGCCTCTATCCTGCCCCTTCCCTCACCTGCTGGGAGCTCCCATGCTGGTGCTCCCGGGACTCCAGCCCGCCCAGTCGATGGGGCCCCTGCCCACCGGCGGCACACCCGCTCCGGAACCGCTGGGACCCGCACCCACAGCCCCGGCCCCAGCAGCAGCCCCACTGCCCGCGTGCAGCTGCTGCACCCTGCCGGCAGCCGGACCAATCCCTGCGCCCTGACCACCCTGCCCGGCAGAAGCGCTACGGACAAGCGACTCATGGGCAGCCGCAGCCGCTGCAGCCGCTGCTGACATTGCGGCGCTGCTGCCAATACGGCCAGTGTCAACCTGCGCGCCTCCTTGCCGCCGCTGGACGTCGCGATCGCTTGCATGAGCTGCATCTGCGCCTCCACCGTAACCGCCGCCTCCACCGCCGCCGCCGATACCGGCGCTGCTGGTGGTGCTTCCCTCAATGCCGCTCCCGCTTCCAGACGTGCTACCGACGCGACTGCCGAACCCGCCCCGCTGGTCGGAGGAGGAAGCCGAAGGCGGCTCCAAGCCAGACGCGTGGCGCTGTCCGCGGGCGGCGGCCTCAGCACGGCCCGCCTCATCCGCATGCCGCTGCCGCCACAACGCGGGCTGCCGCAGGCCCGCATCTTCATTGTCCGCCTCAGCACCCCCAGGACCTGACAGGCGCAGCATGCGCAGCAGCTGGGCTACGTCGGGTGAGGGAGCGCCGTGGGCGGCGCTGCTATACAAACCGGCTGCCAACGTAGCACGCTGGTGTACGGGCGTGCGGGCTGCAGTACCATAGCCATCGTCTTCAATGTCGTTGCTGTCACGCCCCAGGCCTCCGTACCGTGACCGATCCGTGTGGGGCTGGATTCCGTACGACTGCCGTACTATGGTGCCGCTGCCGCCTGCCCTGGACTCCGCGGTATCTATGGTCCGGGCGGTGGCGGTGGAGCGGGTCATGCTGCTGTGCGTGTCGTAGCTGCTGCTGCCCGCGATAGCTCCGCTGCCGCCACCGCCGCCTCCTACATCGACACCGCCACCGCGCCGGGCGTCACCACTTTCACCACTCCCGGTGCCCATGCCCAATGCCACGCCTCCAGCGGCCCCCGCCAGCTGACTGCTGTACCTTAGGGCTGAAGGACCTCCGCCAACACCAGCACCGAAGCCGGCACCGATGCCGCCACGGTCCCCTGCAAGCCCACCAAGACGCGTCAGCCCGATGAGGTCGCCGCTGTTAGAGCTGCTGCCCATGTCGTTGTGGGCGCCGCTGGCTGCGCCCCTCAAGGCACCGTAGGTACCGCTGCTGCTGCTGTTGCTGTTACCTGGCTCCTGCATGCCGTTGGCGCCTGCGGATGTCGCAGCGATTGCGGCGGCGGTTGCGGCACCCAGACCTCGAAGCCATCCGCCGTTACCACCACTGCTCAGGCTGCTGATGCCGCTGCCGGCTCCAATACCGCTCATGATAGAAGTGCTGCGGCTGCTGCCGGCAACGCCGCCGTCAACACCCGCACCGACGGCACCCACACCACTGCTCGGCCCTGGTGCATGCAGCCTGCCGCCGCGCACACCGCTGTCCTGGCTGCTGCTGCCCCCAACGGCGATGCCCCCGGGTGGGTTGCGGTCGCCGCTGTCAGCACTGCCGCTCAGCCCCACAGCACTGCCCGGGCCCGCACTGCCTGCGCCTCCGCTACCGGATGCAGCGCCTCCGCTGCCCACTCCACCGCTATCCGTACCCGCTCCTCCGCCTGCCCCTCCGCTCCTGCCCACGTCAGCCGAGCCGCGGCTGCCGCTGGCGCTGCTCTGCAGGAACGACGGCAGGCTCATGGAGGAGAAGGACGGCAGCGGGCTGGCGGAGTCATGGAAGTCGTAGCTCCTGTCGCTGGGCGAGGAGAGCGGCAGCTGCGGTAGCGGCAGGGAGGGTGCAGCGGCCCCTCGCGGCGCAGCAGGGAGAGCTGCTGCCGGCGCGGCTGAAGCCGCCCCAGCGCTCGAAGCAGCGCCAACCGGATGGGCCTGCGGCTCGGCAGCACGACCGGCGCTTGTGCTGCTACTCAGGGTTGCCGTGGTGGTTGTGGCAGAGATGCTGCTGGAGCCGAGTCCGCCCCCCAGCTCCAGCCCTGCCGCTGACATCGCCGCAGCTATTGCCGCGTCAGCTGCAACGTTTGCCGAGCCAGATGATGTCGAAGCGGGTTCTGGAGCGGCGGCTCGTGAGCCGCCCGCAGCAGGTGCGTGGATGCTGCTGATGCTCGGAATGGAGGAGGCAGAGCGCCGTACAGCAGCCGCTGCCGCCGCCGCCGCGGTGGAAGCGAGTGCGGCAGTGACCGCAGCCGCGGCGGCGGAGACGGCGGTGGCGGCGCTGCTGTACGACGAGCTCGTGACGGATGGCGGAGTACGACTGTTGTTCGACGATCCAGGCAGGGATCCAACTCCGGTTGAGCCTGCTGCTGCCGCGGTAGCGACGACAGCCGTGCCAGTGCTGTTCGAGTCGGTGGAGGTCCCAGTACTTCCTAGCGAGGGCGACCAAGCTGGGTGAGGGTGCGGTTGCGGTTGCTCCGGACGTACGGCGGGGGTGAAGGATGTGTAGGAGGTGAGGGATGTGGAGGGGCTTGATGAGCCCGCGGGGCCGGAGGAGTGCGATGAGGGGTGGGCGGTGTGCTGGTGTTGGGAGCGGTGTTGCAGGGAGGAGTGCTGGGAGAGGGAGGAGCGCACGGGCTGGACTGGGGCCGCTGCAGGCTGCGATAGCCCAAGGAGGCCGGAACGCTGGAGGGAAGACCTGCGAGTGCGTCAGGAAACGACCTGGCTTAGGTAACGCCCTTCTGGGATAGTGATGCATGGGACAGCAAAGTAAGATGCAGGGATACTCACAGGGTTTCCGAAAGAGACGAGTCATTAGACAGCGACGGGCCGGATAGCTCGCTGCCAGCACGGAAGCGACCCGTGGGTCCCCCAGCAGCAGCTGCGGCAGCGGCCGTCGTGGCTCCGCTTGGCTCTGCCGGCGCAGCGGCCGCGGGTGCGGACGGTCGCAGTAGCGACTCCAGCCACTCGTCGAACGAGTCCTGATCGCCGATAATCCCGTCCTGGCGGCCACCAGCACCACCACCAACAGCAGCGGCAGCAGCGGCTGCACCACCTCGAGTCGGTGCGGGCAGCTGCGCTGCTTGGGAGCCTCCAGCTCCGGCTGCGGAGGCGGAGCTGCTTGTCGTCATGGGGCGTCGGGACTCCGTGCCTGGGTGGGGAAGCAGGGTTTAGAGGAAAACCAAGCCGTCGGGGAGCAGGGGTGCGGCGCGGCTCGGAGCAGGAACGTAACACGCATTGTGGGGCACACAGTGGCAAGGGGCCAGCAGTTTCACATGGTGTTTTAATAACTGTACTGGGTTTACAAGCATGTGGTTTAAGGGAGGACTTACCCAAACCCGTGTCGACGGAGGATGAGACGTCGCTGACATCCAGGGCGGCGTGAGGCGGCGGAGTGTTGTACAAGCTGGTTCCGAAGTCCGTGCTGTCGTACAAGTTGTTCTCGTACGCCTGGTCCCGCCTGGGCAGGTCGGTGTTGTTAGCGAGCCCGAGGGCAGTTTGGAGCTCTCGTTCTAGAGCCTGGAGTCGGCTGCTGAACACGTCGCTGGCAACGCTGCTGTTCAGGCTGTTAGTCCTGCAGCGTGGGAAATGCGTGTGGGGTGGTTTAGGATGCAGCCGAGGTACGCGAACATCGTCAGCAGCAGTGTCATGCATGCAGGTGGCAATAACCCACATCTGCCTAGCCCAAAGCGCACATGGAGTGCAACGGTCAACACGCACCCGTCATTGTTGTAGCGCTGGTTCTCCCGGGCGCTAGGAGGTGGGGACGACGTGGCTTGTACGGCTGCGAGCGAGGCGCGCCGTACAGCCTCTGCTGCAGCTGCGGCGGCGCCAACGGAGTGGTCCAGGGAGCCCCGATTGGGCAGCCGCACGCTGTCGGGTGGGAGACAGGGAGCACACGAGCCGGTTGAGTGTACAGCTGTATGGGAGGAAGGACATTGCCACGATGAATACACGTGTGTCGCTTACACCTAGCCATGTAGCAAAGCACGGGGCATACCGGTACCCCTGCATGCGGCAACCAGCCCATTGCCAGGACGTGCTGGAAGGAGGTCCTTACCTGGATGCGGGCAGCGACGAGGTGATGATCGAGGGAGACAGCGCGGGAGACGACCGGTTGCTCGGCCCCTGCTCCGACCGGTGCGATCCCGACACCGAGCCCGCATGCCAGGGCCAAGCGGGGCCAGCCGGGCCCGCATCACCAGAGACAGGCGCTCCCACAACAGCGGCAGCTGCACCGCCGCCGCCACTGCCTCCGCTCCCTCCGCTGCCACTGCCGCTACCACTGTTAGGTGTCGAGCTGCTGGTGGCGCTGGGACCGCCGGAGCTACCCGCGACGGAGCCCTGGGGGCCTCCCAAGTTACTGCGGCCTGAGGTAGCGCTGGTGGCGGTGACGGTACTGCTGGTGACAGGGTGGCTGCTGCCGCTGGGGTTGCCGCCATGGCCGCTGCTACTGCCGCTGGGCAGGCCTGTTGCAGCGGCGGCTGCTAGCTGTATCAACCGGCGTATGTCAGCGGAGGATGAATGCGAAGATCCCGACCGTGAAGACTGCTGCTGCTGCTGCTGAGCCTCCGGACCAGAGGAAGCCGCCCCTGACGGGGGCACTGCTGATCCTGCTGCTGCTGAAGCCGCGGCAGAGGCGGCGGCGCTGCGAGCCGCAGCAGCACCTGCCGTCGGCAACAGAGGCGGCGAGAAGGCGGTGGAGGGTGTGGAGGTGGCAGTGGGAACCGACGCGGGCGTAAGGTCGCTCTCTGACGGTAAGTCATAGGAGCGTGTGGGGGTGGTGACGTCACCGGCGGGCCGGAAGCGCGAGGGCAGCAGCGGAACCCGCGGCCTCGGCTGCTGCTGCTGCCGCAGGGCTGCTGCAGCCTCGAGGCTCCCAGCCGAAGCGGAGCTGTCCTCATCACGCTCGCTATCAACGGAGGACGACGGCTGCTGGCTGGCAGCCGCTGCCGCCGCCGGGGGTAGCGACCTGGCTAGCTGCTGCTGCAGTACCCGCACCTCCGCTTGCAGAACCTCCTCCTCCTGCCGCCGCCGCGCATGCGTGTCTAGCTCCTCAGCAATCCGCTCCGCCGCCACCGCCAGCGACGCGCCCGCCGCACCCCTCGCCGCTGCTGACGTCTCCGTCGCCGTCACCCCCGCCAGCAGCTCTGCTCGCAGCCGCTCCGCCGCCACCTCCGCCTGCTCCCGCTCTGCCGCCTCCCGCCGCAACACGGCCTCATGCTCCCGCCGCGCCTGCTGCTCCAGCTCCACCTGCCGCAGGTACTGCTCCCGCTGCTGGGCAGCCTGCCGCGCCTGCTCCTGCTGCCGGCGCGCCTGATCCTGCTGCTGCTGATCCAGCTGGGTGATCAGCGCAGCCACCGCAGCCCTCTCGCGCGACTGCTCCTCCGCCGACTGGTGCTGCTGCCGGGAGCCCTGTGCCGGCGCATGCCCGTCCTGATCCTGCCGCCCTCCATCGCCCCCTCCTCCTCCTCCTTGCCGGCTCACATCATGGTCCCCGTCCTGCGGGGCGCTTCCGTGCGGGCGGCTGCCTGCTTGCTGGCCCTGGCTGCCGTGGCCAGGATCATCATTGTTGTCGTCATGCCTGTCATCACGCATGTCCTCCCGCTGCTGGCTGCCCAGGCGGGCCGCCGCCGCCAGCTGCGTCCGCATGTCCGCCTCTCGCGCCGCCAGCTGAGCCAGCACCGCCGCGTCGCGCTGCCGCTCCGCCGCTAACGCGCCCACCAGCCGCCTGGCCTCCGCCTCCTCAGCAGCGTTCTGACGCTCAAGCTTCCTGAGGTGGTAGTGGTTGCGGTGGTAGCGGGGCGCAGGGATGGAGCGCTCTAGAGGAGGATACATCCTTCTAAGCATGTAGGCGCAGTATGTTATTGTCAGTGGAGCGTGCACAGCCATCCTTAGGTAACTCGATCAGCGATAGTACGACAAGCCGCAGTGGCGGCGGCGGCAGAGTGTCTTGGCAGAGTAGTTCCCAGCCCCCACCCCACCCCACCTGCGGCGTTCCAGCAGCTCTGCCTGCGCCGCCATGGCCCGGGCAGCCGCCTCCGCATCCGACAGCTGCTCGCGAGCAGCGGCCGCAGCGGCCTGGGCACAGCAGCAGGAGTGGGGGCGCAGGCGCAGACCGCCAGCACGGGAAGGGACTGCGTGAAGAGCACATTGCCGCAGATGGTACCCTCTCCCATGGCAGACCCCCTGGACAAGCCCTAGCCATCCCTTACCCAAATCCCAACCCCGTTCCCAACCGAGCGCTGCGAACCGATCCCACCTCACCCGTCCGCCTGTACAGCTCCTCCTCCCCTCCCCATCCCCCAGGGAATATGTATCCCTATCGGTCCCCCTCCCCCGCCCACCTCCGTCTGCTGCCGCTCCAGCTCCAGCAGCTGCTCCCGCCGCAGCTGCTCCGCCTCGTACCAGGCCACATCCGCCGCAGCCCGCAGCCGCAGCGCCTGATGTTCTGCCACGCTGCGAGCAGCCACCCGCGCGTCCTCCGCGGCGCGCGCCTCCGCCGTCACCCGCGCCGCGTCCTCAGCCATGCGCCGCAGCCGCCGCTCACCCTCCGCCTGCAGGCAACACGCCGCGTGACGGACTCAAGCCGAAAGGAGACGCAAGAGGCGGAGGACGCGTAGAACAGGAAAGCGAACCGAGGAGGGTGTGATATGTCCTAGAAACGGTAGCAAACGCGAAGACGCAGGGACAAGGCTGCATGCCTGCTTCCTGCATGCATGCTTGCGGCCTCCAACCCCACCTACCTTGACGATCTCCTCCTCCACCTGCAGCGTCAGCGCCTGCGCCTCCCGCGCAGCCGCGCTGCGAGCTGCGCCCTCCTCCGCCGCCAGCGCCACCTGCAGCCTCCGCGACTCGTCCAGCTGGGAGCGCAGCTTGCGAGCCTCGTCCTCTGGGGGCAGCAGCAGACATGACGGAGGTGGGATGGGGTGAGGGAAGGCGCCACGTACGGAGGAAACGTGCGGAGGATAAGCAACAGCAGCGTGAGGAAAAGCGGGCGGTTTCTGCTGGCGTGGTGCTAATGAAAGCGCGCTTGTTGCCTGCCTCCTTGCTTGGGAACCATGGCAGTCAGCCGCAAACCCTCACCTGCCTCCCACTCCTTCATCTTGGTTCGCTGCTTGGAGTCCGCCTCCGCCTGGTGAGCCAGCAGCTCGTCCCGTACTGCCGATTGTACGGCAGCTCGCCGTACGTCCTGCTCCATGTCGCGCATTCGCTGCTGCGCGTGGAACTCCAGTGCCTGGGGGGAGGGGGGTGGTTATCATCCGGAGTCAGCAACAGCCGGGGAGGTTAGGCATCAAGGCTTGCAAGGTATGCAGCAGTTGTTTCTGCCGCTGCCCTTTCAAGTGCTACGAAAGCGCCTCCCTTTTGGCAAGAAGCAGGCAAACAAGTATCCCGGGCACCTTGATCTGCTCTTCCTCTTCGCGACTGCGCATCTGCTGCGCTGCCAGTGCCCGCTTGTGTGCCACCTCGGCTCGTGCCGACTCCAGCTCGCGCTGCCAGGTGCTGCGGATCTCTAGCAGGTTGGCCTGGCAGGGGGACGGGGAGGGGGGAGAAGTGTGTTGAGCGGCGGACAGGAGAGGAGCATGTCAACGGCATAGCCGCAGCATACGGTACCCCTAAGCCTAGTGGTCGGCGGGCATCTCCTCTCACATACCATCCTCACCCTCCGCTTCCCACTCCCCCCATCCCCCCCGCCCCACCTGGTATGCTCGCTCCACCTCCGCGATCTGCTTGAGCTTTTCCTCCTTGGCTCGGTCGTCCAGCCGCGCCATCTGCGCCGCCGTGTCCGCCTCCAGCTGCCGCAGCGTGGCGCGCCGCTGCTCCTCCAGCGCCGCCAGCTGCTGCCGCTCGGTGGACAGGGAGGCGGCCTTGGCAGCAGGCAGGGGAGGGCCGGGGGAGGGGGTTCAGAAAGGGGTGAATAGAGGGAAGACAGGATGCAGGACGAGGTGAGGATGTGAGGAGCGGGAGGAGGGTGTGACTGGAGAGACACACGGAAGCGCCCACCACGCCTACTACCAACCCCAACCCACCCCTTCACTCCTCCCCGGTCCCGCCGCACCTGCAGCGCCACCGCCCGCGTGCGCAGCTCCAGCTCCGAGACCACCGCCCTCCGCCGCATGAGCGCCTCCTCCGCCTCGCGGATGCGCGCCCGGTCCGCAGCGAACAACTCCACAGCGCCTGGGGGGAGGCGATGGCGGGTGTTGGGGGCGCGGAAGGGGACGGATGATTATGATTGTAGCATAGGGGTGCAGGGGGAAGGGATGGTGGCATGCATGCATGGGTGGTAGCATGCAAAGGGAGGGACATCGTGACTTGTGCGTCAAGGCCCTCTCCTTTACGTCCATTGATATAGCGCATCCGCGTCTCCGCGGACGTCCACAGCCCTCCTCAGTCCTACGACGCCAGCAGCAAAAGAGCACCCAGCCCCTGGAGTCTTCCACTAAGGGGGGCTGAAGGCTCACGACCTAGGCACTTCCGCCCTCTCCCCACCTGGTTTCCTACGGTTTGGCTTCCTATGGTATTCCTGACCCACCTGCTGGGAAGTCCTTGAACTCCGTGTAGGTGGGCCCCTGCGGCAGCGGCTGCCACTCCGCGGGCACCGGCCGCAGCTCCTCGGGGGTGCGGCTGCGCAGCTGGTAGGCGCCGCGCAGCACCTGGGGGCGGGGAGGAGGGAGGGGGTGTTGCATGACGGGGAGGAGAGTGGAGAGGGAGGGGAAATACCGGGGAGTGGGAGCGGATCCTCTAACAAGGCCAAAGCCCGCAGCGGCTGGCGTCTTCGTACGTGCGTGCGTGCGCCCAACCAGACGCTCACAAGCCCGCCAACAAAACTGCCCTGCCTCTCCTAGCCAAGCCTCCCAACCGCATCCGCCCTTAGGTCTCTGCTTTCTCCTCCCCCCTTTCGAGTAACCCAGTACACCCTCCCCACAGACACACACCGAACTTTTAACTCACCGCGTCCATGTTTAGCTGCGGCGGCCCCGCCAACAGCGCCGCCAGCCTGGCCTCCGAGTCCAGCGCCAACAGCTGGCTGCGCAGCGCCAGCAGGTAGGCGGCCACGAAGAAGTAGAGCAGGTCGGGGCCCGCGGTCAGGCAGTGGTCCCACAGCTGGGGAGGAGGGGAGGGGAGGGGGGGGGAGGAGTTATGGATGGGAACGGAAGAGAATAGCATTATTTGAGCAGGTCCTTGTTCCCCTCGTCGCTACTAGCGGTGGCGGGGTGGACAGGGGGTTGTTCGTCCAGGCCACGAAACGGCCTACCTGCCTTATAAGAACTCCCAACACGCGGTGTGCTTCTCTCCCTCTCTCCTTGCCCCTCCCCCCCTCAGCTAGTTTACCATTGTCACACAACAAACTGCATATTCTTCTCCCTGCCCCTCTCCCCCCTCCTGCCGTACCTTGAGCCAGTTGTCCCGCGTCAGCAGCTCCGTCCACAGTGTTGCCAGGTGCGGCCACACCAGCGCCGCCAGCCCCCCGCGGAAGGAGCCCAGGTGGGCGGCAAGCGCGGAGTCGTGCAGCGACAGCAGGTCCTAGCAGGAGGGGGAGGCAGGGGGCGAAGAGGAAACAGCTAACTGACCGTGGGAGGGGGTGGGAGGGGGGTGGCCGGGGCCGTGAGCAACAGTCAGACAGGTACACAGCAAGCCACGGCAAGCCAAGCAAGGTGCTGTCGTAGGGGACGCAAGGGACTGGAAGCTTCCGGTGCAATGTTGAACAGCCCAAACTCCGGCATCTACGCAGCATCCAAGCCGCTGCCCAGAGGCATCCCAGTTCCCTAAGTCCTCGTCCTAGCCCCTCGCAGTCCCAACAGCCGCACCCCCCTCCCCCCTCCCACCGCCACCCCCCTCCCACCGCACCTGCAGCCTGGCCAGCAGCCCCAGCGGCGGGTGCGGGAAGCGCTCCCACCAGCCCCGCAGCCAGCCGCAGCTGACCAGCGTGGCAAGCACCTCGAAGCAGCACTCGTCCAGGCAGGCGCTGCTGCTGGGGCCGCCGCCGCCGCCACTGGCGCCGTACAACCCAGGGGAGGTGGCGAAGAGCTTGACGAAGGGGAAGGCCAGGTCGGGCAGGAAGGAGGACTCCGCTGCGGAAGGGGCGGGTGGGGGGGTGTAACGTAGGGAAGGGAGGACGTGGGAGACGCGCGGTTTTGCTGGCATAGAGGAGAAATGAGAATCTTAGGCGCTGCGCTTGACCAAGCAACCCCCATTACCGTGCAGCCTGGCCATTCCGGTTTACCCCCAACGCCCCATGCAGCCCCAGGCATCCCACTTCGCAGCTTCCTGTTCCCATTGTTTTGCCCCAACCTGTGGTTTCCTATGGTTCGGTATGGTCTTTGACCCCCGGTTCGCACGCACCCAGCACGGGGCACCAGTGCGCCAGCTGCGACAGGGTGGCCACCAGACGCTGCGACAGCGCGCGGTTGGGCAGCGGCAGCCGAGCGGCCAGCTCGCGCACCGCGGGGTGCACCCCCAGACCCGCCAGCGAGGCGAAGGCGGCGGTGTTGTGGGGCAGCCGAAGCAGGAAGTCCCTGGGCGGGTGCGAGAGAGGAGCAGACAGCAGGGGAGGAGGGCGCGCATGAGGGTGTTTGAGGGTGGGAGCGAGGAGGCGAGAAATAGGGATCCGATGGGTTAGGTTAGCTGCGTTCGCGTTTGATATGGGGCATACCCGCATATGTGCGCGCACCCTCCCCGAATGAATTTGTTCGTTCTTTTCCCGTCTATCCTCAATGGGGGACGCAAACCCACCCACCAGATCATGACTCGGTACTTGGAGGGGTACTCCCCGAACGCCTCCAGCAGCGCAGCAAGCCGGCTACGGTTCAGCGACACAGCGGCGGGGTCAGGAGCGCCACCCCGGGCCCCCGCCGCAGCCGCCGCCAAGCCAACTCCAACCCCCATGGCTCCCTTCCCGCGCTTTCCAGGCGACCGTGGTACCGAGCCCGCCGCAGTCGCTCCGTGCGCGGTGGCCTTGGCAGGCGGCAGACCTGCCGAAGCCTGCGCAATCCAGGCCTGCTTGCGCTTCGCAGCGCCGCGCGGGGGCAGCGGGGGTGCCGGCTGCGGAGGGGGATGCGCTCGGTTGTCAGCGAGGGGCCTGGTGTCCGCAGCGATGTCGCCGTGCTCGGCTGCTGCTGCGGCGGCAGCTGGTGTGTGGGCAGGTAGCAGCGCCCGCATGGTGCCGGGGCTGTCTGGAGCTTCCGCTGCTGCCAGCTGCTGGGGATGCTGCTGCTGCTGCTGCTGGCGCAGGTGTTCCAGGGAGACCGCGGCAGCTAGATCGTCGAACTGGGCGGGTGCGATGCGAGGCAGCGGCCGGGGGGGCTGCATGCTGCTGCGCGCGTCCGTGAGCTCATGCAACATCACCTGTTGGGTACATGGAGGGGAGAAGCGCATGAGCGGTCCACAGTGCAGAGCGGCGGCAAGGATGGCTGTGGTGCGGTACGAGGTGCAAGGAAGAAACGTACGCACGTATGTCAACCTACCTTGCCATTCGCAATGAGCGCCATGTGATCCTGTTTGTCGTCCAAGCTGAAGCGGCAGTCGCGACGGTTGGGAAACTGGTACGGCACAGCTCCCACGCAGCGGCAGTTCAGCACGTCTACGAACGCCACTGAGCCGTCTGTTAGCAGCGCCGCAACAGTCGCCGAGTCCGACAAGAACCGCAGCTGCTGGACGCCCGTCGCCAGCGGCAACAAAGCCGCCATGCCCGCTGCCCCGACGTTCTGTCCCGCCGGCGTCAGTGGTGAAACCCCAGCCGCCGCCTCTGCCTCCGCTGCGGCGGCGGCAGTGGAGGCGGCGGCGGCCGCGCCAGCCGCCGCCGGCGTCAGTGCTGACGTGTTGTCGTACGACGCTGGCAGTCCCACGCCGTACAGCAGCTCCCCGCTGAGGATGCTGTACACGAGCAGCACGGGCAGCGTGGGGCCGCATGCGACCAGCAGCTGGCCGTCGGGGCTGAGGCTGAAGGCGGTCTGCGCGGGCCGCAGTGGCGGGGCCACGGGCAGGGTGAAGGAGCGCACCAGCGAGAAGCTGCCCGCCGACCACACGTAGAAGCTGCCGTCCTGAAAGGGTGGAGTGAGGGTGCCAGGGAGGGTTGTGCGTCACACGTTTCGCGTAACGTGGGGGACAGTAGTGCTGGGGTAGGAAGGCCTGGCTTCGCGAGGTGCTTGGGACAGGGGTGGAAAGAAGAACCCACGTCTTTGCGCACATCGCGCATGGACCGCAGTGGGTAGGCTGCGAGTAAACAGCGACGGTTGCATGGCATCCCGGTGTCCCACCTTGAACTGTGTGACGACCGCCTGGCCATCAGGGGTGTAGCTGGCCTGCAGGGCGCCGTACGGACCGCTGCCCAGCACCCGCTTGCGACGTAGCTTCTGCAGTTGGGCGGGAGGCGGAGGCACACACGCGCAGTGTGGCCAGTATGACGCACTTAGTAAGCCGACAAAGGAATGCCAGTGCATGGATTTGTAAGTAAGGTAAACAGGCCATGTTGCCTTTTCTTTTTCGTCTGGAGTTAGCTGTTGCCACGGGGCGGACCCGCAAATCCCAATGCCGTTTATGTGGCGACCATCCCGGTAGTCCCACCTTGATGTCCCACACCAGGATTCCGTCAACGGATGTTGTCAGCAGCTCGCCCAGGTCACGATTCAGCTCCATATGCCGTACAGGACTGCAAATGGGTCGAACACCACAGCTTTAGGGCACGTCACGGATTCAAAGGTTGGTCTCCCGTACAGTGCCAGACCACGGCAAACCCCGCTAACAACGGTATCCCACCGAAACTGAACTGGGTATTATGCAGCACAACTTTTAGGAATTTAAGGGGTGTTGCTCAAGTCCCGCACCTTCTGTGCTCTCGCAGCACGCCAATGACAGTCCCTTTGGATGCATCATAGCAACGGATGGTGCTATCCGCGAAGGCCACGAATACTGCGCGCGGACCGTGCACAAGGGCAGCGGTTCCTGGCGTCCCGGCCTTGTCCAGGCAGGCGTAGCGGTTCTGGCGGATGTCGAAGACGTATACCTGGCCCCGGCTGTCGGTCGTTACCAGCACATCAGCCCGAGCGTCCATCGCCACAGCCGTAAAACTGGAGTTCCGAATAGCTTCCGAGACTTTGCTGGCAGGTACTTGCAGCACGGCGACCAACCCACTGATGCCGGGAGCAGGTTTGGTCGTCCAAATCCTGCCATGTTGCCCGGCTATGCTCACCGGCGGAACCGTGTATCGTAACATGGCTCTCAGGCGGCGCTTACTATCAGTAACTTGTTCCTAGAGGCAAAACATTGATATTACTACGCAACTCGCAGACCCCACGTTTTGGCAAGATAAAGGTTGGTTTGAGCCTTATCATAATATGAATATGAACTGTTTAATTAGTCGTTTCTGTGCACTACGAGGCTAAACTTGCGGCAAGATGCGAAAGTCAAAGCAGGGGGTCAAACACCGTACGGGCTCATCCGTAAGCTGCGGTTAACCGACAAGTGCACAGCAAGCCGTTTCTGTGACGAGTTGTTCTTCTTAAATGCTTTTACGTTTGGATGTGGTCTGATGTTAAGCGTAGAGGTACCCACATCTACCTGCACAAGTGATTTCCTAAGCGTTGTATATCACCCTTCAGTGAAACGTTTGCATCACAACGTCGGGGTATTGTGTTAATAGGCGAGATGGACCTTCGCGCTAAATAGAAGGATAATGTCTCCAGCCTTCCTATTTCTGCTGGCGTTTTGCTTTCCGCGTCTGTTCGAAGCCAGCAGCGGCGATCGTCGTGCAGATCATACCAATTGTCTCCATACTTGCGCAAGGACGGGTTGTGTTGCCCAGTTCCACCAGAACGAAGTGCAACATGCGTCACAATCAACTTGCCCCAAGGCCTGCGCCCGGCATAACAGCAATGGCAGAAACCAAGTTGGCAGCGAGGGCGCGCCACCAATGTCTGCAACAGCCATTCCCTTGGCGCTACGTCTCTTCAAGTGGAGCTGCGAAGACGACTGCAAGTACCATTGCATGCGCATAGTTGAAGAGTTAAAGGCATCGCATAGCGTGCGCGGGGATGTGGGCCGTTTCGAGGTGGAGAAGTACTACGGCAAGTGGCCATTTGTGCGTGTATGGGGCATGCAGGAGCTAGCATCCGTCCTGGCCTCCATCGCCAACCTCGTAGTCCACATCGTCTGCCTCGCGCGCCTGAGGGCCCACGTCCGGCGATACACGAACGTCTCTTCTCCATCAGGCCCCAGCAGCACCAGCACTCTCCCCACGCTGACCGGAAGCCCCACAAGGTCCTACCCCTTCTTCGCTGTCTGGGCGACCTACGGCTGCGTCCAGATGAACGCATGGTTCTGCAGCGCGCTCTTCCATGCGCGCGATACCCGGCTCACAGAACGCATGGACTACACCGGGGCCATCCTAGTAGTCGGCTCCACCCTCCTGACGGCAACCGTGCGGGTGCTGTGGGGGCCCCGCCGCCGTGACAAGCTCCTTGTAGCGTTCGTCAGCGCCTGTGTGGCGACATGGCTGGCCTACCACCTGAACTACATGCTCCGCGTGAAGTTCGACTATGGCTGGAACATGAAGGTCTGCATCTCTTTGGCAGTCGTAACGGCGCTGGTGTGGCTGGTTTGGAACGTGTACATCCGACACCCGGCGCGCAGGAGGATGTACTCGTTCTTGGTACTGCTGCATGCAAGCATGCTACTGGAGGTGTTGGACTTCCCGCCCATTGGAGGCATCCTTGACGCGCATGCCTGCTGGCACATCGCGACTGTGTTCATCACGCCCTTGTTCTACAGCTACCTGCAGGATGACGTGGCGTTTGTTGTGGAGAGGCACAAGGAGTCCTGGCTGAAGGCTGCGTAAGGTTGCATGATTGGCAAACGGACTATGATTGTTAAGTTTGGTGATGCGTAGTGACTACTGCGACGGGGTGTTCGACAAGCTGTGAAAGCTTAAATACGGATATCGTATTTGTTGGTTGATGGTTGGTGCACATCTAACCCTTGACGGCGTTCAATCGAATGCCAAAGTTGGCACCGCCAATACCCATGCTCGTGACCCATGCTAACACTGTACAATATCCGAGCATGCCACATCAAGCAAGCCCCCCAACTGCCCTAGCACAGGCGCTCTCTCTACTACTCTCTCTCTTACTGAAACGGCTTCCTTTCACCGGTTAGTTCAGCCCTACTACCTAAGCCATATGGTTCCTCAAGCACACCAATGCGGAACAATGCTGGCCCTGTTGAAGCAGCCATAGGTTTAAAAATACGCCAACAGCCCATCACGGACTAAGGCAATGGTCAAAAACAGTTCACCACCCCCAGTAACAGCCCCTCCAACTTCCTCCGCTCCAAGTTGCAAGGCCATGCAGCCGATTCCAACAATGCATGGACCCATCTACCCCGCTCTTTTCCCGCATGCAGCTACTTAATGCGGATCCCCTTGTCAGCCGTCCGCTTGATCTCATCCAAGCTCTGTGCGCCTTGAGGCCCAAGACTGACACCGCCTGCGGAGCATGTCGAGCGAGTTTGGAGCGTCCGTGGTTAGTGCGGTGTCTTGTAGGGATGCAAGGGCACAAGCCGTGAAGGGCATGCGCCAATAACCCCACAGCTACCGGTAGTTTACCGGTTACCAAAAGCAGCGTGCAGTAGTACCAACCCTGCATGGCACTCCGGGACACTACCCGCGGTACGCAACACAACTTACCGAAAAGAACATCGTTCGTCATCTGCCCCTTCCTGCAAAGCGGCCACAGGGCAACCCCACACGTGATAAGCGACGCGACAACGACCAACCAAACCCAGGTACTGACGCAACACCCGCGCCACTGCTTCTAGCTAACAGGAGCTGCTGCCCGGCTGCGTTGGGCTAGCCTGCCGTCAGCCCAGCACCTGTCTGCTTGTCGCAGCAGACAACCTAACGTGTCAAATGGTGTCGTGGCTCCTAGCTAGCTTCACAGCATCACAAGGCCAGTTCAAGCGGGGAAGAGCCGTACACACCTGGTGTATTCAAGTCCAGCTTCGGTAAGCGCTGGACAGGGCTTGTATGCCTTGATCGGCCACCACCCGAATCCCGGCAACGCTCCCATGCCTCCAATCACCCTCCCTTCCCCATCGCATCTGCACACACAGACCACGAATCCGCAAGGTGCGAAGGTGTAAGAGTGGATGGCCCAGGGACGAGGCAAGGGGAAACAGCAGAAAACCGATACCCCGGGACACGCAAGCCGGGAAACGATTGAGAAACAAAGGGCCCGGTCAATACCCAAGTCAGCGAATGTGCGTTAGGTTAGGGAGGCTTTGTTGCACTGCAGGCAGCCGCTAGTGCCAACCTGCACTCACCCGCCTGGCATCTTGCTGCGATCCACGCCGCATGTGCTGCAAACATTTGGATTGCTTTCTTGGGTCGCACCGGCGGTCTCCGGGGCCTGTACCCAAGATAATTAAGCGTAGGTTGTACGTGATAAGCCCCGTCGCGTTAACATAGATCAATAGCTCAGCGCTACCTGAGCTTTAGTTGAGAGCCGTGCTACTCGTTGGAAACCTGTGCGGACGCGTGTTGGCCGTGAAACATTGACGGTCTTGCAAGGCTGGAACGGACGCAGCATGTTGCAGGTCATCTCTAAATCTCACGCAACCATTAAATACAAGTCTCGAACGTGTATTCACCGGAGGGCGGTGGAAGTCCAAATGGGTAGGTTGAGGTCCTTGCCGAGTCGTACTAGAAGGAACAACATTGCAAGACGACGATAACCCACGGTTATTCCTGCAGGACGCACATAGACCGTTTTGTAGTGTCCATCTACTACACATATGCCTTAGTGGTTCCAACAGACAGCGGGGGCAACAATGGGAGGTGGGGGCAAGCCCTCCACCATACCGGCTCACCTGCAAGACAGGATCGATGCCATTGAAACTAATCAGCGAGACACAGATGCGCAAGCATTTCAGAAGGCTGTTGAGAGGCGCGCACGTGTTTCCTTTTCGGCAGCCATTGCCGGGTATGTGGACCCTGTTTATGTTAAAATCAACACGTCTCTGTGATATAAGTATTCGGCATGAGGTATCCCGGTGTCGCGGTGTCAAAAGATAGTTCAACTTTTTCCCGCAGGTTCGGTGTTCTCATATTTCTTTTGAGCGCCTACCTGCTCTGCACCAGCGGAATAGGCGACCCTGAACTCACAGCGCAGTTCCATGCCAAGGTAACCGGTGCAGTAGAGACTGAAGGTTACATTCCTGCAAGCGCGGTACTGCCTGCGCTGCTATACGTAAGTTCGTTGTAATATTTGTCCGCAGACGGACCCCAACTGCTACACATGGCCGATGATTGCGTTCTCTACGGCCTTTGGCCTCAACTTCATAACCTTGCTGTTCGAGCGCGAGAGCGCAAAGTTCCAGCTTGCTCTGCTAGCTTGCTACATCAATTTTCTAGCCGGCTTCAGCGACTATCTATCATGGAAAGGCTACTCTCCTATTCTCCGGGACAGCTTCGGTGGGGGCTTCCAGCTACTGCGCATCATTATGTGGCTCCTTACGACGCCGGTCATGGTGTACCTCCTCAGCATCATTTCGGACTTCAGCCGGGTGAAGGTGCGGATATTGTCGCTGCTGGCTGACGCTGTTCCGCACGGTTTGCTCGCCCTGTCGGCCGGGCCAGACCTGCATACGGCCCCCATCATACGACCCTTGCAAACCCTGCGTGCCGTACACCTTACTGCAGGTGTATACGGTCATGCTTGCGGACGCCCTGATGATATCCTTCGGCATCCTCGGCTTCCTATCGCACACCGTGTACCTTGCAAGTAAGAGCCGCATCCTTGCCGTACTTGTGGCACATGTGTGTGCACACGCGTTGCAATTGGGCACCACCATGTCGACGCGGTGCGGAAACACACCTCAAAACGCAATTGCCAGGAAACGCTCTAGCCTGCATCTACCTATACCATTCCTTTGTTTCGCCACTGGCCTTGCCTGCGTCTTGCTGCCAATGTGGCATAGAGCTCATCGTCCGCTTCATGCAATTGCCGCCGTAACATGCGTCCCATCACAGTATCCCACCCTGCACCCTGGCTTCCCACCCCCCTCCCCCCCTGCTTTGCCCTAACCTGTGGTTCTTGTATATCTCTGCTCCCCCCCTGCCCTCGCAGTCCCCATGTTCATGATCGCCTACAGCCTGTTCATGTATGTGGTGTACAGCATGTGGAGCATGTTCCATGCGTAAGTCACACGGGCGGCCTGGCTGCTGGGGCTGCTACTGCTGCTGTGGGCTATACTGATAGGGGCTGTACTGCCGCGGTCTGTACTCCTGCCGCGGGCTGTCTTCTCGCACCTTTAGCGCTACCGTATTGGGCTAGCTGCTGCTGTGGGTCACAGCATGGTATTCCCTTCTTCTTGCCCCTCCGTTGCCTCCCCCTTTCTCCCATCAACCTTTTTCCTCACCCCTACCGCCCCAACACACCCTCCTCCCGCCCCCCCGACAGCTCCATCGCGGAGGTGCGTCACGACAGCAGCCGGGTCAGTCTGGAGGTGCTCAGGCTGTTCGCAGTGGTGAGTGGAGGGGGGAGGGGAGGGGAGGGGAGAAGAGGGGGCAGTGCGGGTCGGCGTGAGGAGGAGGAGGAGTGGGAGCAGGGATCTTCAGCTGGGTTGTGAGCTGTTTCGTTGCAGTTGGTGTGGGGGTTGAAGTGTGTATGCAGCGGGGGGGCGGGCTGCGCTCTCGGACGTGTGGTTGGGGATAACGTGTGGCTTTGGAACAACCCATGTTTGCCAATCGGACCTCAGCACCGCTTCTGATGTCGGACCCATCGCCCTTACCAATGCCCATGTGCCATGTGCCCCAAACCCTCCACTGTCCTCTTAAACCCCCTCCCCCCTTCCAACAATAACCCTGCACGCCCCTCCCTCGCCCCTCCCGCCCCTCCCCCTCCCCAGGGCCTGTGGTTCAGCTTCCCCGTCATCTGGATGGTTGTGAAGCTGGGTCTGGTGGACGTCTACGTGGAGGAGTGGCTGTGGTGCGTGGGCGACTTCCTGGGCAAGGTCATGTTCAGCTCCTCGCTGCTGCACGGCAACTTCCTGACCATCGAGCAGAGGAGGCTCATTGCCATGCGCATCGTGGAGGAGGGGAACAGGTGGGGGGGCGGTGGCGGTCAGGGAGGGAGACGGGCTGCGGCAGGTGCTGCTACTAGGATGGTTGTTGGCACTCCTGCTACGAGCCTAACATGCGCAGGCAACCCTGTACACACGGGGATCTAGCCGAGACGCCCAACCCGCACCTCTAATTACCCGATCCTCAACCACACCAGTCAACCCCCCAACCCCCTCCTAAACCCCTCCCCCCCCCTTATCACCCCCCCAGGATCCAGGTGATCCAGGAGCTGAAGGACCTGGTGGAGCAGAAGGAGCGCTTCATGAGCAGCATGAGCCACGAGCTGCGCACCCCGCTCAACGGCATCATTGGGCTGTCGGATGCGCTGCTGGTGGGCAGCTGCGGGGACATCAATGACCAGGTGGGCGGCGGGCGGGTAGGGGGGGAGGAGATCATGTTCATTTTGGGGTTTGTTTGGGGGCAAAGGAGAAGAGAAACACATTCCCAGTACTATAGGGGCATCCCATAGGAGGAGGAATGAAGAGCACTCCCGATCGCACATGCCCGCTTTCTACATACCCTGGCCTTACACCTCTCACCCCACTCTTCTTTTACCTCCTCCCCCTCCTATCCACCTCCCCCCCCCTTACAGGCGCTGAAGACCATCACCACCATCAAGACCAGCGGCGCCCGCCTGCTCAACCTGATCAACGACATCCTGGATGCGGCCTCCATGCGGAAGGTGAGGGGGGCGGGAGGGGGGCGGGTGGCGGAAGGTAAAGAGGAAACGAGTAACCGACCGTGTGATAAGGCGTCATCATGGAGGGAAGGGAGGCAGGGGGCACCCGTAACTCAAGTGCACAATTGAGCCGCAATAAAACCCGGACGGGGAGTGAAGGTAAGTAGGTTCAAAGCGCCCTTCCGCTCTTAACCCTCCCTCCCCTCCACCCCTACTCTCTCCCGCCTCCCACACCGCGCCCCCCCCCCCCTTGTCTCCCCCCTCCTTACCCCCCCCTTGCAGGGCAAGCTGACCATCAAGCACGAGAAGGTGAACCTGAAGCGCGTGGTGGACGACGTGATCGACCTGTGCCAGCCGCTGGCCAAGCGGGGGGTCAAGCTGGTCAACGACCTCAAGGAGAACACGCCGTTCGTGCTGGGCGACACGGGGCGCATCATACAGGTGGGGGGCGGGTCAAAAAAGAGCAAACAAGGTGGGGGGGAGGGGAGGTAAAGAAGGACGAAACTGACGAGCTGTATGACACATGGGCATCACCCCGGGTTGCTACATGGGGTGTGGGGGGGAGGGGAGGTGGGGCGAGACTGGGGGGGGGTTCCAAAAGACCAAACCATAGGAAACCAGACTGGAGGGGGTCGAGGGTGGGGCGGTCGAGCGGTGGGGTTGAGGTGTGCCTGTGTATCGGTGCGGCTGTGGACATATACCTCAGCGAGGAAGGGGCGCTCTGTTAGGAGAGGACACTGGGTCGTGGAAGCAGGTAGGGGCTGATGAGGCGGTGGTGACCCTACCAATGACTGTGAGTTTTCCATGTGATATCTCCCCCCTTTGTGTGCAACAGAAAGAGGCTATGTTTTGGCGAGTAGTCTCACCCCCTTGCCTCCCTCTTTTTGCCTCCTCTGCCCTGCCTGCCTGCCTCCCCCCTCCCCCTGCCCCCTCCCCTCCCCAGATCTTCCACAACCTGATCGGCAACAGCTGCAAGTTCACACACAACGGCTTCATCTCGGTGTCCGCGGCGGTGAGGGAGGACGAGGTGGAGGTGGCGGTCAGCGACACGGGCATAGGCATCCCGGAGGACAAGTTCGACCAGATCTTCCTGGCGTTTGAGCAGGTAGGGGGGCGGGCGGGTGGGGGCGGGTGGGGGTAAAAAGGTGTTTGACGTGGCCGGTGCTCCTCCGGACTCAATGCTGGCTCCTCTGCCCGACCTCTGTCCGTGTCGAGTGCTGAGCACGCATGTGTACCCCCCCCCCCCTCCTACTCCCAGGTCGACATGTCCGTCACCCGCAAGTACGGCGGCACGGGTCTGGGTCTCAACCTGGTGAAGCAGCTGGTGGAGGCGCACGGCGGCCGCATCGGGGTGCGCTCCAAGGAGAACCAGGGGGCCACATTCTTCTTCACGCTCAAGGTATGGGAGGGTGGAGGGAGAAGTGGGGGTGGCCGTGTGTGTTTGGGATTGGCCAAACACACATGGCTAGACCGCAAACACACATGGCTAGACCGCAGAGCAATGCAGTGCAAATGTGCACTGCCATGCAACGCTTACCACAATGCAAACTGTCACAAACCCACCAACCTGCTGGCCTCCCCCCCCCCCTCCTTCGCCTCCTCCCTCCAGATTCACTCGGAGAACCCAAACGAGGGGCAGTCACAGGTGGCGCCGACTGAGGCCGTGACTGGGCCCCTAGAGCACACTCAGTTGGCAAACCTGCGTGGCAGCGGCGGTACGGCAGCAGGCGGTACGGCGGCAGGAGGAGGAGCGGGAGGAGGCGCCGGGTCGGGGGGTCCCGGGAGTGGCGGCGGCGGCAACGGCCCTCCCCGCCGCGCACCCTCCCGCCGGGGCTCTTTCACGGATAAGATGCTTGGGGTGAAGAAGCCGCCCTCTGAGACCGGGAGGAGTTCCCTGGGGCCCGGAGGAGGGGGAGCGGGGGGGCAGGCGGGAGGGGCAGGGGGTGTGGCAGCGGCGGCAGCGAGGGGAGGAGGAGGAGGGGGTGGTGGCGGGGTGACGCATCAGCAGGGGCAGGGGCAGCAGGAGGAGAGGGAGAAGGCGAGGGAGGGTTACGGGGGTGGCGGCGAGGTGACCCATGGGTCGCAGCCGGCCCAGGCAGCCCGCAGGAGCCGGGAGCTGGCGGGGAAGCCGAGTGTGACGGGCGGGCCGCAGGTGGGGGCGAGAGGGGTGATTGGGTGGGAGTTTGCTGGGAGTTGGGGGTCATGCTGTGAGTGTACACACCGTTAGCCGCCGCCGCCGCGAGTGTTGAACCTCACGGCATCCTTCTGAGCGCGCCCCTACCATCTGCCTCCCACCTCCTCCCCCCAGGTGAGCGGCCCCATGAGCCTCAACGACGCGGCCGCAATGATGAAGGTGGGTGGCTTGGAAGGGGCCAATCAGTCCTTCCCCCCCACTCCCGATGGCATGGGACTAGCTTCACTTCTCATTACTCCCCTCCACCCCCTCATTACTCATCTTACTCCCCTCCACCCCCTCCCCTTCCCTCTCCCAGGGCGCCCTGAAGCGCAAGAGCTCCTTCCGCGAGAGGGGCGGCAAGGTGCGGGTGCTGAGTGTGGATGACGACCCGGTCAACCAGCTGGTCATCCAGAACCTGCTGGCGCCAGTGGGGTACGAGATACTGCAGGTGCGGTTGGGGGACGGAGGGAGGGGAAGGGGGGAGGGAGGGATGCTGCAAGGGGGAAGATGGGGCGGTGGTGGCATCTGGGACCTAAAGTCTGCAGTGTGGGAGGCGCTGTATTAGCTTTTGGTGGTGACGGAGCATCTTGCATGGGGGCCCACCCTAGGTGCTTCCCTAGCTCCGTGTACATAACTACATAACCGTCTCCTCCCGTCCCTCCCGCAAGTTCGGTAAGTTTAGCTCGCAACGCTTCAGTCACCAGTTCGGCTCGACTCAATGATTTTTCATCAGGGCTTGTCAGCTAGTTTACCACTATCACACCACACATTGGAATTTCTTTCCCCCCCCTCCCCCAGGCCATGGACGGCCAGGAGGCCCTCAAGGTGCTGACGGAGGAGGAGCGGCTGCCGGACGTGATCCTGCTGGACGTCATGATGCCGGGAATGAGCGGATACGAGGTACGGGGGAGGGGCGGGGGAGGGAGATGGGGGGTGAGAGGAGGGTGAGAGGAGGTGGGTGTGCTGTTCCGGCATGTTTCGCAGCAGCCAGGCGGCCTTCTGTCACCCCGCACCATCCACCCCGCCAGCCCCTGCTGCTCCTTCTTCTGCTGCTGTGCCAGCAATGCAGTTCCTTATCGCGCATGCAACCGTTGTGCCCGCCGTAAACCCCCTCCCTCTCCCCACTGCCCCTCGTCTTTTTCCCCCCTCCTTTCCAGGTGTGTCGCAAGCTGCGCGAGATGTACCCGCTGTCCTGCATCCCCGTCATCATGATCAGCGCCAAGTCCAAGGAGGAGCACATCGTGGAGGGGCTGGCGGCGGGAAGCAACGACTACGTGGTTAAGCCCTTTGGGCGACAGGTGCGGGGGGGGGGAGAGACTTGAGAGAGCATGGGTAATCCCCGGGAGGTGTTGATGGAGAGGAGGCTCTAGTCGATGCCAGGAAAGGTGTGTTTGAGTCGGCCACCCAGCCATCCACGTCTCCATCTCACCATGCTCCCACCCCTCCCCCCCGGGATTTCTTCCCCCCCCCGGATGTCACGGTGGTGGTCACTGTTGTTACCAACTTGGTCTTCTACTTCTCCTTCCCCCCTCTCCTCCCCTAGTTTACCACTATCACACCACACATTGAATATTTTCCTTTTCCCCCCGCCTCCAGGAGATCCTGGCCCGCATCGCCGCGCACCTGCGCTTCCGCGACACGGTGTACCAGGCGGGCGAGATCGCGGGGTCGCTGCCGGGGGAGGTGCTGCCGGGGCGGGTGCTGCTGCGGGGGGGGCCGGGGGGCGCGCTGGACCTGGCGCCCTTCCTGTCGGGGCCGGAGCGGTTCACCTCGCTGCCGCCCAGGATTGCGCGGGGCATTGAGGCGGGGACAACCTCGACCACACTGCAGGTGGGGGGTGGTAGGGGTTGTTGTTGCTGGCGCCTCCACAGCAAGCTTCCAGGTCTCTTCCAGGCTTCTGCATCCCATGGCTGGTAGGCTTTATCGCTGTTTCATTTCGTTCAAGAGTAGGCAGCACTGAGGGACCACTTGCCACCCTTCACCGTCGTCCACCGACCTCCCCCTCTCCCCCCCCTCCCCCCCCAGATGTTCGACCAGCTGACGCTGCTGGAGGTGACGGTTGCCAACCTGCCCGAGCTGCTGTCCAGCTGCCCCGCCCCCGACCTGCTGGTGGCGCTGGCCTCGCTGTTCCACGACCTGGACACGCTGCTGGAGCAGCACGGCTGCTACCTGCTGGAGGGGGTGGACGAGGGGCTCACCATCGTCAGCGGTGAGGAGGATGGGGGTGGGGGGGAGGGAGGGGTGGCGGTGGCGGTGGGGGTGGGGGTGGGGGTGTGCTGGCTTCATGCCTGGTGGCATCCTCCCATGCACATCTGGTCCGCCTGTCCTCCTCGTCCGTCTTCCACCCGCCCCCCTTTTGATGTGTTGATATTGGTCACCGTGTGACAGTCAGGTTGGGTGCTGTCGGGCGGTGGGAACTGGGGTTACCTCTGCTTCAACCCCACGCGGCGTTTCGCCAACAACTTGCCGCCACAAACGTTCCTTTTCATCTCCCATCCCTCCCCCCCCCTCGCTCTCCAAACAGGCCTAGACAGCGTGGGCGACCAGGTGCTGCACGCGCTGGGTCTGGCTCGCTCGCTGATGGCTGCCGCGGACACCTTCAGCCTGGGGCGGGGGGGCGGACGCAGGCTCAAGCTGGCGCTGGCCATTGGAATACACACGGGGCCGGCGCAGGTGGGGGGGTAAAAAAATATAATGAGACACTGACGATGCAACTGACGAGCTGGGAGAGGGAGAGAGGGGGTGGAGGGGCCCAGTGAGCATGACTAGTGGAACAACCCGCCCAATACCCACCGAGCCCGAGGTCTAAGTAGGGAGGTACAGGGAGAAATCAAGCCTCGACGCGCGACACGGATCGGTTCGAAGACATCTCCCTCTGCGCCTGAATGCGACTTAACCCTTCCTCCTCCCGCCTCTCCTCCCCTCTCCCCCCCCTCAGGGTGTTCTGGTGGGCCACCGGCACCCCGCCATGTTCTTCACCGGCCAGCTGCCTGCCGAGGTGCACATGCTGGGCGCCACCTGCCCGCCCTGCTGCGTGCACGTCAGCTGGAGGGTGGTGGAGGCCGTGGGTGAGTAGTGGGGGGGCGGGGGGTGGTGGTGGTGGGGAGGGAGGGAGGGGGGGAGGGGTGTGAATGGAACCAAATCCGAGGGAGGGAGAAGCGGGGACGTACGAGTTGAGTTAATTGGGACATGGCAGAGAGCTGTGGGGCGGGGCAAGATGGGAAACTCGCGACCACCGCCGCTCATCTTGCCACTGACTTCCCGTCACGACCCATGGGTCACCTCCCCCCGTCCCCTGCTGCTGTCCCAGGTGGCGAGCGGGACCACTTCGTCCCCGCGGGCAACATGCACAACGGACCCACCTACCTCATGAAGGTGGGGGCGGGGAGGCAGAGGGAGAAGGGGGAGGGGAGGGACAGACCAGGGAGCATCAGGCTTAGGGGGTAAGGCGGCGCGAGACGGCTAGGAGGCCACTGTTTGCGCAGCTCTGTCTCCTCCTCCCTCCACCGCAGTGCTAACCCATCTCACCTCCTCCCCCTCTCCTTCCCCCAGGTTGGCGGCTGGGAGGGCGGCGGCCAGGTGGCTGCCTCCGAGAACACCGCCCGCTGGGGCAAGGGCGGCAAGCTGGGGCTGCACGACGGCATCAACACGGAGGCGCGCCGCATGCGGCCCATACAGCTGGCACTGCTGGCAATGGCGCAGGTGGGGGCGAGGGGGGGGATGTGGCGGGCTGGGGTCCTCCCTTCCACTTCATCTGGCTGGTTGGCTGCACCCTCAGCCACAGGGGCACCAGGCTGCCCCACCCGCCCGGGGCGGGCTGCCATGTTTGCACCCCATGGTGAAGCCTACATGTCCCACAGCTCGTCAGTTTCTCCCTCCTTACCCCCCCCCCCGCCCCCGTCCCCACCCCTCCGCAGGCCAACCCCGGCTTCCTGGTGGACATCGCCTCCCTCGCGCCGGAGGCCAAGACAGCAGACGCCTCCGACACCACACCCGCAGCAGCAGGCGAGTCAGCAGCAGCAAGGGCCGCCTCGGGGGCGCAGCAGCCCGAGGTCGGCTCTGCCGCTGCTGGCCCCCCGGTGGATGCTGCCGCTGCCGCTGCTGCTGCTGCGGAGGTGGCTCGGCTGCAGCGGGAGTACGAGGCGCTGGAGCGGCAGCTGGAGGAGGTGTCCAATGAGGCGGCACGGCTGCAGGTAAGGGGGGGGGGTGAGGAGGAGGGGGACAATAGGGATACATGGGAAGGGAGGAGGGGAGGGGAACCATGCGATGAATGATATGGAGGGCGGGGGGGTGGAGGCGGATTTCTAGTGGGGACAGGCCGGGGCAACGCCCTCGTGGCATACCTCTGTTTCCCCCTTCCACCTCCCCCTCCTACCCAACCCCGTCTCTCTGCCCTCCATCTCCCACCTCCCCCTCAGGACCTGGTCGACGACCTGGAGGAGCAGCTCATCGCCAAGAGCGGCACCTCCGCGGCGGCCACTCAGCAGGCGGAGGCGGCGACAGCGGATGCACACAACCTCAAGGTACGGGGTGGGGGGTGCAGGGGGGGAAGGGAAGGGAAGGAGGGGGACTTGGCTTGTGGCGTGCCCTCTGGAAGCGGTCTACAGGTCTGTCACAAGCATTTCGACACACAGCCAGTTGCCGCTTGTCAGTTATTATGCTCGTCTAACTCAGTGTTTGTGTTTCCTCCCCGCCCCCACCAGGCCCAGGTGGTGGACCTGGAGGGTCAGCTGGCGGAGGCGGCGAGGGAGCGGTCGGGGCTGGAGGCGGCGCTGAGCGAGATGGAGCAGCGGCTGGTGGCCACGCATGCGGCACTGGCGTCGGCTAGCCATGAGGTGGGGGGAAGGGGGCGGGTGTTGATGTGGGTGAGGGGGCAGGGGGAGGGGGCAGCAGCCTTGCTCTGCTGCGGTGTACGGTGTGCTTGATGCGCCAAGGGGGGTCAGTTTGGGCCTTAGCCGTCTTGTCGGGTGTGTTCCGTAGCTGGTAATCCCCCGCTGCTGACTGTCCCCCCCCTCCTCCCTCCCTCCTGCTCCTTCAGGCTGCCGACCGCGCCCGCACCCAGACCCCGCGGCCCCCCGAGCCCCGAGTGGAGACGGCCTCCATGGCCTCGGGCAGCGAGGCGGGTTTCGGAGCCGCCAGCAGCGCAGAGGCGGCGGCGGCAGCAGCCGGAGTCGGGGGAGCGGCTGCCGGAGCAGGGGGGAACTGGTTGGGGCTGATGGGTCTGGGAGGGGGTCTGGCGCTGCAGCCGGGCCTGAGCCTGGGTCTGGGTGGCGGAGGAGGTCTGCTGGGAGGGGGAGGAGGGATGCTGGTGAACCGCAGCCCCATGCCGCTGGGACTGGCGCTACGACTGCCGGCGCTGGCTGCATGTGAGTGCGGTGGCTTGGGGTGGGGGAGGAGCTGGGAACTGGGGAGGGTGGGGACTACTTGGGGGATGGGGGCTGCTGGGAAGGAGGCCTGCAGTTGCCTTTGGGCCTAAGGACGATAGGGACAACAGGACCACTCACACTCTGACCCCATAACTCCTATACCCCCTAGTTCCCCTCCTCCTTTTCCTCCATCTTAACTCTGCTCCTCACCTCCCCGCGGCCCCCCCCCCAGTGCGCTCCGCCGCCGGCTCCCCCGCTGCTGCCGCTGCCGGAGACATGCGGTTGCTGCTGGAGGAGCTGGGTCTGCCGCAGCTGGCCGCTCGCTTCGAGAGCGAGGACATCAGCCCGGGGTTGCTGCCCTTCCTGGACGAGGGGGCACTGCGAGAGCTGGGGGCCACATCGCTGGGGGCGCGGCTGAGGCTGAGGATCGCGGCGCAGGCGCTGCTGATGCAGGGGTGAGGGAGGAAGGAGAGGTTCTTACATGATGTGATTGCCACTTGGTGCAGGGTGAGAAGGTAAGGTTCGCTGGGTTTCTAATTGGAGCAAGCTGGCGCTGTTGAGGGAGGAAGGAGGGGGAGGAGGCGTGGAAGGCATGTGTAGAATGGCGGTCTGCGTGGAAGGGGAAGGGGAAGGGAAGGGGAGTTGTGATCTGTTGTGATACGATAGCCATGCTTGGGAAGCACTGCGGAGGGCAGACAGCCATGCGTGGAGAGCGGGGTGAAGGGGTGCGGATGTCAAGAAGGAAAGTGGAGATTACTGGAGGTGCGCTGGCGGGAAAGGGTGCCTTCGGTGTCTTTGGTTTGTAGGGTTCGCTCTGCTTGCGAGCGAGGGGCCGCAGCTGTAAGAGCTGAGAGGCGGCGTCAGCGGGAGATGATGGGGGGTGAGGGGTGAGGAGCAGCTTGTCGGCAGCTGATCTGGTGTCCAGTCGAAACAGTGCGGAGGGGAGGGTGTGTGCGTGGGTTTGGGCAGGTGTGTGGGTGGGTGCTATAGTTGGGTGAGGAAGGGGAATGGATGGGAGGAGGGTGCCCTTTTGTGAGGGGCTTGAGGACCTTGGTGGTTGGTGGAGGCGGGGAATGGGGGAAGGGGACGGCCGGTTGGGGCTAGGTGTGCAGGCGTACAGCTGAGGCGTGCGGGGGTACGTATCTGTTTGGGGAGGGGCTTTGAGACGTGGTGGATGGATGATTTCCGGGAGGGTTGATACACCCAGGTTTTCGTGATGAAAATAGCTGCTGGGTTGAAGGCCCTGGCGTAGGGCCCGACATTGTACTTAGTTATTAATATGCGGTGGGTCGAAGGCTTCTCCGGATGTCTCCGCATGTATGATGCGTTCAGGCGAGGCGAGGTGAGACGAAGAGAAGCGAGACGAGGCGCGGTGAGGTTTGCTGAGGTAGGGTGAGTTGAAAGGCAGTCTTGGGGTGGAGCTGAGGTATGCGAGCGGAGCGGAAAGAGGGGGGCAGAGGGGGAGGGAGGGTGCGGCACGCCGATGTAGGGGGAGGCGGAGGGGTGTGTGTGCGCACTGGATTATGCGTTTTGGGAAGTGCTTTGGAGTCATACTTTTGGTTGGTTTCTCCTCTCTTGGAGCGTGCGTCATCTCTCCTTCATGTGCGTATGTGTACGATGGAGGGAATTGTCGAGTGCTTGAATAGAAAAAGGAAAGCCCATGCAACGTGTTGGTCCCTGTAGAACGCTGAGCGTGTGCGCAGTATGGCCCGTGTTGGTGTCCGCCTTATGATGCCTCGCGCTATGTGCGTGTCCGTGCGTGCGTCTGCGTAGGGAGAACCAGTACATGTTTCACTATATGTGCGTTAGGGAAACTGGCCGCAAGCAGGAACGTACTGGATGATGTATGTCTGCGCGCACCCCTCCCTAACTAGCCTCTCCGCCTCATACGCCGATGAGCCTGCTCCTGGTGGTGGTCTAGCCGATGGACGGTGGGGGGGAGGTGGTACCCCTCGCATGCTCGAGTGCTGGTATGTGGGTTTGCCGGGGCAGAGGCGGAGGGCGGTTTGTTGGAGGATGCGTAGCAGCTGGAGCGCGAGGAAGAGCACATGGGCTGCGAGGGCGGCGGTACAGGAGAAACAAAACTATGCGAGTGCGAAGGGGCCACCCCCTGGGTGGATGGAGCGGAGGGGGTGAGCTGGGTTGGAGGTGTGTTGCTGCTGAGGGCTGAGGAAGGAAGTACGGGTTGAGGTAGTACGAGCGAGGAGGGAGCCCTCCTTCCGGGGGGGAGGTGGACGAGCGGGGGTGAGGGGGGGCTCCCTGGTGCTCTGGCATGTTTGCGTTGAAGAACGAGGGTACGGTAATGTGAAGAAGAGCGTCGGTTGCAGACTATGATGAGATAAATGAAAGGGGCGTCCATGCTAAGGAGCGTCTCAGGCTGTGAGGTTTGGATTGCTCTTGCGTGCACTCTGAAAGATGTTAATATGGACCCTGTGGCTAGCTCTCAACTAGTGTGATGGGTGGTCAGGGAAGGAGAGGGCACATGGGAAGGTTACTGGACGCGTGTGTGAGAGCACTGAGCCTCATGTATACTGGTATCATGGTTTGTTGGTTGGAGAGTGGCGTGGCAAGAACAGCGGGTGTCAGGTCGCAGCTGTCTTGAAGCACCCATTTGGAGTGTCTCTTTAATTCTGTGAAGTAAGAGAGAGATCTCGGATTGTACGGATAGTTGTAATCTTAGGATGCCTTCACATGCGGCGTGCCCGCTACGTCCTCACCCTGGCCGGGTGGGGCCCACTCACGCCTCTCGCGGAGTACCGTACACATCTTGAATCTTACAACGTCCATTCCGCCAAGCCCGCCAAGTTGCAGTAAACTTGCACCGCGGCTGCGTTACTCACTCGAACGCCACCATCTGCATCATTCCGAGCTAGTCTCTCTCAAGCCCCAGGTGATGGTGGCGTCCGTACCCGCAGTAAGTATAGTTGCTGGTGTAGCTCAGCAGCACGAATAGGCTTCATACACCTAATGCTTGCGCCGCGTACGTGTCGCGCGTACCGCCAACAGCCTTCACATGTCTACTAAGCGTGTGGCACCCCCCCTTGAAAGCTCTTCTTCCATACGGCATACCCGTACGTGATTCGTCCCTCACTTCCCCTATTTGCACTGTGTTTGCAGACACCGCGTATGTACAACAACGCACCATCGGTCAGCCTCACGCCAACTCGGCCAACGGAAAGCCCGGTACGTATTCTCAGGAGGCCAAAAAGAGTGGCTCCCCTGGGTAGACTTATTGGACCTCCAATAGATGCTACAGACCCTAAACTGCGGACCCCTCTGCCTCCATGGAACATCTCTTCCAACAATTACTAATTCGCATCAAACCCCGCCTCTACAACACCGGTATTAGTAAGCACGTGAAGATTGGAGTATGGGAACAATTTGGCAGAAACAACGAAACAAAGAGGACCGAAACAAATTGGGTTTTCAGGCACGGAGTGCGGCGGGTGGGTACAACTGCCTTCACAACACCTAATATGTGGTTTCAGGAGGAAAATTCCCTCCTCACTATCGAGCGCGCAATTTGCGTGGCCAAGAGTGCCAAGTGCTGCTACGGTGCTGCCCCAACTAAAACCTGGGCGACATTGCCGTACTGCTGCTACTACTACTAGTGCTACAAGCTAAGGAAAGCTACAAGCTAAGAAAGAAAAAAGAAGGAATGTGGGTCAACAATCGGCATGGTGTATAGGTAGCGAAAGCACATGCCTGCTGCGTAAGGGATGAACAACAACAATATTGCAGGGATAGGAAACACTCCCACTCCTGCAACCGAGCAACACACACACATTACCCTGTGGTTTCCTTCGCGGCCAGTTATCTTAACACACGCATTAGCACGCAACAGGCAGCTCTGTGCGTACGTCAGCAAAACGAACCCAAACCGCCCTGCGCCCTGTCAACAAGGGTTCCAGCTCTGGGTCAGCAACCTCCCCGCTCTCTCTTCCCGCATCCCGCTCCTGTATCTGTCGATCCCCACCCCCCCGGCCTGCCTCGCCGCCGCCGCCAGCACCACTGCTGCTGCTTCCCTTGCTGCGGCTGGTTCCCTTCTCCCTACGCGGTTCCACTCGCAGCCTCGGCCATGGCAGCCGCAGCAGTTGCAGCCTGTACGGCAGTCAGCTCGGGCTGTAGCAGCAGCTGAAGCTCCGCCGCCACCGCCTCCGCTGCGGCGGAATGGCAGCGCCGCCCCGTTGAGGTGAACGGGGGCGAGGAGGGGACTGCAGCGGGCATGCTGGCCGCAGCAGGGGTGCTGGTTGCGACACTGCTGCTGCTCGTGGCTGCAGTTGCGACGCTGCTTCTGCCGCTGAAGTTGCCGCTGCGGTGCCAAATCCGTTGGAGCTGCTGCTGCTGCTGCTGGTGTGGTGTGCGGCTAGGCAGTCCGCCGTAGGATTGGGGTTCTGAATGTGCGCAGGATGGGGTAGAGGAGTGGGAGGCGCGGTGAGGGAAGGCTGGCAGGGGGGCGGAGGGTGTGAGGATGTGGCTGGGAACGCGGGCGGCAGAGGGGACGGTCTGGGCGTCGGCGAGGCCTCGGGCCACAGTGGGGGCCAGGTTGTGAAGGACGTGGTCGCGATAGAGCTTCAGCTGCGGGTGTGTGAGGGGTTGGGGCAAGGGCACTGCTGTTCGATTGGGGGTGAAGAAGGAACTCACAGGTGACGAAAAAGGACGATGATGTCTTGCACAGTTCAAACGCCAATTGACAGCTACAATCACATCACATCTCTCCAGTGTAAAGCGAGCCCCTAGCCGCCAATTTCCATACAACTATCCTTTCTTACCTGCTTTACATTAAAGGAGCCATTCGGCGATGATACTGAGGGCGTCAAGTGACCACCGCCGACGAGTAAGCGGTAAGTGACGGCGTCTTCAAAGCAGCCCTGAACAATTTCTTCGTTTAAACTAACAAGATCGGCAAAATCCTTTCCGGATGCAGGTGCTCTTGGGCGGACGTCCCGCAAACCGTCGCGCGGGAATGCGACGATGTTGGACTCCACCCTCCTTGTTACTGCGTCATAAGTTCAACCATATTATGAAATCAATCAGACGCGCCATGTGACAATTGTGTACGCTCACAGTGTCTATTTCTAAGCTAACGTAAAATAACCCTAGGAAGAAGGCCTAACAGTAGGGCAGCATCGGTATGCCGGTATGAAGAGGAACTATGCTCACAAACAAGGGCTGCGCTGGAACACAAAAAGCAAACAGCCGGCTCTTGTCGCTAGTGCTCAATTTTGAACAGGATGGCTGCTCAAGTTCTGCCAGTAGTGTTGTCACCAACATGTACTAGTCTGCTTACCTTCTCCCACGGAGAAGGTCAGCGCTGCAGCTGATCTCGTCCTTACAACCCTTCCGTGGCCGTCGAGGTTATGAAACATTCGTATGCTGCCTGGCTGGCCGCCATAGGCCGAAGGCACCGGCCTAGATACAAGCGAAGCCATAGCTGTGGGCGATATGTGCGGAAGCGTCTTAAGCTTTACTTCGCTGCATCAGCAGTTGGCGCTGCTAGGCGCGGCTAAACTATGGCGCCAGACAGCTTTTTCAACAGTACTATGATAGCCTCTTGCGGTAAGGCTTCTCCTGCTATGGCTTCCAGTTCTGCAGACGGGAAGAATGCTGACTTTTCAGACCGGATCAGGACACAACCTTGTCGGCGCATCGAGACGTGATCTGTCGTACTGTACAGCGGCTGCAAAGTTGAGACGCGCAAACCGTGTTTTGCGCCCACCATACAATAGCGTAATACAACACACGCGCCCAGCAAGGTACAAATGGGTCTAGCCGCCTAAAGGCTGAAACGGCAATTGGGACAAAGGTCCTAATCAGGGAGCAACGCGCATAGGACGAGAGTATATTACAGTCCGCGGAGACGGAACTTCGACCGCCCTTTACACATTTTTGCCAAGAAACAGGGCATTGAGCTGCCGCGCGACATTCTTTCACATAGCCGCGCAAGCCCGCGGCACTCATTAGTTCAACCCAAGTTAAAGCCCTGCGTGGGATCGTAGTGACGATTACGGTATTGTTGGGACCAGAGTTAATAATGCAGCGTGGAGGGGCCGCCAGCCCGCCCCGTTGACCAGGTTTGACCAACTAAGCCGCGGCGAGCAAACAAAGCCAGAGCGAAACTCAAACCTTGACCGAGGAAATTCAAACCCATGAAGGCGATGCATGGCTGCGGGGACAGCCAGCGGACAGTCAAAAGGCGACTGCGTATGTCCCACGAGCAAACGCCCGGGCCTCTAGAAACGTGAGTCACGGCACACAGTCGATCACAACGCCGATTTATTGATGACGCGACCAGCGTGGCTGGCTGTCGTACTCCCTTGCCGCACCCGCTAGCGTTCGTTTAAGCTAGAGTGCCCAAAGTCAACCGGATAATACAAATACACAGCACACACACTCAGCCGCTCCCCCCATATGCCGCTTCCTCGCCTATTAAGGTGTCACATTTCCGATGATCATCAGTTGTCTGCTGTCACGGCCGGACACCAAAGCAGCGTCAGCCCTCTTCGTCAAGGTGTTCCCCCTCGTTATACGCCCACTCACTCCCGCCTCCCTTCCCGAGTACGACACCTGCTCCCTCCAAATCCAAACCGTTCCGCACCCAATCCAAGTGCTCGCCGGCTCTTAAGCAGCGGCAACGCAACAACCGCACACACATACTCCAGCGGTCAGATTATTAACACACTCACCCCGTCCGGAAGTTACTTCCCAAGGTATGGCCCACCCCGTACCAAGCCAACACTCAGTAGTGACCCACGGGTCATAACATCCTCGCAGCGGCGTCCCCGGAAGCTCCTAGCTCCGATGTTGAGCAATGCTCCCTGTATATTAAACTCCATTCCAGGAACCATTAGAAAGCACAGAGTTGTTAAGAGCCCCCCGCTGTTCCCAACCGACATCCCCGACATCCAGAGCTTGTGGATCTCAAATCAACAGCTCGTACCTGCTACTACCGTACTACAACCACCAAGGGCGCGCAGAAACAGGGAGGCCGCTGTCACAGGGCCCCAACACACACACGAAATCGCACATGCAACACGTAAGGGGTCTTGTCGCACACCGTCACGTCGTACACACGATTAACTGCCAGCAGCATGCTGTATTGCTGTTGCGAGGTCCTCTCGGCCTCCCAAGCTGCAACCGACAGCGGGGAGCCATCCCAGAAGACCGCCCAGTGCAGTGAGCTGCAACCACCAAACAGCCCAGTTGGCAGCCATGCCGGTGTTGCCGCAGTCACAGCAGTCCACGCGCACGCATACACATACACGCCACAAGCACATACGCACCTCCCCCGTCGCCCCTTCACATAACACAACATCCCTCGTCTTCATGTCGGCACCCTGTTAACCATTGCCACGATCAACACACCACTCTCGGAACATGTCAGACAACAAGGGAACAAGGGGCATCACCCCCTTCCCCTTCTAACACCACGAATCCCGAAACCAAGCATGTCTCGGCTACCGTAAGGTTACCTCCCAGTTGTTCCAACCGGACCCCACACAAGTCGATTAGTCACTGTCATACATACCGACATGCACACCAGAGCAACTGCCCCTGTTCGGAACCTATGTCGCGGCCCGCCTCCCTGCAACCATCCATGCATGTGCCTCCTCCTTCTCCTCCTGCTGCTCCGCCCCTGCCGCCGCTTCATTCAGCGGTGCACCCCTCGACACAGCTGTTACGAGTTTCCTTCCGTCCTGTCCTGCCGACGGAGCTAGCAGGCCGGCAGGCAGACAGCTACCGGGTAGAACCCGTCGGGGGCGGACACACGTTCAACCAATAAGGCAACACAGCACCCCCGACCGCCGTCTCCGAAACCACCATGCAGGCCGCCGTGTCGCCGTGTACAGACAAGAACACATACACAGTTGGTATATAGCGCACCCGCCCGGTACACGATGTATGTAGTCAAAAGCCTCATTCAACAAGGGCCCGTCTCCCAGGCGTCAACACACAAGGCGGCAATCTCCGCCGTCGCACGCGGCTCAGTCGTTTCAAAACGCACGAGTCCAGTAGTTAGTAGCACAACCGCCAAACGCGAATCGCCCCAAGGAAAAAGGGGAGCCTAAACAAAGCGAGAGTTGACGTTAAAGTCTGAATGCCAATCTTCATGTTAACGAGGGTGCAGGGAACGGCAAAAGCTGCGGTATGCTGCTCAGGTTTACGCAACTGAGGCAACTGGTGCGGCAGCGGAACACTGCACCCAGCAAGCCACAGAAAAAACTAGGTACTCGAAAACGCCGGCGAAAAGCAGGCCGGGTAAGGTTTTCCTTGCCTCACACCCCCAACCAACCCGCAACAGATCTCCCGGCCGGCAGTTGCAGCAGGCAAGGCATGACACGCCCTTGACAGCTCCAACTTACCACCAGATACCCGACCCCGGCAATTAAGATGCGCCGACATACGTTATAAAGGCACTGTCTCCCTTTCAGTGGATCCCAGCTTCACAGTAAGGACAGCAGCAGCAACAGTAACAGCTAAGGCTCGTTGTCTACGGTTGTAACCGCTCGCGGATTGACCATTAAACGTTGCCAGCAGCTGTCTTCATAATGAAAAGGGGCCCTCAACCTCAACCTCAATCCGAACCCTGGCTCTCACACTCCCGTCAGCCTCCCAACCCAACCTCCGGGCACATCAGGACTGGTCAGGGTAGAGAGAGCACACGAGGAAGGAGGAAACTCCCGCACACACACAAGCGCACAATAAAGGAAAAAGGGTGTAGTACAAACGGCTGTGTGATTAGTCAGCGCTGGTTTTCTTCAACAGGACCCGATCTTTATTCCATAAACCCTAAATGCCACCCATGCTGCACTGCAGGGCCGCCCTCCTTGGCAGCAGCAGCGGTGGGCGGTACGGCGAGCGCCCACTCCCGCCTCTACCTCACAGCCACCCCCCCCTCTTTACCCCCTCCACGGCACGCATTAACCACTTCTTGGGCTCCCCATTCCCCCTTCTGTTCGGTAAGTAACTTGTTGTCAGTTCCCCGATGTTAAGTCCAGTCGCGACCAATTAACCTCACAGCACACCACGCCCGGTTCGAACACACTTGACAGCCAGGTTCAGCGTTTATCCCGAGGCTGGGGCGGGAGCGCACCTACTTATTTTATACGCTGCTTATACTGTAAAGGCCTTGGAGTAGTAAAGGCCTTGGAGTACCAACTTTGTAAAGTGCCAATCTGCCAAAACAGGTATGCTAAATGTAAGAAGTTGATAACGTCATGAAAGCTGGGAGAGAACTCCACAGCGGCAGCTCAGAGGAGTGTGTCGGAGTGCGTTCGCGATTATTAACGCAGCCACAACCACTACCTGGCGCCCCCCCGGCCGTTGCTGCCTCGGTCCGCTGCCGCCGCCGACTGCTCCTCCTCCTCCTCCGCACACGCCTCCTCCTCCATGGCCTCCTCCACCTCACCCAGCTGGTTGCTCACGCGGGTGGTGGCGGGGTGGTGCGGGCCGTGCAGCTCCAGGTAGAGATCCAGAACGGTGCGGTACAGCGTACGAGCTTCGCCGTACTCTCGCAGGGAGTGATGTACGGCAGCCAGGCCCAGTATGCATGCGGCGGTGATGGGGTGACGGGCGCCGTACACAACAGAGAAACCCTGCGGAAAGTGAGATGGTACGGTACGGCAGTCATCGCAATGGGGAGGTCAGGAAGGAGCATTAGGAGCGAAGGACAATCAGATTCAAAGCTCTGAATGAATATGCCATTGCTGCTGCCGTCGCCCTAACTGAAATGCTCAGAAAAGCAAGGCACACCCGACTCGCCCCAAGCCTCACGGGCCCCATGCCGCGCACGTGCCGTACAAGCGCTCCAGGCTGTACGGCAGTGCTCCCTAGCTCACCTCGACTGCTCGGCGGTACAGCCCTCGCGCCGCCCCCTCCTTGCCCGCTGCCGCCTTGAGCTGCGCCAGCTGCAGTGACCCACGGGCCTACGGAACGGCAGGCAGGGAGGCAGGGAGGGAGCATGGGTGAGGAGAGCCGTGCCGGTTGGTGGGCACAGGTGCAGTGGCGGGCCAAACGGACAGCGAGATGGCAACAAGGTGCAAGCGGGGCGTGGGGAAGCGCCTCCTCAGGCTGCTGCCCTTCGCGGCAGCAAGTCAGGAAACAAACAATAACACAATCCCCGCACACATCTGTCGCCCTGACCCTACCCCCCTGCCCTTCCTGTCTTCGCACACCTGCAACTCCTCCAGTTTCATCGGAGTCAGCATGCCCCGTGAGGCACCCCCCGCAGCTGCCGCCGCTCCTCCGCCCGCAGCCACCGACATGGCTGGACTGCCCACCGGCGGAGTGCCCGCAGGCGAGGCGGATCCCAACGTGCCGCCGTACGGGCTACTGTACGAACTGAAGGGGCTCTCGCTGCCCTTGTACTGCTGCTGCTGTTGCTGCTGGTGGGACGCAGGTGGCATCATCATGCGGGAGGCAGGGGAGGCGGTGGCGGCTGCCGCGGCGGCCAGGGAGTGGGAGCTGCTGCGGCCCCGCATGTTGGAGATGGAGGCGGCGGCGGTGAGGGCAGCCGCCTCGTCCTCCTCCTCTTGAAGACGTTGGAGCTGGGCCTGCGGTGGGAGGAAGGGGGAAAGGTTGGAGAAATACCATGCATGGGAGGGCGGGATCAGTTGTCAGTACAGCCAGGTAAGAGCTGGTCTTAAGAGCTCCTGACGCGGGCCCGGCAGTGCCGCATGCAGCACCAGGTTGCCCTGGCAATGTACCCAGCCCCCCGCCACGCCCCCTCGCAGCAGCAGCATACCTTGAGCACCTTGCGCGCCTCCCGCTCCCTCCCAGTCGCCGCCAGCGAGGTCGCCAGGTCCAGCGCCGCCGCCAGCGCCACCGCACTGCCCATACCCCGCTGGCCCTGACCCTGCCCGGACTGACCCGGCTGAGCCCCCCTGCCGGAGGGGCCCCCAGCCGGGCCCGCCACCGACCTCTGCAGCAGCGGCACCGCCTCCTCATGCCGGCCCGCCGCCGCCAGCACCGCCGCCAGACCCTGCCGCGCCGCCGCCACCTCCTCCGCGTCGGGGCCCAGGTGGCGCTCCAGCACCGTCAGCGCGCCGCGCATGAGCGCCTCGGGGTCGTCACCGGGCAGCAGTGGCGGCGCCGTCGGACCCGCACCCGGTGCCCCTGGCGGCAGCGTGGTCAGGTCAGTGGACAGCCGGATCGGCGTGCCGGCTGGGAGAAGGGGCAGGGTTCCAGATGAGCCGCCGGTGCTGCCGCCGCCGCCACCGCTGGAAGCCACCGCCGTCGGCAGAGCACCCGATCCCGATGAGCCGCCGCCCACACGAGGCGGCAGCGACAACATGTGGAGGTGGATGTGGCTGTGGTGATGGCCGTGAAGGGCTTGCTGCTGTTGCTGCTGCTGTTGTTGCACGTGCAGCATCAGTCCCACGAGCGCTATCGTACATCTCGCTGTGTCGGGATGTACGGCACCGTACAAGCTTCGTGACGCGGCGACGGCATGGTGTACGATACGCATGGCAGTCGCGTTTTGGCCCATCGCTGCTAGCAACTTGGCAGCGCCCACCAGCCGAGCTAGATCCGGCGCAAGTCGCCTGTACGCCGCATCAGGACCTGCCGTAAACTGTACGGCAACAATAGCGCCGCCGGAGTCTCCGAAACCCGAAACACGCATTCCGCTGCCCGGGTTTGGCTCGCTCATGCTGTTGTCGAAAGCGCCCAGGAATGGTCCGGGGCCGTCGGAGTCTGGGTCTGAGGTTTCTGAGTCGGCATCCTCGCCAGCGGTGGCCGCGAACGCCGTGACGGCGGAGACGACGACGGCGCCGCCGCTGCTTCGGGGAGCCCCGTGCTGCCCGCCGCTGCGCCGCGCCACCCTCAGGGCGTGCGGCCGAGGAGGGCCGCGGAACTGCCGCATGGGCAGCGCCTCCGACGGCGGCTGCGGTTGCGGGGTCGTAGGGGCGCCGTCGGGCAGCTGGGGCAGCGACGGCGGCGGCGCCGTCAGCGGCGGCAGCGGCTGCGACAGGTATCGGTCGCCGGACGAGAGCGAACCGACCAATGGCGGCGGCAGCAGCGGCGACGTCCCGGGAAGTGCTTGATCGGCGCTGGCGGCGGTGCCAATTGGCGCACTGGCGGCGGCGGCGGAGGCCTCGGGCTGGAAGGTGAGCGGACCGGATCCTTGGGTGGCGCCCGGTGGGGCTCGGCCGGGGCTTGGGAGGGGCGCGTTGGTCTCCCAGGGTGCAGCTGCGAGGGGTAAGCCGGCGAAGGAGTACAGGGTGGGGTTAGTGGTACGGTATTAAAAAAAAGCTACGAGGGTTTGTCGTACCGAGGATGACAGGGGTCTCAGGGGTATCGCAGGTGGTTAGGGGCACGTGCCACGAGGACTAGACAAGAATTACAGCCGTTGGCGGGGGCATGCAAGGGAGGGCGGTGGCTCCAGGCATGGGTTCCGGCGACTCACGAGCTTTAATGCGCAGCTGCTGTTGCTGGTGCTGCCGGAAAGACATCCCTCCCGAGGCGGCGGTAGGACTCTCGATGGTGGCGACGGCGGTGGCGGCGACCCCATCCGCCAGCGGGCCCAGCGGCCGCAACCGCCTGTTGCCGGCGCCGTCACCTCCGTCGTACGAGGCCCCTGACGGCGGGGGCGGCGCCGGCACCATTCCCCAAGTGCCGCCGCCGGTGCTCCGAGCCGCACGAGCACCCCGCATGCTGACGTCAGCCGTCGCCCCCGCAGCCGACGTCGACATCGCCGCCGGCAGCGGCAGGTCATCCTCCCCTGGAACGCTGACGGAGCTCAATCGTGCGGCATTGGGGCTGCCGCTGGCGGCGGCGGCGGTTGTCGTACCAGCAGCCGAAGTCGCGGCGGGCGGCTGCGCCGCCGGCCAGGAGTCAACGCCGGCCAGCATCAGCGCGCGGTGGCTTGAGGAGCCCATGCTGCCTCGCAGCGGCGACGGCCCCGAGGGCATCGTGGGGGGCCACCTGGCAGCTTGCGGCGACGCCGACTGGAAGCCCGCGCTATCCGACATGTAACCCTGACTGGTCCGTGCCTGGGCTGGTGGCTGTTGTTGCTGCTGTGCTGACGGCAGCGACGGAGGGTGTCGCGGAGACATGCCAGCACCGAGTCCGCCGCTGCCGCCGCTGGCGACGCCAGTGCCGTACCCCACAGGTCGCGTCAGCAGGACGTTCGCCGCCGCCGCGACCGCCGCCGTGAGGCCCTCCCGTACGGTACGACTGGGCTGGGGATCCGCGGCAAAGGTGACGGCGGTTGTGGCGGCGGCGGCGACGCCGTCCCTCATTGCGCGCATGGTGAAGCGGTCGGGGGACATGCGTGTGGCGCCGTCGCTGCTGCTGGCGTCCCCGCCGCTGCCGAGCGCGACGTTGTTGCTGCTGCCCGGGTCCTCCGCCGCCTTGGTGGACACGGACAGGCCCTCGAACGCCGCCTGAGAGGGTGGATGGCAGCAACAACACGGGCAGAGTCATGGGGTGATGCGAGGAAGAAGGAGGCGGGGCAAAGAGGAACATGCAGCTACCTGCACTCCAACAGTCTCAATAGAGCATCGTGAATACACTCGACCCACCAACGCAATCGGGGTAGCCTAATCCCCCATCCGCGCACTTGTTACCAGCCAGCCACCCCAACCCCCAGCTAGCCAGACCCGGCCCCACCTGCACCAGTCCCACATCCAGGTCCGGCGGCGCCACCACCGACAGCGCCGACCCGCCCGCTCCTCCGCGGCCCCGCAGCGCATGCCACACCGCCAGCGTGCAGGGGTGCTCCCGCAGTGCGCCGCCCTGCGCCCCGGGCAGCAGCAGCACGCAGCGGATGGCGGCGATGGCGGCGGGCAGCGCGCGGGCTCGCTCCTGGGAGCTGGGGTCCATGGGGGGCGTGGAGGGCCTGGGGGCGGGGGGAGGTTAGGGCAGGAGAGGATGGGAGGGTGTGTGAGGGTGTGCAGCGCCGCGAAGAGGCCCAATGGCAGGAAGATTACCCATCAGCTCTTATCCTGGGCGCACACTGCATGCCCATGCATGCGACTGTCGTTGTCAGGCAACTTTCGTATCTATTCCTCTTCCACCACTCACTTGGATGCCCCGGACAAGCCTGCCAAGCCCAGCGCCGCTGAGGCCGCAGCTGCTGCGGTAGCCGGTGCCATGGGCGGCGGCGCCGCATGGAAGTTGATCGCGAACAAGTCCACCCACACCGCAAAGCTGCCGCCACCAGCAGCAGAACCGCTGCTTCCTCCTGACGACACCCCTGACCCTCCTCCTCCCCCCGGGCTCCCAAGGGACGCTGCGAAGTCCGCCACCTGCTCCACCACGTCGCTCACCAGCTCGTCCCAACTGCAAACCAACACGTGCGTTGGACGAGCGCGGTGCTCGCCGCCAACCAGGTTCACGTACGCACAGCGCGCGGATTTGGTGGCTGGCAGCACTGTCGTACGGAACACGTCACGCAGCGTGGATCCCGGCTTGCTGACGCTGCGGAGCGACTCAAGGAAGGAAAGCGTGAGGCCGGGAGGGCCGGCGGCGCCAGAGGCACCTCCGGCTCTGGAGCTGCCGCCTGCGGCTGCTGCTGCTCCTCCGGCGCTGGTAGATAAGCTGGGCAGCGCGGGCAGCTCTAGGAGGCTGGTCTTGCTGTCACGTGCGCAGCCGCTGCCGCCGCTGTCGCTGTCGTCGTTGGCGCTGTCGCCCGCGAATTGAACGCCTCCGCGAGGGTGGCGTCCGGCGGTGCCGCTGAGGCAGCTGCCGCCCGCCAGGGCCTCGTTGCTGGGGCCGCCGAAGCGCCCGCTGCCTCCGCCACCGCTGCCTCCGCCGCTGAGGTATTCGTTCGCGAGGGTGCTGAAGCGGCTGCTCGACTCAGCGCCAGCGAAAGGCTCGCTGCCCAAGTTGTTGCTAAAGCGAGCGCCGCTGCCACCGTAGCTGTCGCTGCCCAGGTTGCTCATGCGGCCGCCCCTGAAGGAGTCTGAGCTTTCGCTGTCGGTAAGGGGATGGGAGCGCCTGACGTTTGTGCTGCGCGTCCCGACTCGGCTGTCGAGGGTAGGTCGTCCGTCGGAGCCATTGAAGCCATTTGTCTGGGAGGAGGAGCGACTGACGACGCGCAGTGGGCCCAACGTTACTGGGCTTTGCGGCGCGTATGTGGCTGGGCTGCTAAGGCGGGGCTGCAGCCCTATAAGACCGGCGTCCATGCGTGCGGCTGGCCATGGGGCGTTACTTATTGAGGCCGGTATGTCGCCAACAGCCTTAGACCCATCGGCTGATTTTACACCATCGTTGGGGTCGACGGAGTCGATAGAAGGCATTGACTCCGTAAAGGTTAATAAAAATGTCAAGATACGACGCACCCAGTGTGCATGGTTGTCAACAGAGCCTCAGCTTTCTGCTTGTAATTCCAATACTACCGCCCGGTATAGGAGTTCCTCCGAATAAGGACGCGCGGTGCAGAAGTCCCCAGCCCCATGTTAACTGCAATGACTGTCGTAAGTGGGGCTTCCAAGGGGCACTCTATGGCTGGTTACCATGCAACCATGAAATGCTTCAAGCTAATGGCCAGCTGGTTGCTACCTTGCCCTGCCGGCCATAAGTTTCAGCCTTTTCAAGGTTCTACAACCACGTGTGTATGGTATGCGGGTCAAGTCGTTGTTAGTATTATTACGAGAGTGTAACCAGAGTGTTTTCCTTGGAGACTAATTTTGGACGACATAAGGACGATACAGGGATTAGTGTACTTTAACAACGGCCCATTTGGGGCAATGAGTGTATGATGCGCATAGCTCCGATACAGTTCTACACACTCTACTTGTTTCGTGGCTGTGCATTTATCCTGGCAAAATTTCGGTCGGACTATTTGGTCGCGTCAGCTGGACGCTATTCTGGGTCCTGCTCAAGTACACGCCAACGGGCCTTACTTCATAGGCGAGGGCATGGCAATCATGCCTTGAAGGGTTTAGGGCGTATTCCTTTTAGGCAATGTAGCCCGTGCTTTTCTTGGTTCCAGCCGCTTAGGTGCATGTGCACTTCCAGTATGTGCAGGCGTCATGCAAAGTATGGTGCTACTGGCCTAAACGGACATTTATGCACATTGCGCCCAAGCCCCAGACCATAGGTGAAACACAGTCGTGGCATGTCAGTGCTAGGCGCAGCTGACGGGCTTTTAAAGCTTTCTAAGTTAACGGAACGAGCCAATGCAAAGTTGCTTTATCCATCACTGTATACGGCGACACTATCTACCAAGGGATGCTGTTTCGGTTGCTGGGCTGGAGCCATGAACCGGGTCTGCTTGCCATGCCCAACATACATAGACATATGGCATGCATGCTACTCAACAATAGCACAGTGCTGGCAGGCGATCAACAGAGCAGGTGGGCAGCGGGGTACTGAGTAGCTACTAAGTGTCGCGGTGTCGTTTAACCTGGTGCGTCCAGAACAGCCCAAGCAAGTCTAAATTCCTGGAACGATTAACACACCCCCACCACCTTACACTCCCTAGTTATTGTTTGTGCAGACCAAAGGCTGTGCCACAGCAAACCACGTGTGCTCCCTACGATTCCCTTTCATTTTACGGATCGGACGGTGTGCACTCCCTGCGGAGATTTCACTTGGACGATATATGGCCACCGGGTTTCAAGCAGCACATGAGCAGCCTGGCAGCAGTAGGGCACGACGAAGGGTGACTGCCGTCATGGTACCGCACTCTTCAGCATTCCCAACCATGACGTACAGTCGAGCACTGAACGGCGCTGGTCCTATCATCCACCTGTCCTTGACCGCTGGCGCGTTGATATATTGAACGAGGCATAAGGTGTCGATACGGTAGGCGTGCACTTGGCCGTCATGTCAGTACAAATTGTACGGATACAATGCGGCCGTAATTCATGCATGCCACGGGCCGGCCACCCAGGCCAGGTCTTTGCGGACCCAACGCTGGCTCACCAGTCGAGCATACGAAGGCATTTAAGAAGTCATGCATACGTGGTCCTTTCCTCCCTCCAGCCAGCTGACCGGTGGATCCCATGCGAGCAAACCCCTGACACATAGAGGAGGATATGTGAGGAATGCGAGCCAAGGCAAAAAGTGGTAGTGGTGTGTGGCATGTGCCCACAGGGGCTAGTTACAGAAAGAGGAAAATTCTCCTATTCGGGAGGGAATCGCCAAACCGACCTGCCATGTGGTCTAGGGGTTTACACAGACATTAGTCCAAGCTACTTAGACACTGTCTCACGGTTCGCCCACAGTCCTTTAGGCGTCATGTGCATCACCGCGGAACTACTGGGAATTGTCGAAATAATGGAGTAACGTTAAGCTCCTGACACGAACCCCACCTCTTCATTCGATGTACAACTCGGCTCGACCGGGGCGGGAAACCCCGTTCTCCGTCACATCGCGCTACACGCGCTGTGGAGCTGCCCGATAGGACACCAGCACCCAGACAGTTGCAGTGCACTTCCGAACCCTTACAGCGCCTTCAATCGACATAGCGCTTTCCATACACCGCTGTACACCGGGTTCACCACCAAGGGATGACAGATACCCACGCAATGTCACTGGGTATGTCCGACTGGAGAGTCCGACAGGAGTGACATGCCAGTATATCAAAAGACACACGTATGCGGTGCGCCGACGCACAGCAGATACACCTTGTTAGTTTAAGTGAACCACAGCAGAAACCGTAAAACCACAGTCTAGGATAATCAAGAATAACAATGCTACCCCACCGTGCAAGGGGTCGTCTTGTACTGGCAGTAAAATGGGAAGTACAGCCTGTACAGTCAGTACAGTCGTGTCTACTAGGCCGCTCACTCGAACCGGAGCAAGGGAGCAACACAAACGCACAATCCTGCATCATTGCCTCTAGTAGGCATCCGTTACAACACTGTCCTCATCTGCGGAAGGTTGCCATAAGCCCACGACTGCCCATGAGCCATTCCTGCTAAATTCCGACCTGTGCAAAATGTGTCATGCGGTGCACCGTGCACTGCAAGGCGTTAGGGTCATGTCTTTGTCTATACTGACAGGCATGCGATAGCTTCCCATACCATGGTGGAACTCCTGTGGCATCCACACCAAGCCCGGTACCCTCTATTCAGCCCATTCCGTGCGTTTCAATCCCGTCAATCCACGGCCAAGGAGAAGGCACCAAGCCAAATTAACCCCAGCTGGATATCCGGGAACACCACATCACATGCGACACTCGCACCAGCGCTGCAGACCGCCAATGTCTGCCGTTGCAGTGCGGTCCTGATTCCCAAAACACTACATACCCCCCTCCTGGCATGCACGCTTGCATGCATGCAGCCAGCCTACGTGCATGCTGTGCAGATCCCAAAAAGAATACCAGGAATCCCAAACACTTCCACCGACACACGACAACAGCAGCAGCTGCCACCACCTAGTGCCGCGCGAAGAACAGGGTCCTGCTCTAGACGAAGAATCCCCCAAACATCCACACCGGACTACTCCCAAGCCTCACAAAGGCTCTTTTGGGCAGAGCGCACCTCACAAGGCAGCCACAGCCAACGCCGGCGCTGCTGGCACCTCCTCCTCTGCAGCCCTACGAGCAGCCTTGCCCGCTGCCACTGCTGGTGCCGCCGTCTGCCGTGCATCCTGCAGCCTAAAACACGTGGCATTCACTGCCGCAATCCAGCCCACCAGGCCCTCCGCCCGCCGTAGCGCCAGCTCAACGCCTGCTGGGATGAGCACGATGCTTCCGCGACCCAGTACGGCACCGCGCTCAAGCTCCGGAACCGTCTCCAGCTCCGCCGGCAGGTGCCCCAGCACCTCCGCCTCCACCTGACCCGACTGTACGAGCAAGATCCGCGGGCCCTCGCTGGCGGGCAGCGTCATCCGAGGTTGGTCCTGGAAGGCATCAGATGCAGCGGCAGAGGCGGCGACGGCGGAGGGTGAAGAGTTGGCTGACCCGTAATCCGACCCAGTTTCGCTCGAGTCGCACTCGAGGCGGTGGATTTCAAACTCTTCGAATGGCGGCTGGTAGACGGTGATGCCGGGGACCGCGGGGCTGCCTATCAGCACCTCCGGCAGGCCTGCGCATGATGGACAGGAAGAACAAGTTGTTAAGAGCACCCGACCAATAACATGCGGGCAAGCAGGAAGCCATGTTAAGTGAACAGGTACTGAAGGATAGCTTCCTATCTCGGCATCATGGCTTCCTCTCGCCCCTGTTCAATTCAAGCCCGCCGCCCCTCACCTTGCCGGTAGGTCAGCGACTCGCACAGCACGTCCGCGTGTTTGAACTTGGGTGTGAGGCCCGCCCGGATGACGTTGTCCGAGGCCGCCATGAGCTCCACCAGCTCCCCGGACAGATAGGCGTGCGGCTCGTTGGCGGCCAGGTAGATGGCGGAGCCGGGGGGGAGCCGCACCTGCCCGGGGCGGGAGGGCGGTGTGGAAGAGGCAGACAGGGGTTGGTTGGCACGTGGCAACGTGGGAGTGTTTGAAGTGGCAGGTGACGCAGGGACTGTAACGGTGACCAAATGCATCACGAGCTGCAGGACCGCATCACGAGCTGCAGGACCGCAGCGCTCCTCCTACCAGGTTGAGGAAGAAGGCGGACATGAGGCCCACGTCGTCCGGGAACTGTTGGTTGAGGCGCAGCGCCAGCGCCTCGTGCTCCGTGAGGCCCTCTCCAGAGGAGGAGGCTGCTGCTGCAGAGAGACGGGTCACCAGGGAGCGCACCGCTGCGGTAACGGCCGCCTGGTCCGAGGTCATGAGGGCCGTGAAAGCGGCCTTCAGGGCCTGAGGAATAGGGTTTGGCGGACGGGCGTCGGTGCAACTGGTTAGTAGGGGAACAAGCAGGTTCCTAAGTCGGGAATGGCGCAAGCCGACATGCAGAGGAGAGGCAAGGGCATCCTCTCAGCGCTCTCACCTGCTTGGCCTGCTTCTCCTCCTCCTCCCCTGCCGCAGGTGCAGTCCCCAGCGCCATGATCGCCGCCACCCGCTCCGCCCCCACCAGCGCCGCCAGCTCCGGCACTCGTCGCAGCCGCTCCTGCAGCTCGGCGGTGGAGGCGAAGCCGCAGAGCGCCTCAAAATCCGACAGGGCCAGAGCCATCTCGGGCTTGTGGTTGGGGTCCGCGTAAAGCTGAAGGCACGTCAGCCGGGAGGAGAGAGGGGAAAGGGTAAGGAGGGAGAGGGTGTCCGGAAGGTTGGAAGGCTATCAGGTGGTGTGCCCTAGCTGCAGCTGCATGCTTAGGCCTAGCGCCCGCGTTGCAAGGGATTGTCGTCGTAAAACATCGATGTCACGTGAGGAGTGCCGTACCTTGGGATGTTCTCGGTGTAGTCGCTGCGCCAGCTGCTTGTCGGGGTGGGACTGGATAGAGAGCGCCTTGGCGACGCTGAGCACCTGGAAGGGCAGAGCCGTTTGAGGTTCCCAGTTAGGAGCTCAACATCCGTAAGCAAAGTCCCTTCCCGAGAAAGGGAAACAAGGAGACGTGGAACCGTCCTGGCACCTGTGGTTTGGCCTTGCCTCGTGAGCCCCGCCGGCTACAGCACCCTTCCAAGCAGGCTCACCTTGAATAAGAAGGGTAGCTGGTTGCCAAAGTGCTTTTGAACTGTGCTGCCTAGCAACTGAGGGTGCTTGTCAAGGCAGGCCTGAAGACTTTCCCCAGTTGACTTAACCTTGGAAGGGCAGTTAGGGTGTGCGCCCATCCTACACAAAACCAAAATTACGAGTTTCTCAGCATCCGATAAACAGGCAGGTAAGCTCTCCTCCTCCCGCTTCAACTCGCTGCATGTAACCATCACGATTAGCTTACCATAGCTCGGCAAAGGGCTTGGACTCATCAATGCTGCTCCCATTTGCACGTGCGAGCTTGGCCACCTACAGCGCAAGACCCCTATTAACTGTAAGCCTCATGAAAACAGCGATATCTACGTAGTACTTATAAAACTGCAAAGCTCTAAGCGGTCTTCAACGTTCAACACACATACCTCACTGTTGTCCGCCTGCCTCCCCCAGTCATAGTTCTGAGCAGAGCACCGAAGTTGAAGCATGATGTACCTCTGGTATCAACAACTGGTAGGAGTCAACCTCCGCTGTGATGGCGTTAGTGAACGACGGCTGAACTTCTAAGCAGACCTTACAGCTAGATAGCGGGCATGTATTATAAAAACATGACTCTGGTTGTACAACGCTGTTGCGGTCGTGCCTATGGCCCAAGAGGCAGCGGGCACGCAACAGACAGGTCTCACTCTCCTACGACTGACTTGTCCAAGGTACTCCTCGTGCGCCAGGTAGCTCTTTATATGCAAAGTTAGAAACGAATGTATACGCTTCGGCGCACGCTACACCCCTAGAAGTCTAAGAAACGTGTTGTACAGCTATGCTGCTGGTGACTCCTCATATACGACAGGTCCCCCTTGTAACTTTCGCATTCTAAACTCTGTTCCGTCTGTTCATTTGAAAACCTGCAACAAATATAAAGTTTCAGCAATTGTGCTGCCCTTCTTTGACTTGAAAGCATAGCATCAATGAGACTAACTTGCGCCCATTGATCGCATAACAGTTGTGTTGCGCAGGCTGAGCTCTTACAAGAACGTAGTCTCGATTACTTATGCCATAACTCAGCCCTGCTGTTTTGGGAGCGGGTACTGGCACGGAAGGTTGCGAGCATGTCAGACGGTCGAATGACGCTGACAGCCTCCACAATTCCTCTTGGTATATGGATCTTGCGCTTGACAGCCTCCACAGTTCCTCTTGGTATATGGATCTTGCGCGAAATGCCGTCGGTCGACTGAGACAATACCCTGCGCAGGACGGTCCGCTGTCGTAACTACTCCGGTCTATCCTGAGTTGTCAATCTAACACGCATGGTTCCACCCCCACTTACAAGTTTGTCTATCGCACATACTGAACTCAGGCAGCCAACCACCCGCTACTGGGTTGACCGGGGGTTCGTATACAGCAGAGCGTGTGTCGCTTCGGGTTCACACAAACCCCACACCACCGAACGTCACGCCCACGCACCGCAACAGCTCCCTTCTTTCCGCGATGTTCCACCCCTTGGTTAATGGCAGGGAGTCCCCAAACCGGTTACACGGGTTAGACACGCCCCAGGACAACCCAGTCCGCACGGCAACAATCCTCCCACTACGACTGCAGTACAGCTGCCCTCCCCCTGCAGCACCGGAACCCCTAACTACCAGGTCAGCCAAACATTCCGTCCGCCCATGCTGCGATATGCGCAGAGAGAAGTGATGTAGGGTTGTCGTCATTACACCGCTCCTGCTACAGTGTCTACTGTTTATACAAACACCTCACACTTCAGTCGCATTGGCGCGTGGACCCCCACCTGCGGGTCTGAACACCACAGCAAACATGGGCAGCTAAGAGCTAACGGACATCGGAAGGTAAACGCCCCGACATAGCTTAGGAAAAACTATAGCGATACGCCGGGAAAGGTTTGCAGGCCCAACGGAAACAAGTAAGTTGCTTGGTAGTACTTTACGAGCGGAGTCATAAAGACAACGCGAGAGGCACCTCCTTTAGACACTCTCAAAGCACATCGGTGCAGGTGCTAATTGCATACAGCTATGTTGTATGCCGTACATATTTTCATTACCGTATCTTCGTAACACCTGTTGTCGTACAGCCACACCCTCACCTTATTTCTTCGCAGCACTCCGCGCTGTCTGCTCGTCTCGTAAACTTTAAGACGTCAACCGCAAGCACCGAACAAGTAGAATCGACACCACAGCGATTGTCTCTCCCCTCCTCTCCCTCTCCCCACTTGCTCGTATCTCTCCTGTCCATATCTCTCCTGCAAAAGAACACAACACAGCGCTCCGCTCCGCTCCAACCTCAACTGCCACAACTGCAGCCGCCACTTCTTCGCCCTCACATCGCTCTTATTCGAGGTCAACGAAAAACCGGAAACGCAACCAGCCCACATCCGATATGGCCCACAACGGCACGAGCCCCCTGCTTAGCCCCAACAGAGCCCCACGCAAGCATGCAGCAGCCTTCAAGCAACGCTCGCACGAGTCCTTTGCCCTAACCGCCACAACCCACTCCCCACACACACGAACACAACCACCAACTACCCACACACGCGCCACGCCCCCCACACGCAGCCACCAGCTGCTAGGGACCCCACCGCCTCCCAGGCACCCGCACCGGCTCCCTCCAGGCGCCTCCGCAGCGCCCCCCTCTCCATCATGCAGAGCTATTTTTGCAACATAACTAACAACTACTAACAACCGCGCAACCGCAGATGCCATCAACACCTGAACAACAACACATCCCTGCGTCCCTCTCCCCCACATGCATGGTACTTCTTCTTTGCTTCTCCCTCCCTCCCTCCCTCATGCAGTGCCCCACTCCTGCTCCCTTAATAACACCTGCCCTCCCCCTCCTCACTCCTCAATCCTGCTCCCGCCTCGCCCCCTCCGGGTCCATGGAGCCGATCACGTACAGCGGATGGCTGATATCCACTCGGCTGGGGGGGGAGGAGGAGCATGGGGGCAAGGTGTGGGGAGGGAGCGGGTGGGATGGCAAGCAGGAGCAAGGGCGGCTACTAGGTTGATGGTGTTTTCAGACGAGTGAGAGGGTCTCTCCCGGGGGGGGTCAAGGAAGAGCAAGAAACGCTTGTGCCACGCAGCTCGCAGTAGGGTAGGACACGGGACACGGGACACCGCATGCATGCATGATAAACCGCACACCCTGACAACAACCAACCCCCAACCCTGAAACCCCGTTCCGGTGCAATCCTCCTCCACCTGCCCTGGTTTTCTTTCTTCCCCCTGCCCCTGCCCCTCCCCATGCCCCCCACCCACCCACCCACCCCCCCACCTCGCCACCTCGTGGTCGTCCACTGTGATCAGCTTCACCACGCCCGCCTCCTCCATCACCTCGCTGTACCCCGTGCGGGGGCACTGAGACACCACAACACGGTCACCGGTGCGGACAAGACCCACGTGGCGGGCCTGTGCGGGCGGGCGGGCGGGGGGGAGGGAGGCAGGGAAGGGGGGGGGACGCGGGTGGGGAGTGTTTCGCGGGCTCATGCACAGACAGCAAGCTACAGCCGAACAGCCTCACAGCGGCGACACCAGCACCCAGCAATACAGCGACGGTGTCACGCAGCAGCAGCACCAAGCTCACACCCCCATGCAGCTGACTAGCCTAGCTATCTATCTAGCCAGCCGGCCAGCTAGCCATGTATCTATCTATCTCCCACCCAAAGCAGCTGCTGCTGCGCCCCCTCTCACGTATGCGATCGCGTAGTCCAGGATGGCCCCCCCCGGCAGTGCGAAGTGCGGGTCCGCCATCACCGGCAGCACTCCGCGGTACAGCAGGCACTGCCGCGCCTGCACCTCACCCAGCAGGCTCCAGCGCAGACCGTCGGACTTGAGGTCGGGGCACACGATCTGGGGGAGGGGATAAAATGACAAAGTGAAGCACAGGGGAGGGGGGAGACGGAAGCGGGAGGGGGGGAGACGGCACGTGTGGGGGCTGGAGGCATGTGGGAGGGGAGGCGCGCGGGGGGCACGACAACAAAACACACAGTACGTTTCGCCTCGCGGCCAGTTATTTTAACACACGCAACTAAGCCTACCGGGGAGGCTGCTTCCTGAGCCGCGGCGGCAGCAGCAGCAGCAGCAGCGGCAGCTGCTGAAGCTGCTGTGGCTGCAGCTGCTGCCTGAGCGGTGCTGAGTGCCGCCCGCAGCTCCTCCTGCCCGCTGGTGCTGGTGCGGGCGACCAGGGTGCAGTAGCGGTCGTTGTTATGGGCCAGCGCGGACTGCGGGTCGGTGCACACCACCTGGCACGTGGCGAGAGGGGACACCCCCATTGCACCCCAGCGCGCATCAGGACGCATCGTGGCGGTGGTGACCCGGGTCGCCCCGTCGCCGTTGACGACGCATCGTGTTTACCCAAACAGACAGCACACAGGCAGCGGACCATGGCACGTCCGGTGTCACATGTTCACGTTCACGACGACAGCAGGCGACCGAGGTTAGCGGCCGCAAGCAAGGCAACAGCGTACGGCACGTGTCAGCGGGGGACACAAGCGAGCCGGAAGGAAGGCACCAGAAGATACCCAGCGGCAGCAGAACACCAGCGCGCACGCGTGTATATGTACGACAACGCATCGTCAACGTGTGTTTTATTCCGCACACGGGTCCCAAGCGTGAGCGGCGTCAGCGTCATCATCATCATCATCAGCAGCAGCAGCAGCAGCGGTGGAGGAGGTGGAGGTGGTGATGGAGGTGGAGGCGGCAGCGCGTTGGGAGAGCGCATGTGCGGCGGGCGGGGGAGGAAGAGGGGGGAGGAGAGGAAAGCATACGTATCGATAACTTGGTCGCTGACGGGGCAAGCCAGGTAAGCAGTTGGTTGCAACTCGGATAACCACCTCAACGACCGCACTGGAAGGTTACGGAGGTCAGAATCCAACGGCCAGCTTCCAACCACCACCGCCACCCTCCCCGCAACATTGAAGACACAAACACAGCGACACCAGAACAACAACAGATCACAAGTAAACCTCCCAACCGCCCAACTCACCGCCTTCCCGCCCTCTCCTTTTCCTTACCTTCTGAAACCCAACCGTATCCCCAACCCCTCCTCCCCCTCCCCCCTCCCTCCCCTCTCACCGTCAGGATGGGACACGCCGGCTTGTACTTTGCCACCAGCCGCGCCGTCTGCCCGGTTACCGTGAACACGATAATGAGCGAGGCGTCAATCTTGGCGGCCGCGCGCACCGCACTGCTGGCCAGCGCCTCGCGCTTGGACAGGTTGACGGGGTGTAGCGTGAAGCAGCCGAAGTGGTCCATCAAGGAGCGATAGTAGGACTCGTTGTCGAAGCAGCGCTCAGCCTGGGGGGGTGGGGGGTGGGGGGGAAGGGAGGGGTGTGTTTGGGAGTGTGCATGGATGGCATTGTGCATGGAGGTTGGTGGAAACGTGTGTGTATAGTTGAGTAGTGCGGTCTGGCGGGGGGGAGGGTGTCTCCAGCCCCAGGATACAGCGGTCTTCCCAAACCCTCTTCCCCCCCTGAACTCCCCGTCTCCCCGCCTCCCCCCCCGCCTGTCTCATTATACTGTTTACCCCCGCCTGTTCGTCTCATGTCCTCCCCCCACCTCCCCCACCTGCTTGCATATGGCCAGCACGGTCCGCACCGCCGCCACCGGGTACTTGCCCCTGAAGGTCTCAGACCCCAGCAGGATGCCGTCCGCACCGTCCAGGATGAGGTTGGCCACGTCGGTGGCCTCAGCGCGGGTGGGGCGGGGGGCCTCTGGGGGGGGGGGGGGTTGGAGGGGGGAAAGGGAGGGTTTGTTGGGATTGTCCCGGCTGGGAATGCATGACGCAACCCTAGCAAGCCACAACACCTCACACCGGCTTTCCCTCGCAGCTAGCCCAGCCCCCCCCCAAAACACATACACGCACGGCATCCCGGGGCAACCCAGCCGGCCGGGTTTGGATCGTGTCAACAGCAGCCCCCTCCCCTTTTCCCCCTCCCCTCCCCTCTCCCCTCCGCCCCCCTTACCCGTCATGGTGTCCACCACGCGGGTCACCAGCACCGGCTTGCCCGCCAGGTTGCAGGCGCGAAGCAGCTTCTTCTGGGCGACAAACATCTGGGGTGGGGGGGTACGGGGGGGGTGCGGGGTGCGGGGTGCGGGGGGGTGGGGTGGACGAGGAGGAGGGTCGACAGGTTCGGCACCCCAACACCAGATCTGCAGGGCTACAGAGCGTGTGCCTAGGGGAAACAAAGCAGTGCAGGAAGAGGGTGCGTGGCCTGGAGAGCCGACAGCCCGCCCCAACCGCTGCCCCACCAAGATCCCCTCCTCCTCCCTTACGCTTCTCCTTCCTCGCCCCACCCCTCCCTCTCCCTCACACCCCCCCTCCCCCCTCCCTCCTATCCCCATTGTCTCGACCCAACCTGTGGTGCAGCTATGGTTTGGTGTGGTCTTCGACCCCCCTGCCCCCCCCCACCTTCTCCGGGTCCAGGCAGATGCCCAGGTTGCCCCGAGACATGAGCACCGCGTCCGCCGCCTCGATGATCTCACCCGCCGCCAGCAGACCGGCCAGGTTCTCAATCTTGGCAACGATGCGGGTCTGGGACATACCGATGCTGGGGGGGTGAGGGGACGGGGGAGGGAGGGGCGAGAGGTGGGGTGGGTGGGGCGGTGCAGGGATGGATGCCGGGGCAGGGTGGGGGCAAGGCCGCATGACACCCCTTTTACAGGCTCCTTCGCTCCTACCCAGGAGCTCCTCTCTCTTCCTCCCTCTTCACTCCTACTCCCCGCAGCTCCCAAACACCCGCGCCCCCTCCTTCCCCCACCCCATCGCCATTGCTTTGTCCTAACCTGTGGTATCTTATGGTTTGTTCTCCCCCTCCCCCCCCACCTGTCCAGCAGCTGCCGTACGGTTGCGATGTCCCCCGCGCTCCTCGCGAAGGAGACGGACAGGAAGTCCACCCTGTTGGCTGCGCCCCACTGGCTGATGGCGGTCACGTCGGCCTCGCTCAGGATGGGCGCCTCGTTGCGCATGAGCGCCATGTGGACCTGGGGGGGAGGAGGGAGGGGGAAGGGGGCAGGGGGGCAGGGGGCAGGGGGGGCAGGGGGGGCAGGGGGGGCAGGGGGGGCAGGGGGAAAGGGACATTGGGGGGGGCAATTAGTATAGGAACAGCCGCGCTGGTGTTGAGACGTAGCAGTAGGAGGGGGAGAGGGAAAGAAGACACCCCAGGACGCCAGGAGGTTCCCGCAGCCAACCCAGTGTGGCACGACCAGATTCCAGGCAGGTGCATGGCAGCGCACTCCGGCCGCCGCGCCCCCCACCTCCGCGCCCGCCCCAACGGGTGCCCTGGTCGGCACGCGAAACGCCGCCGCTCCCCTCCCTACCCCAGGTCGCTTTCCCCCCACCCTGCCCACCCCCACCATCGTCAGTTTCCTCTCTTTTAACCCCACCCTACCCCCCTCCCTGCCCCCCCACCCCCCCACCGTGAGCGCCAGCCCCTCCAGCTCGCAGCTGTTGTTGATGGTGCAGACCGCCTCGTTGCCGCGGACCTGCGGGGGGGGGGGCAAAGACCATACCAAAACATAGGAGACCACAGGTTAGGGCAAAGCAATGGGGGGGGAGGGGAGGGAGAGGGAGGGGGAGAGAGAGGGGTAGGGTAGGAGGATGTGTAGTTACTACCGAACGTCCTTGCCAGCCCTCTTAAGCCTCCCATCCTCAGCCATCATGACCCGGCCCCAGCGGCTTCCTTGCCTCCTGCCGTACCCACCTCTTGTACGGTCAGGTAGACGGAGGAGGTTTCGGAGCCCGTGAATAGGTACTGTCCCACGAACACCTTGCTGCCGGGGGCTAGTCCGGTGCCGGCCAGGGAGGGGTAGGAGATGGCGAGCACGGAGGAGGAGGACTGCACGGACCTGTCGCAGGTGAGGGTGAGCGTTTGGCCGGCGGTGAGGCGGATGAGGCCGCTGGGCCTGTGGGTGGGAGGCGGAAAGAGGGAGGACGTGAGGAGGCAGAGGAGGAGGAGAAACTGGAAGAGCAGAAAGTTTGTGGGTATTGGTTGAAGGCAAACGGTACTGCAACTGGGAAAGTTGTTAGGTATTGGGGAATGTGGCAGTTTTCATGAATTTGTACCTGTTTAGAACTGTGATTTCGGGTCCCATCGTGTCCAGCATTGTGCAGCACAGGCGCTTTGTGTTGCGCATGGCAATGCGCAAGTTGTCCAGGGTCTCTTGGTGATATTCCTGGATGACAGAATAGAAGGTAACGCAAATGTGTTGGTTAATATGCTCATTAGCGGTTTCAACCTGCAAAAGCTTGCTTGCGGGCCCTCATGCGTGCTAGAAGCAAACGCCTTACCATGGTTCCCCAGCTGAAGTCAAAGCGAGCCAACTGTGAAGGGAATAAAAGGAAAAAGATCGCGACCATTAGCGTCGGAAGCTTGCAATGGTGTGGGTATCAAGCATGTAAACGCCCAGCGGATGGGCGTTACCGCACCGTCATTCCAGCCCGCAGCAGCTGCTCTAGGGCTTCAACACTGCGAGTCTCAGGACCGAGCGTACATCCCAGCTTGGTGGAGGCAGGAACACTCAGGTCCTTATCCTCCTGCGATGTGCAAGTAATGCAACACACGTCAGGGACAGCGAAAGCGGCCCACTTAGCGGCGCTGCCTCATGCGCACCTCCAATACGCTGAGGAAGGATTTAGGGGGCTGAAAGAACACATCAACACCCTGCTTTCCCTCCATTTGGCGGCCAGTCCCCAGCTGTGCGTGCAAGCAGCAAGCGTTATCCGAGAAAGCCTAGCTGCAATATGTATAATATGCTGCTACGCTGACAATCAGACGATAGGCCGCCCTTTACTTTGATGATACAGAGTATAAAGGTTGGTTGGAATAAGCCTTGATCGGCGCGCCGTACAAGCCTATCGGTAGCGAGCTTTCCGTGCATGCGGTAAGCAAAAGCACAAACGCACACACCCACCATAATGTTTATGTATCCTATTGGCAACTATTGGCGGCAATCCTAAGCCTATTGCTCCTGGCGAGTACCGGTATCTTCGAGTAGTTTTCGACGGGCTTTACAAGTGAAACAATCTTCCTCGCTTTGGACAGTTCCTTACCTCGTCTAGCTTTCAGAACATGTTTAGCGGTCTTTGCCTGCCGTGACGTGCTGGCATGTATGCCGAGATGCCGACATGGCGTGACAGCTCGTTCCGTCCCTGCGCGTCAAGGAAACGGTCCTGCTAAGCCCTAATATGCAGCAGCCGTAGGCGGCATTCCGGGCCGTGTCCACGCTCACAACCATTTCCGGCTGCCTTAGCAGCTCCTCATCTGGGAGCTGTTGAGGAGCAGGACGCCGTGGGGCCTCCGTGCATACACTCCTAAGGGCCTTCTGAATGCTCAACCTAAGGCAACTTAAGGGCCATCCGTATCCGAGCATGGGTAACCGTACAGCGTGGATTCCCCTGTCGTGCCTGTTGATTTTATCCTTGGCGTCGCCTGGATACCAGACACACCTGCAGTGGGTTAGCTGTGTCCCGCATGTTGATAACGCGCGCCTATGTAAGAGTTGCTCCACTCCACACAAGGAACACGGTCGCTTGTCATGCTGGACACACGCAGTTGCTAGCAGCATTACTACAACATATTGGTGTACGGCGGTGGAGCCGTACATTGTCACAGCCTGATGCGCTCCTGCCATCGCATGCTATTGACTAGAGATGTTTGCTGGAACCGTAGTCTGTTAGTAGGGAGACGTTCTGGCATCGCCTTGGACTGCCCCTTTGCCGAGGTCGCCCATTGTGGTCACCCACAAGGCACAAGCTGCCGCAAAGTGCTTTGCCTGCTGAGTTGCAAAAGACATACCGCATCACTATAGGTTGAAGCAACACGACCTAAATTGGTGACGTTGTAGCCCTACAATTGTAACCTCGAAACGCGACCAGGCGCACGTTCGACAGCGCCAGTGACCAGTGCAGATCTATCTCAGGTTTAATTACACAAACGACGGTCGGGCGCGTGGAGCACTAGGCCTGCGGACGTGGATTCTGGCCTCTTCCGAGTCTGGTCTTGGTCGCAACTCGTACTGCCGAAGCAGCTTTTGCTAGCAAGAGGCATCAGCTATGCAGGGCTCGGCTTCGGGAGCGCTTCGTGCTCTCGTAGCCTCAACAGCAGCGCTTCGTGGAGCGGCCACTGCCGATGCGAGCACAAGTTATGAGGGCGTAGCCATAGCGGCAGCAGCAGCTTCACGCTTCCTCCACCAGCACCATGACAGCCGTCCAAAGCTTCTACAGCACCGATCGCAGCACCCACGACCCAATTCCGACCAGCCATCCGCGTCCCTTCACCTCTCCAACGCTGCCTCCTCTATCCCGTCAAACTCTTCCGCCCTGCTTTCTCCATCCTCATCCTTCACTCCATCCCCAGCCTCAGCCCGCCGGCCCTCCTCTCTCATCCACCCTCCCGCATCCTCATCCATCGCACCCTCCATCCATGCCCACCATGGCTCCCGCACCCTCCAAACCGCCGCCGCTGCCAGCCCGCCCGGCACCGACCCCTCCCTCGACTCCCTCGCCGCCCTAGCCGCCGGGCTTCTAGACGAGGGCAGCGCGGGTCGTGAGGGCCTTACGCCCGCTGCCATCGTCACCGCGCTGGACCGCCACATTGTGGGTCAGGCGGCTGCCAAGCGCGCAGTGGCCATAGCGCTGCGCAACCGCTGGCGGCGGCAGCGGGTGCAGCCGGCGGCCTTCAGGGACGAGATCATGCCCAAGAACATACTCATGGTGCGCTGGCGATGCGCGGGATGGGGTGGGTTACCGGTATAGCAGTAGGACCAAGCGGCGCTGGGGGTGTTGGTTGGTTGGGGTTTTTGGTGACGGTGGCTGGGATTGAGTTACCGATGTGGTATGGATCGTGCCATGTAGCGTCAGGCCCACACTTGCGTTCCCCTCATTTCCTCCACCTACCACACCGGTCACCGGGGTGCCCGCCCCTACCACCCCTCCCCGCCCTCCTCTCCGCCCCTCCAACCAGGTTGGCCCCACGGGTTGCGGCAAGACGGAGGTGGCTCGGCGGCTGGCCAAGCTGGCCGACGCGCCCTTCATCAAGGTGGAGGCCACCAAGTACACGGAGCTGGGATACGTGGGGCGGGACGTGGAGGAGATCATCAAGGTGAAGGGGGGCAGGGGGTGGGTGGGTGTGGGGAGCAGCCAAGCAGTAGAGGACTAGTTGGTCGGAGGACAGGGCATGGGCGGGGTCGGGTCGGGGGCGGCGAGAGGAGGGCGTGGCGACATGTCGTTCATGGTAAAACACGATGTGGGTCAGCCCTCATTTCCCAATTACCGGTAACAGGGCATTAGCACCCCTCCCACACACTACTCCCCTCCCCTCCCTCCCCCCTCTCCTCACAGGACCTGGTTGAGGCCTCCCTGGTGCTGGTGCGGCAGCGCCTGAAGGCGCGCCTGTCCGCCCACTCCGCCGCCCGCGCCGAGGCGCTCATCCTGCGCGAGCTGGTGGGGCCGCATGCGAGCGAGGACACACTGGACACCTTCAGGCACATGTACAGGAGGGGTGAGAGGGGCAGGGAGGGGGGCGGGCGGGGGGAAGAAGGGTGGGTGCATGCATGAGGTGCGTGGGGACGACCAGGGCGTGCGGGGTGTTTGCATGCTGGCCCGGGTCGTGCCCTTGTGGTCCGTATGGCATACCCGGGTAGTGACCTGTAGCCGGCCCCCCGCCAGCCATACCCACACCACCTCCTCCTCCCCACCACCCCCCAGGCGAGCTGGACAACAACCTGGTGGACATCGACGCGGCGCTGCTGGACGGCGGCAGCGGGGGCGGGGGCGGCGGGGGGTTCGGGGGCAAGGTGGACTTCGGGCCGGGCGGCATGATACTGCTGGACAAGCTGTTCCAGCCGGGGAGGGGAGGGGCTGGGGGGCTGGGGGGCGGGCTGGGGTTCGGGGGGCCGGCAGGGGGAGCAGGGCGGGGAGCGGCGGGCGGCAAGCGGAGCCTCAAGGTGAGGAGCGGTGCAGGGAGGCGGGGAGGGAAGGGGAGGGGTTCATGTACAGGGGAACTCCTGGATCCCAAGGGGGGGAGAAATGGGCTGTCAGGGAGGTGTCCCTAGGGGGACGGGAGAGCCGCATCGCGCTTTATACCTGCAGCTCACCACCTGTACTCCCTTGCTCTCCGCCACAACCTGTCTCCCTCCCCGCCTCGTATCTCGTCACCTCCATCGGCTCCCTTCCCCTCCCGCTCCTCCCCCCCCAGGTCTCCGAGGCTCGCGCCCGGCTGGAGGAGGCCGAGTGCGACAAGCTGCTGAGCAGCGAGCGGGTGACGCGGGAGGCGGTGAGGGCGGCGGAGCAGGAGGGGATCGTGTTCATTGATGAGGTGAGGGGGGGAGGGGAGCGGGGTGGGTGGGTGGGGGTTTGGCGGAGGGAATGGGGAGGTGGGTGGGTGGGTGGGTGGGATGGGAGTACAGGGGACAAGCTAGCCATGTGACAAGGCTGCACCATGGGAACGTCAGAGGGGAGCGGGGTGAAGGCAGGTGCCGGAGACATCTGTTTGGGGTATGGGCATACTCGCATACACCCTAGACATGGCGACCCTTCTTCCCCAACCCGCCACCCCTCCCCCTCCTTATCCTCCCCCCAGATCGACAAGATCGTGGAGCCCAGCGGCGGGCGGCTGCACAGCGGCGGGGGCGGGGGCGGCGGTGTGAGCAGCGAGGGCGTGCAGCGCGACCTGCTGCCCATCATCGAGGGCAGTGTGGTGCCCACCAAGCACGGCAACGTGAGCACGGAGCACGTGCTGTTCATCTGCTCGGGCGCATTCCACTCGGCAAAGCCCTCGGACATGCTGGCGGAGCTGCAGGTGGGGGGAGGTGGGGCGGGGGAGGGTGAGGAAAGTGATGGGGAAGCTGACGAGCTGTGTGACATGTAGGCTTCACCATGGAGGGGGTGCGATCACGGTAGCCCGGGGGGGGGCGCTGATGGGGTATACCGGTGGGGGGAGAACGCCAGGTCACAAGGCTGCATTATCATGGGTTGCTCACATGCGTTGGCGGGGTGGCGGTGGATGGGGGGGGGCGGTGCAGGGATTGAGGGACAGGAGGTTCCGGGAATGGGGCTCTGGGGGTGGGGTATGCTGCACTAGCTGCGGAACTGGCGGCGTGGGGAGCGCCTCTGCTACCAGCACAACATGCTTCCGCTTCCTACCTACTTGTCTCTCCTTGCTTCCCTCGTTCCACCTCTCCTCGCCTCTCCTCGCCTCTCCTCCCCCGCCCCAGGGTCGCCTCCCCATCCGCGTGGAGCTGCAGGGCCTCACGGCGGACGACTTCTTCCGCATCCTCACGGAGCCCGACAACAACATGATTCGGCAGCAGCAGGTGGGGGGGAGGGGTCAAAGACTATAACGAACCGTTGGCAACCGCGGGTTCCTATGGTTCGGAGGGGGGGAAGAGGGGTGGGAGCGGGGTTGGGGTAAAGAGAAAGAAACATCTTCTCTTATTGTCCAGGACACAAGCCCGTGCACCGGCGCGAGGAATGGCGGTGGGGGTGACGACAGGGTCTCCCTCACCCCCTTGCTCACCCCACCCAACCCTCCCTTCTTATTCTTCTTTCACCCACTCCTCCTCCCTTTCCCCTCCCAATGGCAATTTGTGCCATTATCACACCACACATTGGAATTTCTTTTTTTTCCCTCCCCCCCCCCGCTGTCAGGAGCTGCTGGCCACGGAGGGCGTGTCGCTGGTGTTCACGGAGGGGGCGGTGCGGGCGGTGGCGGCCAGTGCGGAGCAGGCCAACCGGCAGCTGGACAACATAGGTGGGTTGGAACGGACCTGCTGCTCTTGTCTCCCTCGCCCTCTCGACTTCGTTTGCGAAGCTCCCTGCGTTCCTCCTCCCTGTTCTCGCGGTTTCGATGTACTTAATCCCCTGCCCCCCTCCCTCCCCCCCCCCCCCCCTGTCCCAGGCGCGCGGCGGCTGCACACGGTGCTGGAGCGGGTGCTGGCGGACATCAGCTTCGCGGCGCCGGAGAGGGTGGCGGAGGCGAGGGCGGAGGGGAAGCAAACGTGAGCAGGAGGGGGGAGGCGGGGGTGGGGGTGGGGATGGAGGGGAGGGGAGAGGTGTGGTGGCGGTGCCTCTGGGTGGTGTGGGAGGGGTGCATCTGGACGCATGCCCCCATGCCGCATGCACACTGCCGTACCGTACCCCATCACCCCCCTCACTTGACCCTCATGCCTGCCCTGCTCATCCGGAAGGCTACTGTTCCCATCTCCTCTCTGTCGTCCCTAACCCCTCCCTCCCTTCCTCTCTCCCCCCCCCCAGCTACGAGTACGTTGTCGACGAGGCGCTGGTGCACCGCAAGCTGGACGACCTGCTGAAGAAGCAGGACCTCTCGCGATACGTGCTGTGAGGGGGGCATGGGGAGCTCTTGCCGTACGAGCTGTGAGGGGGAAGGGAGCGAGAGCAGGGCGGTGGTGCCGGTGTTAGGGGCGGCGGCACAGGTGTGAGCGCGGACTGCCGGTGGGCGCCGCCATGTGAGGTACTGCTGGGGGAGGCTCCTCTGCAAGAGGGAGGAGGAAGCGCAAAGGAGGAGGACGCAAGGTAGCGCGTGTGGGATGGATGTACAGCTTGCGGTGGAGACGGACAGGTGCGCGGTGGCGGTGTATGAGCTTGGTTGAGTCGGGCAAAGAAGAAAAAGACAGACATGCATTGCGCTTTGGTTGAGACGCACACTCGAACCAACCACAGAAGATGTTTGTATGTACAAGATGGCAAGGTAGGTCGCGGCGGCATTCCTGACGTGTCTGTAACGCGGTTTGTAGCACGCTAGGACCTGTTCCCCTCTCGTTGTTGATCGCATAAGAGCTGCTGCTGTGCTGCTGTGTGCGCTGTGGTGTACGACAAAGCGAGTGTGCGGCCAGGTGGTAAGCTGGACTGCCGTACCGTACCCAGCCGGGGGGGGGATGCAACCGCAAGGGTGCACCTCCTGTGACGCTGTGAGCGACCCGGTGCGTGGGGGCCGCGGACACGTGGCCAGCTGCCTAGGGTGTGGCATTAGGTCATTAGTAAGCCAGATGTGGGGGCCATGGAGCCTGGGTGGGTGTAGGTTATAGCGGTTTACGGTAACTAGACCTTGGCATTGGGGAAGGAAGGAGGGTTCCATGAGGATATGTCGTTGCTGTCACGGTGTTATCGTTGGTCCTGTTGCTGGGACTTTGAACTTTAGGAACGAACGACTGAACGTGGGTTGCGCAGGCCTCAAAACGCGTGTCGTACAGGCGCTGAAAAGGTGGTTTGCCCTTTGTACTCCCAAGAATGTCTTTGTGTTACCGGTTCTGTTGTGCTGGAGCGCGTGGTGACACTAGGGCTGTGCCTGCGTCGCCTGGCTTTGTGTTGCGTGGCAACCCTAGCGCAAATTGTTGTGCTGCTCCCGGACGTCCCGGTCACGGCCAGTTGGGGATGTTTTGAAAGCAATCCTACTGGTATATTTAGATCGCGTAAAGAATTGTGATGCCCTAATGCACTAGAAAAACCAGCTTGTTCGGACACCAGCAGGACTTTTGTACGGACGAGAACCCGAGCCGTTAGACTCCGCACAGCATGGGAACAAAACAAGTTAAGCCAAATGTGTTTCGTAAGGGACATGTTTAGCACATGACGCAACGTATGCTAGAATCTAAGTTTGCCTTGCTACTCCACGCTGACAGCTAATATTTGACACCATCCTGGCGTGATGTGTATGCTAGCTAGTAACGTAAGTCATCGACTGTATTAGGAAAATACGGAAAAGCAATATGGCGCCTTTGGGTCGAGCACGGCCGGTCTCTGCTGAAACGATAACCAGCGCAGCGGCTGAAAGCTCTGCCACATCATGCTTTGCCGATCTTCCATTTCTGCAAAACAATCAATTCAAGCCAGGAGAACGTCCCCTACCTGAACTGCTGAACATGCTGGTCGACGCGGCCCATTACAGGTACGAGTTTTGCTGCAAAGTTACATCTTGACAACGTTTCATGAGTATTCATGCCAAAACAACACTGGAGGGTTTAATAAGGGGCGCCTGTTGCTAATACGCTGTCATGTCGGCTTTGCCGAGCAACCATATTGAAGGTTCACAGCAGCCAAGCGGTATGGCTCCGTTACACCTACATCCAAGCATGTCATGGGGCCCGAGGGGTGCATCCCTCATGTAGGCAGAAGGCCCTGTACTTGTACTCCCCCAACGTATAGCCATCGCCCACCTTCGCCCGCCCGTTCTATACCCCGCCCTCCGTTAGCCTAGCCCCTCCCCACATCCCCTTCCTACCTCCCCACCTTCCTGCAAGTCAGCACCCGCTTTTACCCTTACCAGCACGTCATCTTCCACAACCCCTCCTCGCTCCCTCTCCTCTTCTTCCCTCCCTCTTCAACGCATGGTTTTACTTCTCTTCCCTCTCCTCCCTGACTCCTCCCCCTAGCCACGACAACCGCAAACTGCAGCTCCCGCCCACCCACGCCTACTCCGTCTTCACATGGCGGGTGGCGGAGGCGCGCCTCACAGCCGGCTCCACACAGCGCTCCGCAGGCGGCACCACCACCACCACCTCCGTGTCTTGTGGCGGCACCCGCTCCGGAACCAGCTCCGGAGCCCCGTCAGCGACCCTGGCACCCACTTCCACCGCCCCCGCCGCACCCGTTCCTCCCCATGCTGGATCCGGAAGCGCAGCCGCCGCGGCCCCGCCGCTGGACCCCATAGCCGAGGTGCCTGCAGGCAGGCAGCAGGCGGAGGAGGCAGGCGGCCGTGCCCGGGGCGCGGTTGCCGCTCCAGCCTCAGCCTCAGCCACCACTGGGCGTTGCGTCAGTCCGGTTGCAGGGGGTGCAGGAGGCGGCTGTGGCGGCGGCGGTGGCAGCTGTGGCGAAGGGAGGCGGAATCTGAGTCCTAGCGCATCGACGGCTGGGGCTGGCGGCATGGGGAATGGGGTTTTGGCGGGGGTAGGTCGCGGCGGCGCAGCCGGCAGCAGTGGAGGCGGTGGCTGGGGCAGGGGTGCGGGTAGCTGTGGCGGCGGTGGTGGTGGCGGGGGCAGCTGTGCGCCGTCTGTGGGGCGCCGCTCGCACCCTGCCTCGGCGTCGACGGTGGGGGGGTCGTGGAGCGCAGCTGCATGGGCTGAGCCGGAGCTGGAGGTGAGGGGGTTGGGAGGGTGTGGAGGGAGGGCTGGGTGCGGGCCTGGGTGCGGGGCTGCTAGGAGGCGTGGGTTGGGTCGCTCCCTGTCATGAGATCACGTCAGGTGGTGTACATAGTGCCAGTGCTGCCACCGTGAAACCCTCGTGCTAGCCTTCACCGGAGCAAGCAAAGTGACATTGAACATGTCTGTCTACGCTGCTGGTTAATGCGGCTGGGCTGCTGCCCCCCTGTCTGCCCAGGTTGTTTGTCTGTACGACGGCAACTTCCAAACGGCCAACAGCCGCGGGCGGCAGGGCCCTCCGCGGCGCGTGCCGGCTCCGGAGCACATCGGCCCCATCTCCTACCTCTTCAGGTGCGCCCCGCTGCATGCGGCACAAATACACACAAACGCTTGAGGCTTTGCAGCAGCTTGTGGGGGCACATGCGCACAGCACCCCCTCCCCCACCAGCACCTCATGTGTGGATGTCCTGCCTGTGTGTCCTGCCTGTGTGTGCCTGCCTGTGCGGTCTGATACCTGCTCCCTGATTGCACTGATGCCGTGTTTGCGTTGCGTTTGTGGGATGCGCTGCTCTGGCGCCGCTCCCACGCCAGCTGCACTCCCCCTCTCCGGCCCCGCACCCCGCACCCAGCATGTCCACCCTAAACCCTCCCCCGCCCCGCCTCCCCCCCGCCTCCCCCGCCCGCAGGTGGTACTGCAAGCGCAGCACTCAGTTCCTGGGCAGCCCCTCGCCAGCTGACGTGCCGGACGCCCCCGCCATACCGCCGCCGGAGCCGCACCGCCCTTCGCGGACGGGCAGCGGGGGGTTGGCTGCCGCTGCTACTGCCGGCAGCAGCAGCGGGGGCAGCACTGGCAGCAGCAGCGGCGGAGGCGGGGGTATTGCAGGCGCCCTGCATACGCGGAGCGTACGAGCCGCCAGCGGCAGTAGCAGCGGGAGCAGCCGCGGTGGCAGTTCAGCTGCAGCGACAGCAGCAGCAGCAAGCAGGGCTGGGGCGCCATCAACGTCAACCTCGTCGTCGCTGCCTCGGCGGCCTGCCAGTGCGGGCCGCATGGGCCGCAGAACTTCCTCCTCCGCCGGCGGCGGGGGTAGCGGCGGTGGTGGCGGTAGCAGTAGCGGCAGTGGCGGTGGTGGCAGCGGCAGCACGCTGGGTCTCAGTGTGGGTACGGGCAGCGGGCGGCGGCTGAACTCCAGCCTGGACCCGGTGATGAGTCTGAGCGAGGTGACGGAGCTGCTGGAGGACTTGGAGGTGGGCGGGAGGGAGGAGGAGGGAAAGAAGGAAGAGAGGGAGGAATGCGTGTAACACCACATAGTGGAGGGTATGATGAGGGAGGGGAGTAGGTTGAGGGGTGGGATCTGGAATGGGGATGTGGGTCTGGGTTCATAAGTGGTGCCGCTGCTCCGTTCACCTCCTAAAACCTGCTAAACCCCCTAAAAACCTAAAACCGCCGTCCGACCTGTTGGCGTCCTCCAAAAACCGTTCTGCGTTCCCTTGACATACCTGATAACCACGCCCTGCTCCTCTTCCATTCTTCCACTCCTTACCGTTCCTCCTCCTGCTGCTCCTTCCTGCCCCCAGGTGGTTCCCCACCTCGCCTCCCGCACCGACGTATCGCAGCTCTTCCACGCGGCCAGGCAGGCCGCACACCCACACCCGCACCTGCACCCGCACCTATACGGGGACTCATTTCAACGGACCTCGGATGCCGCCTTCATCGCCGCCACCACCACCATTACAAGCAGCACCAGCGGCGGGGGCAGCGGGGGCAGTAGCGGTCCCGTGCGTGTCCCCCGCGCCCAGATCCACCCGGACGAGATCCGCTTCCCCGCCTTCAGGGACTTCCTCGTCCGCCTGGCCCTCGCGATCGCATGCGCCGCCGCCGCTAATAACGCCGCCACCACCACCAACACGACAACACAGTTCCTGGGCTCCTCCACCGCAGTAGCAGCGGCTGTAACCGGGTCGTCTCCACACAACGGGAAGCTATCCCGCGCGTCCTCAACGCTTACGTCAGCGTCCGTGGTGACGGCGGCGGCGGCGGCTGGACCGCTCAGTACGACAACCCCGGGTTGCAGCAGCGGCAGCAGCAGCCGGCGGCAGCGCAGCCTGTCGGGTGTGGAGGCCATAGCTGCCGTACGGAGGTTGCTAGAGACCATGGAGTTGTACGGAGATGACCATCGGGGGTTGAAACACCGCTTGGATGCGTTGGCTCGAATCGCCTCGGATCATGGAGCCAGGGTCAAGGCCAACAAGCTGCTGTACATGTCGGGACCCTCTGTCGTAGCGGCGGCAGCAGGCGTCGCTATCGCCTCGGTGGCGGCGCCGCCGCCAGCGGCGGCAGCCTCCTCGGGCTCCCCAGTGGTGCCGTCGGCAATCGCGGGCGCGCCGCCGATGGCCGTCGGCGCCGCCGTCGGGACGTCGTACGGCAACCCGCCGCCGTGGAGCATCCTGGCGGCGGCGCCAGCGCCGTCGTACTTGCTTGCCGTACTGGCGGAGGAGGACGTTGGCGACGGGGCGGCGTACCGGCCGGCTTGGCGGGAGTTTGGCGCCATGGCGTTGGAGCTGGGTGTGCTGCGGCCCGGGGAGCTGCGGCAGTGCCGGATGGTGCTGATCAACCGCGGGGTGTACCAGATCTCCGTACGGCTCGACACGTCCGGAGCGCCGTTCTGCACTTGCTCCTACTCCTCCCTGAACTCCCTGCCGGCTGGGATACCCAGACCCGTAGACATTGCCGTACAACTAACGGACGTTGGCGAGGTGGTTGGTGAGTTGCGGTTGTACTACAGTTCCAGGCAGGATCCAAGGGAAAAAGAGATTGTCGTACCCGTGTACGGCATGGTGTGTCCGCCGACGCATGCCGAGGTGGTGGTTCGCGGACGGAAGGTACCAACGACGCCGTCCGAGCGAAGAGCCATGGCAGCGAAGGCAGCGCGAGACGGCACGGCAACTGCGGCGGCGACGGCGGCCGCCGCGGCGGCGGCTTTAATGGCGGCGGCGGCGACGGCGGCGGTGCCGCAGACGCTGCAGTACGGGCTAAAGCACGGGACAGCGGCGGCGAGGGCGGCGCCTCAGTCCAGGTCAGCGTCGTCTTCAGCGGCGGCCTCGAGGCCTAGCAGCGGGAAGCCGCCGTACGATACATCAGTACGGCAGGCTTGGGGGGCGACGATGGCGTCGTGAGGGCTTTCGAAGATGGGAAATGCAAATGTTAAGAACGCAAGGAATGGGGCCTGTAGTGTTGTCCTTGTGGAAATGCCCTTGTGTAATATGATATGTACGAAAACTGTTGCCCGGGACGTTAGGCGGCTGGTCTGGTATGGTCGCCGTTTTCCACCGTAGCTGCAGGAATGATGCCTTCCTAGCTAGGACGCATGTGCATTAGGTTACTAGCCCAAGCATTACATAAACCAGTCGTTGTTTGTTCGGTTGGCCTGTCTGTTACAGCACTGTTTTGTTCGTTGCGCATGTGTAGCACCTGTGCACAATGCACCGTACTGTTCCAATGGTTTGGCCCCTGGATGCATTGCCATAAGTTGTCTAGGGGCCAAATTTTGTCCTTGTAACCCGGTATTACTACGCGCGTTGTGCGCCGGGTCAACGCTTGGCAGTAATTACCCAGGTACCTTACTCGTAGCTAGCCTAACTGCTTGCCTCAATAAGTTGGAGGTGCTGACTTGTGCTTGATGACTTAATACTAGCTTGCTTGGCTAAGGCTAAAACTGTACGAAGGTATGCGGTCCAAGTGGTGAAGGTGTGGTGTGTGGTATTGGTGCAGAGCGCGTCCTCCTTCCCCTTTGTCATGTTAGGCATCATTAGAGTGAGGTGCAACCCCTTGTTGGTTGATTGTGTCTTGGGGCGCGCATACCGTCGATGATCGCGGGTGCATGTTGCCCGGTTGGGTGCATGCATGTTGCCACGGCGCTGCGGCGCGCTAACAGCGATGGCCGTTGAGTGTGATTCCTCGAATGCTGCGTGGGTGCGATTCTCATCCTGCTAGCATACATGTTGTCAGAGCTTGCCTTGCGCTCTTGCGGTATGTGGCTGTTTGCGAGCAAGCGCACTGTGACCAGCACAGTGCCGCTTGCATGATGCCCCTTCTTGTTGCACGGACTTGCTCTTCTAGAACGGACAGTGAATGCCGGTATGCGGGGGAGGACGGCGTTTCCATGTCCGCAGAGCTTCTCGACCCACCAAGTTACCGGCTGGGTGGGAAGGGTGAGATGGGCGCGGGTGTGTGGGGCGAGTAGCGAACCGTCCTGTAGGTTGCTCGCACTGTATACGCGGGGTAGGATGGTAGGATGGTGTGACTCGTACGGAGCCGAGAGCGCTCGTAAATGCAAAGTGAGGTATGCATGGGCAGCGGGGCGCACCCCTGGACGTATCCATTTGCCGGAGAAAGTAAGACCGCGTGTCAGCATACGGTACTACCCGTACTAAGATCCGAGCCGGGATGGCAACACAGTAACGCACACACAGAGCGGCGCACCATCGCCTCCTGCTTGGGGGAGCCAGCCTGGCAAGGAACACCGCTATGCAAGGGTCACGAGGTATCGACCGTGCAGCGCTCACGAGCCATGCCACACCACCAGGAGCACCGACGACCAGGAGATCCTCCCACTCAGTTCGCAGCCACCGCCGCAGCAGCTGCAGCCGGGGCAAACAACCGCTCATTCAGCAGCCCCCAGTCCCCACACCCCTCGGCCGCCCCTGCTGCTGCGTGCTGCTGCTGCGCCGCCTGCCGGGCCGGTGCCTTGGCCAGCAGCCCCTCCTTGAACACCGCCGCCACCGCCGCCCCCCCGGCCGCCGCCAGCACACCCACGTCAGACAGCGGGTCCACCCCGGGCTGCAGCAGCAGCAGGTCGGCTCGGAAGCCGGGGTGCACTCGACCCAGGGAGTACTGAGGATGAGGGGGAGGAGGGGGAGGGAGGAGGTTGATGTAGGGATGTAAGGACTTCGCATCCCGGAGCTCGCCAGCGCATCCCACTGCCGGGGAGGACGAGTGGCCACATACCAAATTATTCAGCGTCCGCTAACATCGCATCAGTGAACGTACCGTGTCAACCAGTTCGCACACGAACCTTCCACAAGCCAGACTCCCACCCATGCCCCCTACCTCCACCCCACCCACTGCATGAGTAGGGACATGGGATTGGGACTCAAGTTGCTTCACTTTTTATTTATTTCTTATCCCCCCACCTCCATTCCGAACAGTCGAGCACAGTTGACGGTTGCGGCTCGCAGCACCTCCGCAGCCGGCAGCACTCGCGCCCGCAGCGAGAACTCAGACGCCTGGCGGTGGTGAAGCGGCGGGTAATGGCAGGCGGTAGTGGCAGGGTGCAGCAGGGCCAAGGGTACCGAAGGCAGATAGGCAGGTGGGGGCATCCATGTGTACCAGGTGATTATCAGTCGGCTCGGGAGAGAGCACTGCAGCATGTCAAGGCAATGGGATAGCCGCAGGGACACATTAATAGCTGTGCTAAACCGGCAGTAGGACAGCTGACAGGTTTAACGAGAGGACCAAGGAGAGCACGAGCAGCAGTGTGCGGAGCCAGCCATGTTAAGGGCCTGGACCTTGGTGACCCCTGGGTCGCACCCGCCTACCTACCTGTGCGGGGTGCAGGTCGCCCAGCAGGTCGCTTCCAAAGCACATGGTGACCCCCGCCGTGTGTGCAACCGCCAGAGACCTCAGACCCTGCGGCCCGGCAGCAACCGCAGCAGCAGCAGCAGCAAGCAGCGGGAGCACACGGGCAGCAGCAGGAGTCTTAACGCACAGCCATGACATGCGGTACAGGAGGCGGCAGCGATTGAGAGTGCCTCCCTACTAGTGTGTGCGGGGGAGCCAAAGCGCCAACAGTTGCACCCATGCATGCGAGGCAGCTGACGGATACCGGGCACTACTGCCTGCCACTAGGGTGCACCCAAGACATACCGAACTCTGCCCACCCTCCCTCCCTCCCTCCCTCCCTCCCGGGGGGCTCACCGCCTCCACCGCATTGCCGACCTTGCCCACTAGCTCCTGCATGCGGGGCCGCCAGGAGGGGGGAGTTACAAAACACAAGTGCAGCAAGTGGGTTGGGAGGGGGGCAGCATGGCCTCGCGACACCGGTACTCAGCCCAGGGCACATGGGCAGATGGCCCTTCCACCAGGTGTGTATTCGTAAGAAGCGTCAGAGGAAGACACCCGGGGTCCCAAGGACACTGCATGCACGTGCTCACAAGCGTCACAAGGGGGGAGTTCCTAAACACATCGGACAACCGGGCCGGAGAGGTGCGGTACCTGCGGCATGCCGGCAGCCGTACCAGCCCGCGCGAGCTCCTGGTAGGTGACCAGCGTTGGAACCAGAAACGTGCCCTGTAGGGTAGCATGCATGGCAGCGAGAGCGAGATGAGGGTTGATGGGCATTGGCAGGGGGTTGGGACACACAGGAGGCTACAGACCGGTACACAGCATGTGGTGTTTCAGGTTTCACGCCCCCCCCGTGCGCTGCTGCGGAGAAGAGGGACCTGGAGGCTACAATTGGAAGGTCCCAGGGAACACACCTTCGCCGCCATGAGCCCCGCCGTGCCCGCATCCAGGTAGTTCCCATGCTCGATGCTGCGCACCCCGCACGCCACCGCCCTCCGGATGGCATCAGGCATGTAGGCGTGTGCGCACACGTAGGTGCCTGCTGCCTGCGCCTCCTCCACTATCGCCCGCATCTCACCCTCGGAGAACTGGGTGTTGGTCAGCCTGCTGGGGCGGGGGTGGGGGAGGCAGTTGGTGTGGGGCCGCCGGGCGTTGTGGGGGCATGTCGTGGTGGCGCATCGGAGGTGTTCGAATAATCTTGACATACCGGCAGCGGATACTGATAGCACACTACAGGAGAGGCGACACATTCACAATACGCTTAGCCATTTAGCCGAGGAATGTTCGAAGGCGGACAAGGCAGGAGTAGAGGTTCGAGCGGCGGAGAAATCCGCAGCTGCTCTCGGCGCGCATGTCAGTGCTGACACGCACCTGTCAGTGGGCGACGCCACTCCGCCGGACGCCATGATCTTGATGCAGTGCGCCCCCCGCCGCAGCTCATCGCGAGCCGCTCGCCGCACCTGCAGCAGCCCCACACGTGCGGCAGCCGAATAAACATCATCACTTAGCTGCCAACCCGCTTTCCTACCACACCACCACCACAGGGTCTCTCCAGCGTTAGTCACGCACCATGCGTCACCGTCTGCACCATCACATGCGCCTGCCCAGCATCCCAGCAGGCCCCCTCTCACCCACCCCGCACCTCTGCATCTCCGTCGCACACCCGGCCTATGCCCCGCAGCGCCGCCCCACATGCACACACGTCCTCTCCCCGGCCGCGGAAGTCACCGTGACCGCCCGTCTGACTCAGCGCGTGACCTGGGGGCGGATGAAGGGAGGGAGGGAATGAAAAGAAGGGATGGGGGAGGCAGGCGGGAGGCAGGCGCCGCCGCCACCCCTCGTTCACCGAGGATTGCCACTGAGGACCCAAGCCGAGGACCCAAGCGGGGAGCCCGGCACGTCCTACCGCCCGCGACACTACCGATACCTAAACTGCCACCGATCAATGGACCATGAGGGGGTGCAACAGCACTGATGCTCCGAGGGGCCCCCAGCACCCTCAGGGTCATCCTCGCATGCACCCACCTGTGAACAGCAGCCTCGGCCCCAGCACAAGACCCTCCTCCACCGCCTGAGCCAATCCGAAATCCGCACCGCCTGCGGTTGAGTGCACCAGACCGACTGAGCGCCAGACCAACCGTACTGACAACAGTTGTCTCTCCTCGAGGAGAGACATACAGGAGTGTGCGCACATGTATGCATGGTGTACATCACCTCTGAGAACCGCAAAACTAAGCCTAATTGCGTCAACCCTGATTGCGTTGTGTCTGCGCACATGCACAGGAGTACGGCAGCACCGTGCGGGCCGCTGCAGCAAGTACGGATCTGCATGCATGCACCCACCTGCATCCCGCACTGTGGTGAAGCCCCGCGCCAGCATGCCCCCCAGGATGTGAGCTGCCTTGGCGGCCACGTAGGACTCGGGCAGCGACATAAGGCCCGCCAGGTCAGCGGTGGCTGCCGTACAGTGCACGTGGGCGTCGCACAGGCCTGCGGAAGGGGGAAAAGAAAGGGGGAGGGATGTTTCAGAAGAGCTACACCATGTATGTTCCTGCTTTGCATGTTGCAGAGGTCTGACGGATACGGCGTCTGCCGTTTGCCTGCCTGGGACTCCCACTCATGACACGTTGGAGAACGTCGCACAGCGCAACAGTCATCACTTATTGTAGTACATCCATGCTCCTTCCCTCCCTCCGCTCTATATCCCCCGGATTTTGTTGCATCCGTTAACTTAGGCCTACCAGGCATGACCACGGCGCCTCCGCAGTCCGCCACCACAGCCGGAACCACATCTGGACTGCAGCTGCCCGCTGAAGGGGGAACCACGTCAGCAGACTCCGCAGTCACAGCAGCACCGGCCGCAGACCCCATGCAGGTCGACTGCTCCTCCTGCACCCCCTCGCCCTCCTGCTGCTCCTGCCCTGCAGCTCCCATGGGCCGCACTTCCGCTATCACCCCACCCCGGATCAGCACCCGCTGCAACCCGGGCAGGTACTCCCCAGCCTCGGGGTCCAACACGCGACAATTGAGCAGCAGCAGCGGCAGCTCCCCGTTGGGAGGGGCGGAGGATGAGGAGGAAGCAGGCCGTTGGCGCATGGCGCGACGTGCTGCACAGGCTTGCGCAAAGGAGCTTATGCATAATTCAGCAGGCATAAGGCTGCTCGGTGTGCCGTTAGGGCCCGAGTCGCTGGATGCTTGCAACGCATGATGGCCGCTATCTGGAAGGCGTAAGAATAATGGTTTGTTCGTCATGTCTAGTTAGTAGATTTGGAACAGAGATTGCTAGCTCGGCCAAACATGGCTCGTCAGATGCATTGTACTAATTCGTGCGAAACAGTTGGGAAATCAATTGGCCGAATGAATGAATGTCGGATGCTGTCGTACGCGTACCGTACGATTAAAGGAAGTAGCGTACTTTGGGCAAGGGAGGGTGCATTGAGAAAAACCTTTCTATTTATGGAAACTAGAACTGGCACAAGGACGCTAACGCTTATCATTGACTGCACCTTGGAAACTTGCTAGCCGATATTTTCTTCAACGGCGGCCCGCTTGCATGTGGCTCAGCGGAGGTACCATTGTAAATTGAGTAAAAAACGAAGGTTTCCGTAGGCAAGGCACAGTGTTCCAATTAACTTGCTTGGTGTCGGATAGGTCCATCGAACCGTTACGTTGAGGTGCCATGGCAGATAAGGATTTGGCGTACTTTAGGGCAACTCGCGGATGCTAAATGTGAAGATGCCTGCCTGAAGTCGGGACTCTCCAATGTCCTAATGCTGCCCACAACCCACGCAACAAGCACTCTCACAACCCCTCCTCCGCTCGCCCGCACTGTCGCCTGCAAGTCACCTCAAGTTACCAAACCTCGTCACGCATGCGGCATGCCCCCGCATGTCTTAACCCCCGAGAACCCCCACATCTTAAACAGCTGCACCAGTAGCCCTCGCATGACCAATTCGGCATGCCTAGGTCAAATAAACCTCGTTAAATGTCAACGTCCTGCTCGAAAGCAGTGAAGGAAACACACCCTGCATGCAGCCTCTGAGCACCCCTGCTCTCGTCGGCCGTCACAACCACAACAGGCGAACAAACCCTAAGCACATTTGCCCTGGTGCGCAAACACGCACATTACCCGGAAACGTTCCCAGGGCAAACAGAGAATGCCCTCCGGCCCGCATCCGCAATCTTGCACTGCCCAAACGCCTTGGGAACCCACTTCACTACCTTCATCCGTGACTCTAAATCCCAGCAGCGGAAGCGACCTCAAGAGCTCCACCCTGCCACACTGCATTGATAAACTGCAACAGCACATCCTTAAACCAGGCCACCATTGCCGCTTGTATACCGTCTATCCATATACCTGTAATCCACGTCCTCTCATCAACAAGCAGCAAAATTACATTCCTGCTTCCATCCTTGCGACTTCATACCATCCCGTACTTCCTGCTGCTTTGCCTTCACAAGGTCTCATACCGGTAGTCCATTTCAGTAAACAAATATCCGTGTCTACACCGCCTAGGGGCTGATACGCATACTCCTTCCGTACAGCTTGGCCGGGTGCTCCATCGCCTCCATCTCCCGTACAAACCGCCGTGCAGCAGCTTCCTGGATTCGGCGGGCTGTCGTACTTTCATTTCCGTACGGCACTGCCCCAAGCTGACTACGTTCGCTCGGATAGCCGCTGGAACCGTACCCTGTCGCAACCCCTCCCGTGCGGCGGTTTGCGTTGTCAACAGCTGAAGCGGCCCCGACGTCCTGCGACGGCGGCGGCTGGGGTGCGGCCGCCGCCTGCTCGGGCACGGATGCATGTCCTTGCGGCGGCGCTGGCCAACCGCCACCGTAGTTGATACCGCTGCTGGTGTCGCCGCTGTTGCCGCTGTTGTTGTTGCTATAGTCACGCCGAGTGTACGGCACGTACGGCCGGTAGCGCTCCGGACTGCCGTACACTCCCTCGTAGAACTGTTTGCGGTGCGGTAGGGGCAACACTCGGTGGCTTCGGCCGTACGGAGGCGGCGGCTCCAAGCCAATCACCTCCGCTAGACCCAGCTCGTAAGCCGTGTCGATGATCCAGTTGATGCGATCCATGTCCCTCCTGGCGCCAGCGGCGCTGCAGGCGCGGTTGCGGCTGCTGGTGACCCATGGGTCAGTGCTCCCAACTCCGCCAATCGTCCTGCGGGCGTATGCTCCCTCTCCTCCTCTTGCTGCCGCTGGCACAGGTTGGGGCTGCTGCGCTGCCACTGGGGCAGGAGGCTCCTCCACGCAGCTGCCGCCGTCCATGAACCGGACCTGATGACCTGCTGTTGATGATGATCCTCGGATGCCGGAGGGGGCATCGGCTGCCTGACCTGATTCCCCTGCGGTTGCTGCCGTTATCGCTGCTGCTTCTGCGCCGGTTATGTCTACTGCCGCAGCAGCACCTTGGCCAGCTTGCTCCTGGTCCTCACCTTCTGGGCGGGGTTGTGGGTCGAAGGTGTCGGATCGCCTTCCGCCCATCACCTCAGCGGCGTTGCCATGCGGCTGCTCTTGCTCCCCCCACCTTAGCTGCTGCTGTTGCTGCTGCTGCAGTCGCTGGCGCTCTGGCGTGGTGTGCTGCTGCGACATGCGCCTCCGCATGTGGTGCAGCACGTCCTGAAAGGTCGGGACAGCAGGCAGCGCGCAGTGCACAGGAGGAGAGGATAAGGAGAGGAGGAAGAGGAAGAGCACGCAGTAGTAGCAGGTCGGGACCTGATAATGGTTGACTTCAGCACAAGTAAGAGGTCGCGAAAATGGTGTTATAAGGCTTAGGCAGTCTGCGCGCTATCCACACCCTCATGTGGGCAGTGCCGTACCCACCGCAGTCGGGGTGACGTGTTGGTAGTAGTGGCCCACTCGGTAGTGCGGGGGGGTCAGCGGGGAGCTGCCCGGGCTGCTGAGCCGCCGTAGCTCTGCAGCGGCAGCAGCAGCAGGGGTGTGGCGGGGCAGGTTAGCAGCAGCGACACAGGACACAACATAGGAGCATTAGGGCTGCACGCGACTTGGGCTGCGACGGACCCAACCTCCCGACTCCGCTTCCATTGGGCGTTAGCATGGACCACCTGCTAAACCCACAGCAGTCTAGCGACACCTCTGGGTTACGTGGTTCCGCAAACCCAGTTAGCACATGATCGTACGAGGTCTCCAGAGCACACGTGCCCGTCATCAACAACTCACTGAGCCGCAGCTGACGCTTCCACAGATCAATGCCATCCATGTCAGGGCCGCCACCGCCGCCGCCGCCGTCATCTGCGCCATCCTGCTCCCCATGCCGCTGCTCCTCCAACCTCCCCTCCTTCCTTCCGCATGCAGCTGTGCCAACGCCTCCTGCTACCTCCCGCGCCGCCGCCTCCTCCTCCTCCTCCTCAGCCCCCCCACCTCCCAATCCTCCTACTCCGCCGCCGCCACCGCCAGCAGCCGCGGCGGCCCTCCTGCCGCCGTCGACTCCCCCTGGACCCCCAGCAGCACCTGCAGCTGCTGACATAGCAGCCGGCGGCGCCGTCCGGGGCCGTGATGGCGGCTGCTTGGTGAGATCTGCAGCAGCCTGCCTCCGCGCCTGCGCTTTCACTTCTGCATCTAAACGCGTTTGCGGCGAGCGCAGGGCTCCGGTGATGGGGTTAACGTTGGGGTCGGGCGGCTGGGCGGCGATGCGTGTGTAGCGCCTGGCGGGGCCCCCTCTGCCTCCTCCCGCGGATGCTGCCCGCGGCGCCACCCGCACTGCCTCCCGCAGCTCCGGCGGCTCGCAGGACTGCACCAAGGGGCCCGACTGCAGGTGGGACAGAGGAGGGAGGGAGGGACGCGGATCGCATGAGGACATGAGGAGACCGGGGCTGTCAGCAGGATTAGGAGTGCGAAGGAGAAGCAGTACGACAGGCCGCAGCAACACTGCGTCGGGGGAGTGCACTCATGTGGTTGCTTGCATGCATGACGGCTTGCATGCATAGGGACGCTATGAACTGCGTCAATCTCGAGTGTGTCAAGTAAACTGGCGGCGACTAGGAACGTGCGTGTGTGCAACTCCCCGGGGACAAACTAGAAGCACAACACGCTGGAGGGCGAGCGGAGCACCCACCTAACAGCCCAACCCATGTTACCATGTCCTGCTTTAACCCAGTAACGCCCACCCCGGCACCCGGCACCCCAGCACTCACCTTGTAGCTCTGCCGGGAGCCGTCCACTGCTGCTGCTGCCGAGGTTGGCCTGCGCGCCCTCTGGTGGAGCTGGTGCAGCTCGGCGGGGCAGAAGTACGACACGTCGTGCACATAGCCGCCCAGGTCGCGCATGATCCTGATGGCGGTGGAGGTGAGGAGTGGGGGGTGAGGAGTGGGGGCGGGGTGGGGGCAGCGGGTTTCGAGTAGGGAGAGAGCGTTGTTAGGCCGGCCGCCTGGTGATACCCCAACCCCGCGCTCCCGCCGCTGCACCTCACCTGTGCGCCGTGTTGAAGATCTGAGCGTGTTTGGCTCGCGAGGTTGCGAAGGGGGAGGTTGCGAGGTGAAGGTCCAGCGAGCCTGTCGCCAGCCGCTGCCGGGGGCCGTTGAAGGAGGCATCCAACGCCCGCAGAGCCAGACCGTAGGTGTCCTCGGGTAGGTTGACCACCTGGGATGGCAGGGATGCGTTTATGTGCACGAGGTATGGAGCAAGGGGGGAAAGCGAGAATGGGTTAAATGTGTGTGACCCGTGGGTCGTGGCACCTGTGGCTCGTCATCCTTGATTCGCCACACAACCCCGGGCCCGTACGTTCTCGCGTCAGCCCGCAACGCTGCAGTAGTCCTGGGGCTTTGAACCCGAACACCGAACAGCCCCGCAACCCAAAAACGACGCGCCGACCCACATCACTCGCTCGCTCCCCACCTGGCCCACATAGGCGGCGTACGCATCCCCGATGCTGCGCCTCAGTCCCTTGTTGACCACCTGGTGTCCCGCGAACAGCGCTCGGTAGCGACCTGCCACCTGCAAAAGGCAAATTGAGGCGATAACAAACATCAGTACGGCATGGAAGAGATGTGTGGTAGGGTAGCTAAAAGGGGCTAACCAGCGCCGCAGCAAGGTGTAGCAGGTGCATCATGAAGGAGGGACAGCATTGTAAGCGTTAGTCAAGCCATTTGTGCCTGATCCTCACCTCATCAAGTGCCCCGGACCGCTTATCCATCCGAAGGCGGCTTTGGGCACCTTTCAGCTGGCTGCGAGTAGGCCGGTCGTAGGGGTCCATGAGCCCTCCAATGCCGCCGCAGCCATCACCGGTGGGGTCCAACACAGGTCGATGCGGGTCGTGAACGGTGAAAAAGGGCGGTGAGGGACCGTTCGATGGTTTGGCGGGCGCTGTGCCAGCGCCGTTGTCAAGGCTCATGCGCTGAGCATGTCCACCCATGCTTCGCTCGGTAGGCGGAGCAAGCGGGCTGAGACCAGGGCCAGATGAGCCAATACGACGGCGTTAGAGGGTCGTGCCCTTTGCCAGCTCTGCTGTTGCGACCTCTCAGAAGGGCTCGAGGTCGACTTGCATGTGGAATTGGTTTAGGGCTACTTCTCAGCTTCGCCGGAGGATGTGTGTGTTCATAGGTTAATGAAGCTGTAGTTATTCAGAGAACAACTTATTGGGCGGTTGTCTTGCGCGGCGTTATGTATGTCACATGCAAATACCGATACGTTAAGGCAAGTTACGCAACGGGTGTCGCAGACACACAGGCTAATTGAGTCGCAATCATGCTTTAATCTGTACGTTGAGTACCGAGCCCTGGACGATAGCAGCTTGCAAAGCTGCCATAGGATGGGTTGTGAGCGTGGTAGATACTACTTGTTTAGTCCTTAATTGTACAAATGCGAATCGGCAACATCAGAAGTTGCGTTGTCAGAAGCCTGGCTAGATGACTGATTTGCAGTAACCGTGCACAGTACGATAGTTAGCGACTACACTGCTACCAATTTTGGCCGCCTGTCTTTGAAGCCCAGCAGCTTCCATGTAAACACCAACAGATAGACGATTTGCACAGCATCTCAGCGCTGGGTTTGCATCCGCAATGCAATTGACAGCTGCATCTTGTTAGGCAACGCAGAGCCTTTTCCGACGAGATAACGTTTAGAACAACCTCAGTAACGTGTCTTAAATTTGGAATTCTTGATCCCCTTCGCTAGAAGTACTAGGTCACGTAGTGTCCCGATGTGGTCGTGCCTTCTCGTGCTACGTGTTTGACGGCGTAAAGGCTAACCTACTTGTGGCTTGTAACTTACCAGCCTTCTAACCTAGCGTACGTAGTTAGTATCTTGGTCGGGCGGCGAGCCTTCAACGGGCGGTGCTAGTCAGTGTCGGTAGGCTCCGACACTGACGACCGTCGGTAGGCTGGTGCTGATCAATCGTGGTGACGTCCACACCTCTGCCAGCCTGCAGTGACAGCTATACATACATCGGGCAAACTAGAGTGCAGACAAAGTGCTCCGGTCCTACGCGCCCAACTGCCAGAGGTCGTTGAAACAGAAACGTTCGGTAGAGCCGTCAACCGCTGTACTGTCGCGCCGCAATGCAGCAGCAACAACGGGGTACAGTGTACACGCGGACCTAACGTGTGGCATAGCAGCGACCAGGCTTTGAGCACAACAGCAGTTGGCCGGACGAGCACCCCCGATCAAGCCCTGTGTAGGCTTCACAGGACTGCGCCCCTCCGGTGCGAGCAACACCACCATCATCATCAACATCGTCAACAAGGAAGAATGCGATATGGACCTGGCCATGACGGGCTTCGTGAAGGAGACGCGGACTGCTGCTGCCCACCACATGCCACTGCGCCCCTGCGTCACAGCTCGGATACCACATGCCAACAGCGCACAGCCAGCCCCTGCTGTGGCGCGGCCCCACAACCCGCTGCGACCCAGCCAGTCGGCTGCTGCCGCTGTTGCTGCTGCTCTTCCTCAGCCCCCCGGAAGGCGTGTCACATGCAAGACATCTGCTACCATGTTCGCCCCAGCCGTCGGCATTCGTGGTGTAGCAGTAGCAAGGCCGATGTTGCATGTTTAGACCAGGAGCAAGCCGACAAGGGATTCCACGAGATCTCCGATCGTTCCTCACCCGCGCTGCGACAGTGTGGGGACCCACACAGCTCCCTAAGGCGGCAGCAGCAGCCCAAGACGTCGCTGCCCTTGTCGCTGCTGCTGCTGCTCCTGGCCGCCTACACGGACCCACGGGTCGCTACAGCTGCGGGAGCGGGTGCCGAAGCGGTTGACAGCTCTGCCGGCGGCGGCGGCGGGGGTGGCGGCAACGCGGATGTTGGCTGCGAGCCGCCCCGGCCGCTGCCCGAGGGTGTGATGGTTCGCTGGAGCTGTCAGAACTACAGCATGGTGGGGTAGGGTAGGCCGGGTGGGGTGAGGGGTAGTGGGGAGGGGGGGCTATTGGAGGGGCATTGCAGGGTGAGGGCGGGGTGCGGGTGTGCGAGTCACTTCATGCGGAGGCATGCGGCGGGCTTAGATGTAGGGCCGGTTTTGTACGGCTCCTCCTCCCCAGGCTTGCGTCACACCAGATATCAACACACGTGCCCTTGCCGCACTGACTTGAACCTGGCTCTGAGTGTTTTCTGCCCACACTGACGTATGTTGAGCAACCTGGCCGCGCATGTGCGCACATGTGTCCCTGTGCGGTCGCCGCAGATGTGTATCGACCAGCAGCAGTTCATATCGTACGACCCGGCCTACAACCCGCGGCTGAGCCGCAAGAAGCTGCCGGCCTTCTCGGTCAAGGACGTCGTCTACAACTGGCCCAACCCCTGGGGTGAGGCCGTGCGGGCAGGCAGTCGTGAGCGGGTGCTTGCAGCCACGCGGGTGCATGACAGCGAAGCCAGGGTAGACCGCTGGAGCACCCGCTAACTCCTCCCCCTCTCCCCCTCTCGGTCAGCGTTTTCTCGCGGCTCAGCTTACCTAATCCACCCGCCTGTCCTCCCCTACCCCTCCTCCACCCCACCCGGCCCGCCCCCCCAGGCAACGGTGACAAGTTCGAGCGGGGTCGCGACCTGCACGTGGCGCCCGTGGTGCTGCGAGTCAACACCAGCGAGGAGGCCAGCCCCGACCTGCGGCAGCCGGCATTCAGCCGCTGCACCAGCCCCGTCGTGCTGTGGCAGAGGTGGGGGCGAGGGAGGCAGGCGGGAGGGTGGGAGGGAGGGAGGGAGGTGAAGAGGGTACCAACTAAAATGCCTGGGGCAGGGCCCTTCCCCCCTCCTTGTACCCCGGGTACTCGTCGTGTTCCTCAAAAACACCGTGTGCTCCCTGCCTTCATGTCCCTCTCCCTCCCATCACCCCTCCCCTCCGCCTGTGCTGCTGCCCCGGCCTCCGTCTCCCCCCTGCCTCCCCCTCCTGCCCCCCGCCCCCCCCCAGGTGGATGTTCAACGTGGGCGAGGTGTTCGAGACCTCCTACGTGCGCATGTGGGAGGAGTTCCACGCAGGCCAGGTGGACCCCGCGCTCAGCCTGGTGCTGGCCACCCCGCACGGACTGCGGCTGCCCAAATTCGCGCGGCTGTTCTTCGAGGCGCTGTACGACAAGGAGGTGGGGCGAAGGGGGTGAATAAAGGAAACTGTCGAACTGTATGACAAGGCGAAGGTGGGGGCCAGCCGGCCCCGTTTTTTGGTACGCCTTTTTCCGTTTTGGCTCCCGCCAGCAGGCGCCGCTCACGCGCCTCCTCAGCGTTGCATGCTTGCTTCAGTCCTATCCGGGTATATCCGCCCACCGACCCTCTCTCCTGACCCTTCCGACCTTCTCTCCCGATCCCACCCAACCCCTCTCCCCCCCCCAGGTGACCTCCCTGGCCGAGTTCTCCGCCCGGCGCCACGACATGCGGCAGCGCAGTAACGCCACCGCGGAGGGGTGGCACGTCAGGTGGGCAGGGAGGAGTGAGGAGGGAGGGGGGGGAAACGAAATGAGACGAGCAGCGCGACGCCATGCCCCGGGAGTGGAGAGGTAGGCATGGGACCGGGGTGCTGACTGGCCTGGGGCGTTGTACGTATCGGCACTCACACTCGTTTGTTAACTGCGTTTGTTAACCGCCCAACTGCCACTTCTCTTGCTGCCTCGCGCAGGTGCTTCGAGCGGGTAACGCTGTGCCGGCTTCGGAACCGCAAGGTACGCTGCTGCTGCTGCTGCTGCTGCTGTGGCGTGGTGAACCCTGCGCTCGTGTGCTGGTGTGCTTGTGAGCGCGCGATACGTTATGGAGGTTGTTATGGAGCGGTATGCTATGTAACGTGCGATGTTATGTGCAATAAGCTCCCCTACCTACTACCTCCTCTTCCATTTCTTTCTCCTCCCCCCTCCCCCCCAGGAGGACACCCTGTGTGCCGCGGGCGCGCACCTGCTGCGCCACTACGGCCCCCGCCTGCCGCCCGTGAGCGACCTCTTCCACCCGGAGCTGGACCGGGAGACACTCAAGGTGGCGTGGCTGGGGGGCGGGGGGGCCTGTTGGGCGGGGGATGAAGAGGAAACAACTACCTGATAAGGCGTGATAGGGCATGGTGGGGGGTGGGGGTGGGAGGTGGGGGGGGGCGTGATGGAAACCAGCTAGCATGACCCGCCAAACGAAGCAGGCGAGTCCGACCGGTGTTTGCGCCTTTGCGGAGGTGGGGCGGTGTGCATGGATGGCAGCGGTGGTGTGCAGCGTGCCTAAAGCGCGTTGGCGGGAGGAGGAGCGCAGGAGCCCATCTCGAGTGAGCTTGGGGCCACACCCGCACTCCGTCTACGGACGGACTCCCCATGTCCGCCCCCTGCCCCTCCTCGTCACCTACCTGCCTACAGGTAGTGTTCGCGGGGCGCCCCAACGCCACGGGCCGGGCGCTGCTCAACGAGGGGGAGCTGCTGGCGGCCTGCAACGCACTGCAGCCGGAGGAGCTGATGAGGGAGGGAGGGGAGCTGGGAGAGGAGCTGGGAGGCGGCAGGAAGCGCTACCGGCGGGTGAAGTGTGTGAGCCACGTGTTCGGAGGCAACCTGCTGTACGACCTGGCGCTGGCGGCGGTGAGAGGGAGCGGGAGGGGGATAAAAATAAGAAAACGGACGAACGGGAGCGGGAGGGGGAGGGGAGGGGAGGGGGAACTGGGGCAGGAGGGCGGGCTGGTGCGGATGGGTTTTGGATAGAGAGCACGGGCTGAGGAGGAGGTGGTATGAGAGGGACGCCGTTGGGTGTGAGGGAACCCGGAGGGGAGGTGGGTTGGTAGTAGGGCAACAACAACTCCCCTACCTAGTGCGGGGGCAAACCCGGACACCTGGTGAGAGGGAAGTACAGGACAAGGCGAGGAGCCTCCAAGGACAAGGACAGGACAAGGACAGGACAAGGCGAGGAGCCGCCATCCTGGCTAGTCCGCCAGCCGTCATGTTGTTCCCCATCCCTCCCTTAGCCCCTCTCCTCTCCACCATCCATCCCGCCGCATCCCTCCCGCCTCCCTAACCCACCATCCCACCCCCCACCTCGTCTCCTGACCCACCACCCACCATCCCACCCCCCACCTCGTCTCCTGACCCACCACCCACCACCCCACCCACACACAGAGCATAGACGTGCTGGTGGCCACCCACGGCGCCGCCGGCTACCACTCCTTCTACATGTCCCGTGGGTCGTCCCTCATCGAGATCCTGCCGTACAAGTTCTCCCACCAGTGGGTCAACCTGTACTACGCAAAGATGCTGCAGTTTGAGAAGAAGGTGGGGGTGTGCGCAGTGGGGTGTTTGCTGTGCGCCGCACTGCTCGTCCGCCTCTGCCACCTGCCGGCCTGCGCGCACACAGCGTGTTGCAGCTATCGATACTGTCCCGCACGCCGCATGATTGCTTCATTGGGGGTGGCGCGACGTAGCCAGCATGCCACTACCCCTCAGCCGAGCTGCCCCTCAGTTGTCCCCCCCCCGCCATCATGCCATCATACACGCAGACGTGTGTCGCTAGCAACTTGTGTGGGAGTGGTCTGTGGTCCGAGTGCGTGTGGCTGCTGCCCTGAGCCCACCCACTCCCCTGCTGCGTTGCACCGGCCCTGCTCTGCTGGGGTGCAGGTGTTCTACTGGTCCATTTGGATCCAGGATCCGCTCAACTCGCGGCCCTCCGCCTTCGAGGATGCTGACGTGTTCCGCGAGGCCTACGCGGGCCGGGAGCGCCACGTCAGCCTGCCCTGGCCCGCGCTCCGGAGGCACCTGGCGAATGTGCTGCAGGTGGGGAGGGGAGGGGAATAAAGAGGAAACAACTAACTGACTGAGGGGAGGGGAGGGGGAGTAGAGGGGAGGGGAAGGGAGGGGCAAAGAGAAAACTAACGGTGAACCCAGGATGAACCCCTAGGCAAACCAACTAGCCGGAGAGGGGCGGGGCGGGAGGGATGGTGTGCGCACTCTGCACTGGGCCTGGGGCGGCTTGACGAGCAGGGAGGTGTATTGGGCGCTGCGATGTTCGTCACACGCCCACCTGTCCCATCCCTCCCTCCCACAACCCTCCCTCCCACAAGCCACCACCAACCCCTTCCAGTTAATCCTATCCTTTTCCTCACCCATGAAAGCCACCTTCCCTATCTTACACGGAGCCCACATGCCAAACGGTTAGTCCGTTTCTTCCTTTCTACCCCCCACCCCCCCCACCCGCGCCCCTCCCTCCCCCCCCATGTTGCAACCCATGTTGACGCCTTATCCCTCAGTCAGTTAGTTGTTTCCTCTTTACCCCCCCCCAGGTGGGCGGCAACGCGCTGTCGTACAAGTCCGCCTACCTGTCCGGGCGGCACTCCATCAGTGATGGGCTGCAGCCGGTGGAGAACCGGCTGGATCTGGGGAAGGAAGGGTGGGAGGGTTACAAGGGGGATAAAGAGGAAACAACTGATTGACCGTGTGATAAGGCGTCATCCTGGTTTGCAACATGTGAGCCAGCCCGACCCGCCCAAGGGTACAAGGGGGAGGAGGTGGAGGGGGGAGGTAAAGAGGAAACAACTAACTGACTGAGGGATAAGGCGTCAACATGGGTTGCATCATGTGAGCCAGCCCGACCCGCCCAACCCGAATTAGTGAAGCCAGTACGTGGAGGGGAGGGAAGGAAGCAGGAGGGAGACAGAAGGAGGAGGGAGCAGGAGCGGGAAGAAGGAGCGGAGCGTGAGGGACAGGGAAGGAGCGGGAGAGGAGGGGGCGGAAGAGGTGGTAGAGGATGAAATTGGGCGGGAGGAGTAGCTTTTATGGGGAATGAGTAACTGTTGCGAACGCTAGCGCTTAGTTGCAGGGGCGTGTTCCGAGGGAGAGCTGCTTCGGAAGGGAAAGGAATCGGTGAAGTGCGGAAAGAGTCGGTGCGAATGAGAGACCTTTTTGAGTAAGGCATGTGGATGCGGGGATGCAGGTGCGGACGGCTTCTTAAGGTCGGAGAAGTCAGGCGGAGGAGCGCAAGAGTGGTTTCAGCGCTGACATCTTCCAATTCTTGCGGGGTGCAGCGTTGGGTTTCACCCCCGGGCGGTCGGCACTTAGTCACTCGGAGCCCACGTGGATGAGCGTATGAGCATACAAATTTGTTGCAAATGCTACTCAGCGTGGAACGGTCGAAGCGAACTTCTGACAACCCAATAAAGCCTAACGGCTCAAGGGTGGGCACTGTAATATAGTAGGCTAATGTTTGGCTTGCGTGAACGGCTGTGGGCCGTTGCTCAACTTAATCGCAATGTCGCCGGCGTTGTCCAGGCAGCTGCAGACGACTGGCAAGAGTTCCAAGCTGAGTAAAAATAGTTTAGTGCTTAGATATTGGTATGGACCACCGGTGATATGCGGTGCTGTGCTGCTGTCAGCTCTTCAAGCGGTGGTCTCGGCGCGTGAAAAAAGAAATCCAACGTACAAATTCCAGGGCGCTAGCGGCGCTTATACAGCATGCCTCCTAATGTTTAAATTACTGCTAGCGTTGCTTTGTTAATTACCTAGTTGTTCCAGTTGTTGAAGTTATTGTAGACGACCAAGTGTCCAACTGACAACATACCGACAGCTTGCTGCTTAGACATCCTTTTATCGCATATCAGACGCACCAATTTAACTAGCCGTTCACACACAGCACGCCCTTCTCTGGTTACAGTAGGGCTGCGCAACGCAATTGGTAGACGGATTTTTGTAACTCCCTTTGCCTTGCTGTCAACTGGTGCAAACCACAACGGAGAATGGAGGCGTTAGCATCTCATCCGCTGGTGTTGACAAAGCGACGTGCAATCTTTTCAATCCTCTGTGGTAAGTTCGAATGCCATCAGCACGACGTCTTCCACCTCGCCGTTTTCTAGCATCTTGCTTCTTCCAATAATAAGTTACGTTGTGCCCAATCCAAAGCGCCTACTCCCCAGGCATGCTCTTCTCGCGTATTCAATCTACCAGCGGTTGGGGGGTAATGATAGCTTTCCCTCCTCAGCAGCTGATTCCAGTCCCTGCTGCCTTTGTTATATGCCTATAACTTCCAGGCGTTTTTTGGTTGAGTAACCTTTCTCAAGCGCAATCTTCGCCTCGTCCCGCACCTGGAAGTAAGTTCTCTGAGGTTGGCTTGGCCCACCAGAAACGCGCTTGCACAGCTATTGTCACAGTACGTTCTTCCATTTCTGCAACCTTTCCTACCGCCTTTTTTGCGCGTGCCAAAGTCATTATTGTTTACACCGGCCCTGTACGCACCGCACGTCACAGGTGCGTACCTTTTCAACAACACCTACATGTGCATCAACAACTGGGAGATCAGCGGAACCAACATGGCTACCTACAGCGGCATTGGCTTTGATGAGAGTGTAAGTGAACGGATTGGGATGCAATCCCCAAGGCCTATGGGGTAGCAGGATTTTGCCTGACATCAGGTTCAAGCCAACTCACCCGGCACACACCCGGTCTTGCAACTCAGACTTCATTATTACGTTGCCTTTCCAGGTATCATTTACTTATACTCCCCTGCCCACATCTGGCCTAACAGGTGTGCCGGTTTCTTTGCTCTGGACTCCCGGCCTGTACGACTTATGTCTGGTTTGTGTACGGCCAATGCGTCATTCGACGAGACGCCTTCCGGGATGCGGATGGGGTGACCGGCGCGTCAACCACAGCCCTCCGCTCGTGCATCAAGAAGGACCTCGCGGGTAAGCAGGGCTGTCATGCTTCATGCAGGCCTCTGCTTTAAACTACCTCTTGGCTGCTAGTACTGAATAACGCCAACCGGAACTTCTCTGCAGTTTTGCCTCCACCTCCGCCCCCGCCGCCTCCGCCGTTCAAAGTAATGGGTAAGTGCGCTCTGATGGGGCTGTAAGGGATCTGCTGCTGCTGCCGTTGCTGCTGGAGGCTCGTCCTGTACCCAGTATCGTACAGCGTCGATGATGTTACTGCAACTTGGCTCACCAGCTCTGTACGCCGCACATCAGCGTGATAACGCCTCGTCTTCATTCCTATTACACAGAGAACAACAACCAACAGCCCGGAGAGGACGTCTACCTTATTCGAGCGCTTGGCCCTATGTCTGCCGAGTGCCCAACCGCCAACTACCTAACTCCCAGCCAAGACTGCGACATGGTACGTTGCAAACGAACTAGCCGAGATACGCGGGGTGGTCCCCATGCATGAAGCTTACGCTCAATGCGCATGTTGCTGTGACAGCCATATCCTCAACAGCCGACCATACTGCCTCCACCCTGCTTATCCGCGTTTTCCGCAGTACGGTGCTTGGACGCTTGCCGAGTTTGCGGGATCTCACCAGGCCTGGATTGTACGGAAATCTCCCCTAGCGGATGGAACCTATATCATCACCAACTACTATCGGTCTCTGGTGAGTTTGCTAAGCGAAAAGCCCAGAGGGAGCCCCGTAGGTACGGGAGCCCCGTACAGTTTGCCACGTCGTTACAGCTGGGGCACATAATCCATACCATCACCTGTGTTCCCCAAGTGCATCGCCTGTCCTGGTTGGCACTGTCTTCTACCCACCGTTGGCACTGTTTTCTCCCCAACCTGCTTGTCCTCCTCTGCCGCGTCCCTCGCGCCTCAGGTTGCCGACCCGCCCTGCGACCGAACGATCTGGAGTTACCGGTAAGGGTTGTCTTGCGGGGGTTATGCGGTAATGTAGATTCTGGGAACAGCTACAGCCCGATCGAGCCTAACACATACTGACATCCTGAGAGTGAGCATGAATCGGCAAGTGATTCATGACTGAGTTTGTGCCCCCGACATCCCTTTACTGCCGCAAACGTACACGCAGGTCGGACTGCCAGAGCACCTACGTAGACATGTAAGTCCCAGGAACTACTGCCTAGGCTAAACACCGTCGACCACGACTTTTGGCTGACTTGACTGGCTGTTTGTACGGCATTCATGACTCTCACACGGACAACTTCCACACCTTTCCCTTGCTCTCCTCATGCCTACCGCAGGTGGTACAGCTTTGACGGACCCCAGCAAGAGGTTTATTTCGAGCCAGTTGCCGGCCGTCAGGGCGCTCTTCGCATCCGCGCCGCGGGCCGCCCGGGCTGCAAGGAGCGCTACCTCGCCGCTGTGCTGGCCTGTCCCGACTTTGGCAGCGTCTACTGGGCCCCGCTGAACCTGTTGGACCCCGCCTTCATCTTTGAGCTCGTCCCCATGAGCTCCGCATACCCGGTCGCGGACATGCCCACGCACCCGAACTACCCGGATGCGCCCTCCTCGCCGCCGCCTTCATAGAGCTGAGGAAGGCATGGGGAGGCAAAGCAGGTGTGTTACAGGCGTATGGCTCCGTTCATTATGTGGCATAAGACGTCACGCGGTCATATCACCGTACGACATCAATGGAAAGATGGGACTCGTCATCTAGGTGGGCAGCACCCACCCGCACGAGGCGGCCCGTTCAACAGCAGCTAGGCAGGAGTGGCAGGTACCAGCCAGATGGCAGGTTTGATACACGTTAAAGTTGAGTACTAGAACGCGGAACAGCAGCAGCAGCAGCTCCCAAGGCAGGGTAGTCGCAGAGTACTTGACAGGCTTTTGTATGCTTTAGGCGGCAGGGTTATCAAGGCGCGTGCGGGTTTTAAATTGGGCAATTGAACCTATGCGGGTGTTGGAGTGGCCCACATGCGCCTGTTGATAGCAGTTTCTTTGAAAACGAATGATTCCTAAAGTTGCCTTTAAACAAAATTGCAGTAGTTTGGTTGGGGTGGTTTGCAGATGTCTGTACTTGCCTACCAACCACAACAGCATTGTACGGGTAGCAGTGTGCGAATCCTGTGCTGTTGCTGACACTGATGCAGCGTTGGTTTCATATCTTGGGTTGAGTAGTCGCGAGCAGGGTGCCACTTTTGGTTAGTTATGTTTGGGAGAGGTCGACTTTGCCCCCCGGCGGGAGGGGTCGACTATATGTTTTGTGCCTCTTAGGTGCAGGGTTTGATGTTCAGCCAAGGTCGAGGCAGGTGTTTGTACGGTAGGGCTGTTGGCCGAGGGGGGTAATGCCATCGTTTAGATCGTGCATCTTGTCTGTCCAACTAACACTGCACCCTTACTAGTGTCGCCTCACTCTTTAGGTTTGGAAGCCAGCGCTTCAAGACTCAGGCATGTGACGTTATACATTTATTTTTAGCTGATTGAGTTGCCTTACTACAATTACATATGACGTACGAACTTGCACCATGGATCCGGAACGTCGCCAAAGTCGACGTTCATCGTCGTCACCGCTATCATGATTTGGCAATCTGCAATTTCGAATGAAGACAGACATCTTCGATTTGTACAGACCGACGTCTAGCTCTGTGTATGTATATACCCCAGGACAAAGCTTGATGGCTCGTACTACCACTGGCCGAACACCCCGCGGCCAAGTGCATCCCTTGACTTTGTAACTATGTCTACGGCATCAGCAGGGAGGTAGAAAGCTTCCAGGGTGAAACATGATAGCGTAGCACATAAACAAGTTTACAACACCGTCAACAGCCCTTCGTGAGGAAGTAACCCTCTTCACTGCCACTGCTGCCCTTCGTAAGGAAGTAACCCACTTCCTGCGCACTCTCTTATGCGTGACCTTCATCCACATCCGAACCAGTCATCCTGCTAGTAATGAAGCACGTGTTCAATCTTCAGCCTTTCACCAAAATGACCATTCTCCACGCAACCGCTCCGCCCAGTTGCAAAGTAGCGCGCCAAAACAACATTACAAGAATCCGAACAGCCCCCAGGCGGCCCTAGAGCTGTGTACTGCAACATTAGGGTGAAGCAAGCCGCAGCCTACCGGTATCATTCGCCACCCCAGCCTCCGCTCTATAGGCAACCTCAAGCAACCACCGGGCCCCATGCAAGCCTTCAGGCAGGTTAGCGAACAGCGCCGCACTGCAGGGCGCGCAGCACCGTCCGCCAGGTACAGCTGGGCGCTGCTTGCTGAGCACATCAGGCATACACGCGTCCACTTCTATTAGGCATATAGCACCGCAGCAGCAGCAACACGGCATGCCTGCATGCATGCCTCCCACAACACCCCAACCCTCTTTCCTTCTTCTGCCTTTCTGCCTCGCGCCCTCAAGCCGCCTTGCCCTCCTCCTTTCCAGCCGCCGCCGTGCCGCTACGCCCATCTGGCTGCTGCTGCTGCTCCTTCCCAGCCGCTACTGGCGATCCCATGCTCCCTGCCGCTGCTCCCACACCCGCGCCGGCACCCCCGCTCCGGCTCTTCACGGGCGTGCTCCCCGCGCTGCCGCTGCTGCCCCGGCTCGGGCTGCGCGGAGTGCGACCCGGAGTGCCGCCACCCCCGCTGCCCCCGCTGCCGGCACCGCCCCGCCTCAGCCCGCTGCGCTTCTCCATGAGCGTGAGCAGTGTAGTCACGAAGTTGCGATAGCCCATGTAGGCGAAGGTAACGCCCACCATGCATACGCCACGCATGCCGCGTAGGTCGGAGCCCTGGGGGGGAGGGGTGGAAGGGATAGGGAATAAGGTGGGGAAGATGGCGGGAGGCGTGAAGGTGATAGGATGGGCAGGTGGGAGTGCGGCATGGGGCCGGGTGGCGGCGAGGGTAGTGGTCGGTATCGAGAGGCTTGGCAGGTGGGGGTTGGGGCCGTACACGGTACTTGCGCAGACTACCGCACAGGGAAGTTAGTATCCGCACCCCGCGTAGTCCCAGGTACCTAGTTAGGATACCGACATGCATGAGGACGTGACTCTTGCAACTGCCCTCCCGACGCATGCGTGCCCCCCAACGGAGCGCCACCGTCCCTTCCAAGCGCCCCCCCCCGCGGCCCTCCCCCCAGCCCCCTGCGCACCTGAGCCTCGTTCTCCAGCCAGCCCTCCCGACTGAGGAAGGCCGGGTAGGTGCGCCAGGCAACACCGGCGCCGATCGCAAACTGCAGCACCTGCGGACGGGCGTTGAGGGGAAACCGCACATGCGGAAGGACACGTGTGTCAACGGCACGCCGAAACACCTCGGGGGAGGGCTGGAGTGGCAGCTCGGTGTGCAGCTGAGGACCCAGCGCGGCAGAGCGGTGAAGAATACCGGTAGCGACGCAGCCTGCAACCCCCGCATGACTGCGTACCTCCCGTGCATTGGGATACGGTAAGCACAGCCCTTCGCAGCCCACCACCCGCCTCAACACTACAGCTGCTACCTCCTCCCCTGCCCTCCTCATCCCCACCCCACCCCAGCCCACCTGCAGCAGGAACAGTAGCGGGTAGAGCAGCAGCAGCTGTCCGCTGCTGCCGCTGCTCTCCCCAGCCACCACGTCCATGCGGCTGTTGCGACCCAGTGCGATGCGCGTGTACATGCGGCGGCGCTGGTAGCGGTTCTGAACAAACATGACAGCCGCCTGGAACACGCTCCACACCAGGAAGGAGCGGAAGAAGAAGTGCACGGCTGCGGGAGTGGGTGAGGAGGGGCAAGGGCGGGGCAGGTGGCGAGGGGGGCAAGAGCGGGGTAGGGTAAGGTCTAAGGTGATTGCATTGAGAAGTAGCCTTTATCATTTATACAGCACAGCAATCATGGTTCATGGCTCAGGATACCTTGCCCCCATCCCACCCACCCGGGCTTGTGACCGGCAGTCCTAGCATGCCCAGCGACGCGGCTGCCGACCAGTAGTGGTGCTGCATCCACCAGGCGCGGATGCGCGACCCGTTCACGTACAGCACGTTCTCGCGCAGCGCCATGGCGAGGTAAAAGTACGACAGCCACACCAGATACACCTGCACACCTGCGGGGGCGGGCGGGGGGGAGGCAATGACATGAGGTGAGGTGGGGTGAGGTGGGGTGGCGAGGTTGATGGAGCTGAGGACACAGACTTTACAGGGCCGCGGTTGATGGGGGGGTTGAGGAGGATGCGGTGGGGGTGAGCAGCAGGGCGACCGATCGTGCAACAGCAGCTGCAACAGCCCCCCTCCCCCCCCCCCGCGCTGCTGAGCGCTGCGCCCCCACCCCACCCGTCAGCAGCCATGGCGTGAGGCTGCCGGTCCCGAAGCTGGCGCCCTGCTGCCGGTCCGCCCAGCTCATGCCGGCCACCAGCGACAGCGGCCCCAGCAGCATGACGGCGGCGGAGGTGTCGCGGAAGCGGTGGTACTCCTCACGAATACCCTGGGGCGGGGGGAAGGGGGGGGGTGGGTGGTGGGGGGAAGCCAAGCAGGGAGGCAGGGAGGAGGGGCGGGGAATATGAAAGGGCGAAAGGCGCGCAGGCGGACGGCGAGAGGGAGAAGTTGAGAAGGGGAGGATGGGGCGGTAGTGGAGGGGTTGGTAAGCGGGGTTGGCGACCCTGCCCCCCTAAGCACCGTGGGCCTCCCGCAGCTTCCCCCCGGCCCTCCGCCAATGTCCCCCCCCCACCTGGCTGACGTCCCTCCTCAGCGCCACCAGGTTGATCTTGTCGCCCAGCAGCAGCCGGATCAGCCAGGGGTTGCGCGGCTTGCAGAACTTGCGACTGGGGGGGGGGGGGGCGGGAGAAGGGGCGAGGGAGGGAGGCATAGGGGGTTCAAAGGAATCCGGTCCTCCAGTCCTTAGCCCGGGGTGCTACCCCGGTCTGTCCTGGTGGTCCTCAGCCTCTGCCTGCAAGTGCTTACAGGTCGCCGCCGGGTCCAAGTCCCGTCACAACTTCACGCGCCTCCTTGAGTACGGCACCAACCGCCGCAGCCTCCGACCGGTCCGGGAGGGTGCGAACCTGTTTCTCGGCCGTCGCGATGGTCTGGAGCAGCGACTTGATCTGTTAGGGGAAGGGAACCGGCAAGGGGCAAGGGGCAAGGGACATGATGCCAACTGCGAAGGTGGACGGGACCCACGCACATAATGATTATCTCATATATTGTATGCAGGAAGAATCTATTTATCCCCCCCCCACAACGTCTGGTGCTAAAGTACCCGCAGACGGGGCCTCACCTCCACGGCGAGCGCATCGCTCTCGCCCACTATTCTATTGCAGTAAGTCAGAGCTCTGCTGCTTAGAGCACGACTGCATGCACGGAAACGAGGTAGCTTATTGGCGTCTGGCCTAACGAGCTGCTTCGACAGTAAAGCGGTTTACATCCGCAAGACAACGCTCACCACCGCGCTAAAACCTGATCTGCTTCAGCTGCAAGACCTTCTTTTTCCTGAACGAAGGAGTGGCCCGAAATTAGTCCGCTTTCTCTGGCTTTGAGGCTGCTTGCTCGACAACCGACCTCCATTGTGACCGCAATTCCCAGTCAAGGCTGATGGCGATCGATTAGGAAAAGGTAGTAGGCCCGTTGTTTAGGGTTGAACCACTTGATTAACGAAACACTTGAGAGGAATGTAGCCTTGCTACGCAACCTCCAAGCAACATTCGTACGCCACGTTGGACTGGAACCGAACTAGAGCCTTCGGGCTTATAGGAAGAGGGGAGCTTGGGGGAGAGAATTGAACTGAGCGATACTCTCCAGACAGACCGAAACCAGGGTCCGAAGGTCGTCTTGTAAGTCGTTGGTGAACTGCATCACCAAGAACCCAAACCAACCCACTCGTGGTCAACTACAATTGGAGCAAGCGAAAGCATAAAAGTAGACAGAGCGCCCCGTCTTCACTCGCGGTCAAGGTCAGCGCGCTGGGTTATAGCTGTCTGCCGTACAGTGTAAGCCCGCATACGTTATCAGCCCAAAAATCCCAAAAAGAGAAGAGCTTCAAGAAATACTAAGCCAGTCGTGTAGGGCCCCGGTTGGCAAGAAACACCACATGGCCTCACATGTGGCTCCGTTGTTACCGGTACCATTCATAGCACTTATTCATACAACATGATGACGCAAGTAAGGCCCACATCACCTCCATGCTCCATGCATGGCTCCACCCGTCCACCATACAGGTAGCCGTACACACCGATCGTGCATGCGGGTATGTGTAGCCCTAGATGATGTGCTAGAGTGGACGAATTCCCAATAGCCCAAGTCGTCCCGATACCGGTACTCAAACCCTATCCCGCATCGAAGTCTCTTCCATACTTGGCACTCGAAGAATAGCATGCTGTCAAAACAGCATCCCCCAGCAACCAGCACATATCTCACAAAGGGCTCTCTGTATCACCCTCCCTCAGAATTAAGATCCAATCAGCACTAGCAACTCTCCCATATAAAACCTGCTTTCCAACCGGTACTGCATGTTTGCACTGCACGTGTGTTTCTATCACTTAACATGCAACATATAAACAATTTGTTCCCCCGCCCACTCCATCTTACTGCTTGCGAAGCAGCAACAACTGGCCCATTCGAGCCCTGCGAACAACGACACCCAACTAATTGCTTGCGAGGCATTCACACGGCCCAGCACCCATGCGATTTCTTATGTACGATTGAACCCTTCCCATCCTCAGAGATCCAGCATGAAATGCAGGTCTTGGCCCGCATTCCAGTTTCCAATGTAATTCGTCGACCCCCCCCCAGGACCCCCAGGACTGCATCCGCTGCAATCAACCCTGGCTAATCTCGTCCTGACCCGCCGCCACCGGCCACTGCTTACCGGACCGCACCACCACGCCGGTCTCCACAGCTCACCGCCGCAGCACATGTTGACCGCCTGCCCCCCTACCTGGCACCCCGAGCAGCAGCAGCACACGTCGCAGCTACGTCCCCAACATCACCGCTCATCACATGCATCACCGGTGTGGTTCCGAACCGCCCTCTCCGACATCCTCCTCCTCCGCCGCCGCCGCCCTCGCTTCGCCGCCTTCCAGCCCTGCTGCTGCTGCTGCTGCCTGAGGAGGCGGTGGCGCAGCCGAATCCACAACCACAGTCACCGCCGGCGGCGGCGACGGCACTGCTGCCGTACTGCCCGCCGTACAGCCCCCCCAACCATGCCGACGCATGCTGACGTCCGCAGGGCCGCCGTACGGCAGCGGTGGCGGCGACATCACCCCCGCCGCCACCCCTCCAGTCCCCGCCGCCGCCGCTGCTGCCGCCGCCGCCACCACCCGGTGCGCTGCCAGCATTTCCTGCAGCCTCTGCACCACCTGGCTGGAGTGCAGCCGGTTGTGCGGGTGCTTCTGCAGGCAGCGGTGCGCCAGGCGGCGGAAGTCGGGGGGGCAGGCGGGCGGGAAGTCGGGGAAGTCGGGCTGGTAGCGCGGCTCGCCGGCGGGGGTGCGCGTGCCGGCGAGTCGGCCGTGGTAGAGCTCCCAAAGCATCACACCCAGGGAGAAGACGTCGGCGGCGTAGCCCAGCTGGCCCTGTGTGGGGAGGGAGGGGGAGGGGGGAAAAGAAGGATATCCAATGTGTGTGGTGTGGGGAAGTGAGGATGGGGGCATCGAGAGGTGATACCTGCGCACGCATGAGTCTGTAACCCGGCATGGCGGACATGACCGCATGACGGCATCGGCGGGCGCGGAAAAGAAGGGGCATCCTCATCAGGGTAACACGCAGACCAGCCAGCCAGCCTCCCTCCCTCCCCCACGCCCTCCCCCGCTCCCTCCCAGCAGCACCCACTCTGAAGCACGTCTCCGGGGCGATGTAGTACAGTGTGCCCAGCCGCAGGTTGGACAGGTGGGTCTTCTGGAGCGGCAGCATCACACTCAGACCGAAGCTGGGGGGGAGGGGAATGCAGGGAGGGCGGCGGTTGGTGGGGAACGGGAGGACTGCAGGGAAAGTGGCAAGGAATGGGGTGTTACGAAAGAGGCACGGGTCCCGAAGCCCTTCTGGTGGGTTCCGGTGTCCCCGCTATCGCATTGGATCCTGTGCAACAAGCAGCTACACCGCAGATACCCATTCTGTTTTCACAACATACGTGCAAACATTCTGTTTATTCACAACATACGTGCAATACACACTTGAGAAGTGTCCCCCAAGGCACCGCTTTGGCGCGCAGACGCAACCCCACACTCACTCGGCCATCTTGACTCGGAAGCCGAACGCGGACGTGGGGTCGCGTTTCAGCAGCACGTTGTTGGGGTTCAGATCTGCAGAGTGCCGCGCCAAGTGAGGAGAGGACCAGCACCACCCGTTGTGACAGACGGCCGACAGGTCCCCAGCGACGACGGGAAGGTGCGAGCACGACCATTCGGAAAACTCCGCATGCAGGCAGAATGCAGCAATCTCGCCATGTTGGCGTACATGGCCCAATCCCCTCTCTTCGCGCACCTCGTCACCACCCCCCGCCCCTCGGCCCCCCACCCGCCCCGCCCCACCACCCCACACACCTCCGTGTATGATGTTTTTGGAGTGCAGGTGAGCCAGCGCGTGAGCCAACTCCAGAGCCAGCTCACAGATGACGGGCTGGGGAATGAATGGCGGAATTGGATAAGTTGAGGGCGGGTTCAAGGGGGGAGGGGGGTGTACGAGAGACGGTTCACGGGACGCGCATGTTGACCGGCACAACGCCCGACACGATAACCGCGTGACACGTAGGGCCTAGGAGCATGTGAGACGTGACAGCAGATGCAACACGCGGCCCCGCGCGTCTCCTACCATGTTGGGCCCTGTGGGGGTCTGCAGGCAGCGGGACTGCACCAGCTTCCGCAGCGGGCCTCCGTCGCAGTACTCTGGGGGGTTGGGGGGGTGGGGGGGAGAGGGGGTAAATAGAACTTGAAAGAGGGAGGGATGAAAGGTGTGGGGCTGGCTCATGAACGGAGGGCCACGAGGGGTGCAGTGCACCCGATGGAGAGAAGGAAAACATAGCCCCGTTAGTAGCAGCTGTGAAATACACACACATACTGCACATCGCGGCCAGTTTTCTTAACATACTGCACATCGCGGCCAACAATCTTAAACCACGGCACATGTGGAAACACACCCGCCCAGCAACACCGCTCCACGCAGCGGCCAACCGAGTAGGAGCACACCGCGAGTACCCCCCCTTCCCCCCGCCCCCCTACCTTGCACGATGTACAGCCGCCAGTCCTGAAGGCAGACAGGCAGGCAGGCAGGCGGGGCAGGCGGGGCGGGCACACGCAACAGGGTCGCCGTCAGTACTGCGCCTCACTTGCCCAGCCACGTGCAACATGACTGGGCTTGCCATGTTCACGTCGAAAGTGCGCCAATACGGAGAAGATCAGGCCCCCCGTAGGGCGGCACAACGCCTCAAAACAACACCCCTGCCGCCCTCCGCCCTCCTCCTCCCCACCCCTCTCACCAGCAGGCTGGACAGGGTGGAGTCTCGCTCGCCCGCCGCCCCGCCGCCCGCCCCCACCCCGCCCGCCCCCAGCGCCCCCAGCGGCTGCACATCCACCGCGTAGGTGGCCACTATGTTGCGGTGGTTGATGCTCTGACACAGGGCGGCCTCCTGAGAGGGTGGAGGTGGAGGGAAGGGGGAGGGGGTGGGGGTGGTGGGGGAGGGTAGTGGGTCAGGAAGGAGGAGCCGGTACCGGTAGGCTCGGGAGCGAGTACTGCCGGGGGGGGGGAATTATATAAGTGAAACAACGAATCCCAATCCCATATCCCGACTCATGCAGTGAGCGCATTCCGGGGGGGGGGCAAGGAGTGACATGAAGGGCGGGGAAGGGGCGGGGCTGCTGAACCAGAGTAGGGGCGGGTCCGGAAACTCAGCAACAAGGTCAATAAGGGACACGGAAGCAAGTCATCCAGCCCTCCAGGAACCGCCCTCCAGCCTCTTCCCTCTCACTACTTCCACACAATCCTCCGCACGCGCCCAATGCCCCGACCCGCCAGCACCTCCCACACCCAATCCGCCCCCCTCCCCCCTCCCTCCGCCCCCTTCCCCACCTGCAGCGCCCTCCTCCTGTTCTCGCTGCTCGCACTGAACACCAGCGTCTTCACCGCCACCTCCAAACCCTGCCACTGGCCTGCAGGGGGGATGGGGGGGAGGGCGAAGGTGCCGGTCCATGGGGTTACGCTCCCTAAGGACCAAGCGAGCCACCCACCAACAAACGCCTCGTGACCACCCCTCGTGCCTCTTCCTCCTCCGCCTCCCGTGCACGACCTCCCCGCCCCGCTGCTCCCCCACCCACTCACCCTACCCCAACCCCACCCCCCCCACCTCGATACACGGTGCCGTACGCCCCCGACCCAACCACCGCCTGGATGTGCAGCTGCGTGTCGTTCACCCCCGCCAGCAGCCCCCGCCGCAGCGCCTCCAGCTCCGCCAACACATTACCACCGCCACCGCTACCGCCGCCAGCAACACTGCCAGTGCCTTCAACTCCAGCAGCACCAGCCGCACCGTCCGGGGCAGCCACCTCCACCAGCTGCTGCGGCGTGTGAGGTAGGCAGGCAGGCAGCAAGTGCGTGAGGGCGGAGGCGGGGTGAGCGATGCGGTGCGGTTTCCAGTTGCACGCATGTGGTGCCCCGCCGTGCAGGGGGTTACAGACACACACACAGTCGGTGGGAGGACTTCATCTTTCGGCAATCACAGTACGTTTCGCCTCGCGGCCAGTTATTTTAACACACACACCAGTTATTTTAACAAACACACCAGTTATTTTAACACGCACGAGGTATGCGGCTCAGTTGACTAGACACACACAGGGTGCAGGGTGCAGAATTGGTTGGGCACACATGGTAAAGGAGTAATTGGGCACAATGCTGCGCCATTCCTAACAAGCAGCTCCCGGTGTGTAGGGTGTCAGGTGAAGGCGTCACTTCACACCCACCTGCTGACCGCCATTGCCTTCATCACACCGCCCAGCTCCCCCCTCACCTCCTCTCCCTGGCGCTCTTCCTGCATGCCGTCGTCTTCTTTGGTCCCCTGCTCCCCCTCCGCAACGCCTTCCTCCGCCTCCACGTCACCGCCCCGAGACCCCGCCACCCGGCGAGCAGCATCCACAACCGCAACCCGAACCGCCTGGTGACCAGCCGCAGCCGCAGCAGCCGCGACAGCGCTGCCACGGTCGGTGGTCCCCCTCCCCGCCGCCACCCCTGCACAGCTGCTCCCCCGAGACCCCCATGCGCTACCCAAGCGTGCTATCGCTCCGGTAATGGTCGTCGTACGAGCGCGATACGGCTGCTGGTGCTGCTGCGCCTGCGCCTGCTGCCCCGAGGGTCCTGCCTCGCCACCACCACCACCTCCACCCCTGCTGCTCGGAGAGTTCCCGGTGGCACCTGCCGCCTGCTGCTGCCGCTGCCGCCTGACACCACCGCCTTCATCGCCCCCACCGCCAGCAGCACCACCAGCAGCAGCAGCAGCACCAGCCGCGGGGTGGGTGCTGATGTCCTGCATCAGGAGCTCGCGGTTGGTGGCGTCCGGGTGGGTGCTGGGGTCGTCCGCCACCGCCCCTGCAGCCGCCGCCTCCTCCTGGGTGTCGCCCTCCTCGGTCACGTAACCCAGCTGGGGGGTGGGGACGCATGTGGGGGGGTGGGGGTGCGTGTGTGTGAGCAGAACTGGCCCCCCCCGCCGAGTTGGGACTTGCTGCTGGTGTCGTGGGGACTGAGGGAACGCGGCGTGCGGGTGTGGGTGTGGTGTGGTGTTGAGTCAACGATGGTGGAAGGTGGAAGGTTGAGCAGGAGGCCCCACCCCCCACTCCCCTACTACATGCCCTACCACCCTGCCGCCCCCTGCCCCCCGGGCAATCCACCCCACCGGCATGGGCACGAGCTGCCAGTCCGGCTCCTCGCCCTCCAGCCCGCTGAACATGACGCCGTGCGCGTTGGGGCCGGCGCCCAGAGCCTCCTTCAGACGCCGCATCTGGGTTGAAAGGGGGGGTGTTGGGAGGTGGGAGGGGAAAGGGGCGGGTGGAGGCATGGTGGGTTCCGATGCCGCTGCTTCCCCTTGTCCTTGTCCGCTCGACTCCCGGGCGCGTGTGTGCATACCCCTCAAGCCTCCTCAATCTCCGGCACCTAGGTCCTCTGTCCCGCCCCTCACCTCTGCCCGCCCTTCCGCCCCATCCCTCCGCCCCATCCCTCTGCGCTCCCCGCCCCGCCTCCCTCCCCCGCCCGCTCACCCTCCTGGCCCTGCGCTGCTGGTAGGTGCGGTGGTGGCGGCGGAGGTAGAGGAACAGGCCCACTGCCACCAGCAGCACCGTCAGGGAGGCAACGATCTGGGGTGGGCGGAGGGGGGGGGCGGTTAGGAGAGAGGAGCGGGAGGGTTTGCGAAGGGCGGGGATCACCTTATGGCAAAGGCAGGGCTTGGCGGTGAAAGGCGAGGCAAGTTGTAGGTGGACAATGAGCCTTGAGTTAGGGTTAAAGGAGTTAGGGTTTAGGGTTACGGGTGCGGAAGGGGATGGTCAAGGATCAAAGAGCGCCCCAGCTGAGCACTGCTGGTGTGCCCACCGCCCATTCCCTCACCCACCTTCACTATGTTGCTGTCCGACCGTTTGGTGTTGATGGTGACCGTTGCGAGATCCAACTGCCGCAGCACATGCACCACGCAGGCCTCCGCGCTCAGCCCCTCCTGCTCCATGCAATCCGTGGGAACCCGTACGTCAACGGAATGTACGGATTCGGTTAGGAGGATGTCGTACTGTCCGAGATCCTGGCCGGGGGCGAGGAAGGGGGACACCACGGGCCCCAGCTGTGTGGCGACATCGGCCATGTAGGCCTGAAGGGAGGGAATGGGAAGCCAGCGTAGGCAATGAGTTAGTTAAGGTGTAAGGACCCTGAGGAGTGCTGTACAGTTAATTTTCGTGCTTAATAGCATGTTTTGTTAGCTAATGCATCTCCATGAGCAAAGAAATAACGTACTCTTGCCCCATTCCGCCGCGCCATAACTCACCACTCCTTGAGTGCATGCCTGGGCAAAGCCATTGGAAGATGCATTGTAGCAAAACACAGGCAGGTAGAAGGCTGTTTGGTTTGTGGCTGTAGGCTCCTTCTCGTCAGCAAGTCGAGGCCAGACAAGCATTTCCTTTAAGTTCGTTACTGCGTCCAAACCCACTCGTCTCCGTTGTACGACATGGTCAAACACGACATGTGCTCCCGGGGAGGCACCCAGCATAAGCATTGCGGGACCGGTCTCAACAACATAGTTAAGCAACTCCAGCCAGCGGAAAGTAAGCTGGGTGCCGGGGTGCAGATAGACCCGCGAGCCAAGGTTTGCAAGGTCGAGGGTGATGTACATGCCGATCGCTTGGAAAGTGGGGTGAGCGGCGATAATGACGTCACGGGTTACGTTCAGAGGTGCGACCCATTCCGTGTCGTCTAGCTTTACTGTCTGGGTAAGGTAGATGGAGGTGACAACGCTTGTGCCCAAGGCTGAGTACAGTTCGCGGCTTGTGCTGACTACAGCCGTGTCGGTTAACGCGCCACCCAGCCATGCCCCCGGCAGCAGCAGGAGTGCGATGCTCAAGAACGGCGTCGCAGTGAAGCATGCCCCGCCACGGCTATTTCTCCTGGCATGCAGACGCCCCATCGCAATGTCTGGGTGTACATTTGTCCTCCGCTGGCGCATGCAAGAAATTACATGACAGTCACGTTTTATGGTATGTCACAAGCGTCTCGTCTAGCATACTGCAAGCGCAACAAGCGCATACTACAAGCATGTACTACCGTTCCTTGGATATGCAAGTGTCATGGTTACATGGTTAGCAGACACCGGTCTGAATGCGTGTAGGGGCTGTAAAGTATATCATCTCGAGCTCAGCGCGCTTGGTGTGAATTCTGTGAAATCTCAGGTTAGCGTCGTACAGCTTGTGAAAGCGAACCTGGAAAGACGGAAGCGACCTACGTTACCTCTTACCAGCAGCGTATGATCTGTCGTTGTGGTCTACTGTTCAGGCCCAGTTTCATTACTCGGCCTCTGCGACCAAAGGTCCCTACCTCACTAGTGTTATCGCGTTTTCTTAATTCAAACACAATGTCGGGCCGCGCCAAACGTGCACCGAAGCGTTCCCGCAAGTATGAAGATGAGGAAGCGGAGCTGGATGATGAGGAGTTGAGCGAGGAGGAGGTCCCGGTTGAGGACAGCGAGGAGGAGGAGAAGCCAAAAAAGAAGCGTGCACCTCCGCGTCCTAAGAAACAAGCCACCGCGTTTACGGATGATAGTGGCTGGTCATTTGAGCCACCCTCGCTGCTCTACAAGTAAGCGGGTTCCATGGCGATCTGTTCATTTTGCGCTTCTTGGTAGGCCTTGGCCTAAATTTTCTGCTCCATGTCAATTATAGGGAGTATAAGAGCCCAAAGCCAAACACCAAGATTGCTGCGGTGGACCTGGTACGCGCAAGCGCAAGCGTTGTCTGTTGTCGAACTGTGTCGCGTGTCGTGTCGGTTCGCCTCCCTTTGACTTTGCTTAATGACGCTTAGACCAAGCCTTGCCATCTCCATCAATAAGTGCTTTGATTGTTGCAATCTGGCCTTTACGAACTCCAAGTGCTTCAGACGTGCACCAAAGCATGATACCGGTACTTGCCCAAGCGCCAAGCCACCCCCGGTCCCCACGTATTTATCATCTCCCTAGCTCCTCTGCTCCATCGTACGCCGCAGCGCACTCAGCACAACTGTTGTGTTCGTCCTCTGTGCTGCTAAAGACGCCGCCCACCCCTCGTTCCGTGTGGAACTGCCATGCGCCTGCCTCCACCACCCAACCCAACCTCCCGCCTCCGGCCCGCCCCCCCGGCTCAGGACGGTACCATGGTCAACACCAAGAGCGGGGCGCAGTTCCCGCGCGATGAGAACGACTTCAAGTGGTTCAACAAGCACACCGCCAACAAGGTTAGGAGCTACCACGAGGACGGCTACAAGGTCGTCATCTTCACGTGAGTACGGCATGATGTCGGGAGCAGCAGTACAGGGATCGCGTGGCAGGGGGGGCTGGTGGCGGGTGGGGCCAGGTGGCGGGTGGGAAGGAGGGAGGAATCGGTTCTGGCTTCTGGGGAGAACTTGGGGTTGGCAGCTGCAGGGAGGTACAGCTGCTGCCAAACCCAAGAGGTACTGCTCAGAGCCTAGAAGCACCTGTTGTGGCGTGACAGTGCACAGGGCTGAGGCGCAAAGTACGACAATCCCCTTGCTTTGTCCCCTCCTGCTCCTCCTCCTCCCCCACCACAGCAACCAGGGGGGCATCAAGAGCGCAGTGACGGGCAAGATGGCGGAGAAGGTGAAGGGACGCATCGACGCGGTCGTGGGGGAGGTGAGCAGCCGCGAGGGGAGGGAGGCGGAGGACGGTTGGGGAGCCGTGTTGGTATATTCACCAGGAGGGGAGGGAGGGAGGTGCATCGGTCCTAGCGTTGCTCTTCCGGCCGACTTTAGAGAGGGATGGGCGGGCCGATGCAGGGGAATGACGGGACAAAGACCGCATCTCATTTGGCCGCCCCTCCCAGAGCAAGCTGCTTGTGCGGTATGTTGTATGTGTTAAGAAAACTGGCCGCGCCACGCTCACCAGCCCCACGGCTCATGTCGTGCGCAAAACTACCATGCAAACCCACCATGCAAGATAATACAGGATTCGGCCGTGCTCCCGTGCCTGCGTGTCTTGCTGCTGTTGCTGCCGCTGCAGCTGGACATCCCGGTTCAGGTGTTCGCGGCCACGCTGGACGACCACAACCGCAAGCCCTCCACCGGCATGTGGGACTTCTTCTGCCGCACCTGCAACGGGGGCGTGCAGCCGGGTGGGTGGGTGGGAGAGGGGAGGAGAGACTGTGTGGATGGGTGGGGTGGGGGTCACTCCTCGAGACTACCGCTACCCCCCGCTGAAGGGGCACCTGCACCTACCTCAATGCCGCCCCCCAACCCCACGGGTCGGGCTGGCTGGCATGTTGCAAACCATGATGACGCCATACCACACGGTCAGTTAGTTGTTTCCTCTATACCCACCCTGTCGCTCTCCCCGCACCTGCCTCTCCCAGACCCCGCCAGCAGCTTCTATGTGGGCGATGCGGCGGGGCGGCCGGGCGACTTCGCGGACAGCGACAAGGGCTTTGCGGAGGCGGTGGGGCTGGAGTTCAGGCTGCCGGAGGACGAGTTCGGGTGCGGGGGGGGGCGGGGGGCGGGGTGTGGGTGCCGTGGTGGCTTGGGTGGTATGTGGAAGGGTGGTCAGTCTAGCCAGCAAGGCAATGTGCTGGATGGGTGCGGCACTACTGGGACGGCTCTTGTAGCGTGTGTGATGTGTGCGTGGGTGGTGGCCTCCACCACCACCAGCACCTGCACATGCCGGCATGAGCGCCACATGGGTGGTTACGAGCAATTCCTGTGCCCCCCCCACCCGCGCAGCCCCATGGAGGGGAAGAAGGCGCTGCCTCCCATGAAGAAGGCCGCCAAGGGGGAGGAGGGGGAGCAGGTGAGGATAGGGCAGGGGCTGGGCGGGAGCGAGGTACCATGGAGTGCATCATGGAGTGCGAGTGCGGCCACAACTTCCAATTGCCCATCCTCACAGCTCTTGACCAGCCATGAGTCAACATCAGCCACTGATCTGGGTCAGTACAAAGACATGCTTCGTGTGTAATGTAGTAAGGGGCCTTCCTCTTACAAAGCGGTGGTGTTGTGTACTGTTCTGCCCTGCCCCCAGTTTACCTAAGCCCCCCTCCCCGGTGTGTGGTCCCCCCACTGCAGGCGGCAGTTGCCAACCCGGACAACGCGGCGCTGGTGGGGATGTTCAACCAGCTGACTGACAAGTTCTTCGAGGACGCCAAGATAGGTGCGAGGGCTGTGACATGTGGGCGGTTCTGAGATGAGGAGGAGATGGGGAGAGGGCAAGAGCGCTTTGACGGTGCTCAGCTGTGCCACACTGGCGCAGGTGTGCTGCTGCTGGTGTCAGCTATCATTAATGGCTAGTGGCTTAGCCCTCTTTAGGTCCTTCGTTCACCTGTCTGGGTGGCTGCGTGCATGCAGATGGGAAGGCCAAGTTCAAGGCGGTTGCGAGCAAGAAGGTGGCGACCGTGCTAGCCAGCTACCCTGCAAAGGTAAGTGCGAGTTAGGGGCCTACAACGTGATAGTCAGGATAAACATTTATGCAAGACGAGGGACGGCGTGGTGGAGGGCGTCAAGCGAAAGGTTATTTATGCACTCTTACCGTTTGATTTGTGGCGCAGGTGACGTTGAACAACCTGAAGGAGGTCGGCAAGCTGCAGGGCGTCGGCAAGGGCTCCATCGCAAAGGTGGGCACATGGGCATGCCATATTGTTCCCGACCCTGTAAGGCCCTAGCCAGCTGTAAGTAAATTATTTTTAACGCATTTCCTTCTTACAATGTGTACAGATCCAGGAGTTCTTGCAAACGGGCACAGTTGCGGAGCTGGAGGGCATTGACGACCTCGCCGGCGTTGGCAAGGCCGCGCCGCAGATGAAGGACGCTGGCAGGGACATGGCCAACAAGTTCATGTAGCTTTCAAGCATGACTTCTTGTAACGCGGCGATACAGACTGCACTTGAGGAGTTGGGTCGTAACGGCTGCTGGTAAGGGCGAGTCCCAGTCTAAAGTTGTTAATGGCTTCTATACTATATGTTGAATTGTATAGTGTGTGTGCTGGGCATATTGCTAAAAGGTTGATTGGAATGATTGCAGCTTGAATGCTAACCGTTTGGTTAGGGCTAAATTTGACTTCTGAATTATGCACCTTTAACCGAAGGTTTGCAATTGTAGGCAGCGTGTTTGCCTATGACTTCAGTAAAACTTCACTGCTGGTTGCCCATTGTTGAGATACGCATCATTTGGTTGTTCGGTTCTGAACCGGTGAATGCAAGTGGAACAGGGAATCTTACCCTCGCACATTCGTTTATTCCGCGACTGCAAAAGGACGGTTTGTAGCTATGCACAGGATAGTTAATGTCACGCGGCGACCTGCCGAACAACGTTCGTTCCTTGCCGCCCGTCCATCCTTGAGAAGTTGGACCGTGCTGACTGTTGGCACAGCCGGGCGCCAACCAGTTATTTGCAGCGACATGTTTGGACTTCGCCTGGGAACCTCAACAGCGTTACAAGGCTCGGCGAGGCGTTTTTCAATTGCAGCGGTGGTGGGTGTCGCTGTTGTTCGCAGAATTGCATACTTGAAACGCTCGTTGCAATTGCCGAGAATGCGACATGTCCACCAAGCTGCAACGCTTACATTGTAATCAATATACTCTGTTGATTTGCTTGCGTCCCGCGGCCCCGCGATGGCTGACAACAGGACCCTGCCACGCACCGGAGCGCTCTGCATGCAGTCTCTGCGGTATCGCAAAGTGCAGTCAAGCATCTCTGGCTACTGCCCAAGGCGGCGGTATCCTCCCAGTTAGCACCTGCGCTTCAGAATGTCTCACCGCAACACCCCAGCCCGGACTCCAGCCCTGATCTACCGGGCCCTCCATCCAATGCGCCTAGCGCACCGGCACTTCCCACTCCGCCGGCCCTTTTATGGTCAGCCGCGGGCGGTTCCCTTCCCAGCCTGAACACGGCTATGTCTGCGTCATACAATTTCCTGAACTCCTTCGTTGCCCCCTTCAAGGCTAATAACAATAACATGGAAACCGGCAGCAGCGGCAGGGACGCCAACTCACCCCACACCCGCAGCAGCTCCCGAAGCTCCCAGTGCGAACCCAACACGCGCGACTCGCCCCACACCGACACCCACAGCAACCTGGCTCCCGAGATGTCCTCACAAGACGGCCTCCAGGAGCGCCGCCACTCCTCCTCCGCCAGCAGCACATCCGGCCGCCCCGTCAGCTCCCTCCACCACCACCATCAACCCCACCACCGCAAGCAGCGCCACGCCCCCTCCCAACACGCCTCCTCCCGCAACCGCACTCCCCAACCTCACCACAACCACGGCCACCACCAGCAACAACAGCAGCGACACCGCCAGCCCCACCCACCCACCCCGCAGCAGCCCCAGCACCGCCCACACCCCCAACCCCACCACCCCACCCTGCGCCTCATCGCCTCCCGCCTTCGCTCCCGCAGCCAACCAGGCAGCCGCAGCGACGGCGCGCGGCTGGGTCTGGTGGTTGAAGGCGGTGGCATGCGCGGCTGCATCAGCGGCGCCATGCTGATGGGGCTGCACGACCTGGGCCTCACGCACGTGTTCGATGCGGTGTACGGCGCCTCCGCTGGCGCCATCAACGCCACCTACTTCCTGTCGGGTCAGCGACACGGGCTGCGCATCTACCACGAGGACCTCACGCGGGGCAGCGCCTTCCTGGACTTCAGGTGGGTTGTGGCAGGTTGTGGGTTGCGTTGGGTTTGTGGGTGGCATTGGGCATTTGGTGGCGCCCCGCTGGAGGCACACCCTCGCTTGTCGTTGTCCGCCCACCACCCCTCGTCTACCCCACAACCCACACCGCGCTCCCCCTCCCCTCTCCTCTCCTCGGTTCCATTCACCCGGAGCTTGTCGTCTGGTTTGCACTCTCATTCAACACATTGGGAATTCTTCTTTGGCCCCCCCCCCGCCTCTCCCCCCCAGGAACCTCTTCTCCGGCTCCTCCCGCCCCGTCATGAACATCGACTTCCTGATAGAGGAGGTCATGGCCGCCTCCAAGCCGCTAGACTGGGATGCCGTACTCGCCTCGCCCGCCCCCCTCAAGGTCGTCGCGTCCTGCCTAGACTCGCTGCAGCCCGCCGTGTTGTCGGACTTCAGCGACCGACAGGAGCTGGCAGCCGCGCTCAAAGCCACCGCCGCCGTGCCGCACTTCGCGGGCCCCCCGCGGGTGCTGCGCGGACGCAACCTGGTGGATGCCGCCGTGTTCGAGCCGGTGCCGGTGCCCTCAGCCATCCGCGACGGCTGCACGCACCTGCTGGTGCTGTGCACGCGGCCGCCGCCGGTGCGGAGCGCCTGGGCTAAGCGCATGCAGCACACAATTGAGGTGGGGGGGGGAGTGGGTCGGGGGCGGCGCTGGTGGGAAACACTCCGGTATCTTACATGTCCCCTGCACCCCCTCTGCTAACTGTTTGTGACGTACTGACGTTTCCGGTGCCGGTGCCCCCCCTTCTGCACAGGCGCTGGCCAAGACCACCGTCCTCAACGCGCCCTACATGCGGGAAGCCTGGCGCACCGCCAGCTCGCCCGCCTACGCCAGCCAGGACGAGGACCTGGCAGCCGCGCTCAGCGCCTGCCCGTACGAGTACCGCCGTACGGCGGGGGCGTACGTACTGCCGCTGTACCCGGAGCACACGGCGGGGTGCCACCCGCTGTGTTTGGACCCGGCTACGCTGCTGGCGGCGTGTGAGGTAGGCCGCAGCGCGCTGCTGCGGCTGCTGGGGCCGGTTGTGGAGGGGGTGGTGGAGGGGGGTGACGGCAGTGAAGTGGGGGTAGGAGGGGAAGGTTCAGGAGGGCAGGAGGGAGAGTCGCCGCGTGGTGTGTTTGGGGACGTGGGGATCTACTCTTCGGACATGGATTTGCAGTTCCGGCCCTAGGGCAAGAGGAGGAGAGGGAAGGGCAGGTGCAGTGAGTGAGGGATGGAGGGGGGGCCTTAGCTGCAGGTTGGAGAGTCCCCAGCCGTGTGCTTTCGATGGGACACATGGTGGGAGTCAGGCTCTATGGCGGTGTAAGCGTGTTTGTACCGGTATGTAAACGAGCGTTGTACTTTATACGGCCGCAGTGTACAGGTTTGCGGTTGTGTGGCTGCGGAAAGCCGGATGAATGGGCAGCAGCCACGCCAGGATATGGATGGGCACCAAACGAGGCTGCGCCGTTGATGTGGACAATGGCGCAATATGTTTGTTGGCACGGCACTGTGATTCTGTATACTATACTCATTCTCCTGTAGCTTTACGTGCTCAGCTGTGTATGTTGTTCGCATTTCAGCTGCTGTGGCCAGTGGTTAAGGCGTAAATCCACGTAAGTGTACGATTGGGCAAGCAAGCGAGCAGTACGGCATTTGCCGAGGGTTTCTGCTCATTGCCCACAAGCGAGGTCGTGAAGGACGCGGCAAGCTATATAACGCTGCTGTCGACACCGGGCGGTTAGTCAGGTTCAGGACGGATTGCGGGAATTCGGTTGAGCGGTTGGGGTCGCTTTGCGAACGCGGCTGCGTCATGGCCTTTGGTCTAAGCGCATTACCATTACACTCTCTTTATATGTTACCTTGGGTATGAGGCCTTCCCAGCCGAGCCAACCAATTGTCCACTAGAAGCTGTTGATGACAGCCAGAAGGGGCTGCAGTCAAACAATGTTAACTAATGCTACCGGTATCTAGCCAAGAATAGCGCCCAGACGTCGGACCAGAAGCATGTACGGAATCTAGATCAATCTAGATCTAGATGTACGGACCATGGCAAGGAAACAGCATACCGGTATAGTCACGACGTTCACTAGGTGAAGCAGGATGGGCTATGGCCCTGACACAAGAGTGAAAGAAGGAAGAATGGTATTGGTGCGGAGCGCAGCCACGGAAACGGCACATGTGGGGTAGAGGGTAACACCCGCCCACCGCCAATCCTACTGCATCTTGCAAGCTAACACTCGTTGGCCTGCGGTCTCACGCACATACGTCATAAGCAAATACCTCTTCGCCAACTGCACCCCTGACACGGCAGGCTTATGGCAGGACGCCATGACTAATTTCAGGACGCAGGTCTTAAGAGAACACGCCCGACTAGGGTAAAGCCTACACTCCTCTTTACGTCAGCTACAGAGCTACTGCCATCTGCGCACTCACCACTACTGGTCGCACCTACATGCACCGCTGATTCTCGCCCTCGTCCACTGTTCAGCCCCTATCTAACCATTGAGCATGGCCCTACACAAGCCGCATGCATACCAGTTGCCCAGCTGCGATTCGCCATCGGCGCAAAACCTCTCGTGCACTTTCCTACACTCTTACCAGTCTCTTGTCCAGCAACATTGGTTGGATCACATGGCATGCATTTAAACACTGCAACGTTGGCACACGGCCCTGGGTCAAACCTGGGTCATACAGCTATAGACACAGAACCAGACCAGGCCGCTCGGCCGCCGCCGCCACCAACGCCTTGGCGGTAGCCGCCTCAATGTTGTTGCCGGACAGGACCAGCCGTCGCAGGGAGCCGCTGCCGCCGGCCGTGAGGGGCCGGTTGCTGGCATCACCCGACAGGGATGTGGCGGAGGAGCAGGAGCGGGGCCGGGTGGCGCCCGCAGCCCGGATGGCTCCCGCGAAGCAGGCGGCGGCGGCGCCGGTAATGCCACAGTTTGCAAGGTTGAGGTCCTCGAGGGTCCTGCGGGTTGCGAGGAGGCGGTGGTGCGAAAAGCTGGGGCTCCTAGAACAGGATAGCATGGAATCGGGGCATGTCCCCACCTGGAAACACCTGGAAACGGAAAACGCAGCAGAGCAGCGTATTGCAAAACCCCGGGCCCACCCACCTGTTGACCCGCAGCGCCTGTGCCATGGCCTCCGCACCCGCCACCCCCAGCCCCTCCAAGCGCTGCCCCGACATGTCCAGTCGCAGCAGGGTGGCGTTGGCGCCCTCCAGGCAGCGAGCTAGGCTGCGAGCGCCGGCTGCACGGATGCCGTTCCTGAGTGGGGATTGAGAGGAACGAATGCGAGACCAGGCGATGTTGGTCATCATGGGGCCCAAGGGTGGGCGCACGCCATGGCTGCACCAGGAAGGCACGTGGCGCTGGGCAACTATACCACTCATGCTGCCTTCATCCGTGCATCCTTGCACGCAGCCAACCTCTAATCCCCCCGCCACTGGGCCACCCTCTCCGCCCGCAGTACCTGCTGAGGTACAGCTCCCGCAGGCCGGTGTTGCCCGACAGCCCCAGCGCCAGCAGCGCCGCACCGCCGTCGCCCAGCTTGTTGCCGTCCAGCCGCAGCCGGCGCAGCTGCGGACACGTCAGCAGCACCGTCATGATCAGTACCACATGGTGCGACTCCAGCGCCTCCGAGGAGAGGTCGCACTCCACCGCGGTGGAGGTCTCAGCGGGTGGGGCGCTGATGGCGCCGCTGGCGTCCAGGGAAGCAGATCCGGAGGGAGCAGGCTGGGCTGTTGGCTCTAGCCGGGACAGCAGGAGCATGTCATGGTACCAGCCGTCCAACCGCTCATTGCCGCTGTAGAGGAGGAGCATACCCTGCGGACATCATGGATACAGAGGAGGACAAGGATAGCAGTAGGCTTCCTGTAAGCACCAAGACGTCCGCCGTGGTGGGAGACCAATCGCGCTTACCGCCCCGATCATTGTACATGGCAGCTTCACAACCAGCGCCTGCGCCACCCGCCTTACCTGCGCCCCCGAGGTCTCGTCCTTGCGCGGCGTCGCCGCCTCCTCCAGCTCGTCCCCTCCCGCCGCCAGCTCCACCAGACCAGCCGCCAGCAGGTCGCGCAGCATGGCGGCCGCCTCCACGTCAAACAGGTTGGTGGCCAGCTGCACGCTGTCGTACACCGGGAACCATTGTAACGGTCAATACTGGTATACCATTCAGAAATGGTCATGGGAATCAAGCGGCGGGTGGCGGATGACGGAAGGAAAGCAATGCGTCACAGTGTGAGCGGCCAAGGCAACCGGCTATGCAGCCAGAGTGTTGCACGGGAAGAGCAGCGGAGACGTGTCCAGCGGCTTCAGCGAGGGGCGTACCTTCGCAGCATGCCGCTCGCCAGGCCGCCTCCACCTCCCAGCGCCAGGAAGGGCAGCGCAGTGCCGTTGCCCAGTTCGCCCCACGTCCAGCCGCACAGCTGCAGCGTTTGCAGGCTGTTGTTGAGGCCGATGGCGGCGGCCAGGCAGCAGATGCGCAGGCCGGCCTGCAAGACGCATACCGGTAACGCACATGCCGGATGCGTTACAGGGAGCTCAGCAAGCACATGGCTGGCCCAGCTCAACACTGCGTGTGCTACAGCACAAGAACCCCGCCCTCTACCCGCACCCCCCCACACACACCTTCTCCCACGTGACCTCCCGCGAGGTGTCCATGTCCAGAGACAGGTGCCGCAGCCGCGAGGAGTCCATGATGCCGGCTGTCAGGGCGCCCAGCAGCGGCAGGGGCGACTCGCAGACCTTGAGTCGCAGCTGCTGCTCGCTGGTGACCGCGCCGTAGCTGTCAACATGGTCCGCATCCTGGAGCAGGCGAGGGGGGAGCCAGGGTGCGCTGTCAGGGCGGTTATTGGACGTGCATAAGGGCAGAGGAACCCATGCTTGGCATAGTTCCTTTCAGGAAGGTCTCGTGTATTATCGTGTATTATCTGCAGGTGCGTTGTGAATAGCCCTGTCCATGCCATACCATGCTGCCCCTCACCTGCCCATCCCGGAGGCGCCCGCCGCTCGCCGCATGCACTGACTGTCCCTTATTCGCCATGCGCGCAATGGCCGTCAACAACATGATCTTCCTACGCAGATCGGCGGCCGCCTCATCGTACGCCACACGCAGCCGTCGTGCCTCCGCCTCTGCTTGGTCAGCCGCCTTACGCGCCTCACGAGCCGCCGCACCGCTGGCCTCCGCCTGAGCGCGCGATGTAGCCTCGGCCTCGCGCATGACCGCCAGCTGCTCTCGCACCCCGGCGGCCTCTGCCTCTAGCGCATGCAGCTTGTCCAGGGCGGCGGAGTGGTCCTTGGCCATGCTAGCGAGCTGCTTGGCGGTGGAGATGACGCTCTGCAGGGCGGCCCCGGTTGGGTGAGGGGAAGTGGGTCAGTGCGAGAAGGCGGCCACACGTGCGCTTTAGCATGCAGTACCAAACATGGTAAGTAGTGCTCGGCCCCTTCCACGCATTGGTGTTCAAACATTTCGCCTATGAAGCAGCCTCGCTTTTTGCATAACGGTATTGTTGGGAGAAGGAGCTTGCATCGGTAACCCCCGTAACCCGTCCACGCACCTGCTTCGTGGTGAGGTACTGCTTGTTAGCCTCCGCCAGCCGCGTCTCATTGCCCTGCAGCTCCTCCAGCGCCTTGTTCAGCCGCTCGCGGGTAGCGCTGTGCGATGCGCGGCTCTCCTGCAGGACGCCAAACATAGACGACAAGCCGGACATGTCATAGCCCAATCGTGAGCATGTCTGGTATCCAGAACATCACAGAACCCGTAACCCCATAACGCAGCAACTGAACCTTGCCCCTACAAGCCCCTCTGCCGTAACCGACTCCCTGCAGCCCCTGCCCCAGGCACCCACCTGCAGCAGGGTCTGCGTATCGCTGAGCTCCTGCGCGCTGGCTGTCAGCTGCTGTTGGCAGACCGCTAGGTCCCGCCGCGCGACCTCCAGCTGCTCCGTGGCGGCCTCCAGCGCTTCCTTGGTGGTACGTCTCGACTCCTGCACGTCCCGGAGCTGAGGACAGGCGGGCACAAAGCAGGGCGGTATGTCTATACACCGTAGTTTGTTGCGGACTTCACCTCATACAAATGGGAAGGGCATGAACTGCTGACCGCCAACCCACAGCCCCTTGCCAATACACCCGGCTGCATGCCTGCCACGCTTATCCCGCCCCAACCTTACCTCCGCTGCCATTGTATCATACAGCTGCTTGTGGTGGGACGCCAGACTCTGCAGCTGCTGCAGCTCGCTGCGCGCCGTCTCTAGCTCCGCGTCCCGCGCCCCCAAGGCCAAGCTTGCTGCCTCAAGGGCGGAAGTCCGATCTGCAACCTGAGCGTGAAGAAAACCCACATGGCAAGAAGTGGCAGCGGCTTTGCTTTGCAGAAGCGCAAAGCCCGATGATTTAGGGCCAGTCATGATCCATTGAGCAACACATGTGGCGCAGAGGAAGAGAGAACTGTGGGGCGGGAAAGCAGGACCTTTGGAACCCCCGATGTTACCTGCTCTTGCAACATGGTAGCCCTAGCCGTGGCCTCCTGCGTGCATAAGTACACGATGTATAAGCAGTGACGCATTGCTGCTGTTACGGCAAACAGAGAATCACAGCACCCCAACCCAGGCTGCCAGCACCTACCTGCGCTTGAGCATCTACCTCCGCAAGCTGGGCTTGCAGTGAGCGAGCCTCTGCCGCCATCTCCTCCAAGCGGCTATTGGTCCCCTCGAGCTCCGCCGTCTGCTTCGCAAGCTGCGAACGGGCGCAAAGAAGGACTATCAGGAAGGGAGGACGGCTCGGCTATACGCCGTAGTTCAGTGCTGTCGTGAACTTACGACAAGGGTGAAGTAGACGTCAATCGGTAAATAACAGCCTCAAACTAACGCACACCATGCTGCATGCCTGCCACGGTTATCCCACCCCAACCTTACCTCCGCTGCCACTGTCTCATACAGCTCCTTGTGGTTGCACGCCAGGCTCTGCAGCTGCTGCAGCTCGCTGCGCGCCGTCTCTAGCTCCGCGTCCCGCGCCCCCAAGGCCGACCTTGCTGCTTCAAGGGCGGAAGTCCGAGCTGCAACCTGAGCGTGATTCATTAGGGGCCGAGAGCAGGGTCGGTCATGACGCTCATGACCCAATATAGCCCTTAGCCCTTAATGCTTTGGTCATGAGGCTCATGACCCAATATATAGCCCCTCTACCGCTAATACCTGCTCCTGCAGCGTGGTAGCCTTCGCAGTGGCCTCCTGCGTGCATGGATTCACGGTTTTCAAGCAGTGAAACACTGACGTTGTGACGGCAAACAAGGACATGTCGGTAGCGCCCCAACCGGGGCTGCCAGCACCTACTTGTGCTTGGGCCTCTGATGCCGCAAGCCGGGCTTGCAGCGAGCGAGCCTCTGCCTCCATTTCGACCAAGCGGCCGTTTGCCGCCTCCAGCTCCTCCGCCTGCTTCGCAAGCTGCGAACAAGCACAACAAAAGGCGTAGCTCATTAGCAGTAAGGGGCATGGCTAATGTGGCTGCCCCGTCAGTTGTCAGCGATGGCAACATAGCGCAGGGATCCCCGACAGGCCGCCGAACCCACCTGGCCAGAGTCAGCTGTCCATTGCTTCTTAGAGGCGCTGAGCTCGTCGAGGGCCGCCTCCAGCTGCTGCTGCATCTCCTGGTTCATGCCTGCAGCACCAAGACCGAGAACACAAGAACAAGGTTCGGACGCAGCACAGAACAAGGACCGTGCACGTCTGCAGACACGTGCATGAATTAGGGTTCACCGGGTTTTATCCTCGGCAGCTTGCAGCGTCATCCATCCCCCAATCCCCACACACACACCACCAACGGCCACACACCAACGCTGGAACCACCACATACCCGTCAGCTGCTCATTTTCCTGCTCCAGCGCCGCACACCGCTTTTGCAGTGTCTGCTGCTGGTCGTTGGCATTCGCCTCGGCCTGCTCCAGCCGCCTGCGCACACCCGCAACCTCCACTCGGAGCGCCGCCTTATCCTCCTCGGCCTGGCGCAGCTGTGCTTGTAGCCGGGACACGTGCTCGACCGCTCGCTCATGCGCTTCGGCAAGGAAGGTCAGATGCCTATCGAGTTGTTCCTGGGCAGTTAGCTTACGACCCTCCTCATCAACAGCCACGCTGCTGTCTTCCTGGCTGGCTAGTTCTGCCTGAGCGGTAAAGGAAATTGCTTTGCTTGCAGCGGCTGTGGACGCAGGAGGCTCGCAGCACTCCGAAGCGGGATCGGTGCTGTGAGGTGCGCCCTCTAAGCATTCCGGCTGGACCACGTGCAGGTTGACCGCGCTGGATGCTTCAGCCTGCAGCTTGTTGTGAACCTGCTGGCCTGTCGCGGCGTATGCCTGATGGTCAAGCAGCTCGTGAAGCTTAGTTGTAAGGTTACCACGGAGGCTTGACACTTGGGTGAGGAGGTGCCCAACATAGGTGGTCCGTTGTTGTAGTTGGGCCTCAAGGTCAAAGCGTTGCCGATTGAGGCCATCTCGCTCCTTGCATGCGCGCGCAGAATACTCCTGGACATCTTTCAGCTTTGCCCGTAAGGTTGCATTCTCTTTCTCCAGGACCACCTTGGCTCGCTCCAGTTCCACCAGGACAACTGCAAGGTATTTCGGGTAGCTTAAAGACGGACAAGAAGGAGAGTGGCTTTGAGATGCTTTGCATAGATGGGAACATCATGTCAAAGTTGCCGCAGCCGAACAGGCCCAACCAACGTACGTAGTGCTTTTAACCTTGTAACCCTAATAACAATGATGGCAAGTCGCTAGCATAACATAGTCCTGATAGGAAAATGCCGCCCGACAGCTACCGGCGTACAATCTCACCCTTCTTGCTTGGGACATCCTTAGGCCTAAAGCACATTCCCATGATGTGAATCTCGTGCGGCTTGCGTAGTTTTACTTCCAAAAAGGTTGCGTCTGTCGGAATCGCTGAGTGGGACACATTTTCCTATGCGTAATGGTGTTGAGGTTTGTAGCCTAGGTCTCCTTTTTCTCGTGCTCGTTACTTTTGCTTCATGCTCGCGTGCTACCCTCGTGCCTGTTCGTTGCCGAATCCAGTGGTTCCAACAGTACGGATTCTGAACAGACGCAAGAAGAGCAAAGTGGTCTTGCTATAAAGATGGATTTTGGTAAAGTATTCATTATCTTTATAAAGTCGAAGGTTTTCCTATTCCAATCGCTTAGCTATCTCCTTGTTTCGCATCTCCCGAGGCAAGGGCCTTCGCGTCTGCCCAGTTTCGCATACAAACAAAGCGTCATGAAGAAGGGGATCCTCGGGTGAGTCCTATGCACTTACGGTCTGCTCCCTGCTCGTTGTTACCGGTAGTGCGCCCAATGCTAACCACTAGCTCTTTGCTATTTTCGGCAGGATGAAATACGTCTTTAGCGGAAAAGGGTCTTCTCATGGACCAGAAGATGCTGAAGGTAAGGAAGATACAACACAGCGCGTAGGGATTGTCGACGAGTCATGTCTGGACATGTGCACGGCCTAACGCGCCGGTCCCGATTTCGCCCTGCAGAAATTATTGAAGAAGAATCGGTCTGTGTTAAGCCCAAGCTGAGAAGCAAGCCGGTCGCGCCAGCAAGCGTTCCGTTGCCCAATGCCGAGCCCGCTACTCGCAACGTCGTCCTGGTGTCTGTTGACGCTCCTCCCGTCGACGCCAAGACCAGGGGCAAGGCCTGGGGTAGTTTGAGCGGCCTCGACGGCCCGAACAGCCCGCAAGTCGTCGTGGCCCCGCCCACGCCTCCACCAACCGCTGTGTGCACTGTCGCCCCGTGCTCTGTGGCGCTTCCGCCCATTCGGGAGAAGAGGGACTGGAACCCCGAGCCGGAGCCCAAGGAGGAGAAGCCCAAGAAGCTCACCATGCTGTTGCACACGGTCAGCGGCAAGAACCGCAAGCCCGAGTCCGAGGCACTGACCACTGTGCAGACGCTTGGCTCGAACGACTATGCTGACGTGTGGCACGAGCACGAGAAGTACGGGCCCATGACCAACCCCATGAACACCCGCCAGGTCCACCTCAACGCGGTTGCCCGCATTCGCCTGGACCCCTCTGAGGGTCCGCAGACGCTGCTGCAGGAGTGCGGTTTCCGTGAGCCGTCCCCGCCCAAGATGCGAGGCCCGCCGCCCTCAACCGTGACCCTGCACCACCCTGGGATTTGAAGGGTCGCTAACGGTTGCAACCGTCGGGGAGTTGGAGGGTCACCAAGAGCTGTGGCCGCTTCTGAAAGCGCGTTAGCTTTGGCTGCCCTTGCAAGGGCGTTAGCTGTGGCTGTTTGCTAACGATCCAGATGTCTGATCATCCCTTTCCTGAAGGACTATACATGAGAGGCGCTTGCTAGTGATTGGCTTGTGCGCTGGAAAGATCTGTCTATCTATGGCAGAGTTGCTTAATAATAGCTTGGTGCATGCATCCTTTTAGTGTGAAGAATTGTGGCCCTTCCTGACCGCTGCAATGCGGAGTTTTCCTGGTCTGAGCGTTTCCAACTCTCTACAGTGGCCAGTGTGATACCGGTACTGGAGCTGTGGCTTCCGAGTCAGCTGGCCTCACCAGCGGGCACGCTGCTGCTTATGTGAAAGGCAAGCGTACGATAAGACAAAGCCCGGGACAAGCTGAACGTACCTAGGCTCGGCTCCTTCTCTGCTTACATGTTTGAACTTGTGGCGTCTCTGCTGCCTGTGGCATATCTGATGGTGAGATGGTGATGGAAAATGTGTTTTGGACGTTGTCGTACTAGCATTCATCAACATGACGACCGGTAACTCTAGACGGTTGGAGTTGGTTGGTGGACGGCGACAACGCAACACACTAGGATTATATGGCTTCCTTATCGTTTATGCATGGTTAGGTCCCAATGATCGGTGCGGCTTTGCTAATGATGAATAAGAAGGGGCGCACGGAGGGCATAAGCATGTGCACGGATGTTGAGTTGACCGGGCGTAACATGTTGGGGACTTCGCACTGGCTCTATGACGCCGTGCACCCAACCACTAGCCACCCGTGAACTACCCTAATATCAATACATAGATGCTGAGTGGATGATGTGCAGTAGACTCGTTACATGAAGCAACATGTCTGCTGCATGTGCACCAACCCCGCGCCCTTCTGTGTTACCGGTAAGGGCAGAGGGCGCTTCCATGTAATAGTTACGGCTGCTTCTCAAACTACTGATGCGGTTTGTCAATGATCGCATAATCCGCATCGTCTGCAGTACCTCCCAGCACCGCATCTTGAACTACAGATGAGACGCCTCTAGCCGCGTTGCTTGGCCACCCATTCCGCCTCTAGCCGCGTTCCTTCGTCACAAACAGCTCGTCACACTTCTACCGGTATGAAAGCGATTGACCTCACCCAGCCTCATCACCTCCTCAACATACCATATACCCTTAGCTTGAGCATGACTGCCGCAGCAGCCAGGTTAGTGTCCTTACATCCTCCCGCTTGCGCCCCCCTCCGTGCGAATCCACACAGTTACACACGCCGTGTCCGGCAACCCCGGCATCCATCCCCACATGCATGCAGGCAGGCAGTTCCCGAATGTGTGCAACAACACCAGCACCACCCAACCACCCAGCCACACGACGCAAGTCCCTCCCGCCTTGCACCCTCCCTCCAGCACAAACAGGTGATGCCCATCCTTGCACGCAGCAAGATGGTCAGGTACACCCAGTTGCCGCGCCCCGCACCCTGCCATGCAGTCTTCCCCACCACCATCCCCGGCCCGGTCACGGCCAGCAGTATCATCGCAGCTAGGTTGGAATACCCCAGCCCCGACAAACACCTCACAAGAATCCAGATTTCATACGAGCCTTTCATTGTTCCTTCTTGTGCACTTCCCCAATTTTCAATCCAAGCATGCAAAAGCCACCGGCAGCCAGCGCGCTTACCGGTACGTCAGCACGCCAGCGAGGGTCAACCGTGAAACCGAATGTTCCACATGAATTGCGCATGGACCATCAATCTGCGACGAGCCTGACCCACTTAGTATTGCAATCCACACGCAGTGCGCGCACGTCTGTTCCACTGCTGCTTATCACAGGATCCACGGCAGACAACAAGCACGCAAGGGCATCCGTACACACACGGAAGTTGGGCATTCGTACAAACGCCAAGAACCATGAACATCTGAACTTCACACCTGCCGGATTTCACGCACCATAGGAGTCAAAAGCACGCATGCACGTCTTTGCATGCATTGCTATGAGCAGTGCCCGGAGGCCGCCCTAGTTCTCAATGATCCATGGTCGCATGGAGACGCCGTCTTGGCCTCAGGCACCACGGGCAGTCGTTTTGTCGCTGCCGCTTGCAATTCCGCTTAAGCTCGCCCTTTGTTGGCTCTCCATTAGCTCTCTTCCTTTGCCAACTACCCGCACGCCCTGATATCACATCCTACAGGTTAACAATAACGCGCGCCCCCTCTCCCCTCCAGTTCGCATCGAATCACGCCGCTGGTCAACCGTCGCCCCCTCCCCGTCACAGTCCAACGCACGGCCTCAGCCCCCAACGCCTCCTGCCGCACATGCAGCCACCTCACTTGCCTGCTGCTGCTACTGTCGCCGCCGCTCGACCGCACCACCAGTAGTAGTTCTGGTAGTAGAATTCATCCACCTGAAGGGAGGGAAACACGCAATGCACAGGGGAGGTAGCCTATCGACGTGTTGAGAGGGGAGGGTGCCCGGTAAACCCTACGTCCAACATCTATCCTCCCAACGTCATTGCGTCCCTGAACCCCTCTCCCTTCCCACACGCCGACCGGCTCCTTACCCCGGACGGCTCCGAAATCGGTTCCAGTGCGCGGTAGGGGTTCCTCTCCGGCCCCAGCGTCACCCGTCCGCCCGCCGCCCGCCACGCCGCCGCATCCGCCGCCGCCTCCTCCCCGTTGTACGACGTAAACACCACCGGCACACCCTGCCGCACAAGCACCTCGAGCGCCGGCGCCCAGAGCTGCTTGTCGGATTCCGACATGCCGCTGTTGAAGGCAATCGCCAGGTCGGGTTTCCGCCAGGGACACTCGCGACCCAGGGAGGCCTCAGCACTGCTACTGCTGCCGCCGCTGCGGTGGGGTCGGCGCCCCGCCGCAAACTCCTGGTAGGTGCAGAGGTGGTACGAGTACAGCATCTCACGGCCGGGTGGTGGCGGCGGGGAGGAGAGCGCCGAGCCCTGCGGCAGCGCCCGGCCGTCCGAGTCCTCCAGGATGATGTCCCTCAGCTCGGGACCCACGAAGGCAACATGCAGCACGCGGGGGGGACCGCTGCTCGTGGCGGTGGAGGGAGCAGCAGACGCTTCCGCTGCTGCTGCTGCAGCTGCTGTCGAGTCCCGTTGTGGCCGTGCCGGTACCGCTGGCGGCGACGGCGGCGGCAGGAGGTTGAGTAGCTCCTCCCAGATGCGGTCCGCGGGCACCTCGAATGCGGAGGCGCCCAACACGTGGAGCTCCAGGTGGCGCAGGGAGGCGAGGTGCGCGGGGGGGTAGTGGTGCTGCAGGGCCTGGGAGGGGGGGAAGGAGAATAGGAGATATACCAGAACCACAGGTTAGGGCAAACGGGAGGGGAGGCAGCGGGCAGAGTTGTGTCAGAGGGATGGTGCCGAACGACGGGGGGGGATGAAGGGCGGCAACAGTGTAACGAGGTAGCTTTGAAGGTCAGTAGGCAAGGAGTGGTAGAGCGAGGCTAGCGGAATGAACTGAAGATAACCCACGGTGAAGCCTCGTCATACAACTCGTCCATTTTCTCCTTTTCTTACCTACCCCCCAAACCGCCCAACTGGGACTCCAGTTGCTGCACTTAGCACTTACCAACCCACCCCCTACCCCCCGGAACCGCCCACCTGCACCACCGTCAGCGCCTGCGACATCCGCTTTGTCAGCAAACACATCATCCCCGCGTCAAACACCGGCAGCGGCCGCCAGGCCTGGAACGCAGCCCAGCCGGCAGCGGGCACCGGCTCCCAGCCTCCGGCACCCGCCTGCCCAGCAAGAGACGTCGCCCCCGCCGCTGCCGACGACGCCGACTGACCCGTGGGTCGCATCTTGTCCGGCACGTAGTTGGGCAGGCGGCCGGTGGCGGTCAGGTAGCGGTGTGTGAGCAGCTGGCTCTCGTTCATGTTTTGGTAGGCGGTGCAGACGGCCGCATGGGGCCCGGCGAGGTAGGCGTCGCGGTGCTGGGGGCAGGCCCAGCCCCAGTGGCAGTGCGGGCAGCAGGTCAGGGCGGGGGCGCTGCTGCGGGGGGTGGGGGTGGATGCAGCGGTGTCGGCGGCGGTAGCCTTGTCCGCTGGTGGTGCTGCTGCCGCAGCATTGGATGATGCGGCGTTGGGTTGGGTTCCGGTGGTCTGGTGTTGGGTTTCGGTGGACGAGGCCGCAGCAGCGGTGGCTGGCTGCTGCTGCTGCTCGGTTTCGAGCAGGCCGCTACCGTTGATGTTGGCGCTGCTGCTGTTGCCGGTGTTGCCGTTGACGGCGGTCGAGGGAGGAGCGCTAGCCTCGGCTGCGGCTGCTGCTGCTTTGCTGCTGGAAGCCGAGGAGGCTGTAGCAGCGGCCGCCGCGGCCTTTGAACGGCGTGCTAGCTGGCCTCGGGTGACCATACAAACGCTGCACCGCGCCTCTCCGAGAATGGCTCGGTGCTCGGCGCGAGTGAGCGGGCGCCGGAGCATGGGTTCCAGGATCTGATGGCAGTTGGAGCGCTGCAAACGGGGGTGGTGAGGGAGGTCAAAAAAGTAGGCAAAGCCAGGGAGGAATGTACGGCAGGGATACCGTTGGTGAGGTGAGAAAAGCAGTGAAGTGTGACGCGAGGGTGGGCACTGTGGGAGGATAGTCGGGTGGGTGAGTAAGAAAGCAGGGGATTCACGTGTACGCGCGAACAAGCGGGCTGCAAGGGTTCTTCGCGAGGCTGCGATAAAGAAGGTTGCTGGTGTGTGCTGGTGGGTCCATACTGTCCCCACCTGAACGTAGAAGTCCCGTGCATTGCGCGGCCAAGACTCAGGCGGCAAGTCGGCCTGCACAAGTAGGGAGGGGAAGGAAGGCAACAGTAATTATAGTTAAGCAGTTCATGTTTGACAGAGATTCTGTCTTGAATATGTAAAGGATATGATTGCCACTCGCGGACATGGAAAGTTGGCCTGGGTGGCCAGCCAACATGAAGACCAATCACCCTGGCGGTGTTTGGGCTTTCCCTAGGTATCCGATCCGTGGCAAACAGTCCAAGTAGGGTTTGCCCGTTCAGCGCGACGTGTTACCTGAAGGGCGTGGAACAAGCGAAGCGCTCGGCAATACGGCTTGTGCTCCTTGAAATGTTTGCGTTGACAGTTTATATCGCAGTACCAAGCACTGTCGCAGGCGCTGCAACGCAGGAGCTTCCCCGGCGCAACGGTGCAGCATGCATAGCAAGCAGCGCCCGTATGAACGAGGTGGGGCGGATCCATTGTTATTTCCGACATTGTTGCCAATGTATAACTTTACAATGGAAACTTAAGATTGTCTTGTCTCTCCAATTCAGAGTCTATCCAGCCAACTGCCCTAGTCAGCAAGTGAATAATTGGTGCACAGCAATGGTCCCTTTTCAGTCATTGAGTTGTCTGTTTGTGAGCAGGTAAGACCCCGCTGTGTCTTGGCAACGCACGATCGCCTGGCCCGCCAGGGCGCGCCAGCCCCTTTGCGCTTTCGGAGCGACGTACGAAGTTGTCATACAGTTTCCAGCAGGCCAGCGCCTGGCTACATGCGACTGCCTTCGTTATAACTTGACACACTTACCACTAAGGTATCCCACGCTACTCGTCAAAATATTACCAGGCCTGCATCCTTGGCTAAATTCGTTGTCCAGAATCGCCTGCAAAGTGATATTCTTAAGTGTTACTCGTTAAGCTTCATTGTCTGCCATGGGGCGAAGGAGGAAGAAGGGACCCACCTTCGTAGCGAGCGAGGCAATTGAGTTTCCAGCCCTGCCGCCTGAGCCGGTGCGTGCGTTGTCATCTGGACTACTATTTGGCAATGGATTACAAATAACCCTGTACTGGCTGCCGGTAGCAGTTGTGAACAGTGCGTGTGTACCTGGGGTACGCCAGCCCCTTGGCAAGGACATCCCGCTTGCGTCCATACGTTTTACTGAACTTTGCGTTAGGCCCTTTGCAGATCCTTTTTAAGATCCCTATCTGTGTTGATTCAGTTGCTGCACGAAACCCCTGTAGCCATGACTGCCTGGCATCCATCTCACCACTGTAACATAACCACCTCCCACCACCTGGCACCTAACCCGCCCAACGCCATTCCCGACCTGACAGCCATGTGTGCCACACAAACCTCACCTCGCCAGGGTTTCGAAGCTGCCTACGTGCAGATCGGCGGCGTGCGGATTACCAACCAGGGCTTGGGGCGCCCCAGACAGCCTTCCCGACCACCACAGCAACAACAACAGCAGCAACAGCAGCGACGCCGGCAAGCTTGGCAGCAACAGCAACCGTCTCATCAGCGCTTCAGGTCCGCATCAGCTGCTGCTGCTGCTGCCCGGAATGACGGCGGCAGTAGCAGCAGTGAGTACGATGACGATGAGGGCTGTAGCAGCGGCGGCGCCTCTTCCCTGGACTCCGACCTCGCCGACTACTTGGGCAACATCCTGAGGGCAGCGGGCGGCGGCGGCGGTGGCGGCGGAGAGGGTGATGAAGAGGAGGAGGTGGAAGGGGATGATGATGATGATGAGGAGGAGGACGAGGAAGAGGACGACGAGGAGGAAGGGACGGAGGGAGAAGAGGGGGATTTCGAAGATGAAGAGGAGGAAGAGGATGAAGAGGAGGGGGTGCGGAGCGACGATGCGATGCTAGGTCGGCTGCTGCGGGGCTTTGCGGGTCGGGAGCTGGGGGGGCTGGATCCGCAGGGAGGAGAGGACGATGATGATGAGGAGTACGGCGGACAGGGCGGCAACCTGTACGAAGGTACGACATGGTTTGCTGTACGGCTGGGCCCTGTAGTCGAACTGCAAGGAGGGTACATACGCCATGGGTTTGAGTTTTGTTGGCATGCTGGGTGTCATCAAGCTGGTTGGCTTCTTTAGGGAGGCATGAGGACAGGGGCCTCGACAACTAAAGTAACTTCGCTTTTATGTGAGGTTGGCTGGCAGCCCCATTCTGATACACCGTGCCTCAATCTGCCTCCCTTCGCAGTTCTGCTGGCGTCAGGAAGCTCCGGCGGCAGCGACAGCGAGGAGGATGCAGCTGCTGGTCCGCGCTTCCGCCGCCGCCACCGCCGTAGCACCCCCGGCGCCCCCTCCTCCCCCTCCCTGGGCTACTTCTACGAGATCCGGCTGCGGGATGACGGCAGCGAGCAGATGGTGGTGGTGGCGGCGGAGGGGCAGCAGCAGCTGGAGCCGACGGGGCCCGCGGGGGCTGTCGTACAAGGCGGCGGCGGCGGTGGTGCCATGGATGCCGTACGAGACGGCGTCAGCGAGGAAGGGGATGCCGCAGCTGCTGCTATGGCGTCCGTACCATCCGCAGCGGCAGCCGGGGCGCAGCAGGAGGAGGCGTCAGCAAGGGGCGGTGAGGGCGGGCGAATCGTGAACCGTTTTCCGTTTATGATGCGGACGAGGGAGCAGGTTCGAGCGGCGGCGGCAGCGGCGGCGGCGGAGTTCATGGCGGCGAGTGCGAGTGGCGGCGCAACGCCCGCAGCGCCCAACCGCTCGGGGCGCGCCTCTGGGTCTAGGGGGGAGCAGCAGCAGCGCAGCGCGGTGAAGGGCGCGTTGGGCGGCGCGCTCCGGCCGGGGGAGAAGAAGCAGTTGCGGAAGGAGAAGATCAAGGTGGGTGGGCCAAGGTCCTGAGGCACCCGGGGAAGCTGGCTGAGTGGAAGACAGCCAAGGGGGGTTATGGTTGTGTGCGTGACAGCATGAGACATGCACGGAACGTTGTGGCCCCCACTCCTGTTGTGGCCCCAACCCTGCAACCCACCTGCGCCCCCACACGCACCCCTTTCCCCTCCTGCTGCTGTGCCGTACCCCGCCACCACCACCAGGCCAAGCGCTCAGCACGTGAGGCCGCTCGCGGGTTCGACGTGGTGCGGCTGGCAGGTCGTCTGGCGGACTTTGTGGGCGGCGAGGGGGACGTGCTGGCGCTGGAGCCGCTGGGGCCGCTGGGCACCCGGGTGGCGCAAGCGCTGGCGGGGGTGTACGGACTGAGACACTCGGTGCAGGTGGGGGTGGGTGGTGGGGTTGGGGTGCCGTAACAGATGGGGTCAGATCATGCTCGGGGTGTAGGGATGTAGGAAAGATGGGTCTTGCGAGCGGGCGCGTGTAAGTCACGGCGGAGTGAAGCGTGTCCGTCTACTGCTGCCGCTCGTGTTCCTCCTTCGGTTTGAGCGCTTTTCGATGGGCTCTCTTGGCCGGCAAAGGGAGCGGCAAGAGTCACACGGGGCTCACATGGGGCTATATGTGTGCTGCCATACCCGCGCCCCTCCTCCTCCCACCCATGCTGCGGTGCAGGGCAGCGGCAAGAAGCGCTTCCTGCTGCTGCAGCCCACCGACCGCACCCGCGGGCTGGACGACACGACGCAGGCAAAGGTGAGGGGGCCCTGCATGCGGCGGCGGACCTCTCACCGCTTGGGGAGGGGGTGTTCAGAACACTGGCCGTGTATACGTGTGTTGCTGGCTTGCTGGAGGGGTAACACGGACCTAGGCGCATGCGCCCATGTGCTGTCATGGGCTCACGGCTCGGTACGTGTGCCCGGCATCCATTGCATGTGTCCCGCCCCTCCGCACGTCCTTTCATGTTTGTCACATCTCACATGGCGGGCTCATGTCGTACAGGTGGACCAAATCGTGGCGGCGGAGGTGGCCAGGCAGCGGCGGGGCGCGGCGGCGGGCGGAGGCATCGGGCCGGCGGGCATGGCGGCGCAGGACGTGACGGCGGCGACGGTGGCGGCGGCGCGACGGGGTGGCCGGAGGGCTGGCGGCGGCGGCGGAGGTGCAGTTGCCGCCACACGCGGCAGTCGGGGCAAGGGCGGCGGAGGTGGTTACAGCCAGCCAGTTGCGTTCGTGCGGAGCGGTGTGCAGCACGACAGGCGCAGCGGCAGCAGCAGCGGCAGCAGCAGTGACAGCGGCGATGAAGGCAATGGTGATGGTGATGAGGGTGGTGACGATGACGTCATGATGCGGGAGATAGCGGCGGATGAGGCGGCGGCGGGGATGGAGGTTGAGGAGGAGGAGGAGGGGAGCGGGCACGCGGGACTGGGCCTGGGAGCCGCGGACTCGCAGCAGCAGCAGCAGCAGCAGCAGCGGGAGTGGCTGTCGGCGGCCTTTGGGGGCCTGGGCTTCAGGTGGGGCGGTGGTCCTCCGCCGGCGCCAGATGCCCGGCACCAGATGCTACTATTGTGCATTGCTGCTGTTCTTCAAACCTCGCTGCTTTCCTGCACCTGCTGCTGCCTGCGGACTTCCTGCATTCTACCCATCACACATCTTGCACGAGCTCTACTTCCTGCTCCTTATTCCCGCGGCTGCTGCTCCAGTCACCTTGCTTCACCTCGCCCCTTCTTCCCGCCCTCCCCCTCAGGCCCTGCACCGCCGCCGCAGCGGACCTGTCACCCGCCGCCCCCCTCGAGCCACTGCACCACCACCACCACCACCACCACCACCACCAGCCAGAGCCCGCAATGGAGCACACGGGGGCGGCGGAGGAAGCGCAGGCGGCCGGACCCGCGGCCCTGAGGGCGGCAACGGCAACAACCACTGCATGCACAACGGAGGCGGTAACGGCGGCGGTAGCGGAGGCGGAGGCGGTAGCGGACCTTCATGCAGCCGACCCCGCTGCCCAGGCCGCTGCGTCGGAGGGTGGTGGAGGCGGTGAGGGAGCAGCAGCAGCAGCAGCCGGGGTAGAGGGCGGGCCGGTGGTGGTGTCGTCAGGAGGTGTGTCGTACTTTCGGGCGCACTTTTGCCTGGGCCCCGGGTACGAAGCTGAGGAGCCGCAGGTGCAGCGGCATGATCCGACCCATGGGTCAGCAGCGGCGGCGGCTGCAGCAGCAGCGGCGGCAGGTCTTGTGTTTGGGCACACGGGGTTAGGGTTTCTGTCCGCGTCTGGGGGGCACCAGCACAGGCACGGAGGTGTGGGTGCGGGGGCGGGGTGTCGGAGGAGGGGCATGGGCGCCTTGGGCGGCCAGCAGGAGGAGGAAGAGGAGGCGGGGAAGGGGGATCCTGGATCGCATGCGGTCGTGTTGAGGGAGGAGGAAGAGGCGGTGGAGGAGGAGGAGCAGGAGGCAGATGGCGGGGGTTGGATGAAGGACCGCCGCCGGAGAGGGCCCCCCCGCGGTGGGAAGAAGGGCGGCAAGGGGGCTGGCAGGGGGGAGGGTGGCGGGCGGGGCGCCCGGACGCCTGGTGCTGGGGGGTTCCCCGCAGCTGCGGCAGGGGCGGCTGCTGGCGAGCTGGGGAGAACGCTGCAGCAGGTGAGGGGCTGGGCGGGGCTGGGCGGGGTCGTGCAGGAGCTCCAAGTTGTACCATGTATTGTTGTTGCGACCTGCCCCCCCTCCAACCGTGCATGCCACTTGACCAGCCAGCTGATGCGAGCTGTGACACTGACTGAGGGGTGCTGTCTGCGTGCCCCGGTACCTATTGTGCCGCAGGTCAAGGCGGCAGGCAATAGGGCCGCGAAGGAGGCTCGCCGACTAGAGCGTCGACAACAACAACAGCAAACACCCCTCCCACAACCGCAGCACCAGCATCAACCCGGACAACCCATTGGGGCACCACTAACGCCTCCAGCGACCACCACTCGGACCACATACGCCTCCGCATCAACCACTGCCACCGCGGCAGCAGTCCCGGCAACCGCCCCCGCCAAGCTGAGCTACGAGTACGGCTCCTTCGAGCGGTACGGCAGCGGTATCGGTTCGCGGTTGATGGAGCGAATGGGCTGGTCGCCGGGGGACGGGCTGGGGCGCGCGCGGCAGGGCCGGGCCGAGCCCCTCCGCACCTTCATTCGACCCAAGAGCCTGGGGCTGGGGGCGGACGGGTAGGGAGGAGGAGGAGCTGCTGGGTTGTGCTGGGTGCCCTGGTCCTGTTGGATCGCGGCGCTGGCAAGCAGCATGATGGTGCGAGCTGGCGGCGGTGTTGCTCGGTGGGGTTGCGAGGGGTGTGGATTGGGGTGGTAGGCAGCTTTCGAGGTGTAGCTGGCAGGACAGCAGTAGAGTGTGTGTTAAAATAACTGGCCGCGAAGAGAAACGTACTGTGATTGCCGAAAGATGAAGTCTAGAGTGTGTGGTAGGCGGCGGCGTATGGAAGGCTGATGGGAAGGCAGTGTTGACGAATGATATGGTGTTTCGCTGGAACCGCGCTGGGGTTAGTCGGCTGGTGGGAGACTTGCTAGCTTTGTACATGTAAGAGAGCGGTAGACGAGCAGTTGGGTGGAACGAGTGTGTCATTACGGCGATGTGTAGCTTAGCTTAGGGTTCTCCTTGCGAGGTGTACAATAGAGACTGGGGTGGTTCAGTGACACCAGAGGTTCGGTTCGTGGTTGTTGTTGGTTGTTGTGCGGTTGCGGTTGCTTCCTTCATTGTTTGTACAGCCGGTTAGCCGCAAGAGGCGCTCATTGGGAGGTAGCCCTAGCAGGAAGGGCGGTGGGTGCAACAACCCATTGTCTCCCTGGGTCTAACTGTATAGAAGCTGTAGGGTGACCTGGAGGCATGCGATGGTTGGATGAAGGCATCCGACACATGCTGGCTGGTCCATGCAAGATGTACCTGCGCTCAAAGATATCAACAAACGCGTTCGCACTGTAGCACAGAAGCCCCTCCACGGGAGCTGGAACCAACTTACCGACCTACGCGGCAACGCAAGCAGCTACCTCATCACACGGGCAAGCCACCAGACCCATCCAGCCTGCTTGATGCAGCTCATCAGGCAACCGACTGCCATGCCGAGGAGCGAAGACCGCACCACAGCAACATATGCCCTTGCAACTGCCACCAGCAGCAGCAACAGCAGTAATGAGCGAACATGCTTCGGACTATTCTATGGCTGTCCATTTAATGAGGCTAACGGGGTGGGGTCCGACACAATAACATCGGTGTGCACACCTGTTGTGTGTTGAAAAATGGCCGCTGTGTGTGTAGCTGGCAGCTGCTGAAGCAGAAGGTTAGGCGATTAGCAAGTACCGGTAGGCGATGCGGAGCTCTGAGCATCTGAACTTTGTACTTGCAGTTGCTAGCAGGGGAAGTACGGTTGAACAGTGGCCGGCATGTAAGAGATGGATGTGATGTAGTGCACGACGTGTACGACACGAATACGGCAGATGCTAGGCAGATGGACGCATGTGATGTTTAACTGCGAACATATCTGACACATGCTTTGGTGGGGGTTGTTTTCATTTGATGGTAGAGCCACCGGAAAGTCCGTATCCGGAACGGCAACGTCAGTTGATTGTCTGCCTGCGAGGCTGCCGGCAGGGGAAGGGATCTGGGTCCTCGAGGGTGGTGGGCCTGCGGAGCCCCGTACCGGTGTAACGCGTGGGGCTTTGGAAAAGGAAGTTACCGCACCAACAACGCTGTTGTTGCGTGTTGGCTGCTTGTAATCTCGCAACGCGAAATGCCGCTGCTGCTGCTGCAGGGTCGACCGCTGTGAATGATGAGTGATACGGAGTTCAAAGCGCAGTATCTGCATACTTGCGCATGTAACCGCCGCGTTCTTTAAGAGGATAAGATATTTGCATTTCATGCGTAGCACGCAGCGATGTCGTTATCGGCATAATTGCCACACAGTTGCGCGCAAAGATCGGGCTTCGTGTAGGAGTTCCATGTGCATATTTGGCAAGAAATCCAAAGTTATGCGCCAGCTATGACAGGGGCTTAGCAACATTTTACTTGCCGCGTCAGAGTAGAGGAATCAATCCTCTGGATAATAGTAGCTTTGTCATCAGGTTTAGACAATGCTGCAACCAAGATACTGCTCAGTAACTTCTGGGCGAACTAAAGCTCTGCCCTTCCATCCGTCGCGTCCTTTGGCTCACGGCTGCTTGCCAACCGCTTGTTCTGTGTATCGCAAAATGTCAAAATCACAACAGCCCATACATGGGCAGGTCGCGGCTAGCGCACAGGGTGTTGCCACCGAACCCCAAATCGCAAGCAGCGTTGTGACGCAGGAAGCCCGGCGAGCGGTGTTCGAGCCTGCTAAGGAGCAGGTAGACTGTTACGATATGACTCAACACACAATGGTCGGGTTGCGCTTCGGTAGATCGCTGCCGTTAACGTTCGTCCATCCTCATGTTGACCATCCAATTCACATCCGACCTCCACAGTATCCCGAGGCCGAGGCTCTGGTGATCTCCGGCCGCCTGCCCAGCTGGTTGTCCGGCTCCCTGCTGCTGAACGGCTGCGGGGACTACCGCGGCGGCATGCGACACCTCTTTGATGGCTTCGCATGTCTCACACGCGTTCGGCTAGACGGGGGTCGAGGCAGCGCTACGGCTAGCCAGCGCTTCCTGGAGTCGGACGCGTACCGGTGAGGGGAATGACACAAACACAATTGGTGATGTCGTTTGCTAGCGCCCAGACGCACATTTCAGGGTCTGGATGCGGATGAACTGCATCTTGGCTTTGCTGCTTGTGTTTGTGGTCCTGGTCTCGGGCTTCCAATGAGGCTCAGCTTCCCCAAAGGGTTGAAGCTTGCACACTGACAAGAGCTAGCTTGTCTTGCTGTTGTTGTCACGCATCTGTTCCCCCGCACTACACTACCACAGGAGCTTCCGGCGCACGGGCCGTCTGAAATACCGCGAGTTCGCAACACCTGTGCCCGCGGAGGGACCCGTGGGTCGCGCCATGGCGGTGGCCGGCAACCTGGTCACACTGGTGTGCTGGCTGGGTGGGCTGGGTGGGGCAACGCAAATCATCTGCGGTCGACCGCACTACCGGTGCCACATTAACGTCCCCTGCCTTTCCTGTCCCTTTCACCTACCAACGTGCTTACGAGCACCCTGTCACCACGATGGTCCCTCACCTCCAACGCCCCACACCTCACGCCCCGCCCGCATCCTCCCGCTCGCCCGCATCCTCCCGCCCCCCCAGATGTCGGGCGGCCGCGCCTTCACGGACAACGCCTCCGTCAGCCTGACGCCGCTGCCGGGGGGGCGGCTGCTGGCGCTCAGCGGTAAGGGCGTGAGCTGGGGGTGAAGAGTGGGGTGCCGGGTCGGGAAGGGAGCGCGCGTGTGTGGGCCCGGGGAAGGCAGGGGAGCGAATGAGCAAGGGGAACGGAGAGAGGGACACGTATGATCATGATGGCTGCTGCTGCGGATGCGAAAGGAAAGGAGTGGCCCCTGGTCACGGGACCAGTCGTTCCCATGCCTACCGCCGGACTGACCTTCTCCCCACCCCCCACCCCCATTGCCTGCTTGCCTGCTGCCTGGCTTCCCCCCCAGAGGCCCGCTCCGCCACCTTCCTGGTGGACCCCGTCAGCCTCGCCACCCTGCAGCATGTGTCGTACTCGGATGTACGGCATGCGGGTACGACATCCCCATCCCCATCCTCATCATGGTCTCCCCCAGCGGCGCCGGCAGGGGCCAAGGATACCGTGCCGGGTGACCTCACAACCGCACACCCAAAGGTTGCGCCCGACGGTCAAACTTTGGTCAACTTCGCCCGCACCTTGCCGTACGGCGGTTACCACGTGTACCTGCAGGACCCCGTGACACTGGCGCGCAGGGAGATCGCCTTCATCCGGTGGGCGGTGGGAACAGCACGTTGGGATTGGGGTTGCTAATCTTTTGCCAGCTTTGGTATAAGGATACGGTACACGTGTAAGCTGGCTGACTGACAATATCCGTGGCGTCTTGTTCAGCATTTCCTTATGGCAAGGAGTTCCGGGCAGTAGACGACGGTAGCTGCCAACCTAGTCGCTGTTCCGGTCATCGTTGGAGTGCTCGCCGGTTCCCGGTGCAGTGTCTCCGTGGCCCATCACTCGTCCCCTCCCCTCACCCAGCCTCACCCCCCCCTCCCCTTCCCCCTCCTCCCCCCTCAGCGACCGCGACCCGCTGTCCCCCTGCTGGGTGCACGACATGGCGCTCAGCCGCCGCCACCTGGTCATCGTGGAGCCGCCGCTGTTCATGAGCCTGCCCTCACTGGTGCTGGGCCGCCCGCGACCCTTCGTCTTCATGGACTGGCGGCCGGCGGCGGGCACACGAGTGCACGTGGTGGCGCTGGACGGATCCGGGGTGCGGGGGTGGGGGGCGGGGCGGGCCCGGGGGGAAAGAAGATTACCGTAGCGAATGGACGGGGAGGGCCGGCCTAGGTTGTGTATGACCAGGACGGGGGGTAGCGTGGGTAAGGGTACTTACCTACGGGGTACGGGCATGGGTGTATACATGTGCTTGCTCGTAGTTTACAGCGAGCATGTGGGGACTGGGGGGGGGGTTCCCTGTCATTTCCAACGGGGCCCTGAGCGTCCTTCGCTTTCCCTCCCCGCCCCTCCTCGCACTGCACCCCCAGGTGGTAACCCACACCGCCCCGCCGCTCTTCACCTTCCACTTTGCCAATGCCTTTGAGCGGCCCGCGACCGCCCCGCCACCCGGCAGCAGTAACACCGGTGGCGGCGGTAGCGCTTCCGAGATCTGTGTTGACTTCAGTGTGTACGACGATCCGGAGATTCTCAACGATCTCTCGCTGGAGCGGCTGCAGGACTTCCCGGGCAAGGGTGAGTGACGCCTGCCTTAGTCCCTAAGTTGGGGCTTCCTCTTGGATGACTTAGAGTTTGGCGCAGAGCGGGTTTCCTTAGCCTAAACCGACACATGCAACGTGCCTTAAAACCTTAACCCATCTACCCATGCCGCCTGCCCCTCCCCCTCTTCTCCCGGATCCGCATCTCAATCCCCAACCTCGCAGACATCTCCCCCAGCCGGTTGCGGCGGCTGCTCATCCCCCTGACGGACGCCGCCGGCCGACCCGTGGGTCCCTCCTCGCTGGCCGCCCCCGTCCCGCTGCTAAGGGACGAAGACGCGTACGGCAACTTCATAGAGTTCCCCGCCTTTAACCCCAGGTGCGGGGAGCTGGGCTGGGGTTGAGGAGTAGGGGATCTTGGGTGCTTTGTTCTCCGGGTTTCTTCCAGGGAAGGGGGAACGCCGCAGCAGGACTGCTGCTATGCTTGTTTGCGCGTGAAGCAATCCGTCTGTTTGAGGGTCAAGGCTCAAGGGCCTGCCTTGCTGGCTTGCCCCACCTGCCCATCTCGCAGGTTCCGCGGTCTGCCGTACCGCTACGTGTACGGCACCGCGGCCGTACGACCCACCAACATGGGCAATGCCCTGGCGCGACACGACCTGGCGGGGGGGAGCAGCAAGCTGTGGCACGAGCCGGGGGGCATGCCGGGTGAGGAGGCGGGAGGCGGCCCGCGAAACACTCGCGGCCAGTTCTCGGTAGTATTTTAGTTTTCTGACACCATCAGCATCACCGACATGCGTCGTCACTCGTCACCCGCCAGTCTTCTTACATCCAGCAACAGCTATTTCAGCAGTTTTTGAATTACGGTTCAGGTTTGGTCACCTTTTGTTTTGCCTGTACTCGCGGTTCACATGCGAACCTCTCCCAATTGCTTGCTCTTGTCCTACTCAACTGCACACGCTAGCATGCATGGCTTGCTTACCTGCATGCATGGGGGCATGGGCTTTGCATCGCCCCGGACTATCCTAAGGGCCACAGCCACCTGTTGCCGTCCTCTCCTCCCATGAACTCTTCAATCCCCTCTCCTACAACCCCGTCCCTCCTCCCCCCTGGGCAGCTGAGCCCATCTTTGTGCCCCGGCCGGGCGGTACGGCGGAGGAGGACGGTGTCGTACTCTCCGTGGTGACGCGTCCTGACGGCTGCAGCATGCTGCTGGTGCTGGACGGGGGCAGCTGGCGCGAGGTGGCGCGGGTGGCGCTGCCGGTGGGGGTGCCGTACAGGTTCCACGGGGCCTGGGTGGCGGAGGAGGGAGGGGACGGGTGAGGAGGTGAGGGGTGACGGGTGGAGGTTGAGGGACCTGCTGGGCGTTGACATTTAACGAGGTTTATTTGTCCTAGGCATGCCGAGGGGATCATGCGGGGGCTACTGGTGCAGGTGTTTTAGATGTGGGGGTTCACGTGCAGGTGGGAGTTCCCAGGGAGGTGGTACGTGGGAGGGCATGCGTGGCGAGATTTGGTAACTTGAGGTGACTTGCAGGCGACAGTGCGGGCGAGCGGAGGAGGGGTTGTGAGAGTGCTTGTTGCGTGGGTTGTGGGCAGCATTAGGACATTCGAGAGTCCCGACTTCAGGCAGGCATCTTCACATTTAGCATCCGCGAGTTGCCCTAACGTATGCTAAATCCTGATCATGTCACCTGTGGACATCTGACATGACACCTCAACGTTCGATGGACCTATCCGACATGTTTAATGGAACACTATGCCTGGCTTACGGAAACCTTCGTTCATCCCTCGATTTATACTAGCTCGTATATAGACGAGCTGGTACCTCCGCTGAGCCACATGCAAGCGGGCTGTCGTTATATCGAAATATCGGCTAGCAGGTTTCGTCAAGGTGCAGGCAATGATAAGCCTTAGTGTCCTTGGGCCAATCCTGGTTTCCATATATAAAAAGGTTTTCCTCAATGCACCCTCCTTGCCCCAAGTGCGCTACTTCCTTGAACCGTACGACAGCATCCGACATTCGCGTTAAAGCCGAGACCGTCATTTGGCAACGGCTTAATACCTAAATGACCAACGAAAGCTACGTTATACAATGCATGTATTTCGAGGTAGATACTAAACTAGAAAGCATATTAGGTACCGGCAATAGGAATGTCACAAAGTTGCTGGCTGCCAGAGACCGTCAGGAGCGTACTGAGGTAAAACATGGTAATAAAAAAATATAAGACGAAAGGAGAGTGAAAAGCGAAGCACTTTGTGCGGACAAAAAAACGTCTCTTGACCTTAGGAGCTTCAGTTGCTGGCTAGGGCAATGCAAGGGCACCATTACCGCCGAATGCTAAACTTACGAGGGGCTTGCTAAACGCGCCGCAGGTGGCTTTTGAAGGAAAACCTATATTTCCTACAGTATCGGCTTAGACTGACAAGCATTGTTGTCAACAGGTGAGGTCGAACTGGCAAATGTGCCCATTTAGGGACGAAGCTGGCTGGCATTAATAACCCGAATGGAAGGTTTGCATCGCAGTCCTGTCTGGCGCTAAGCCTGCGACTCGCGGCAGCATCATGTGATGTCTCCTGCTGTACGGCAGTCCGGAGCGCTACCGGCCGTACGTGCCGTACACTCGGCGTGACTATAGCAACAACAACAGCGGCAACGGCGGCGACACCAGCAGCGGTATCAACCACGGTGACAGTTGGTCAGCGCCGCCGCAAGGACATGCATCAGTACCCGAGCAGGCGGCGGCCGCACCCCAGCTGCCGCGGCCTCCCCAGGACGTCGTTACCATTCGTTGCTACCTTCGTACATACAACTCGGTACGCGTGGGCCCCACTTTGACGCACCAGCCGAGAAGCGAGAGGACTGCACCTGCTTACACCCAATACAGCAGCCCTTCAGCACCCGGGACCACCCCCGTATCACGGGGCCATGCCGCCGACGCTGCAGCATCAGCGCAGCCCCATCCTCGTCTCTTCCAAACGCGCTTGGACATCTGCTTGTTCCGATGCTGCTGCCGCCACCGCCACAGTAGCAGCAGTAAGTGCTGCGCCACGTGTCGAAACCGAAGGTACAGTAGCTGCCGCCGCCTCTGCTATTCCTCGATGCCCCGGGCCCAGTCGTCAATGGCCCGACGCAGGTCGTCATTGGGCATCAGGCGGTAGGAGCGGAGGGGCGTGCGGGTGCGCGGGTCGGTGCTGGTGAAGGGCAAAAGAGGAGCACAGAAAGGGATGGGAGGTTTAGGACAGCAGCACGACAGGATGCCAGGCGCGGTAGGGCACGTGCATGCAGGACACCACCACCATCCACCGCTACCGGTGCCACCCTTCCACCGGCAGCAACCCCCCGACCTACACCTCTCCTCCTGCACACATCCTACACGTACCGCTAACGCTTTCCAAAATACTCTGCGCACCACCGGCACACCAACCCCGTTGCCTTGCTCCATGCGGCACCCCCTGCCCTCACCGCACCGCCGCCCCGCCCCCACCCTGCACGTACGGCACCCACCAGCATCTTTGCAGCCACCTCTCCACGGCATCTCGCTCGTATGAGGGCACGCTGGTCAGCTGCGGACTCAGCAGCAGAGCCGGTTGCGTCATCACCTCATGCGTGATGGCGCACAGGAAGCCGCGCGGCGCAGACGACTTCCCTGCGATGTCCTGCAGCTGTTCGGTGGGGAGCGGAGGGAGGGGGTGCGAACGCGGGGGAACGGGTGGGCTGATGCGGCGGCTAACGCAACTGGGAGCAACAGGAAGAGGTGCACAGGGTAGGCAAATATGCCAGCAAGCAATCACAGTACGTTCCGACCAAACACACGCACCCTCAGTGGTGCAGGCCAGACCACTGCTCGGCCTGCAGGGCCACCAACGCCAGCAGCTTCTGCAAACGCCGCTGGCATTGCAGGGTCATCGCGTTGCTCCCGCCGCTCCTGCTCCCGCCGCTCCTGCCCCCGCCGCTCCTGCCCCCGCCGCTCCTGCCCCCGCCCCCGCCCCTCCTGGCCCCGTTCCAGCGGCCCCCTGCCCCCTCCTCCCGGCTGCTGCTGCTGCCAGCGCTCCAGTTCCCGAATGCCCACTCGATCAGCACCGCCGCCGCCACCGTTCCGGTGACCCAACGCAGCCATCTGCACATATGCATGCAGGTGCGGGTTCAGGAGGTGAGGACTGCAGGAGGTCTGGAGGTGGGAGTTCGGGTGAGGCTTCACAGGGTTCCCAGCTGGCAGGAGGTTCGCAGCTCGCAGCACGCGAGGAAGGGCACTGATGGGACTGACAGAGCCATCCGTGCCATCATCCGTGTAATCGTCGCGACACATCCTGTTGCCTGCAGAAATGCTCGGCAACGCAAAGCCAAGTGCCAGTACACCAGTGGAGGCTCCTGCACCCCCGGAAGCCCCACAAGCACCCACCCACACATACGGCGCCGCATCTGCCAGCATGCCTTCTTCCCAATTCAGCACTGGCAGGTGCACAGCGCCCCCAGCGGCCCCCAGCACCGGCTGCGCTGCCCGGGCCACCAGCCGCAGCGGCAGCCGGGCGGCGATATCATGCAGCATGCGGGAAGTTGCTGCGACCTGAGGGAAAGAGAAGGAGGTCGACATCATTAGCCGGGTGAAGTAAGCATACTATGAGGACGTGCGTGCTTGCTACGAGGCGTGTGTCAGCGTGGCCAGTCATCACCCCGGCTAGTAAGGGTGCTGTAGCTGGGTCGCTTTAACGCAACTCTTCGCCTCAAGCGCCTCAAGCGCCGTGTTAAAGGACGACGTGCAGTAGAATACCGCAGTGGCACCCAACACCGCATGCGCGCTTCGGGCCGCTTGACCCGGACCTACATCTTCCCCGCTGCCTGCCCTGCCCTGCCCCGCCCCCCGTGAGCGCCCCCTGCCCTGCCCACCTGCAGCAGCGGCTTACTCGCCCGAGTGGCGACCTCCGCACCCAGCATGCGGGACACGTAAGCCTGCGGTCATCAGACATAACAGACACACAGTGACACACAGACCAGTTTTCTTAACACATAGCAGTAGCGGCGGTCGCGTCCTCATCTGCAGGTGCGGCGATGCAGCCCGGTGATGACGTGATGCGATGAGGTCCGCATGACAGCAGTGGGCTGCCCAAGCCGCATGACAGCAGTGGGCTGCCCAAGCCGCATGCATGCGTGTCCCCCCGCTCGCCCTGGCCTACCAACTCCCTGTTTGTAGACCCACCTGCAAGCCCATCGACTTCCACTGCTGCTGTCGACACCAGCAGATGAGGGCCCAATGGAGTATACCTGTTAGGTTGGCGACCTCAGCACGTGCCGCTGCCGCCACTGCTGCTGTTGCTGTGGCCGCATCCGGCGCCGTCGCCGGTCCGGCCAGCAGCAGCAGTGGCGGTAGCAGCCGCCTCGGCCACCGCAGGAACTGTAACCCAGCCAGCAACGTCAGAGGGAAGCACTCTGAGCGCCAGAAGGAGGGAAGCCAGCGCCAGACCAGCATGCGGGACCGACCCACGGGTCCCTCCACGGCCTCGCGCCACACCCTGATGAGCGCGCCGGGAGAGGATTTGCGACGAGAGGAAGGAGAGGAAGGGGGGACACGGAAAGCTCTCACACGTAAAGAAGAACCCATAGCGGGGTGTGGCTATAACCCGCCGTTGTGAACGGCACAGGAGATGCATCCGTTCTGAGGTGCGTGCAAACAACCCCCACTGCAGCGGCACCTGGCAACGCTTAAGCGGGACGTCAAGGTGCGGTGTCACATTCCCCGCCGCCCGCACGCCCCGCGGTTCGCACCGCGCCCTCATCAGCCCCGCCGTGTCCACGTCTAGCCGCACGCCCCGCTCATCAAGCCGGTCCGCCCGCCACCGCAGCAGCAGCCGCAGCAGCAGCAGCCACTCAGCGTAGCAGCAAGCCGCAGCTGTGCGTGTGTGCAGGAAAGCAGTACGGTAGTGGGTTAGCGGCCGGCAAGGGGGCGAGGGAGCGGAGGGGGGGGGAAACGTGCATGGGGAGGGAGGAAGAGCGTGCTTACACTGCTTAGGGGGTGCTGTCTCAGCGGATAAGATGGCGCTCGCCGCCCCCACAGTGTAAGGATCGGTGTCAGCAATCGCGCTGTCGGAACCGCATCCACTACTCCTGACACGCGTGCGCAAGGAAAAAGACACGGACTACGGGCCACACCCCACATGTCACAAAACCCAGCCGGTATTCCGCACCTGTGGCAGCCGTCACCGCCAAGTCCAGCCGCCCAACCAGGCTCGCCTCCTCTTCCTCTTCCTTCCCCCTCCCGCCCGCCACGTCCGGCAGCGCCAGGGGCAGCATCCATCGCAGCGCCGCGGCATGCGGCAGCAGCAGCGGCGTCGCAAGCTCCGCCACCCTGCCTCCAGCTCGGGCCAGCAATCCCCAGTCCACGCAGTGGCCCAGCAGGACCGTCATCACTCCTGAGAAGCGCCATGCTGTCGCTGCGGAGTACGCTAGCAGGCTCCAAACTTGGGCCCATGTGCCGCCGCTGCCGTCATATCTCAGGCGGTGAGGGTGGACGGTGAATCGGTTGCTGTCGTGCAGCGGCCCGGTGCCGCCCTCCGTGACGTCGTTGCTGCTCCTGCGAGCGGCGGCTGCATGTGCCGCAGCAGCAGCCGCTGCCGTACCACCGCCGTGTGATAACCCTGCGTGCAGTCCACGAGCTGCCGCCGCCGCCGCCGCCGTTGCTTTGGATGGACCGGAAGCATGAGGAGCAGCAGCGTCGAAAGCCGAAGGATCGCACGACGTGAGCCAACCCACTGGCGCGCAGTAGTACAGCGTCCCGCCGTTCTTGCCGGTCGCTAAGGAGGTAAGCCACGAGACCCAATCGCCGCCACTGTCACTGCCATCGCCTCCGTCGCCGTCACCATGTGCACTGCCGGCGTTAAGGCCGCTGGAGAGCCAACCTGGTGGCGGCGGAGGTCCCGATCGGAGCAACGAGCCGACATGATGATGGTGATGATGAAGGTGGTGCATGCGTCTACCGCTGCTGCCGCCTCCGCTGCTGCGTGTCGTCGCCTGCAGGGCCCGTGTGTGGCTATCCAGCTCCTCCCAAACGACCACGGTGAACGACGGAGCGGTCCCGGCGGCGGCGGCGGCGGTGGCATTAGGGACTCCAGCCGCGGTGGCTTTCAGGGCCGCCGCCGCCGCCACCGTCCAAGGCGCCGGCGTCAGGCGGCACACGGCACGTCGGAGGGGACGTGCTGGCGCCTGCAGCGGTAGCGGTAGCGCGACGGGTGAGAAGAGGCGTCCCTCCGCCCGCGCCAGCACCCGCACGGAGGGTGAGGTCTGTAGGGAGCACTCGGCAACCGCATCACCCTGCGGATGGGCGGTCGGACGGTTGGGCGGTCGGACGGTTGGGCGGTCGGACGGTTGGGCGGTTGCACGGTTGGGTGGTTGGACGGTTGGGTGGTCGGACGGTTCGCAACAAAGTGTAGACATGCCTAGGACTGCACAGCAGGGTTGCGCACGCGACAAGGCTGCCGCATGCATGCACGTTAGGGTCGGGGGTTCAATGGGCGGCCGCTGGCTCCTTCTGTCGTACACCCTCCTGCTAACCTCGTAGTAGGGTGGTGCGGATGCCAGCTCACCACCACCACCAGCAGCAGCGGGTGGCTCCAGGCGAGTAGTGACTGCGGGCAAGCGCTGCCGCTGCCACCACTCCAGGGAGGGCAGTCGCACCCCTGACGCCGCCAGCGCTGGAGCCAGCAGCAGGGACAGCCTGCGGGGAAGGGGGCGAGAGGAGTGTGAGGAAACGCTCTGTTTTCTCGAAGCACACATTCGTCACCCTCCCGACGTAACCCCGCCTCATCGCAGGTTGCCACACTGATGGGCGGGATATGGCACGGGCAGCCCGCCGGCACCCGCCAGCCAGCAGCAACCGCGCAACGGTAAGGCCTTACCGCGGCATCAGCGCCAGCATCTGCATGTGTACGGCGTACGAGAGGTCGTACACGGGCCTCAACGGCTGTTGTGTCCTTGCGGGTACCTGGGTAGCGGTGCCACGCATGCTGGTGGCGTCATGCTGGGAACCAGCGGAGGCAGTGGTGGAGGCAGCGCTGCGGTTACGTTGCTGCCCGGGCAGCACGGGTCTGCCGCCTTGCCGCGCAAACAAGTGTACGACAAGGGTAACGCGTTTGGGTTCGTTTGTACGACCAGACGGCTGGCTGGCGCTCGCTTCGTTTGCACTTGTACCAGCACTGCAAGTCGCGTCTGCTGCGTCTGCTGCCTCCTCCGCTGTTGCCTCCACTACTTCCTGCACTTCATCTGCATCCGGCTCATCAGCGGCGGCCTCCACTACCGCTCGTACCCAATCGGCGCTGACGAAGTGCATCTCCGCAGCTGGTTGCGTATCGCCTTGGTTGCCTTTGCCGACATTGCCGCTGTTAGCGTCGCCGCCGGGAGGAGAGGCGGCCGGGTGCAGCAGGAGCTGTTGGGCCAGGGAGGCCAACGTGCCGCGATTGAGCTTGAAGCCCTCCTACAGTGCGACAAAAGGTGGGAGGATGCATGTAGGCTAGGGAGTTGTTGTTATGATTTTGTCTTATAGAGCAGGGCCTGAGGTGGAGAAGGCGTGGGAGTGAGGCGTTGAGGTTGGAGCGGCGTGTACCGGTACACATGGCGTGGAGCAGCACCATGTATCCGGTTGCCACGTAGGGCGCAGGAAACGTACCAATTGGTGAATTGTTACGAGCATCTGGGCGCCGAAATGGAGCAGCACCAGTCCTATTACGGCCGCTTGCAACGGCCTGTTAGCAGGCTCCAGCAGCGGCATGGCAGCAAATGATAGGACCGCACCTACTCCTGTTTGTTGCTCACTATTGACCAACCCTACAACTATATATCGCAAACTGGCATTTGGTATAATGAACTGGCTGTGGTATCGACAACAGTTATCGGAAGTAACCTTGCGAACAAGCTACCCATAACATGGGCAGGAACATAACCAGCAGAGAGTAAACGTTCAATTATGTAACACAGTTGTAACTCTTCGGCCACGCTCGCGGGCCACGCAGTTGCCTCGGCGACGGTTGAGAATGCAATATGTCGCCGAGCTTGCATCACACATGGGACTATAGCAGGCAATTATTCAATGCTTTGTAGGCAACGAGTTCTTAAATATGAAAACGTGATGCGGGCAGGGCTTGGAGTTTCGGAGCTGCGCGGGAAGTGTCTCATTTGCCACCCACCAGACACACTGCGGGCGCAAGATTTATCTTGTGGTTAACGAAGCAATTGCGCGCTTTGCAGATTCACCGCCTCCACCTGTGCACCAAGTGCGGGGTTCAAGGAGGCATGTGAAACCTACACACGTCCAGTTAAAGGGCAGCGTGGGCAGGGGCCACGGGATACCGAGAAGTCGTATACGATGCCAGGGGTGCGGCCTCCAATGGCGCGTACAGGCACAGCATACCTGTTTTCTGGGTTTCCCTTCCCAAAGCCTTACCACTGACCCTTACCCCGCCTAGGCTTTGAAGGAAGCCATTTGCACAGAACTATTGTACAAGCACCCATACGCTCAAGGGGATACGTTTTTGTTGCCGTTTGGTTTGTAGCCTCTGCATCCGTGTGTCAGTTGCCAGTTAGCAGTCATCATCGACAGCCGTACTAAGATGCCAGCTGAGCGGCCTGAGCCTGGGATACAGCCAACGCCATACTCAGGTTGACGAACTCGCCTAAACCGCTCACAAATCCGAACAAGTTCAGCGAAGCTTATTGCTACTTCGCACATATCCTGGTTGTTAACGGGGCACACACCAGTATACAGCCTTCAATAAAGCGTCGTTATTTGTTGATCATGACCTCCTGATGTTTTCTTTACATTCAGCTAGTGGGCAGCGTAGCAGGGGTTGCAAGCTGGACAAGGCGAATGGAGGCTGTGTAGCTAGGTATGCCTTGAATCCTATTGACCAATTCTCATGTCTTAACGGTTGTATAAAAGTTGAATCATTTTCATTTATGTTGAGCGGTCGGGTGCTTGTTCTTGGCCCCTAGGCGATGGCGCATTATGCGCCACAGCAAGTTCCCAACATTCCCAACTCAGTACAGCTACCGCGGAGTGTTAGCTGTGGTGTAGCGTCTGTAAGTACACCTGGCGCGCCGAGCTCCTTGGCTCGAGGGCAATGGTCCGCGGCGGCCGGACTACCGTTGTGTCTTTGCCATCTTCTTCGCGCGCAACCAAATGCTCAAAGACGGAGTAGACGAACAACTGGGTGGCAAATTGGCGACTGGCAGTGTGCTGTGGAGCCTATTCAGCGAGCAGCAAGCATTAGAGGTTCATTTCCGCTGCCCACAACTGGGCGTCGTGGTCTTTCCAAGGTAACACCTAAAAATTGAATGTGCTTGCAGCGTTGGGCCGCTCTGTCGTGGCCTGTGCGTGGCTGATCCAAAAAGATAAGGTTAAGCTTGATAATGACTATGCGACTCTGTGAGTCTTCTCCGCTTTTTGTGGTAGGTGAGGGCCGTTAACTATATCTGTAATTGATCAACCAAATGCTGCTTCCTCAGGACGCAATTGTTGCTGCTCGCGGGCAGCAGCATAACACCACTACTCGGCTCACCAGTGCACCGGCCACCGTGGTGCAGCCGCTATCCTCGTTTTCTCCTCCCGTGGAAGATATTCCACTAGATGCAGCTTCCGGCCGGTGCATCACCGATGAGCAGGCGCATCGCCATGGGATGTCCATCGCGGCTAATGGGACAGCCTGCAGGAGCAGCCCGCCAGCAATTCCAACTAGCAACGCAGCTCCGGCGATAAAATCGATCACGGCAATGGAGGGGGCAGCACCCACTGCCAGCAGCAACAATGGCCCTCCAGCCCTTGCCAATGTCTGGCAACAGGGCACAATGCCGCCGGTCTGCACTACCCCAGCTAGACCCGGTGCTTCCCCAGGGGGTCTCCACCGGAGCGGTATCAGCCCTGGTCAAGGCAACAACAAGAGCAGCACCAGCAGCAGCCGCAGCAGCGCAGTTGTCCAGGGCAGTGGCTGGAAGCAGGGTGCTGCAAGAGGCCCGCCGCAGCTGCTAGCACTGCTCGGCACACCACTGCCCAAGACAACACCGGCAGCGGCAGCGGCAGGAGCGTCCAGGAAGCCCGCTGCCCCGTCCGCACCGGTCTCCCTCCTGCAGCCTCCGCAGCGACCACACGTGCCAGCATGCGGGGGTCGGGGGTCGTCGGGGCTGCCGGCAGCAGCAGCAGCAGGGGCACCTCCAGCCGGGGCAGTAGCAGCAGCAGCAGCACCCCGAGCTGCTGTGTCGGGGCTGGCTGGGGGGAGCTGGTCGCCCACCGCTGGCGCCGCCGGCAGGGGGCTGCATGAGCGTGGGGGTGGAGGTGGGGGTGGAGGTGCGGGTGTGGTGGCGGTGGGAGGGGGGGGTCTGCAGCGGCAGCCAGCTGCGCAGCTCCAGCCAGGGCTGGGCCTCCGGGGAGCGGGTGCTGGCGGCGGCGGTGACGGAACCACGGGTCGCTCGTTGATACGGCCGCACGGCGCACCCTTGGGCCCATTGCAGCAGCAGCAGCAACAGGCAGTTCGAGTGGTGAGCAGCAACAGCGGCAGTGGCAGTGGCAGTGGCAGCGGCGGCGGTGGAAGCAATGGTTCATGGGGGCAGCAGCAGCCGCAGCAGGGGCAGCAGCAGCAGCAGCAGCAGCAGCCGCAGCAACAGCCGCAGCAGCAGGAAGAAAAACCTCTCTCACGCGTCACATGCACCTCACATGCTTCCAGCGGAGGGCAATTACATACCCCCACACCGCCCCACGCGAGTCTGCAGCAGCAGCAGCCGCAGCAGCACCCACCGCAGCACCCACACCCACAACAACCGCACCAAACCAACATGCCCTCTTGCGCGGCCTCCCCGCCACCCTCCAGCCGACCCTCGGACCCCCCAACGGCCTCCTCCTCACCCTCCACCACCTTACCCCCCGGACACCAGCCCCAGTCCCCAGGACCTCCTCCACCACCGCACTCAGCCCACCTTACCCCGCTCCTCACCAACACTCCTCTCCAACGTGCCCCGTTCCCAACCGGCTCTACCTGCCCCCCACCTCCCAGCACAACAGCGCCCGCCTGGCCGCCGTCACTCACACCCGCACACCCCACCCCGGCGGATGCGGTACGAGGATGGTGCGCTGTCGTCGCTCCAGACGACGATACCGGCGGAGATGACTTGTACGGAGCATACGAGGAGGAGGACCTGGCTGATAGCAGCAGCAGCGCAGCAGGAGGAGGAGAAGGAGGGGGGACAAGCTCGGCTGTGCACGTTGACGGCGATCCGTACGGTGGTTCAGGACCGCCGCAACAGCAGCGGCAGCGGCGGAGGCATCTGGTGCACTTGTTCGCGGTGTCGCGGCCGGCCAAGCGGAAAAGACGATTGCTAGCCAGGGTGGCGGCTGCGGCGGCTGCAGCGGCTGGGGAAGCGCCGGCGTCGGGCGGCAGGAGTGGTGGCGGACGAGGAAGCGGGAGCGCGGCGGATGGCATTGCGGGCAGGGACAAGGTCAGCGGCAGCAGCAGTAGCAGCAGACAGCACGTTGAATTTCCCTACACCATCTCCCGAACCTCTGACACGCCTGTTGTCACGCTGTTCCGCCCGACGTCTAGGTCCCATGCAAGGGAGCCCAGAAGCCCTGTGGCGGCCGCTGCGAGCCCCGGGATGTCGCGTGTCGCGGGCTGGGGACTGGACCTCACAAGGACGGGAAGGATTGCAGGGAGGTCTGGGTTGGGGCCAGGTGCTGGCGCGGGTGCAGAGGAGACAGCGGCGACGACACAGGGCATGGCTGGGCCATGGGAGGATCCGGCCTGGGATGCAGTGGCACCGCTGCCCGGGGCTGCCAGCTCGCCCTCGCCCGCAGGCAGGGGACAGCAGGAGCCCGCCGGAGCCCAGTCCGTCACCATGGCAGCCGCTAACCCTGCAGCAGCAGCAGCCGCAGCGACAACAGTGGTGTCGGGGACGCCGCCGCTTTCCTTCACGACGACGCTAGAAGACAGCCACAACCCCGAGTCGTGCGTACGACATCCAAGTCAGCCGTACGCGTTGCTGTCTTTGCCGTACTATGTGTTGTACGCCGATGAGGCCCCACCGCACGAGTATGTAGTCTACCGGTTCGGACCCACGGGTCACTGGCGGTGGCGACGCATGGTTCGTGTGACGACTGACAGCGGCATTCACCCGCTCGTGGCAGTTGCCATCCCACATCCCGTTCCCGCTGCTTCTGAAGCTCCTGCTTCCTCTGATCTTACCGCTGCTGATGCAGCTGCTGATGCCAATGCTGCGGCTGCGGCTGCCGACCCAGGGTCACCTTCGCAGTCGCAGCATGCAGCCCCCCCCGCACTCCACAAGAAGCAGCAGCCAGGCCCGCCCGGTCCGCATGCAGGCAGCGCAGCTCCGGTAGCTCAGGCGGCGGCGGCGGCACTGGGGACTCCGGCGTGCGGTGCGAGTGAGCACGACAGTGCTGGCGGCCGGAATGGGGTGCAGCATGACGTGGAGCCCTCTCCTGCTGCCCCTGCTGCAACAGCTGCAGGTCCTGCTGTGGGTGCTGGCACCGCTGTACTGCAGGTGTACCTAGCGGCAGGGCCGCCAGAGGAGCTGGCAGTGGGGACGAAGGGGGCGGCGGGTACGACAACGACGGTTAAGCGCGGCAGCAGCACCAGTCTTGTTGGCGGCAGGGGTGACGGCGGCGGCTTGTCAGCGGCGCAGTCGGCAGCGGGCCCTTCAGGAGGGGGTTCCGACGAGGACGTGGCATGTGAGTATGTGGAGTTGAGCGGCCCTGGGCACTACTTGGTGTCGTTCCGGCGGAGACGGAAACGGAGACGTCGCCCTGACGTGCCTAGCAGCAGCGGCGGCGGCGATGAGGATGAGGGTGAGGGTGAGGGTGAGGAGGACGAGGTTGATGAGGACGGCGACGGCGACGGCGACTCTCCCGGCAGCTGCGCAGTCGGCAGCAGCTGCGGGGATGTTGCGGGTAACGGCAGCAGCAGCAGCAGCAGCAGCGGTGGAGGACCTTCGGACGCTTCGAACCTCCGCAGCCAAGTGTGCACTCCGTCGCCCGCCTTGCCTCCTTCCTGTTCCTCCTCCCCAGCCGGCTCATGCAGCACCCCCTCAGCGGCAGCGGAGGCAACCTCCCAACACGCATCTTCAACCAGCGCGAGCAGCAGTAGCAGTACCAGCAGCAGCAGTAGCAGCTGCCCCAGCATGCAGCAACACCCGCAGCAGCAACCCCAGACCCCAAGCGACCCCTTGCAGGGGCAGCAGCAGCATCAAACCCAGCAGGGGCAGCAGCAGCAGCAGCCGCCCTCGCCTCCGCCAGCTCCCCCCTGGCGCAACTGGCGCCCCATCGCGGATCCGGTGCTGCGAGCCGAGGTGGCCCTGGTGCTTGATGCAAGCTGCGTGCTAGGTGGGTGGGTGGGTGGCCCTGTGGGACCTAGGGTTGTGACGCAAAACCGCTGGGAGCTGCCTGACGGGGGCAGCTGGGGGTGCTGGAGGGTGTACACACACGTGTGCAGGTTGTCCCGTCCCCTCGCAATACACAATGTGCACAGCACGTGTCGTTGCGCGTGTCACCCGCTGCCCTGCCCGCTGCCCTGTCCTTTAACTCCGCTGATTCTTCCGCGTCGCCGCCGCTGCCTGGGGGTCGGGCAGGGAGCAGCAGCCGCGGCCCCCCCGGTTGGTTCCCGGAGGGAGGGGTGGGTTTCGCCTGCCTGGAGCTGCGGCGGCTGTGGGCTGCCAGTCGGAGGGTGCGGGGGGCGGCGCGGCTGGTGCTGGTGTGCGAGGGGTGAGAGAGGGGCGGGGCGGGGCGGGGGGCGGGGCGGGAGGGAGGGTTAGGTGGTGGGGAGGGGGAATTTTGGGGAGGAGCTCTCTCTGTGTGATGATGAAAGGCTTGAAACCCGGGGACCGGAAGGGGCTACCGCGGAGTGTAATGAAAGCTGCACACTGGCTAATGAACTGCTTGTGCTCCTCCGCGTATCTTGGGGGGATGTCGGGATGCTGTATGGCGGTGAGAGCACTCGGCTCGGCTTCACAGAACCCTGTAATGCTCACCCCCCGGTGTGGTGACAGGGCGACGGAGGAGACCTGGCTCGCGAAGCAGCACCTCCTGCCGCACCCGGACGTGGTGGTGTTGGGCATGGGCACGACTGTCGCCTACCGCCTATCCGAGGAGGAGGAGGACCTGATGGATGGCGGTTGCGGCGGTTGCAGCGGGGATGCCCTCAGCGCGACAAGCACAGACAGCGGCGCCGACAACAACACCGGTTGTGACGGAGTTGACGTGGGCAGTGTTAATCCCGGTAGCAGCGAGGTGGTTGTCGGTTTCCACGGCCGTTGGAGGCTGTCCAAGGATTGGGATGCGATGCTGGAGGCCTCGTACGATGCTACGGCCGTACGACAGGCCGTTGAGGACGTCGTACGACTGTTCAGTTCCGAGCGCGTCCCCGTACGGCAACCCCCACAACCTTCACCAGCATCGTCCACCCTTCCGTCTACGTCGCCTGTATCAGTTTCCAACACCGGTTCGGGTCCCGAGAAAGCAAAGTCCGCAGCCAAGTCGACCACAGCAACTAAAGGAGCGGTTACAACAGCAGCACCAGCTGTAGACGCAACCGCTGCCAAATCAGGCGCCGGCAAGCGCTACGAGGCTGACAGCCCACCTGCACCGGACGACAGCAGCCGTGCTGCGGTGTCGTTCGGTGCACCGACGCAGCAGGGACGCCACAGGGTGTGTCTCCACGTGCACAAGTTCCTGGTAGATAGCGTGGTGTGGGAGATTCGGGAGCGCCTGCGGGCTACCGACGCAACCGCCGCAACCGCCGCCGGCAGCAGCCCTGCAGTTCACAATGCCGACGACGGCGGCGGCAGCGGCGGTGAGGAAGTAGAACCCCTAGCTGCTGCGGAGTCCCTGCGCAGTGCATCGCAAGGTGGGCAACACCGGCAGGGACCCGCTGCTCCACTCGCGACCTCTGGGGACGTAGTAGACACTGCCTCTGACGCCAGCCGCCGCCAGCCTCTGGCCGGTACGACAGCAAGCCGTACGGCGGCGACGATGGCGGTTATGACGTCAGCCGCCGCCGAGCGGGTGCGCTTTGTCGTACAGCCGCTCGGCGGGCCGGCGGGCCGCTACTGGTGCACGCTAGACATCATCCCAGCCGCCGCCAGTAGCTCCGCCGCCGTACGGCATATGCTGTGGCACCTCGGGGCCTCCGCCGCCGCCGCCGCCGCGGCCTCCTCCGTTGTGGTGGCGGCGAGGAGCGACTCGGACCTGCTGAGGGATGAGATGATGGCGGGGGCGGCCGCCGCCGTTGTCGTGGCTCCACCGTGGTCGCCGCCGCCGCCGTGGCGGAGGTGGAAGCAGGTGTCGGCGGTGCAGCCGCCGGTAGCGGCGGCGGCAAGCCAATGCAAGGCACATGGGGGCAGCGGCGAGAGCTGTGGCGACGGTGGCGGTAGCAGCGGAGGCGGCGATGGGGGTGGCTTGGAGGCGGGTGGCTGCTCGTCGTCCGGAGGTGGGAGTGGAGGAGGAGGGAGGGTGGTACAGGCGAGGAAAGCCGGTGCTTCTGGCGTGTTGGAGGGCTTGCAGCAGCTGGGGCTGGTGGGGGGTCTGGGACGCCGCTGGCAGTTTAGGGCGGCCAGCTGAGGCGCGAGGTGCATGGCGGGGGGACGGAGAGCAGCAGCCAGGCTGGGCAAACGGGGATGACACATGGAGAGCTGGAAAGAGAGGGAAGAGCTGCGGCCTTGATGAGTGCGTGTGTTGTCTCGCATGCGTGCACATGCGTATGTAAGGAAGGGCGGAGGCGGGAGAAGCAGAAGATATGCACAGTGCGAGGGTTAGAGGTGAGAGGTGGAGAGCGAAGGTAGGCAGTGGCTAGAACAGGAGATATGTGCGAGGAGGGGTGGGTCTGCGGGCTGTGTGGCTTTCAAAAGGGCTGCCGACTGCCTCTTACCCGGCAGCTCTTTCCCTAGGCTGCTCTTGGGCGCAGCAGCGTGTCAGCGAGCCGAAGAGCGATTGAAGCATTGAACAGACGAGTGCGGCGGGGCGCACTGCAATGGCCTGTCATACCATGTGTGTTGCGGGGGCCTCTCCGCTGTTGCGTGCCCTGCTTTGCAACAAGAGCAGGAGTGGGAGTGGAAGGGTGTGTGAATGATCATGTTGACCGGGGGGTGTTGTGTGTGCGCAGGTTAGGTTGCAATCGCGGTGGGGAGGGGATGGCAGGAGAGCGTAGTAGCTGGGTAGTGCTGCTTACAACGCGACTCGTAGCAGCAGCTGGGTGCGGGGTGCTCCGTGTAGCTGTCCCGTGAGGAGCGGCGCTTCGATGCGCGACAAGCTGTGTGAACCACCACCCCGGGTCGCAGCACAGCGTGCGGGGGGAGCTGATTAGCAAGGCGCTGTGTGGTGCGGGGTGATCCCCCCGAACAGATATAGCGGAGCGTGTGTTAGTAGTACGGTACCTAGCAAGTAACTAGCAGCAGAATTGTGTTCGGATGTTTTCCGTTGCTTGACTCGGAGCACTGTTCCGAGGACGCGTGTCCAGATTAGAGGAGGCCTCTTAGGAGGTGTGCCATGTCCCTCATGTGTGCTCAAGCAAACGAGGTGAGGGGCCGCCTGGGTTGTTAGACCGCTTATTAGGGTTGCTGCGGCTGAGCGCTTATGCGTGTTGGAGAGGGAAGACCCCAACCTGGTGCGCGGTGCTGTAGGCCCCTGCAGCATGCCGCGCTGGCGCCTGGGGGCATACCGTATTGCCGTCTGGTAGCCCGCCCGGGGACGCGCATGGGGGATACTGCGCATGGTGAGCGCGCGCGTGATGTGGGTAGGGTGTCGCGGCCCCTCACCCACAACGCATGTGTAACACTGTGGCCGAGCGCATCGAGGTGCCGTCGCTTGGCGCAATATGCTGCTACAGAACGTCCTTGAGAGGGCTCTTGTTGGTGTGAATGAGAGCCCGGCACATCACCGCACATGGGCGCGCAAGTACAATGTCCCCCCGGGCTGCTCGTTGGCATCTACATGTGCCCGCTGACACACAAGGGCCGCACCCGGAGACCGCCCTACCCTCCTCCCGTTACCGGTACACACCGAACAGCGCAACGCCCGAACGCTGCAGCGTGCCTATGTGTGTGTTAGGAAAGCTGGCCGCGAGTCGTGTACCGGTATGCCCGTCTGAGGCCGCGCCACACCAACACCAGCAGCGAGTCCAGGAGCTTAACTGCGCTCCCCGCGCCTCCGTCATACAGCTCGGCCTATGCTAACTAACGGTAAGGCAGTGCCGATACATTTCCGTAGCCCTACGGCCAGCACACTAGAGCACAGTACAGATGCCTCCCATGAGATGATAAGAATAATAACAGCGTCGCTATGATGATGAAGAGGAGGAGGAGCCCGCACGGCTGCCCCCTCATTGCTGCTGGGTGGGCCCCATTCGCGCCCGCATGAGCGCATGCATCCGCCCACCCACCACCTCCCCTCCCGCACCCCCCAGCGACATGCCAAGCCAACCCATCCCCCCCTGTGCTGTGATGCTGTGTCCGCTTCTCCTCACCCACATCTCTCTTCGCAGTCATTCATCTCCCATCCAGTCAGTCATCAGTCAACTCCCAAGGTGAAGCCTACATGTCATACAGCTCGTCAGTTCCTTCCTTGTTATCCTCCTCAAGTCCTCCTCCTCCTCCCTCCTCAATAGTGTCTCCGTATACGCTCACTGCATGAGTCGGGGTTTGGGATTGGGACTCTGTTGCTTTACTTTCCATCTATATTTCCCCCCCCCCCTCCTCCTCCCCCTCAGTCATCCCCCGACTTGTCATGCAGCAGCACGTACTCCCGACTGCTCAGTCCGAAGCGCACCACGTCCTTCTCAAGCAGCTCGTAGTAGCGCAGCGCCTCCAGCCGCTCACCTGGGGGGAAAGGTGGGGGGGGGGGAAGAAGAAATATAGAGAAATGCATCAACGGAGAGGGGGGAAGGAAGAAGAATTCCCAACTCGTTAGGGGGGTGGGGGCAGGAGGTGGGGGCAGGAGGTGGGGTAACGTGGGAGGAAACGAGCTGTATGACGGGGCAACAGGTGGGGTCGGTCAGGAAAGGCAGTGGGGAGCGAAAGGAGGAGCGAGTTGGCAAAAGAGGGCAGGCAGCAAAGCGGCTTGTGGGACTCCGATGTTCAAATACACCCCATACCCCTGCCACACGCCCCCGCCCCAACCCCCTGCCGTACCCCCCTGCCGTACCCTCCTGCCGTACCCTCCTGCCGCACCCCCTGTCGTACCGTTCAGGAAGGTGCCGTTGACACTGCCCAGGTCCAGCAGGTAGGGCCGGATGGCGGCGGACGACAGCCCCAGCTCGTCCTCCTTGTGCGTGAGTCGGAACTGCAGCACCGCGTGTTGCTTGGAGCAGGAGGGGTGCGCGGTGATGATGTCGGCCACACTCACGTCGCGACCGAACAGGTAGTGGTCCATCCTGCGGGGGGGGTGGGGGTGGGGGTGGGAGTGGGGATGGGGGGGGAGGTCAGTACGATATGGCGCCCGCCCCTGCCGCATGCAACACCTCCACACCCACTGCTGCCCGCCTGGAGCAGCGGCGTGCACCCCTCCCCCCCTCACCCCTCACCTCCACATCCGCCCGCCCGTCCCCCACTTTTGTCAAACCCGCCCCCCCCCTCCCCCCTCCCCCCGCCTTTTATTCGCCAATACAGAGTGATCTCAAATCACCTTGGCAGCCGCCATGGAGCTTACAATACGGTTTGTTATTGACTATTGCTACTAACTACAATAAATTGCTATCCCTAAAGTCCAGCCTAAGGCGGATTACGTTTCCAAATTAATCCCCCCACCTGTGTATGTGGAAGGGCTCGTCCTGCAGCGTGTCGTTCTTGAACACGTACAGCCGCCAGCGCTTGTCGGGCTTGCGGCCCTCGGGCGGCGGCACGTGCTTCAGCTCCGCGCCCGCGGGACCCACCTTGTTGGCGTCGGCGGCCAGCTTGCCGGACAGCCCAATGTTGGGCTGCTCCTGTGGGGGGGGGAGGGTGGTGAGGGTGAGGTGGGGGGGGGAGTAAGGGTGGCGAGGAGGGGGCACGGCATGCAGGCTACCCAAGCCCCTAGCGAGCGGAACATGGAGGGCACATGACCTGCGTCCGCAGCCTGTCCGCGGGTGTCAATCTAGAGGGGAGCCCGTCCGCCATGCTGTGCTCGGTCGCGGTAAGGATATGTCATCCCTTCGCACTTCACCACCCTCCACTCTACTCAGCACGTCCCTCCCTCCGCCTTGTCCCTCCCTGACCCCACCTTGGGCGCCTTGGGCCGCGCCGCCTCCTCCGCCTCCCGCTCCTTCTCCTCCCGCTCCTCACGAGACATGTAGCGAGAGGACTCCGCGTCCCGACCGCCACGGCCCCCGCCGCCGCCGCCACCTCCACCCCTGCCGCCTCCGCCGCCGCTGCCCCAGTCGCCATTCCCCCGCTCCCGCTTGCCGTCTCGCCCGCTCCCGCCTCCGCCACCTCCACCACCGCGGCCGCCCGTCGGCTCGTCCCGCTCCTCGCCGCCGCCGCGCTCCCGCTTGACGGCGCCGCCAGGCCTATCGCACAACGGCGGCCGATCTCTCCCACTGCCGCCGCCGCCGCCGGCACCAGCGCTGCCCCACTCATCCCGATCCCGATCTCGTTCCCGATCACGTTGCGCTTCCCGCCCACTGCGGCCCCGGTCTTCATCGCCTCGCCGGAACTGCGGCCCTTCACCTTCCTCCACCTCCTTCTTAACGGCACCTGAGCGGCTGCCGCCAGCATCCCTTCCGTACTCGCGATCCCTCTCTCGGTCACGACCCCGCTCCCTCTCCCGCTCTCGGGTGTCCCGGTGTGTTTCATTGCGGCTGCCGTACTCCCGATCCCGATCGTATCGGCCACCACCTCCACGACCACCCCCCGGGTCCTCCTCGTAGCCTCTCTCGCCTCTTCCGCCTTCCCGGGGTGGTGGGGACCGAGAGGGGCTGCGTCGGCGCTTTTCTGCACGCATTTGAGGAGGCAAGGTGGCAGCGGGGAAGGGAAAAGGGCGAGGTGGACGAAGGGCATTCGGGATTGGCAACATGATCGGCATGCTTAGCGGTGTGAGATAGGAAAGGGTGAGAAGGTAAGGAGGGGCTAGATGAGGAGGGGTAGGGCTGTGGTCATGGGGTTTGACACATGGTAGGCCCCGGAGGGTTTCAAGTTCAACTGTGTCAAAGGTGGAGGTGAGCATGGAGTACGTGAAAAGCAGGTCAATGATATATCATGTTTGCTAGTATTTTCCCGTAAGCGCAACGCAGTCACGTCCATGACCCGCGTGAACCCAAGACTGGTAGCGACGCACCCTCGCCCATATCCGGTCTAGTTATTCGATTAGAGCTATAGTTTCACTTGTGCGCCCAGCGCATGACCAGCAGTCCAGTATGTGCGGAAGGACTGTTTTGGACCTTTTCCCTACTTCAACGGCGGAAAGCCCATGTATTGTTAACTTAACAGCTAGCGTCGCAGGTTCGGCCTATCAAACCGCTAGGACCTTTCGAAAGAAGAACGTCGGGTACAGATATTAGGAATTCTAGCTCTTCCGTTTGAAGTCAGGAAAAGGCAAAATGCTTAATGTGCCTTATTTTATATTGTCGGAAGGTAAACAACTACGACCAGCAAATCAATGATTTCGTGGAAAGGATGGGAGCCCACCTGCTGTACAGAAGCGCTAACACGCATGCACCCTTGCACGGCAGCTACCTCCTAATCCAGCTATTCATTACAAAATACTACGCTGGTTAAGGATGCAAGTGTCTGCTAGTGGCTCCATCGCTGGCTACAGCCCGTACGAACGGTGGGACACGAGGAGGTGGGTCCAAACACAGACTTACAAGTCTCCAAGCGTTAGCGCATCTGTGGCGCGGCTGGCGCAGTCGGGCACGCTGGCGCGGGTGCTGCTTTGCGCCTTAACACAACCAGTGCAGGCGCGCCAACACACCGCAAACTGTACACGCGTACAGATTGTAACTGTGACAACCAGCACAGATTTATGGCCGCATCACCCGCATGGCAGTATCCGTACTTACGGCAAGGACCGCAAGCTGGAGGACTCCTCGATGCGTGCAATCCCAATTGCTATTGCTTGCCCTTCATTTGGAAGGGATTCACTGCATGGCCAGCGTCTTAGCTGGGGCATCTTGCTTCGGCTGAAATGCCAGCGGATGACATACCGGTAAGACAGCACCCAATTGCTTATCCGGATATGTTACATACGGCAACGCAGTTGCCAGCCTAGGGTTTACGGTGGAAACCTCTGCGCATGAGCATTCAGTACACGCCATGAAACCTGCTCCTACTTTGCAGCGCCCATACAGACAGGTCCTAGCCAGACACAGCCTGCCATACAATGTGCTTCGACTCAGCCGGAAGCGGCCTATGTTGCCAAACGAATGCAGTAAAGAGTAACTTTACGAATGCAGTAAAGCGTCACCGCATTCTTTAATCAGGGGTACCAAGCACACGTGTCAGCGCCTGCGCTCACGCTTAGGACACGCCTACCAGAACTAACCAGGGCAGGGGATCAACGATTGCCTTGCCCATGTACGCGCGTGTTCTGACTCCCAAACGACAAGCCGTCAGTCAGTGCTTGGTGTAATAGCCCTTGCCGGTGTGAACACGCGGGTTCTCCAGCACAGCGCGGTGCTCGCCCTCCGAAAGGTCCCGGCGGAACAGCTGAGTGCTGCCACGGGCGGGATGGTCCATCGAGGTCTTGGTAGTGCCTGAAGGATTGCAAAGGAAGCGCCATGGCATAATGGCATGCGTTAACAAGCCGCGATTGCCACGTCAGCTATAAGTCGCCACCGTGCACTTAAAGCAAAATGTTGGTTAAATAAAGCAAAAGGAGGTCAGCTGCAATGAACCATCGCGGACTTTCCCAACCGGCGGACCTGCAGGCCAACGCACCCAGCACGCACAGCACCGTGCCACAGCATACCAGCACCAGGGCGCAAGAACAACTTTTACTCACCAGTTGAGTAGTAGTAGTCCATCTTAACGCCTGTTGTAGGTTTGGGTAGACATTGGGTGGGCTGTTAGACAGATTGGCGACAAGCGCACTTTCTTCGCGACCGTGGTGGCCGCCAAGGACAGGGAAAGGCATTAGATGGCCTACACTCAAATACAGCAACGCGCGCCAGTCTAATGTACGCGGAGAAAGGACAGCTGCTAAGCGCGCTCGCCTGCATCGTTCTCGTAGAAAGCAACACGGCTCTGGGAGTTGTGGCCGGTATAGCTCCATCCGTTCTGGGAGAAGTTGTTGTTGTGATAAGGCTGGTAAGGCTGCTGGTTGTAGCCGCCGTTGTACCTGCAAGAGCAAGCACAAGCCACGAGGCTTTTCTCTTAGTTGCTGGGACCCAGGGCACGTAGGCATTGCCGCGTGCAACGCTTCTGCAGACTCCCTTTCCATTCATGGGAGATTGGGAAAGTTTACAAAGGGTAGGATCTGCAACTTGCCTGGACATTTTGAAAATTGCTCAATCACTCGGGTTGAACCAGGTCTTCAGGTTGCTCCTTTGCCGAGTACTGTATCCTTTTGGTCCCAACACTATAAATATGCAATTAATCGCGAGAAGGCTATCTATGAGTTACTGCGATCGCGGTTGACCGTTCGTCGTACAATACATGGCGCGGCGTAATTGGTTGGCGCGCCCATCGGTGCGCTTAGCTTTTTTCGCGGTACAGGCGGTACTTCGACACGGTTCGTGTTATCAACCACCCAGTCGCGTGGGCTAGGGCTTGGGCTAGACTGTTCGCGCATTGGCGCCACTTGACAGGCACAAGCTAAACACCGCCTTCTCCACCCCAAACAAACATTGCCTACCAACCCACATATGAATCCATGCACATTACCGCAATACTCGAGCACACTGCTGACGGCGCCTTGAGGATGGGGAGCTGATGTTGCGACATTACAAGAGTGTGTAGTTGAGCGGAAACAAGAGCAAGCAGTTGAGATCTCTCCGTTGCCTACCATAAAGCCCCCGCCTGAACGAACGGTGCCGCAGCCTGTCCCTTAGTCAGGGCAGCCAGCGCTAGAGCTGAGCAGTGTGCAACAACTTCACGACTACTCCCCATCCAACGATCTGCTTCAGGACCCACGGTCACCAATGTGTACTATGCCGACCGCTCAGCAGGGCCCAACGAAATACGGTATGTGGCTGGCGGGCAGCTAACCTATATGGGGGAATGCACCTAGTGTCAGTTGCCCCATTTAGGTTTCTCGTCCAGGGGTCGGTCGCAACAGTGGGGTACTCGGCGAATCGTGACATGAGCTGAGAGAGCAAGGTTACCTTACAACACAGCTTCATCGGTGTGTGCATAACATGTCACTTTTAGACATGGCTGACTACGTAGAGTAGGTACGCACCGTAGCTGCTGGATTGACTTCTCGGTTCGGCACGTGTTGGCACACCGGCAAAGCACGCCACACGCACGGCGGTCCATTTTACCAGGAATGCAGGAAGCCAATTCATAATGTCTTAGTCTGCGCACGCTTGGCTTGTTTTGCGGTCGGATGAGGTGAACGCCCGCTGGGCAACTAGAAATAGGCTCCGGGACTTGTTGAATAGATAGATAGCGGGATAGACAGGATAGGAGAGCGCGCTTTTACAAGCAAAAGCAGGGATTACAATGATTAGTGAATAATCCCGGATGGGACTGCTTGTAGTGGAAATTATCTTTCGCTGCAATCTTTGGGTTTCTAGGCTTTGGCGTTCGTTCCCATGCAGGCGCTGCTACCACTGTCTTTCTCTATGACATGTGGCAACCGTGTGCCGCGCTAACACCCTCCATTATCACAGCGGGCATGAGTTTCAATAACAACAGGGTTGCACGTCGAGTGCTAGCCTTCGCAGTCTCACGAATCCCGTACAGGCGCCCAGCAACAAACATGGAACACCCATATGATAGCGCACAGGTGCAGAGTTATACACAGAGGGGTTTAGGCGTATAATAGTTGAAAGGCTTGTTGTTATGGGACCTACCTTGGACTTAGGAAGGTATTGACACCGGACTGACAAGTAACATTTTCCTGTAAGCTACAAATCATACATACTGGAACTAGTGTAGAGCCCATCTAAAGGCGGTTAGCGGGCTTTGGCTTGTGGTGGGTTGTAGTATACAGTTTGCCTCGCAGCTGCATGCTAGCGGCGCTGCGTGGGGTATTTCAGCGCTGGGTCGGCATGACGACCGAAGTGCAGACTATGGAGCCGGCGGACACGACCTTGCCAGGAGCACCACCAACTTGTAGCGCCGACTACTCAGCTAGCGCATCCACACGAAAGCTCAAGCGCACAGGTTTGGCTTTGCTTGGGACTTTACGACCCTTTTTATACAATGACGGATTTCAGCTAGAGGTCAACTAGTTTGCGATTTCCGCAGCAGGGAGCTCAACCACCGAGGCCGCAGAGATTAAGCGCCCGCGGACAGCACCATCGACACCCATTGACTCATCCGGGTGTGGAGCTGGTGCTCCTGGCCTTAAGCTTTCGGTACGTGGCCTAGGGCGGCCGAATGGTGGTTGGCTGGGTGCTGCTGCGTAATTGGCCCATCCATTTGGGTTCATAGGATCAAGTGTATGTGCGCAATTTGAGAGATTGGATCAAGCTGTGGAAGGCACATTATTGCTCGGGTTCAGGCATCATCTGAAATGCGCGGCCCCACACCAGAGGCCACCATTTGTAGTGGTGACTCCTTAGGAGTTGCATCTGTTTGTTGGCAATTGATTTGCCCTAAAGGCTCTCCTGTTGAGGCCGTGAACTTGTTCAGGACCCAGATGCAACTGGCCTTGGTTGCCTTTTGACGTTATCCGCAGTGTGCCAAACGCGCCCGTTCTGAAAGAATGCTCCTTCAGCAAAAATACATAGCATTCGACTTCCAGCTTGTCCCAAAAACCGCCCTACCCTTCGCTTCCTCCCGAGCCTTTTGAGTTTTGACCCACTTGCACCCGCGCACTGTTTCTCTTCCGTCCTCTTTCACCTAACCAGCCTTCTCCCACCCGCGCAGGCCTTCGACACCGACAACGACTCCCGCCTAGCACCCGCTGGGCCCCTTCACGATAACGCGGCCAGCACCCGTCCAACCGCCACCGCCTCCGCTCCTGCCGCCCTCACCCGCTCAATGCGCTCCCAGCCCACAGCCTCCACCGCTACCACATCCGGCGGCTCCGGAACCCATCACGGCAGTGGCGGCACCCGCCACGGCGCTGTCGGCGGCAGCGGCGCCACCGCCGTCAGCGGCGTGGCCCCGCCATCCCCCGCAGAATCACGCGACCCACATCACCACCAGTACCACCACCACCACCACCCACAGGCGGCGTCTGCAGGTGAAAACAACAGCGGCGGCGGCGCTGCTGCATCTCGCGGCGGCAGCAGCGCTGGCGGCGGCGGTGGCAGCCGTCACCACACCCCCCACGCCGACGCACACCAGCACGCGCTGTCGCTCGCGCACCACCGCCACGACCCGCTGGAGGAGCAGGTCTTCTCCCCCGGCTTCCACCTGCCTGGCTCCTCCGCCGCCGCCTCACCCGCACCCTCTCACGGCGGAGCGGGCGCTGCTGCGCCCTCAGCTGCACCCACGCCAGGGGTCAGCAGCGGCGGTGAGGGCAAGAGCCTCCCGGAGGCGGAGGCGGCGGCACACGCCCAAGCCGGGGCTGCTGCTGCTGCTGCTGCTGCGGAGGGCAGCGCTGCGGGTGCGGAGGTTGCACGGCGACAGCCGTTAGCAGCTGGGGTGCATGTGTGCGGCGGGGGCGGTGGCGGGCAGCTGCATGCCATTGACTTGAATGTGGTGGAGGGGGTGGCTGTGGACTCGGAGGACGATGAGGAGGCGCTGCGGGCGGCGGCTGCGACAGCGGCGGCAGCGATTGCTGCGGCAGGCGCTGAGGCGGCGAGCGAGGCGGGTGCGGGTGCGGTGGGTGGTGAGGCGGTGGCGGTGAAGCCGGTTGGGGCGGGCGTGGCATTGGTGGCCGGCGGGCGGCCTGGGCCTGGGAGAGGGCAGGAAGGGGAGGCAGCGGCTGCGGAGGAGGAGGTGGAGGAGGGTGATGAGTTCGAGGGTGGCAATGATGAGAACGCGCCGGCGGGCTGGGCGGTGGCGGCGGCGACGGTGCCGGCGGTAGCGGGCGCGGTGCCGCCTCCTCCGCAAGGCGCGCAACTTCGGACCCGCGTCCATGTCGCTCAGCAGCAGCAGCAGGGGGTGCAGCAGCAGCAGCAGCAGCGGCCTCGGGACCAGGTGCTGGTGGCATCGGCGCCCAGGGCTCTGGCAGTGGCCGTTGCAACCGCCATGCAACAACAACAGCAGCAGCAGCTGCCAACAGGAGCAGCAGCTGCAGAAGACGAAGAGCCGGAGGAGGAGGCCGAGGAGGAAGACGATGAGGCGGCTGCTGAGGAGGAAGACGAGGAAGAGGCTTTCCTGGAGTTCGACCCGCTTCTCTTCATCAAGCAGCTCCCGCCCCTGGAGTCCTGTGTCCCGCCCAACCGCACGCCGCTGCTCCCCCCCATGACGCACCACCAACCGCAGCCCCTGCTGCCCTCCTCCTCCGCCGCTGCTTCCCATGCTGCTGCGGCCCGTGTTGCCCATGCGGCCGGACCCGGCAGCAGCGGCACCAAGCGGCCGCTGAAGACGCTGGTTCTGGATCTAGACGAGACGCTGGTTCACTCCTCCCTGGAGGCGGTGGATCGCTCCGACTTCTCCTTCCCGGTGCTCTTCAATGGCATGGAGCACACGGTGTTTGTACGGCAGCGGCCGTACCTGCGGGATTTCATGGTAGGGGGTGGGGTGGGGTGGGGGTGTAGAAGTTTAAAAGGGGTTGGGGACGGAGTAAGGAAAAGGGAAATGCCCACTGCATTAGAGGAGGACACGCCCTCCTGCAGCTCTCGGACCCCACATCACCTCCGCATCACACACACACACCCCGACAATCACAGTATGTTCCTACTCGCGGCCAGTTTTCTTAACACACCCCAAGGAGAGAGGAGGACTTCATCTTTCGGCAATCACAGTACGTTTCGCCTCGCGGCCAGTTATTTTAACACACCCCATTCACAGTACGTTTCGCCTCACGGTCCATTTTAACACCCCAACCTCACCCTCCCCACCCCCACCCCTTCTAGGTCCGCGTGTCCGCGCTGTTTGAGGTGGTGGTGTTCACCGCCAGCCAGCGCATCTACGCGGAGCGGCTGCTGGACATCTTGGATCCGGGCAGCGAACTGGTACGGCACCGCATCTACCGAGACAGCTGCGTGGTGGTGGACGGCAACTACCTCAAGGTGAGTGCGGGGGGGGGTCGATGAATGCAGGTGTGCAGTGCAGCGGGTGAGGCCGACCTGATGCGGGTTAGGAGCCGTGTGGCGTGCCTTCCTTCCTTCCTTTCTCTCCTCTTTCGCCATGTCGCTCAGTTCTTCCGTCGCACGGCACATCACATCAACTGGCATGGTCTGGTCTGAACGACGTACGACGTACCCGATTACGCTCTCGGCTGTGCATGCGGTGCATTGCTGTACCGTGCGGTGCCGCCTCTCCCTCTTCCTCTCTTACCACACCTCTCTCCCCCCCTCCCCCCCAACAGGACTTGTCGGTGCTGGGTCGCGACCTGGCGCACACCGTCATCGTGGATAACTCGCCGCAGGCATTCGGATTCCAGGTTGACAACGGCATCCCCATTGAGTCCTGGTACGACGACGAGGCGGACCGTGAGCTGCTCAAGCTGCTGCCCTTCCTGGAGGCGCTGGCGGGGGAGGAGGTGGCGGACGTGCGGCCTCGCATTCGGGCGCAGTTCCGACTGCGGGAGCTCATCGACCGGGCGTGAGAGGGGGCCGGAGGGGGGTGAGGAGGGGCGGAGGGGGTCGCGGATGGAGGGCTGTGTGGTGAGTCCTTGGGCGCGCGTGAAGCGCTGTGGGAGGGGTTGGTGGTGGCGTTGGGGGGTTTGGGGAGCAGGATGCCGGGTCAGGCACAACCGCTATTCGGGGGGGGGGTCGAGTGGACGGGTGTTCTGGTGGGGGGCCATGACCCCAACAGGGCGTCCCCGCGTTCGATGAGCACATGCATTGTATCATGGAGGGGGCGGCTTGGGTCCTATGCGCAGTTGGGCTGATGCATGCTTGGAGCTGGGGGGTGGGGCGGACGTACCGACTGTGGCAGGGGGCCTAGGGGCGGGGGCGGGTGCGGGGGTCATGAGGCGGTGGGGGGCTGGATGGGATCATGCTTCAGGCGATGGGCCGATGAAACGTCGAGGCCCGGTGCTGCTTTTGTGTGCTATGCCTCCTGAGGGAAGCGGGGGATGCTCCTGTTGTTGTCGTTATTGTTCCATACCCAGAAAAAAAAACAACTAGCGGGGAGGTCAACGCACATACCCGTTGTTGCTCGTTGTTTATTGAACTATTCACAGTTGCCCCTTGTTCAGTCTTTCATTTGTTACGCTTCTCTGGATGGCAAAACATTAGATGCCATTGCTGCGCATGTTGCACATGTCAACTGGTCACACTTGTGGTATAGGACGCGTGGAGCAGCACTAGCTGCGGTGCGCGTGTGTGTCTCTCCCAAGGGTGTATGCCTGCACGGGAGATATGTGTGTTGCCTGCCCGCAAGGCGCCATGGCTGTAGATTAGTTACGAGAATGGGACTGCTGCTGCAACTGGACGACACCGCGTCAGGCCGCCGCATAGGCGTTGGAGGTGGTGGTGGTGATGATGGAATTGATGGTGGTGGAACGGGGACGTGAGGAGGGAAAGAGAGATTGCCACCGCGCGCGGCGCAGTAGTCCAGCTTGCTGGTCACCTCCTTTTCCGGGGTTTGGGGGGTGTTTCGGAGGGGGTCAATGTGCAGTGCTACCTAATGGTCGGCTGTCGGTCGGTCAAACAACAACAACATCACGGTGGGAGGTTCACGTGGGGAGAGTCCTGTAAAGTGTGGTGGGCAGGCGAGAGAGAGCCTTTTGAGGGCGCGGGGGCCTGTGGTGTTGCTTCTGTGGATGGGGTGTTGCGAGTGGGTTAGGGCTCAGATCTCGCGGTCTGTGACCCACGGGTCATATAGTCATGTTACAGGCTCCACCGTAGTTGCTGGTCGGGGTCTGGAGGCTTTAGAACGCTGCGGGGCAACGTGACAATTCAAACGGGCGTTGCCGGTGCTTCTGCTATTACTACTGCTGCTGCTAGTGCTGCTGTTACAGCTACGCAGAGTTTCATTGGTTCAGGGGGGGTCTCGTCACCGCGGTATTAGGTTATTGAGGTTGTTGACGGATGCGCAACCGCATTGGGGTTTGTGGCAAAGCCTTGCTGGAGTCACTCTCCCGGAAGTCCGCATGGAATACCTTTCGCGGCCTGGGTGAGGAGGCTAACGGCGGACGGCCGTGTATCATGATTGATGACCCATGGGTCACGCGTGGCCCCCAGAAAAGGGGTCCGCTCCCCGACTGCCCCGGAGGACTGGCTGGGGCATGGAGACTGCTCATGACGGCTGACTGATGTGGAGGAGGAGGCAGAGACGTTGTATGTATATATACCAATGCTGACCTACTGTGCGCTGCATGCCACATGCAAGTGAAATGGACATCAAGTGGCCCGCCAGCTGGTACGACGACGGCACCGGTGGGGCTGTTCCGCATGCACAGGGCCCCGCTTCCTTTGCTGATTCAGGCCTGAGGCAGCACGACATGGCTGTCCATGCAACGCCTGGTACACTTTTACAGAACCGCTACCGAGGGGCGAAGGAAGGGCATGGAAGCTTGTCATCCTGAACTTCGCTACCAAACCTGAAAGCATCCTTACGCAAGTCGGTGTCCCACCCCCCCCACCGGTAACCAACCTCACGCATGCATGCAGGCAACGTCATACGTACCCTGCTGCCGAGTCTCCACCTCGATCCCTCACCCACCCTGCTCATAGTCCCAAGCTGACCCTTGCGACGTCACGCCCCAACGTGTCATTGCGACAGAGGCCCCACTACCCTCCAATCTGGCCCCTTGCAAAAGCCATCAGAAACACCTAAACCCACCAACATATCCCTCGCGCAGCTTAGCAGCCTAAGCGCCCCCCACACGTCCCCTCACCTCCACTAACGTTACCGTCTACAGTCCTAGCCAGCACCCTCACCTCCGGCCCCCGCGGCCTCCACGCCCACCCCGGTTGCCTCCTCGCCCCCGGCCCCCACCCCGGCCGCGCCCCGGAACCGCCGCCACCTGCCTGGTTGGCTCTAACTCGACCGCCATCCAACATACCGGGACCGCCAAGCACCCGCCAAACCCCAGCACCCCCCACCCCCCCCAGCACCCCCCAACCCCCACCCCAGCACCCCCCACCCCCCCCAGCACCCCCCAACCCCCCCCCCCAGCACCCCCCACCCCCCCCCCAGCACCCGCCAACCCCCCCAACAACCCCCCCAAGCCCCCCACTCCCCCACCTTGAGGTACTGGTAGAACTCGGGGTCCTTCTCCCGCAGGGCCTCCAGCTGGGCTCTGCAGCAGGGACCCGTAGCAGCCTTGGCGACAATCGCTGTCATTCCTTTTGTGCTTTAAGCATCCTTCTGCATCCTCACGCCCTACATGCATGCGTGCAACCGCATCTCCTCGACATCACCTCCCTCCCGCGAGCTACGGGCAGTTCCCGCCGAAGGCGGGCCTTACTAGTGTCATTCTGGGTCCTTCCGAAGCAATTGCCAAGGCATGACCCATGGGTCACTGCACGCTCCTGCAGAGCGCGGCCTCAGCAACGCATCATTGCATATGCAAGCTGCGCGCGAACGTTTGTTGCTTTAATAGGGGCCATCCTTGTGGCCTGCCGACACCAAATGTCGTATCCGACATGTGGTGGCTGGATCACGAGCTGCCTCAGTGTCCAAAACCGTCCTGTTTTGAGGGCGCTATGTGCTGTTACACTGGGCGCATGTGTATCGCATACAATAATGTACGGGAAACCGGGCGTATTTGTCGCATGGCTTTGTATGATACCCCAGCTAACCAAGGCTAACAGCTCTGGCAATGGCCCTTAACGAGTCCTAGGGCTTCGCGGCGGGGGCTCCGCTTAAAAACGCTGGTGACTCGTGACTGTCGTAATTGTAAAATTGGATCCCATGTCGGAGCCGAGTAAAGCCAGGAGTCCTTAGCAATAAAATAGTCTTAGAGACTGTCCTTACAGGCTTAATTTCCAGCCCGTTTTTTGCTGAACAACGCGAAATGGGAAACATCAAGCAGTTGCCGGATGTTTTTCACAACCTAAGCATGCGTGCGCTTGAAGCCTTTGTCGATATATTGAAGAGCGAGGGTAGCATAGGAAACATACGCCTGGCGCTCCGCGCGCTGCGCAAAGTAGTGGACCCTGGTGTGCGCGAACTAACGCTAGTCGTGCGCCATGAGCACCGGCAATTAACGGCCCGGGGCTTGATGCCGTCGCTTAAGCGCTGGCCAGGCTGCGAGGAGATCCGGCTTGAACTGGGCCTTCTGGGCGCGGAGGATGTCAGCCCTGGAGACATTGCAGAGCTCGTAGCGCTGCAGTTTGCGGGCTCGCCGCTGGCAACCAGGCAGCGTATCAGGCGTGTAAAGGTTATCTGGAGGATGGGGCGCCGCGTGGACATCCAGTTGGCTGTTGCGCAGCTGCCGCTGTGGCTGCCCGCTCTGGAGGAGGTCGACCTCTCCGACGCGTGGCCGCTCATGGTTGATCCCCAACCGTCAAAACAGCTGCTGATGTACAGCGCCCTAACAAGTTTGCAGAACCTGGAACGGCTGGTGCTGGGCAGGATGCAGGGCGTGGGGGCCCTGGCGGCATGCAGGAGCCTGAGGAGATTGGACGGGATCGCTGCAGCGGACTATTTGACAGCTCCTGTGATTGCCGAGTTGGCCAAGCTGCAGCATCTGCAGGTGCTGCACTTTGAGCGGTGCGACATGATTTCTGATGATTATCCGGAGGAGGGGGAGGGGGAGGAGGGGGTCCATATCTGCGAGCCGCTGCGCCTGCTGCTGGTCAGCTTGCCGCCCTCCCTGCAGCGCCTGGAGCTGGAGGAATGCCACTTTCCGCCGCACGATTTTGACCAATCCGTGGAGTTCCACATGGATGCTGGTCACGTGCGGCTGGTGCAGCTGTCTGGCTGCGACTTCGGGCTTCTGCGCAAGTACTGGCTCCTGCACAGCATCCCGCGTCACCTCCTGCAGCAGCAGCAGAAGCCACGTCTGGCTATGGAAGAATTGTTCGCACAGCCGGAGCCGCTGTCCGAACAGCAGCTGTCCCGTACCCGCGCGCTGCTGTGGGAGCTCTTCGCTGCTACGGAGGTACAGGCTTGGATGTGCGACGATGCCTCTGTGGCTGCAGCGCTGCAGGCTGAGGAGCTGGTGGGCCTGCCGCAGAAATTGATGTTCCGGGATTACGGCCTCACGATAAGGGTGGCGGTAGTGGCGCCTTCCGGCCCTGCACCGGCGGGCGGCGAGGGGCAGCAGCTGGGACCGGCGGCGGCGGGTGGCTGGCAGCAGCTGCCATCAGAAGGAGAGCTGCTGCTGAGTGCGATGGGGTATTTGGCGGCGGAGGCGGCAGCGGCAGCAGCGGCTGAGGAGGAGGTGGGCGGGTCTGCTGGCAGGGGTGGCTCGGCAGGAGCTCGTGAGCTGTGTGTGAGCGGCCCGCTCCTGGCTACCATGCTTAGCCAGGGCGAGGAGGGGCAGCAGGAGGGGGAGGGGGAAGCATTGCTCCAGCAGTGGATGATAAGGCTGGATGAGCGGGCGGCCGGTGGCGGCAGCACACGCTGCGTGGTGCACTACCAGCCGCTGCCGGCTGTGCAGGCAGTGGTGATCAAGTGCGACGGCAGGGCGGCGGCGGAGGCGGTGGATGCAGCTGTGA